TACTTCATACAACAGATCTCAACACCCACCTCGTTCCTTCATTCCCACAACACATATCACATAAAAAGTCCTTCAAATGCCCAGTCACTCCTCACATCTTACCGCAAAGATGCAGGGTTCTCAATCCTCTGATGACCTGCTCTCCGACGCCACCTCCAAAGACCACCCTTCCGTTCGCACCAAGTCGACCAAGAAACGAAAGCTAGCAGATCCGACATATGTTCCTGTCAAGGCGGAATACAGTTCGGACGACGATGATCATGAAGTTCCTTTCGGCCTTCAAACACCAAAGCGAACTCCCCAGAAGAGGCAAGCCCGCTCGGACTTCGATGGCAATCCGCGACCCAAGAAGAAGCCGTCTCACCATACTCCAAATTCCAGCAAGAAGGCAGTCCTGGTGACGCCCTCTTCCTACAAGGGCCCCAGTGGCATATCGAGCACTTTACAGACGACCTTCAACCCTTTGGAGGTGCTCCCAGGTCCGGCATTCTATCCACCGCAGCTCGATGATAAGTTTTCAGTGAAGAACACGCGTCATGCTTCGTTAGAATCTGCAAATGAGTCCTACTCGCCTTTATCCAGTCCTAGTGATAGCGGTGCCACGACTGAGAATGGCTCGCTCAGTCCCCAAGACCTGGTCAACTCAAAGAGAAGAAAGAGTGAACATGATATGCACGCCTTCGTACCAGACCACAGCGATGAGGACAATGATGACAGCCCTACATTCCGCGTCTCGAAGAACGAGAAAACAACCCTTGTGTTCGACTTCTCTTTGGAGAAAGCTAAACGATGGGCCGAGGCAATCAACCTTCCCCAGGGATTCTATAATCCGGAGGAGAGCGATCTCTTCTTTCGACTGGCTATGCGAGGATTCGAGCCTCTCGTTCCTCGACACTGGAAGCACGATTTTCCCACACTCCCTGAACTGCTGTTTCCTCCACCTGGAGACGAATCTGGACCGCTTATCCGGGCATTTGGCAAGTCCGACTTCTTCGGTAAGACGTGTCGCAGCCTGCTGTACCTCACAGATATCTGACAATGTAACGTTATAGGAGTCAAATCATTGACCCATTTATTCTCCCTTGGCGGACGGGTGAGAGACTGCAATGTTACAAGAATAAAGCCAGAACCCCTGATCAAGCGCTGCGTGGTGAAGTACATCCGCTGGGCTTTCCGGGATGCAAAGATACATATCGCGAGGCACTCCATTCTTGTTCATGCTATCTATGACCAGAAGAAAGGGGAATCTACCCTTTCTGCAGTTAAGAATCTCAATCAACGCTTACAACGCCTAGCCAGTCGGTATCGCAGAAGCCTCAACTCGGCATCTGCAGGTGCCCCGCCCAGTCCTCAGACCAGTGAGGGCAGCGGAAGTGCCAGCGGTATCTCAGAGTCCCATCCAAAGTACCCGCTTCTTACTGGCTTCGTGATTTGCGGGCCAATCATTACTATCTTGAGCCTGAGTACGGATCCCAGCAGCGCGGCTCAAGGTAGTGATAGCAAATTCATTTCACAGTTTGATCTGAGTGAAAGAGGTCAGGATGTGTGGAATTCGCTTGCCATCGCAATCACCGTCATGCATATCCGCAGAACTATGATGCAGCTTGCAGAGGAGAGTCTGGGGGGATTTAGTCATGTTCAGAGAGATGCTTCCCCTACCTCAGACGCTGATATTTGAGCATATATGTTATTGATGCTTTAATGGTAGTACTTAGTTGAGCAATGCTCCCCCTAAAACTTGCCATGTTTGTTGTCTCTTTTTTAGATCGTTCTAGAAATATCTCACATCATATGTAGTATATCTCTGCAACGATAGCATAAGGCGATAAGCCATGCATCAGATGATTCTGATACTTGTTAGCGAAACCAATTAAGACAATAGAAGTAGAATTTGGGTTATCCAGGACTAGGTGTATGTATTCCTTTTCGTCAACACCTTATACAAGTCACATGACCACACGATAATGACAACCCCCGCGGTTTGACGGTTGGTTTGGAATCACTCTCCGAGTCCCAATCCCTGGAACAAAGACCCCATCACTGTCATGGATGCTGCAGATGACAGAGAAGTCAAGCTCCAGCGTGCCTCAGGAGACTTGGTGAAGGAATTCTCTGCGAAGCTGCCTTCTTTGTTGTGGAAGCCCCGGACCGAACAGGGCACCTCCCGAGTTCCACGCAGACGGACCCAAGCTTCGAAGACCGAGAAACTTGTCAGCTTGGTAAGTTAATTTCCTACTATAATTTCGTTCTAGTAACCGTTTTCGATAGCTGGAACCCTTTCAAGAATGGCCTCAGTTGCTTGACCCTCACCTGCAGTCGCTTCTGCCTCCTTTGGTTGATGCTTTCCTAGCATACTTGATCAGACACCGTGATCAGTACACCTCGAAAGGGGATGGCCTGCAGCGGGACCGAGCCTTGTATCCTTTACCTCGGGCAATTTGCAGGCTTCTATATACATTCTGCAAGGTTCGCGGGGTCAAAGTCATCAGCAGGTTTCTCAACAATGAGCCAAAGTACCTTGATCCACTACTAAGGGCATTTATTGAATGGGATGCCGTACGCCCAGGAGATGCAGCAGAGACTACGCCCGGGGATGTTCCACAGAGGCTTATCTGGGAAGAGCGCTACGTGATGCTGACCTGGATTTCGCATCTATTGCTGGCACCCTTCGACTTGGCATCCATGTCGTCAGACAATATCCCGATACCGTACGACAACCTCGGCCAGCTCGGACCATTGCACGACCAAACTCCGACTGTCGCCAAGTCTCTTCTATCGGTCTCACTGGCCTACGTCAATGTCTCTGGGAAAGAGCGCGAGGCAGCCACCGCGCTCCTGGCACGGCTAGTGCTGCGCAGAGACATGCAGACTCTGGGACTGTTACACGGTCTCACAGACTGGGCTTTTTCTGCTATACAGCCTACCGGCAATATCGAACCGCCGTCGGTTTATACGTGCATTAGTGTTCTGTCTTTTCTTGCACGCTTGGGGGCGTCAGGCCAAGTGGAAGACTTTGCATCTCTGATCGTCCCCGTGTTCGAGCGAACCTTCCGCATTGTGCAAAGTCAGTCTGAGGTATCGAAGATAATTAGTTCGTCGGCGCTAGCTCGGAAGATGATCATCAAGATTCTCCGCACTGTCACGGTAATGGCCCTGTCACTTAGTGAGGGAAAGGATTGCCCGTTATCAGAAGAAAGAGTCTCTTCTATCCTGGAAGACGCCATCGATCATTTCCTGGTGGCTCTTGCCGATAAAGATACCCCTGTGCGATTTGCGGCGAGCAAGTCCCTGAGTATCATCACTTTGAAGCTGGACCCTGACATGGGATCCGAGGTCATCGAAGCTGTCACTGGCTCTTTGGAGGAGAACATTCTATTTGAAAAACAGGACGGCACCATCGTCACGCCTCTGGAGGCTAGGGGGATTGGTGAAAGCACCCTGAAGCGGAATTTGAGCGCCGTGGATGCACAAAGATGGCAGGGTCTGATACTCACCTTGGGCCACCTCCTATTTCGACGTGCTCCTCCGTCCCAACAGCTTCCCGATGTCCTCCAGCCTCTTGTTTCGGGTCTTGTTTTTGAACAGAGGTCTTCGACAGGAAGCTCGGTCGGCACGGGTGTCCGAGATGCTTCATGCTTTGGAATATGGGCCCTTTCTCGTAAATACACGACGCAGGAGCTACTTGCCTTGGAGCCGCAAGCCATAAATACACCAACAAGCCAGCGCAGTGTTAGCGTCCTTCAAATGCTGGCTACCGAGCTGGTGTGTGCTGCGTGTGTGGATCCGTCCGGAAACATTCGAAGAGGAGCATCTGCCGCTCTGCAAGAACTCATCGGACGCCATCCTAATACTATAATCGAGGGAATTCCGCTCGTTCAGGTGGTGGATTATCATGCCGTAGCGCGACGGTCCAGAGCCATGATCGAAGTTGCAAAGGCCACTGCGTCTTTGAGTGAACATTACTGGAGCCCTCTCCTCGACTCATTGATGCAATGGAGGGGTATTGGCTCCATAGATGCCGAGTCTCGCCGACAGGCTGCATCTGCAATAGGAGTGTTGAGCACGCAGGACTCCTACAGAACGTTGGTGATAGTGCTGGAGCGGCTGCGTTATAGATTGGATACCCTTCCACACAGCGATGTGGAAGCAAGACATGGCTGTGTTCTTGCCCTTTCTACGACTGTGGATGCCCTGACTACGCTCCGTTTGACTCCTGGAAACACTGAGGATACTCCCGAATCGGCCAAGGCTTCTGTCCTGGTTAATGAGCTCTGGGGTATCTTTGATTCTCCTGTGGGACCAACCAAGAATGACTTGACGCTGCAGATATCACGACCCGAGTTGTCTGCTGAAGCATCTTCATGTCTCATCGGCTCATTGTCAAACTCGGTCTCTTGCTTAAACAATCTCCAGTCGTCGCGCCCAGCTGCCAATCTACTTGAGAAGGCATGCGAGACTCTCCTGCTATGTGTTTCACGAGGGGAAGACATAGCCATTGAAACATCGTCGAATGCAATTTCCAAACTCTTCCCCCTTCTCCCGCAGGACAAGCAGGACGAGATCATACAGGCTTGGTTCTCGCATATACACGCTACTTGGAAGCTGCCTACCAGCCGCGGGCAGATATCCGTTCTAGGAGCCATTTCCAAGAGCCTGGAGTCTGGAAGCAAAACAAAACAGGCGGTTGTGGAGGAATTGCTCCGATGTACTGATTCAGAGGAGCTGATCGAGAAGCGAGTAGTGGCCGTCAAGAGCTTGGCCACCGGTGTCCTCCCGCACATAGGTAGGTTGCGCTTTGTATGGACTGGACAGTTGCTGACTACCTGTAGATGTTTCGGAGATTATTGCTGACCATCTGATATCATTTTTGAACGACTACACTACTGATCGGCGGGGTGATATCGGTTCATTAGTCCGACTGGAAGCCATACAAGCTGCAAGAATAGTCCTGGAGAAAGAGTCTGGATCTGCAACTCATCCTAGCCGTATTCAGGATATTGTCGGCTGTCTTTGTCGACTGTCAGCGGAGAAACTGGACAAAGTCCGTCTTCATGCCTGGCTCTGCTTACAAGGTTTTTGGGAGAAAGCTAAAGACTTTCCTCCATTGCAGAGGTAAGTGCTCAAGACACTTGATGTGGAAGCATCCATGCTGACCGAATCAGGAAATATGAACATTTTAGCCATGTATGCTCTTCTGAGTATTTCCTCCAGCTTCTGGAGCTTCAAACGGTTGACTGGCTGCGTCTACCGTTATATCAAGGCATAGCAACGTCTGCTGTTGCCGGAGCGGAGGGACTGATTCGTGCCTCCCGGTCTGCTCTCGTGCAGCACATAAACAGCCATGAAGGAGCAAAGCGAGCGGTGGTCGTCTCTTCAATCATAAAAGACCTTCTCGTTGTATTGAATGACGTCCTACAAGATGACCGTTATGCCATACCTATCCTGGAGCTACTGGCGTTCCTGCTAGATGCTTATGTACCTTCCATTCCCGAGGGCTTGGAGCCAAGGTCAGTCCTTTCACCGCCGTATTTGGTAAACTACTGACAAATTACCAGTCTCAGAAGATTGTTTGTTCTTGTACAAAAGGCACATTTCAAGTCATCGAATGTCGCTCGATTAGAGGCTGCAATCAGAATCTATGCACCGCTATCACGACTGGAACCTCTACGAGCAGACGTCTTGAAAAAGATGACAGCCATGCTCCTGCATGCTTTTCCTAGGGTATGCACCTTTCATCTTTTCAAATTCTATCAGCTAACCAATGTTAGATTCGGAATTTACTCGCCGACTTCTTGTTTATGGAGACAGGGCTGGACGTTGTGCGGTACGAAGACTGGACGAAACAGCCCAAGCAGCTGAAGAGTCATGTGGAGGCAGTAAGGGAAAGATTGGCTTGCAAATAAAGAAATTATCTGATAGACACATAATAAGACGATTTGCAACCCAAAAAAAAAAAAAAAAAAAAAAAAAAAAAAAAAAAAAAAAAAAAGGGGAGTGATATGGAGGGAAAAGTCAGGACAAAAAAAGAATGCATCATCCGTGAATCGAACACGGGCCTCATCGATGGCAACGATGAATTCTACCACTAGACCAATGATGCTGTTCTATGACAGAACGTCTCGATTACGGCAATATGATACAAAAGAAAGCATGCTCGCCGCTCTTCCTGCAAGTTCCACTCCCGCGCTCGCGCTCCGCCGATTTACGTCTAGCTACCCAGCGACTCGAAAAAGGGCTCGTTGACATAGAATGGCCGCCATGTCAGCTCCCTCAAGTATCCCTCCCAATCCGACGTAAGTCCCAGCTCCTACCCTCATCTGCCTATCCTCCAGAATCCTCGCTAACCAGCTCTCCACAGAGTCTATGTACGTCCGCCGACGAAACTCCTCACCCATCACATTGCACACTAACAACCACCTCACACAGGTCCGGAACCTCGAAGAACGGATCAAAGTCGACAATCTCAAAGAAGCGCTGTCCGAGATCTTCTCCGAATATGGAAACATCCTCGAGATCGTGGCCAAGACGAACCTGAAGGCCAAGGGCCAGGCGTTCATCGTCTTCGACAACGTCGAGTCCGCCACCCGCGCCATTGATGAGATCAACGGGTTCGAGCTCTTCGATAAGCCCATGGTGCTGGACTATGCGAAGACGCGCAGTGATGCGACGGTCCTCCGCGAGGGGGGCGAGGATGAACTAGAGGTTCATAAGCGGAGGCGGTTGGCTGAGAAGGGTGCGTTTTCCTTACCTCCCCGCAAATCTGCAGCATGGAGACAGCGGGCGTTCCTGTTGAGGCTGCTGGCGAGTAGCGAATGCTAACTGTTTCTTTGATAGAACGCAAACAAGCGCACGAGGCCCTCGAAGCCCAAAAGAAACTCAAGCGGCCCCCCGGCGCCCCCGAAGCCGCCCGACCAGCCAAAACCGCCAAAGGCGCCGGCCTCAAACCGACCAGCGGCGCGGCCGCCGCCGTCATCCCCGACGAGTACCTGCCGCCGAACAAAATCCTGTTCCTGCGGGACCTGCCCGACAACGCCGACCAGGACAGTCTTACGGCGGTGTTTGGCCGCTTCGAGGGCTTCCAGGAGGTCAGACTGGTGCCGGGCCGGAAGGGTATTGCTTTCGTCGAGTACGAGAACGAGTCGGGGGCTATCAGTGCCAAGGAGGCGACCTCGGGCATGCCGATGGGGGAGCAAGGCAAGCCGATCCGGGTCACGTACCAGAGACAATAGCTGGATTCGTGTGGTGTCTACTTGTTCTGGCGTTGGGGTGCGGTTCTGTATTCTGTCTCGATATTTCTATGGATTCGGTGAAATCCGTACAAGGACTTCCAAGCTACTTTAAGTACTTCTTGTGCGCGTTACACTAGTGTATGCCCATGAGAATATAATTGGGAAAAGCGGCATAGAATGATACCAACAACACGGCTACATGCGAAAGGAGTATACTAGTTACAGGAGAAACGAAAAGGCATAAACTAGAAAATGACGTCTGCGTCTTCTTGCTCTCCGAGCACGTCGGGGGCGTCAGGAGTCTCTTCCAGCTTCAGGGCGCTCTGCTGCTCAGCAACCTCGCGTTCCCGCGCAGCCAAGATCTCGGCATCGGCAGCAGCGTTGTCTCGCTGCTTCTTCCCCGAGACCTTCTTGAGTCGATAGAATTCTTCTCTGTCGAGTTCGTCGAGTTCGGAGTTGATGTCTACTGGATGTTAGCTTCTGAGGAACAGAACCCTTGTAGGATGTATACTGACATTTGATAGTGTTCTCTGTGCGGGGGATGATAACGTGCTCACTGGGACTGTTAGCTCACGGAATACGATGCTATCCATATACCAATTCCCTTACATTGCGTTAACTGGAAGAGACGTTAGTGGAAAGCAACTAGTGAAACGGGTCTCAGTTTACCTCTTCGGTTGACGACCTTGATAACCTCATCGAGGATAACAAACGCAGTCTAGATCAAATGTCAACAGAGAATAGAACCAACTGTCGACGGCCCTCCGTACCTGTAGACTTGCCAGCTCCACCAAGGTTTCCACGGCTCTAGCATACGTCTCCCGACAACGCTGGACCTGCTGACCTCCCTTTCCAAGACCAGTCAATCCAAAGTCGTTGATACTGTCCTCCGTGTAGCTCTCAAAATGGGGCAGGAAAACACCGGAGACATTCTCCTGTTTGGCCCGCACGCGGAACCGGGCCTGCTTTGCCGACTCTTGGATCTGGTAACCGATATCTCCGCCAACTGCGTAGCTGACCTCCGCTAACGAGAAGGCTGCGATTTGCATCACCCGCCCCATCTTCTGCTTAGCTTCATCGATGCGTCGAGTAATCTCTAGTCGTTATGTCAGTCCTGCGCGAAGGCGGGAAACGTAGATGGAGTGTTGATCGCACGCACCTCGGAAACGCCTGTGGTTTGTTTGCATTAGAATATACGTCAGAGATTTGAGGCCGGAACAGGTACATACTTTGTCAACGCTTCACTCTTTCTCTTCAACAAGCTGTGGCCTGTTTCAGCTCCTTTCAGCTTGCTCTTCATCAACCCCAGCGACTGGCGGGTCGGGAAGACCGCCTCACGGCCCTAGACAGGATACATGTTAACGAAGAGCGTTGGAGAAGGACGTATAAGCGACAGGACGCATACCACTGCACCAGACATGCTGATAGACCACAAGAAAGAAAATGAGCGAGAGACAGACCACGATAGCACGGCAGCACTAAGGTAGACCTGGCGCAATGACGATAAGGGACGGGTGGACTTCCTTACTTAATCGCGGCGGGGAGCTTGGACCACTCACAGCCGCCCGCATGACGGCCGACGGTCACGTGCCCTGCCGCCGACTTCATCTTCTGCACATTCCCTCCGCGCTGCTCTCAACGCGACGAGAGAGCTCTCCCGTTCATGCCAACACCCATTCCCGCCTTATCCGTGTCCACCGTGTGAGACGGTCCCGCTCGACTGAGTGGCGAAATGCCAGGGACGCTCCTGCCCCCGAGATCCCACCGGCAACACGCCCAGATGGACCGAACGTCTGCCTCCGGGCCTGACCTCTACCTGATAGTGAGTCGCCGGTCATTGCGTTGTGAGGTGGCGCCCGATCTAACAATTTTGCGTCCACAGGCCGATCAGGACACTGTCTATGAGCAGGATCTCTTTCGGGATCCTGGCAGTGTGAAACCATGGCTTGCCTATATCGAATACAAGCAACAGCATGGCACGCTTTACGAGCAAGCATTTGTACGTTTGTCGCATCGGACGATGATTATTACATGGAATACTGACTGCCTATAGGTAATGGAGCGTGCTTGCAAACAGCTTCCTAGGTCCTACAAACTCTGGAAGATGGTCAGTAATATTTCCGAAATTTCCTGCTTCGTTAGCGCCGACCATTCACTGACCCTCTCACAGTATCTGGAGTTCCGGACAAGCCATCTTCGGGGCCGCAATCCCATCGTCTATCGCGCGGAGTACCATAAGGTGAACGCGCTCTTTGAACGCGCGCTCATCTTACTCAACAAGATGCCCCGGATCTGGGAAATGTACCTCTCCTTCATGCTCCAACAACCTCTCGTCACGCAGACACGACGGACATTCGATCGCGCATTGCGCGCATTGCCTGTGACACAACATAACCGGATCTGGAAGCTCTACAAGACTTTTGCGCGTTCCGCATCTGGCCAGACTGCCGTGAAGATCTGGGCTCGTTATATGCAAATCCACCCGGAGAATGCCGAAGAATACATTTCACTCCTTGTGGAAATGGGCCAGTACACAGAAGCAGTCAAGAAGTACATGGACATACTGGACAACCCGCGGTTCCAGTCCAAGGAGGGCAAGAGCAATTTCCAGCTGTGGACCGAGATGGTGGATCTCTTAGTCTCCAAGGCGAAGCAGATTGAAACTGGACCACAAGTTGGAATTGATGTTGACGCGATCCTCCGCAGTGGAATTGATCGTTTCGCTGACCAAAGAGGTAAATTGTGGGCTGGATTGGCAACGTACTGGATCACGAAAGGCAATTTCGAGAAGGCGCGCGATGTCTTCGAGGAGGGCATTACTACGGTCATGACTGTTCGAGATTTCACCTTGATTTTCGATGCGTACGTCGAGTTCGAGGAATCCATCATTGGAAGTTTGATGGAAGCGGCAGCCGTTCGTGCGGAGAACGGTCAATCCGACGAAGATGCCGATTTCGACCTTGATCTTCGCATGTTGAGATTCGAACAGCTCATGGATCGCCGGCCGTTCCTTGTCAATGATGTGCTTCTGCGCCAGAACCCCAACAACGTGATCGAGTGGGAGAAGCGGGTGGCTCTCTGGGGCGATAACAAGCCCGAAATCGTGAATACTTACACCGCAGCTATCGCTGCAATCAGCCCCAAGAAGGCCCACGGAAAGTTTTCTGAACTGTGGGTCAACTACGCCAAGTTCTATGAGAACGGCGGTGATCTTGACAGCGCTCGCGTCATCTTCGAAAAGGCCGTAAAGGTTCCTTTCAAATCTGTCGCCGAACTCGCCGAAACGTGGTGCGAATGGGCAGAGATGGAACTGCGCAGCGAGAACTTTGACAAGGCAGTCGAAATCATGGCAAAGGCTACACAAGCACCTAAGAAATCAACTGTCGACTACTTTGACGAGACCCTCTCCCCGCAACAACGAGTGCACAAGAGTTGGAAATTGTGGAGTTTCTACGTCGACTTGGTTGAAAGTGTTTCGACATTAGAGGAGACGAAGAAGGTATACGAACGAATTTTCGAATTGCGCATCGCAACTCCGCAGACTGTTGTCAACTACGCCAACTTGTTGGAAGAACACAAATACTTCGAGGATTCCTTCAAGATCTACGAACGTGGCCTCGATCTATTCAGCTACCCCGTTGCGTTCGAACTCTGGAACCTCTACTTGACCAAGGCGGTGGACCGTAAGATCGGTATCGAGCGTCTGCGAGACCTCTTCGAACAGGCGCTGGATGGATGCCCTCCGAAGTTCGCCAAGCCCCTCTATCTCATGTACGGAAACTTGGAAGAAGAGCGTGGATTGGCGCGACACGCCATGAGAATCTACGAACGTGCGACCCGAGCAGTCTCGGACGAAGACCGATTCGAGATGTTCGAGTTCTACATCACGAAGTCTGCCTCCAACTTCGGATTGACGTCCACGAGACCGATCTACGAGCGGGCCATCTCCGCCCTCCCCGATCAAGAAGCCAAGGAGATGTGCCTCAAGTTTGCAGAGATGGAACGTCGACTCGGCGAGATTGATCGCGCACGTGCGATCTACGGCCACGCATCCCAGTTCTGCGACCCGCGCACCAACGCTGAGTTCTGGCAGAAATGGGAGGCATTTGAAGTCCAGCACGGTAACGAAGATACTTTCAAGGAGATGCTTCGCATCAAGAGAAGTGTCCAAGCTCAATACAAGTACGTATCCGCCATTCTTACGGGTGTCTCTCAAAAGATAACTAACGTTCTGCAGTACCGATGTCAACTTCATCGCGTCCCAAGCGATTGCTCGCAGCCGACAACAGGCCCAGGAGGGCGGAAAGGAAGACACCCAAGAAGGCGAGGATGGCTCAGCCGAGCGTGCCGATGCCATGGCTGCCCTGGAACGACAGGCGCGTGCCCCCGTGGGCTTCGTTGCCGCCAGCACAGGTCCAGAAGGCGGCAATCGGCCTCCTGCTGGCAAAGAGCAGCCCGTGTCTGCTCCCGTGAATCCTGATGCTATTGACCTCGATGACGATATGGATGCTGATTAAGATCCGACGGATATTTAGGCCATCCAAGTGTTTCCTTCTGTCTTATACCTGGATAGCTTTGTCAGAATCGTTTACCTCCCTTCAAAGAGGATGAAAATTGACGCCTGAATCTCACATTCCTTCCATCACTCATGTAACGTTTCCTTTCTGTTTTATCTCTCCCACTCGAATGATCCACCGCCTGTGTCTTGCCAAGGAGCTTGAAGCGCTCTCGGCTTGGACAAAGTCGGTCATGGATGTCACTGCTGTATTATTTGTCCCTGCTTCTCTTTTGTCGCAGTATTCATTTTCGTGCTGTCATCTGTGCGATACCTTTGTTTTCACACTACCAGAGGCGTTTTGTATAGACAAATGATGATCCAAATTCGGTTTTCCCGAATTGCATTTCAATGTGCGGAAGACAAGTCATTCTGTATTGATGTCATCCCCTCAATGAATTCCTAAGTATCATGTAGACGACTTGCAAAATGGTATAACAGCGGGACAAATGCACCTCCAGCAAAACACCAGACTGGGACTGGGACAGGCGTATCAACCGTCTCAAGGCAGACATGAGAAATGTGTGGTATAAAAAGCGACTGCCCAACTCTTGAAATTATATCAATCATGCACATCGACCTTTCGGTATTTCTTAAGAATAACTGGGATATATTTACATCTAATTTGAAGAGGCACCCACGCTATAGCTGCCCGTGTAGATCGAACAAAATCCGTGGTCCATGATCACGATCGCTTTTGCGCGAAGTGGTTATTACTATTGCTGTTGCTGCTCAGGCTGCGCCGTTTCGGGGCTCCCGGGCTCATTCTCAGGAGCGGCAGCTTCAGAAGGACCCTTGTCCTCATCGTTGTTTGCCTGACTGGCGTTGTCGTTGGCTGTCGGGGTGGGGGATGCAATCGCTGAAACTGGTGCGGACGTCTCCTGTGGAGCCTCAGGGAAGATTTCCTTGAATAGGTCAGGCAGAAACCTCTCCAAGCGTTTCTTGGTCTCAGTCCAGGTCTTCTCCTTGCTGGGATCTTCCGACGCTGGAACTAAATGCCCGCCATCAGCCATGACCAAGAGGATGTTCTTCAGGCTTTCTGGAATAGCCTCCTCCTGATGGATTGGTTAGTATTAGATCACCGGCATCTGCGAATACTAGATAGATGCAACTTACCAGGCTGTCTCCCTGGCCGCTGTTCATCATGCGGTCGAGTATGTCCAAGATCTTGAGCCACAAATCCAGCATCCCTTCACTGTTGGGAAGTTGATCCAGATAACGCAGGAAAATCTTGCACACCAATGTAGCTGCCTGTACGCGCGTTTCGCCCATTCCAAGCGGATCTGAGTGGTAGACCTCAGGCTTCAAGAGCCGCAGGATCAGTGGGAAGAGGACCTGGTCGAAAATCGCGGCCCACTCTTTGTTGTCCGTTGTATTGATCTCGACGGAAAGGAGAGCTCGTTGTAAGGTCGAGATTGCGTGATGGCGGATATCTCTGCAGGGGTTGATGCATTGCGTGGTCAAGGACTGGAACACAGGGGACCAGTAGGCAGACCAGGCTAGAAATTGACAAATTAATATCTAAACCTGATATAATTCAGGATCCGGTACATACCTTCGGCCTCTTCCAGGTGAGATTGTTTGATCAGAGTGGGGACTCGATCCGTCAGTTGATAAATAAGGCCAATCGCCTTGAGGCCACGAGCAACTGTTTCATTTCCGCTGTCAACAGGTCAGCGTGGTGTCCACCGCGTTTCCTAGAGGTACGAACCTTGTCTTCGGCTGTTTGACTCCTTTGGAACGTCGAGAGTGGGCATCTCTCTGCCGCTCTTCGATATAACCGATACTAGCTGCACTAATGAAATCATTCGCAAGACTGACAGTCGACTCGTAATTGTCCGCAGTAACAATTGGTGGGTGTGTCTCCGCAATGGTTTGGAGTAAATTAAACACCAACGGGGATGCCTCTTTGTGTTGATGCAGTCTCTGCAGTATAGACCAGAAATCCGGGGAAATGGTCATCTCATTCCGCAACAGGCCGGCGCTGGAGACGCAGCGGGTAAGACCAGTGATGACTGGAACCGCGACGCTTTCTAAGACATCTTGATCAAACCCAGAGATACCGTGGAGGATAACTGGCACTCGCATGAAAGGTTGTTCCTGCTGTCATGTTAGTGAGATGAGTACCTTTGGAAATCATGCGGCTGCTTACATGGCTCAATCGCAGCAAGTTCAGCAAGTAATAGATGATCCGAGACAATGCCAAGGAATGTATGTTCTTCGCGTCTCGGACAAACGCCTGCAAAGAAGCCAGCAACCTCTCGCCTGTAGCCTCTAGAGTTCCTTGGTCACGGAGGGTAAGGATAGTTGCAAGCTCTAGCAAATACATCATCCCTGGGTCATACGTAGACCTTTCGGCATCAACTTTGCCATTGGGTATTCTAGAAGCCGGGCGCTCCTGTTTCACGACGATAACTGCAGGCGCGGATTCTTCAGGCAAGAGGTCTAACAGAGATTCCACCACCAACTTGATAGATGATGCGGGAAGCGACCTGAGGTTCTTGTCAATATTGCGGTCTGAAAATAAACAAAGAGACACTTACTTGATGTTCGTTAAGACATCGTCGATCGAACAAGCCGTCACACAGTCCACAGTGCAGAGAGTGTTGTCCAGTTCTTCATCAGACGGTTCCGGGGGATCATCAGCGGCATAGCTGGAGAGGTAAGAGGTAAAGGCGGATAAAAGGCCAGATTCGTTCGCCTTCACATCACGGTCTACGATCTGCGATGGTGGCTGCAGTGGGATCTGCGGAATATCGAGCTCAGAGTTGAGGCTAGAGTCGAACGGGGGGACAAGAGAATTGATGAAGAGGTTTCTGAGGATCTGGACAACGTGTTTCCAGCTGTACTGGACTGTTCCTTCGTTTCCGGCCAGGACCCTAAAGAGGACCACAGTAGCCAGCTGCGCTCTGAAGTCTCTCCCGAACTTCACGGCCAGTTCGCTGACCATGACGCTCTTCTTGCCGGCCTGGACCTCTGTGTTGAGGGAGGTGCTGGGCGGCTTGTCGGTGGCGAGCGTACTGATAGAGGAAAGACAGAACACGATGCGGTCGAATGCTTCAGTCAGACCGTAACGAGCGGCAATTTGGGCACATTGGTCAAATCCCATGACGACCCGAGAGTATACCGCATCATCGGAAGCAGACATGAAAACGTACGAAAGGGTTGCAACGACTGGCTTCCAGGTAGCTTCGAACATCTCGGCATCGTAAATATTTGTTTCGCCCACAGCCAGTTCTCCGGCCGACGATGACTTCAGTAACAGCTCCCGCCAGGCAAAATCAAACGCATGCTTGTTATCATGCTCGTCGGGCAAGATAATTTCATTCTGCTTGATAGAGTCGTAGATCTCCTGGAGGAACTCTGGGGCAAAGTCTTGGCCTGCATTCACTCCGCGCAAATTCCTTGCGAAATCGGTACAAGACATGCGATTCTGTGACTTTATATTGGGGTTGTACAGCTCCGTATTGAGCATGATAATACCATACGTCAGCACAAAAAGGGCATCTTTGTCTGCAACACCTGGGGGATGGGCCTTTTGTATAAATTTGTCACTGAATGTCGTTACGATCCGCTCGATCAACGGGGACTCGCCAGGTAACCGGAAGGCGCCCAGGAGATCTCTCAACGCATCGACCACAGACTTGTTAGAGAAGTCGAACAGATCGACAAAAGCTTCAAGGAGGTGTTCGTTGGAACGCTTTGAGATGAATTCGCCCAGAACCTTCTTTGACAGCCGCGACGTCCCTTTTAGGAACTTGGCCACTAACACAGGGTCATCCGGATTCTCAATGATGCCTTGAGCAGCAAGGTAGGCGATGCCTGCCTTGGGATCCTCGTTGAATTTCTGGGCACCATGAATAATGATTTTTTTCGTCTTCCGCTGGCTTCTTAAGACATCAGTAGACGGGAAACAGTCGAACACGGGCTCATCGTCGAGTCTATCGTAGATGAATTGGACATATCCTAGGAGTGCGTCCAAGCACAAAGGAGGGACATTAGTCGTACTCCATGTGGCAGAGTCGGGGAATGCGTTTCGGGACAGTAGTCCGACCAGGTCCTCGCAGAGGTCCGCCCGGTCGACCTCACAGTCATAATTAATGAATAGCTCGACCATAAAGCTGGGGATCCGCGACAGCACACCAATGCTTTCGACCATAGCTTCGCGGGTTTCCGGCTTCCTCGAACCTCCTTCCAGTCCTAGCTTCTGGCGATCTTTCACCGGGATGGGGGTCGACCGGCCACTACTTGACTGGGACGGGGGAGGCTTGACCAGCTTGGGTGCTTGTGGCACCCCGTCATACAGAGACGGGTCGATGCCCGGCTCTCTAGGTATCTCTACCCGTGGATGAAGACAAGCAACCAGATAGGACAGATAGAGCTCCTGTTGGAGCTTCAATACAGGGCGACAGGTGAGCAGTAAGGTGCCCGTAACGCGGAGAGATCCGGTCAGAATAGCCATGTTTTCGGACCTCACTAACTGGAAAAGGTGTCGACAGAGATCATTCTGCGCCAAGGCAGCCAGGCTGGGATGTCTAGCAATAGAGGGGCCTGCAACTTCCAGGGCCACATCAATTATCCTCAAGGCCATGACTCTCATGGGGTCGGTATGTTGTCGGTTATGAGGGTCCAGGAGGTCGATGAGAACCCGGAAGAGCTCCCTGATCGAAGGCAGGGAATATGGTTTAACTTCATCTCCAAGATCGTCCTGTGGATTGGGCGGTGCGGCGACGGCGCTACCATTCGCCATCTGATCAGAGGATACCTCGTCGCTGCTGCGATCGCGATCTGGGACGGCTGTGTCTGATCCCAAAGCGGATGGATGCTGCGAAGCCACCGTATCTCCATCCACGGAGGGATCCATCTTGAAGTTGGTAGGTTCGCCGCCGTCTTGGGTGGGGTTTGAAGGGCTGGATGGTGAAGGGTCCGTGATCTCTAAGTGAGACAAGCGCATGAATATCACCTGGCACATATTGACCATGGCCATCTCGGCGGACCTCCGCAAAACTTCCGAGAGGCGGACCTGACAGCACATGCTGAGACCGGTTTCCATCATCTCACAGACACTCTCGTCTCCCAGGAGTTCCCCTTCCGGACGGGACAGCATCCCCTCCATTAACTTCAGGATTCTCAGAAGCACGATTTCATCCGCCGCGGAATCGCTGGCTTCAAAGCGGCAATGGGTGATGGCGGCCGATAACAATTGCATAGCCATGGAGAGGCGGGGGGATTCTCGGCTGATGATGTTGTAGGCGAAGAACTTGGTCAAGGCGACCAAGGCCAGAGAGGTAATACCGGCGGAGGTGGACGAGGAGCGGATCACTTGGAGGAATGGATGGAGCAAGGCGGGAGCGTCGAATGTCCTAATGTCCTTACAGCCCTTCAAGTCGCTTCGCAGACGGGTGAAAGCCGATATTAGTGGATTGTCCTGCATGCTTTTGCCTTTCTTCCCCCTCAGGCCCCAGCGATTGGCCAGAGCATGATCATCGTCCACGGTGGACATTCTCGACCTGGGACGGGGCGTCGTTGCACCATTGCGAGGGCTGGGAGGAGCGGAGGTGTCCCGATCGTAAACGCGAGAGGCGGCACTGCCACCGAGGATAGCAGAAACAGAGGAGTGAGCCCATCGGGCATGTTTGCGCATAGCGGAGGTGACGGTGATACATTCTGTCGTGACGAGAGCGACCGGGTCGACCGCGATGGGTAGAGAGGCGGAGGACATGGTGTTGCTGAAATGGACCCCCGAGAGAAACGAATGGCACAATATGAGATTGCCCGAAGTGGGAGCAACTTCAGACCATGACCCTTCCAGAGGGGAGGGGTCCGAAAAAGGAGAGGAGGGGTTGTTTGTGGAGGAGTTGTTGAAGTAGTAGCAGTAGTAATAGTCGGTACTGGAACACAACAGCTGGTCTTCTTTCCCTCGGAGGTCAGTCAGCAGCCTTCCCGATCAGGTTTAGCGGAAGATGCTCCCATCGTGGTTAGTCTCTCCCACATTCCACCGAATAAGGCATAGCGCGTGTCTTCCAGATAGTACGGAGTACGATAGGTACCTTACTATAGATTACACTGTCCTTCAGTCCATAGACTCGAAGAGTATCTGGAAATGTCTAAAAGTACTTCACGCGGACAAGAATCGTCGACGGTCTGAACCTGATCTAGACTTTACACTGTCACTGGAGTAACGACCGTTCCTGTCGAGGCAAGGAGAAGCAATAATGGTGTTAGGACTTATCGTCGGACTATTGCTATCCTTACATTCGGCAGAAATATAGTATTTCCTCCAGTGACAGGCTCTAGGGGAGAGATATCTTGTCTAACCGAAGAATAAATATCCTATCTCATCTGGACGATCGTGAGATTTGAGATTGATACGCGGGTGTTATCCATGGTTGGCGGTGTGCGAGTTCTCCACATCATCATAAATAATAAATAATAATAATCACAATAAACATCACGCTTCTCCTTCTCTTCTCTTCTCTTCTTATTCTTCCTCAGTGAACTCCTTGCATGAAAGGATCCATCCCGCATCAACTAGTCGGTCATACCAAAAGGGAATCTAGTTAGTTATTTCCTATTCTCCCTGTCTGATATTTCTTTTTATCGGACAATTTCCTCCATGAGGGAACTGGAGAACATCACACGATATCGTCTGCTTCACACGTGTCAAGCTGTCAGCGGGAGTAGACCGACCGATATAGCCATACCGGAGGTGTTGTAGCAGCAAGAGGGAGAGGATCATGATGACATGCGACGGAAAGGCTACATATTAATAGAACGAAGTTAAGCAAGTCACTAAGCGTCAAACAAGGCCGACAATCATCCTAGTAGGCCTGTACTAATAATAATCAAAAATAATAAGCCCCCCACCGATGTACTCTTCCCCCTCTTCCTCCTTCTCTTTCTCCCCCTCATCGACTCGACCTCGACCTCTCTCTTCCTTCGACTAAACCCGGTGCGTCTGCGGTGCGCACACGCAAATCATCTGCAGTCAGCCTTTTCGATCGTCCACTGACCCGGCAACTAATCGGCGGTTCTCCAGCAACCATCGCGACCATCATAAACAATCTTTTTTGCTCTTCTGGGTGCGATTGGGTTCCGTCCGATCTCCACATCTCCCTCGGCCCCAAAAGCCCCGTCTGGTTTGCGCCAGCGGAGAGACAGAGATACGCGTCGCAACTCTCGACAACACTCACTCACACACACTCTCTCTCTCTTTCTCGCTTTTCCTTTCCTTATCCTCGCTACGTTCCCTCTCTTGTGTCTCCCGGTCCCATGGAGGGGCACCTACCTCGCTCTCTCTCAACCGTATGAGGGTTATCATTCACTAATACCATTCATTCCGTTCTCTTCGGTCATCATATGCGCGCGCTCTCTCTCTCTCTCTTTTTAATATTATGCGTGGACTTCAGCTTTCGTCTTTCTCTACAGACTATTTTCTTTAATCCGGTGTACTTTCTGCCTATCTTTTATCTTCCTTCTTCTATTTTCCTTCTGATCTACAGCTTTAATCACCAATCGTTCCTTCCTCCCCGCGACACCCTCTGCGATATCCGTCACAATGGCGACCATTCCCGGGGCTCCCTCCGACTTGCCCTTGGAGCAACTCGACCTCTACCAGGCCTCCGATCCCTTCCTATCCTTCGTCTTCGTCTTCTACGGCCCCGTTGCCACCGCCAATGCCACCGTCAGCAGTTCGCGCATCCAGGCGCATATTCTGACCCCCGCTGGGTTCCAGAGCTACTCCCGCATCACAATCTCCCCCGCAGCCCCGTTATATGCCGCCGTCAACCATCTGCCCCGCGAAAAGCAAGGCGACGAGGTGTGTCGCGGGTTGGCCGTCAGTATGTTGAAATACTTCGCCGACCTGTCCGATTCCGCCAAGGAGTGTTTGCAAGCTCGCGCCCGCACGGGGTCATCGGACGGAAGGATCCCCAAAATGTTCGATGAGATGCATGCGGCGGATGTAGCGAATCGTATGACCAAGGTGGAACATGCGGAGATCGTGCGCGACATCCGTGGTGCCTTCCAGGAGCGGAAAGTTCCGTGGGTTGACATCGATGTGGTTTTCCCCGCAGACACGATTCAGCCCGCTCAGGATGCGGATATCGAGGATGCAGTCGATCTTCAATACGGACAGTATACCTCTCTTATACGTTCCTTGGGGCCGCCGACGATCTTATCTACATCGCGATTGAAACGCTCCCCCTCACAGCCCACAAACGTGAGCAAGTCCAGGGTGTTCACGAGAAGCCAGAAGGAATCGTTCCGTCTGAAGATGTGCGAGTTTGTGGATACGGAGGAGAGATATGTCAACAAGCTCTACACCCTTGTGTGCCATGTCGCTGAGGATTTCCGAATCAAAGCTCAAGAGAAGACCCCATCCAGCACCAGTCCCAACGAGTCAGATCTCGCGACCCTGTTCCCTCCATGCCTAAACGAGATTCTCGACGTCAATATGGGCTTTTTGGGTGTCATTCGCGACGTCCTTGAGGAGACGGAGAAGGACGCTATCGATGACATTGGTGTGGATACCGAACTGCCTTCTTCCATGTCACAGAGGACACCTTCAAGCCAGCTGGAAAATGATGCCGTCGGTGCCGTCGCATTTGCTAACGCGCTCTTGGAATGGTTTCCGCGATTTTCACAACCTTACGCCGACTATATGCGCGCTCACACGGGCTTCACTCAAACGCTAAACTCATTCATGAGAGATAAGCATTCCAGCTTCTCAAGGCGTGTGCAAGACACTGGAGAACAGCTTCTCCGGTCGTTGTTGATGGAACCGGTCCAGCGACTTCCCCGGTACAGCCTTCTGATTGATACTATGACCAGCAGCCTTCCCTTCGTGCATCCCGCTCTCCGACCATTCCTGAAAGCGCGAGACGTCATTAAGGAGATATGCTCGCTGGACGACCCATCGTCAACGAATCATGACCAAAGTTTCCGACGTCTGAAAGAGTTGGTAGATGGATGGCCATCGACTATCCTTCCGACGGGCCGTTTGATCACAGCTGTGGATTTCCATGAGCTATTACCACCATACCACTTGAGCAATACGATTTCAGATCCGGCGCCGGGAATCATGTTGATTTACAAGAATTGCCTGGTGCTGTTGGCGAAAGCAGCCGCAAGCACGGCCACTGCGCGCAGCTTGTTATCCGAGCTAGACAACGCTGCATCGACGACCAATGGCTCTTCCCGTTCGCTCCCCTCACCAGACATTCGCGTGGTTCAAGTGTACGATCTTCACACAGTTCGCTGCATGCAATCCACATGTGGAAGGATATTGTTTCTTGCCCCCACATCCGTCACCTCGGGGCCCAACCAAAATACTACCGTGGATCTTTTGGCCTTGGAACTGGGTTCTATGTACGAGGCCCGAGCCAACCGAGTGATTGAGGAGATCGTCAAAGCAAAGATTGAAGACAGATTCCCGGAAAGTGAACGTGACAATGGCAAGTGGTCCCTACGAAGTCCCTCCGGTACTGCGGGCAACCTTGGTATCTTGGCCTGTGTGTTTGAAGACAACCAGAATGCATCGACCAATCGTGCCAAGTCGTCCAAAATAAAGATGGTGTTCAATACCCCCAGAGCAGAATGCAGTCAGATCCTACAAAGCTCGGACCTCGAGATGATCATCTCCGTGTCATTGTGCGGCGAAGATCAGTTTCGGGTAGATATTGAGTCGGCTGTTGGCATAACTTGCTCCGACATTGTGACCGCGGACGCCTTCGTCCCCGTGCTCTCCAAACGCCGTAAGTATAGACAGATCCCGTGTTATATGGTCATTTTCTGATTGTCACAGTTTTGAGTGTACTTGTTCCTCTACACGGCCCTCAAAACCGAACTATGACGGAATCCATCGTGCATTCCAACTTCGAGATCCTTCGCTACCTTGCTGGATACGTATATTCCCAAGTAAAGACGCAGCGCGGCTTTCGTCCTCCTTCTCCGTCCAAGCTTCTGTCGAGCCTGTTGGGTGGTGGTCAGTCGAAAGACAACGGTGCGTCTAATTCTAGAACACCAAATTCTGCGACTTTACTTGGTGAATTCCCAAAGATGCCTCCACCGCGAGCAAACCTCTCACGGTCCAACACCCTTCCTTCGAGTTTTCCAGGAAAGGACAGGAAAGACGACGGCCCAAGTAAGATCTCAGTGGTGGGCTCGGCCAACGCTAAAGGACAGGAGAGTGCTTTCAGTGTCTTGGAACAAACATTCGCGGCCTACGTACTGGCGCTGCAGTCACGGAGTGGGAATATCGTAGGCCGGTCTCTGCGCACGAGGGACAGCGTGGACCGGTCCTCGGTTAACGAACTCTACAATATCTTACTTGAGGATCCTGGAAAGATCCAGGCGGCAGCAGAGGTCCCTGTTGACACTCTATTCGTCGCCTTTGAAACCTTCATGGCCATCGCGTGGAGGGAACACATGGGACCTGTGCTTGAACCTCCAGTGCTGAGGCTTCTCCAGAACCAATTTGACACCATGTTTCCTCGCGATTTCGATGACATTTTCCGCAAAAGTCTTTCCGACATGAGTCCGCAGAATCGGCGGGCTTTAGCGTCCCTCGTTCGGTTACTGGCAGAGTTACTAGATGCATCTGGGAACGATGGTGACAGGGGTGCTTTGACCGCTGCATTTGCAGAGATTTTGACAGTTGAAGGAGACCCAATGCATCATGTGTCCCTCTTAGATCGGCTGGTAGATGATTTCGATTACCTGTTCGAGGAGTATATTCCCGGTGGTGCATCCCTTGAAGGAACCCTGAATTGTGACCAGACAAAGCCTGTTTCACAGAATACAGGATCTGTCAGCTCAAACGCATCCTCTTTCAGGAAACGTTTTGGCTTCAGCTTGCATCGAGAGAACTCCAAACTGGAGGGTGAGAGTAAGGTGTCTTCTATCTTGAGGACTCTTAGCAAAAGCAAGGGGTCGGGTGATTCTGAACCCGGCACCCCTAAAGGGTCGCTTCTTCGTTCTAAGTCCATTGACATTGACACCGGGCTCGGCCATCTTCTTCGACCAGGGTCACGCGATCGTCTGGGGTCTTCCCAAGAACACCTTCGGCGGCCAGGCAGCTCGCAAGAGGAAACGCCATCTTTGTCTTCAATACGTGGCATTTCATCTAATGGCGTTGTCAAAGTCCGACGGAAGAGGAGAAGTTCCTTGTCCGATTTGAGGCCTGATACGGCGTCCACGGATGCATCCTCCATCTCCCCTAGCCATGGGCAAAGGCCTACAACTCCACTGTCTTGCGCTCGCCCTGGGCCAGGAGCCATGACTCCAACCAGACATGACCAGCCACAGACCAGTTTCGGATCCGGATCCACTCGAAGCACATCGCCCGTGAAGAGCAGTTCCCCTAGTCGTGCTTCTCCCAGTCGCCGGTCACCCATCCGTCCAGTGACCCCTAGCCGCAAAGAGAACGTCGATCCGAAGTTCACACAGACAGAAAGGTCACCAAAGAAGAAGGTAGACAGATCTGTGTCTCCCACGCAAGAGTTGAAGAGGAGATCAAGAGCCACCAGCATACCATCGTCAAGAACAATAGGCCTAAAGGAAAGAGCAGTTCCTGTGAATGGCGCCGATGTGAAACGACCCCAGTCTTCCTCAGGTTCCCAGAAGCCCCAAAAGTTGCGGATGCAAAGCCCTCAAAAGGTAAGCAGCGTCATAGCCACGGTCTCTGATCCACCTGTTTGCTAACAGACGCTATCTCAGCTTCGCGATCGTCTCCAGAGCGAAAAGAGAGTCCAAGGTCTCGCACAACTAGGGTTGAAAGATGAGCTAGATCTCATCGGTGAAGAGCTACGCTCCTTAAAGATCAACCCACAGTCACTTAGGGCTGCTGGACAAAGCTCTGAATCGCTCGGAGAATCATCTTCTTCAGCTACCAACGCAGCGCTTTTGTCTCGCGTGCATAATCTTGAACTCAAGTTCGATGCAATAGCGGGCGAGTTCCATGGCCGGACTTCAGCCATAGAGAAGGACCTGGAGTCGTCTCTAGTCGTCAGCGAGAAACGCGCCAAGAAACTGGATGAGCTGTATCGTGAGGCCAGTGCGGAAAACGAAGCCTTGTACGACCGCTTTAATCTGGAGCTAAACAAAATTGCGAAAGAGGTGCGATCAGGCAACGCAGAGGATGCACTGAAAGCCCAACTCTCTTCAGCACTCGAGGAGATCGGAAGACTCAAGAAAGAGAACTTTCGACTCAAGAGAGAAGTCGGGGGTCTACGCGCCCAACAGGCCGCTGTGGCTCTGTTGAAAGCGAGCGAATGAGCTGAATGCCATATCTATCCGAACCCAGCTGGGTGTCGGGCTGGTTACCCGGTGTCCTCTGGTTTCTTCTCTCATTTTGATTATGTGCTTTGAAGTTATTGAACTTGTTATGTCAATGCAGTCTTTGATGTCAATGATGGCTGCTGTGGATGATGTATTCTTCCGTCTCTCTCCTTTCGAACTGGACTTCAGCCACGCCAACAAGGCTACTGGTTTCTTTTGTCTATCACAGTTTTTGCACTGGCCCTTGACTTTCTGATGCATGCAATGGGCTTACTGGTTTTTTGGCAGATTCTGTCCCTTCATTTGTACTGAGATAGCATAGTCTTGGGAGCTTAGCGGTGTCTGTCTTCTTTCTCTATTACATATTCTGTCCTTGTTTACTCTCTCTTTCGTGATTTATACTTTCATCTGTAGCATAGTTTACTCTAGGTAGTTTACAACGAGCCCATCAATCTCAACGGCTCCATATCAACCATCTTGTACATCCACTCACACTGGATCATCCACCGCGTAGATCCCAGTGAAGTCTCTCGCATTCCGGGCAGCCACAGTCCCAGAGTCGGCAAAGCCAACGGCACCCGACGCTCAACCCCAGAGCAGTCCGTCTCGGTGACCTCCAATAGTGGAAGGGTAAACCGAACCTGACCGGGCGCAGCACGCGCCAGACGGCTCAGAAACGCAGTCAACGCAGGGTCTTTGGCCTTTTTAGACGTACCCGCCCGCACCTGATTCTCCCGCACAGCTCGCCGCACAGCCTGTAGATCGGATTGCTGGAACGGACGGATGACCACGGAGATCTTCGCGGGTGTGTTGGAATCAGACTCCACCCCAGGAGTGTCGGAGGGACCAACCGCATTGTTGGGCGTTGCGACGAACCGGAACCAGTATCTGTTATCCCAGAGCGTCCACGGCGTGTACTCCGGTTCTGATCGTTGGGACGTCGCATCCGATGGTCTTTTGGGAATCGACACCTCACATTGGAGAAGGGGTAGTCGATTGCGCATGTACGGCTGGCGGGATAGGAACCACGTCGAGCCGTCATCAACCGAAGACGAAGTCTGAGCAGGCCAATGCAGGGGCTGGAACAGGACGCCGCCGAGGGTGAAGGCGTGGCGTTTGGGTGACGATGTCGGTGATGAGTTGTCGTCTGCGGGTTGAGCAGGAAAGACGTTGTGTGTGAACTTCTCAAAGCTGCGGAGCGGGAAATGGTTCTCCGGGAAAGGGGAGATGAGCTCTGTGATGCGGCGGAGGGTTAGGGTCTGGATTTGGTGGGTGCGATGCGGTGGGAGCGGTTCTGTTGCGCGGGTGGACAGTTCCGCGGAAGGGAACCGGATGGCGATTGTGCCAGCGGGGAGGTTCGTGTCGAGGGCTTCGCATGTTTGGAGGAGCTGGTTGGACGCGGTGGTCGAGTGCTGCAGGAGGGACTGGCTGGAGCGGATGAGGGCGAGGATAGACGGGGCTTGCAGGGCGCGGGGCAGTTTGCGGGAGGAGATGAGGCTGCGGATCGCGTTGCGGGGGGTGAGGGTTGGATCGAAGTTTGTCGGGTCGGAGACGTAGGGGATGTTGTTTTCATGACAGGTAGCCAGCAGGCGGGCCTTGGGGAAGTCCAGGAGCGGGCGGCAGACCAGGATGCCGCCCGTCGACATGAGGACGGGGGTTGCAGGGATGTCGCCGTCGATTGCATTAGTGGTGTCGTCAGGGAGGACGTGGAGCTCGTTCGTGGGAGAGACGTGGAAGCTGAGCGCGCGCATTCGCTTTAGCTGGAGGGTGGTGTGGGCTCCGCTCTCAGACACCCCGTAGAGGCCGTGGCATTCGGGGATGCGCGTCATGGACGGGATGCCGGCGAGGCCGCCGCCTCGGGCTCCTGTGCATAGGCGCCACAGGGTGGTCTCGACGTTGTCGTCTTGGTGATGGCCCATAAGTAGGGCTTCGATCTGGTGATCTCTGCATGCTTTGCCGAGGGCTTGGAAGCGCAAACGGCGCGCATGTGTTTCGAACGCTGTGGTGGGCGTGTCTGGCGGCCATGATAGCTCCAGGATTTGCGATGTGACCCCTGCAGCTGTTAGTTCTTCTGACCTGTTTTTGATAAGGGAGGGTAAGCTGCTACCGATGTCCTGGAGATATTGAGCCACCATCCGAGCTTCCCGCGAGCTCTCTTCTCTGGCCTTGTGGTCTACAACGAACGCTGTGACGCGCAGGTCGTCGTCTGTGTTGCGCTGGGCTTGCTCCCATTGTTTACATAGGTGAGCGAGGGCCATAGAGTCAGCGCCTCCACTAACTGCCAGCCCTAGTAGCTAAGTTAGCTAGCTAATTGATACATTCATGTATTTGAAAGGTTCGTACCCAATCGGCGTGGAAGACGAACATGGGGCTTTCGTCCTGCCCAGGAGTGTCGCGCTTCGAGCCATGTCCGCTGGAACGATTGTTGGAATTGGGAGAGGGTGATTGCTCCTGTGCTGGTATGGCGCAGGAGACATTTCCCTGCCATTGATTGGAGATCGGTCTCAATCGAAGGATAAGGTGAAGGAGGTGATGTTACGTTGAGGGAGCGTTTGAGGTTGTCGGAACGGGATGTCTTGGCATCCGACACCAAAATATATCGGAGCAGCATAGCAACTACTGACAGATAGAATTGTGGATACTTCAAGCTGATAGTTATTTGCACAGCGCTCACTCACTGAAGCAAGGCTATATTTGACAAAATGGCACCATATACAGACAAATAAAATAATGTCACAATGAATTGAATGATCCCGACAAGAAGTCCAGCTCGGGCTCAATCAGGAGTTGTTAATGGAAGCCGATCCTGATCCTGATGCCGCAAGAGAATGGGTACTTCCTGGCGGAGCGCTTCCGCCAGTGCCATTCGTGGTATTCTCTGGCGCGGGGGGTTGATTGGAGCCGGCTTCATGTTCTTGGTTAGAAGTAGTGTTCTTGATCTCTTTCTTCCCATTGGCTTTATAGTAGAGGACCATGTCTCCCGACGAGCGCCAGATGTGCGCGCGAATAGTGGCAAGGGTCATGTTCGGGGGTATCAGCTAGATGAACAGTCAGTGGCAGGATCATCAATAGAAGACAGATGATTACGAACCATCTTTTGGCAGTACAACTCCAGATACTCTTCTGGCTTCATCGCACCATCTTCTGGCTCATCGGGATTGGGCGGGTCGATGCGTTCCGCAACGTAAGCGAGGATCTTCTTTGCCCGCAACATACGGTTGGCATTCAAGCGGTTGTTATTCGCGTTTCCATTGGCGTCATTCCTAGTAGCGAAGACTTGTGTTAGTACCGAGATAAAGAGGAATCGTGGACTAGAGTACGTACTCTTCTGGTTTCACAACAGGAGGCAGAAGGTCATCGTAAGGCTTCAGTGTGAAGGCGACCTTCACAGGATCTTTCAACGGCATTTGATTCTAGGGATAGTTAGAACCAGTTCAGTGTCGTTTGGAATTTTACTTACCTTGAGCAACAGCTCAGCAAGCCAGAGGGGAATTGACTTCTCCAGCTTGTCAATCTCCTCACTGATGCGACCTACACTTCCGCGGAAGAGATCGGACGCTACAGCGGTGTCACCTGACTCCTCCTGAATGAAGACTGCTGTACGATGCGGAATGGCCAACCTTGGTGTCTCGCTCTCAGGACTGGGCGAAAAGGCCGAAGCCAGCTCCTGTCCTGGGTTGGCCGAGAGGGCTTCCTCGTATTCGTGGCGCACGCGGTCGATAAAGCCGCTCAAATTGTTCTCAAAGATCTTTTCTTCCTTGGTCGATGATTTATCCGATTCTTCGACCTTCCCCTCCTGAATCTGCGGTTTGACCTCGGATGAAGTCCTTCCTAGCTTCTTCGGGAAATCCATACGGAACTTCTTCCCGAATAGACTTCCTTTCCTTCGCTCCTCCTTTTCAGGCTCAGCTGGAGACTGGACTGTTGTCTCCCCAGGCGTGGGTAACGTCTTGTCAGTGTCCAGAGGGGGCAAAGTCTGAGTTCTTGGCGACGTGAAATAGTCGCTAGACTTGTCGGACATCGAGCTCCTGGCAACATCATTATGTTGTGACATGTTAAACTCAGAGAATTCCCCAGGGGAGGTGGCAAGAGTATTGCTCTGGTGCGGCAAAGGAGTGGCCAGAGACCCTGGGCTACTGGCGAACCCTATTCCGAAGCCTGGCGTTGTAGGGCTGCCGAGCGTATCGAAGCCTGGACGCAGAGACGACATAGATGGATCGAAAGATGTGGCCAGGTTTCTTGATGCGTCCGAAAACGGTATATCAACTGGGGCAGTACTTGACATATTCGCCTTTGCCAGTTCCTCTGCCTTAGCCATGGCCGCTGCACGATGTTCAGAGTCACGTTTGAGCTGCTCATCAATTAAAGGAGCGAATAGCCAACGCAAGACCCACTTGCCCAGATTGACTACTAGATGTCAGTGAAAAGTCCTCTGGAATAGAAGGGAATGAAGCTTTGGCATACTCCTCTGATCCTCGCGGATATCCGAATAGTCTGTCAGATCAGCTTCATCTGCGTAAACCTCAGCGTCGAAACAGCGTCCCGGTTCCAAGATCACCGAGAGTCTGCCAGTGCGGATATCAACTGTACACCAATGGGCGATGCTTTCTGTAGTGTTGATCTCAGAAGCGACATCGTCCATGTGTCTCTTACCGAAAGATTGGATCGGGACACACTATTACGGGTTAGTGGTCACAAGGGCCATGCGGAAATCTGAAAAATATTACCTTGAGAAGATCCCATAGGACCACTTCACCCGCAGAATCCTGAGTCAATGTGCGTTTCCTGTCGTTCAAGAAGAAATATTTGATGATTCCATGCTGGCCTTCAATAGTCTCATCAGGCAAGGAATAAACTGGTTCTGTGAGACCCATTTCGTCATCGAGATCTGACTGTGATGATTGTGGCCGTCCATTCGCCAATGGACCAGCCTTGGGAATCCGCGAGTTGGGCAAAATAGACGTGCTGGATAGAAGTAAAAGTGACTCGTATGGGATCTTCTTCCTTCGGGGAACGGCTGTTGATTCCTTTTCAGGAGTGCCAGATGTGGTCTCGCGCTCTTTCGACGAGGGTGACTCGATCTCGGCGGTGGTATCGATGTCATGCCAACGATTGATGCTAGATTTCGGAGTTGCAGTCCAGATATGGTCCCCAGCTGCCACGACGTTGACCACGCCCTCGTGTTCCTGAAGCGCCGCAACGCAGATGCCTTGCTCGATGTCAGCGGAATATCGGGTGTCAGTTTTTGCGACGAGCCCGGAGCGGTCGCTGGAGTAGAAGACGGAGAGTCGCGGGTGGTTCGAGTACAGTGACCAGACGCTATCATTATGCATTGTTAAAGTGTGCATGCAACGACCGGCAGTCAACGACCAGACCTTGATCGTCTGGTCAGAAGACGCAGTCATGATGGTGTCCCCATCCTGATTGACCAGGATATCCCGAATGTTGTCCGTATGTCCAACAAACTTGGTGATCAGTTTTCCGGATTTCGGGTCCCATACTCTCACGACACTCTCTGGACCACCACTGGCGATGACAGAGGACACAGCTCCGAGAGCATACACCGACCCCTTCGCAGTACGATCCTCACCACAAGCATCGATGTTAAGGACCTCTCCTCCGCCGTTCAAATCCCAAAGGTACACCTTGTGATCCAGACCGCCAGACGCTACCCACGACGCATGGCTCCCCGGGGTGGCTAATGCTTTGACGTAATCCGCGTGTTTTCCGATAGGGTCCGGGACCTCTGTTGACTCAGAATGTGGCCTCCATAGTCTCACAGTTGTATCAGACGATGCGGACACCAGGGCGCTATTGTTCTGGGTCAGGACGATGTCGTTGATCCAATGGCTGTGAGCCTGGACTTGACTTCGGAACGTTGTTGGACCAGGTCTCGAGGCGCCCAATAACGAGGACGAAGATGACTTGGGCAACGGCAGGTTGAGATCCCACGAGCAGACGACGCCATCACGACCAGCGGAATACCTAAGCGAAGGGTTGGTTAGATGCTGAGCGACGGCGACACTGGTGGGGAGGCTGTGGTGGCTCGGATCTCGTATGACACGGCACGGCCGACATTTCCGGAAGCGACAGGGACGTCAACAAGGATCGGGAGGCTCACAGGATGGAATTATCCGGGTCGATGGTAAGGCTATTGACACCCAGTCGATGTCCGCCCGGGGCATCGGGCAGAGGAAGCACTGGAGGACAGAAAGGCCGCGGTCAGTCAACGATCGACAGAGGAGTGTACTAGAGACGATAGTGTTGGGGGCATGCGGGTGACCAGGCGCTGGGGGAAACCATCTAATGCACCTGGAAAGCAGCTGAGAGAAGAGCAACATACCGTATGTGACCCTCTGGTGACTTGGTTTTCGGGCCATGCAGCGCAACAGAGCCTCTCCTTGTGGAGGATGAAGGAGGAAGACAGAGCGGTGGTGGTATTGCGGAGACGGGGAGGTTGAATGCGGAGGCTACACCGAGTGGGCGGGCGATCAGCAGAACAACAATCGCATGCCTTGCGGGGGAGACAGGAACTATAAGAAGTAAAACAGCCACAATAAAACAACAATGACTAGAATTAGAATTAGTATTAGCGCTTGGGCTGGAAGTAGAGGGAGGGGAATAAGGGAGAAGTCAACGAGGAGGGCGTGTGGAGGAGAAAAGAGGGGATCGATTACGGAGTACTAGTATGACGATGGCTTTTACTAGCAAATATTAAGGAGGTCCCTGGCCATATATTGTCCAACATCTCGCAGTAGACGTTTTTCGAGTTTAACCGTGCGTCGCACGTGAGGCTCTTTTCATCCGATCCAATCATCAACGATATGTTCTCTATTCCTGTCTAGTCTATATGCCTGGGTAGATATTGGTGCAGTATACTGTACAAGCGAGCAAACATGGGAAAATGACAAAGACAAAGGATGCATAATACATGTATCCCACCATCTCAAACGCCATCCCCCTCGTAACTCTTCCCTTCCAGCTTATTCCACGCCCATTGGTAACTCCCCAGGAACACCGCGCCTCCAATACCAATCCACGTCACCCGGGGCCCAATGCCTCTCCAAAAAGCGCCAAAGCCCTCCTTCGATATGTCCTGCACGACATCCTTGATCCGGACTCGCGCCCCGTCGGAACCATCCCCGCGACGAGCAAGCATCACCCGCGTCTTAATGACATCCAGCGGCGTAGTCAGACCCGCCGAAATCGCACCCGCCACACTTCCAAACATCGCACTCGTCGAGGCCGGCACCTGGCTCAGGACCGACTCCGCACCGACTGGCGTCGAACGCTGCATCCGCTTCATGTATGCTTCTTTCATCGACTCCCACATGGTGAACTGCAGAACAGTAAAGGGGATTTCCCGAGCGATTGTGATGCCCGCACCGCGGTACAACTCGCGGACAACCTGGCCGTATCCGCGTTGCGCAACCCCCGTGGCATCAGGGTGGCGCAGAGCCAGGATGTCCTTCAGAGCCATCAGGCTGGAGCCACCGAAGAGGCCGGCCTGCGCGCGCTGCTTGACGACTTCTGTCGGCACGCGCACCGCACATGCCGCGATCTCTCCCATCGACGAGGCAAGCGAGTGTGTGAGGATGATGTGTGTCCGGGAGGGGGTTTCCGTGGTCGTCGGCGGCGGCAGAAGGGACCGTTTGACACCATCGTAGACGATGAAGAAGAAGGCCGCAGAGGGCGCGGAGCCTAGCAGCACTGATGGGAGTCCCGCATAGATGCCGCGGATGGTCTGTTGTAGAGATAATCTGGGCACTGGCGCGGACGGAGTATGATGTCGGGCTTTCTGGAGACGGGTCTTGATGGTGTCCAAGGGGTATAGTGAGCAATCGACGGTTAACCCCGCAATCGCACCAGACTGTATAAAAGGGACAGGAAAATCAGCGCCTGCAACGGCATGGAAGCATGGAAGCATGGATCAATTGCATAGGTTGTGTCGTACTATCAGGGATCTCGTCCAAAGCGAGGAGACCAGTGGCTCCGGTTCCGAGGCCGATGCCATCTGGGATTACAGTTGCAGAATTCGCGTTGCTGCCCAAAAAAGGGGTGGAAATTTTGAACCAATTGATCACTTGACGACGGTAATTCGAAACAATATGGCAGGACTGACAAACACTAGCCTGGTGTGTTTCCCGTTGGGTGCGGAAATCTTCGGGCAACCCGCGGAGGAGTTGGCCGTGAAGCTTTTTGGCCGATCATCGCATGGCCAAACTCCGTAATCTCCGCCTTACGTCAGGATCAACCATTCCACACACTGCAGCATGCTGATGTACGGAGTATAGTTATATCGTTTTCTTTATCCATTCATGTATAGTAGTATCTACATACTCAGCTAAATACCCGCAAACCCGATAAATACATATGAAGATGGTTGACAATGAAAGCCAATCCGAATAGCACTATGTCCTTCACGCGATACAACACCAGGAGTTTTTGAAATCAAGCGACAGCCAAGTGAACGATAAAGCATTTAAGAGAAGTCTAGCAACCGTCCTGAGCCTTGGATGTAGAGAAGAATATGTGAGCAGCTCCGATCCACAGTGGTAACCACAACGCCTGTATGATAACGACGAACGCATGTACACGTAGGCCATGTCTCTCGCTTCCAACAGTACAAGAGTCGATGGCAGCAAAGGAAAGAATAGGAGGGAAAATCCCGGTTGAATGAATCAAGCCACAGAAGAGTGTGGGGCGGAAGGAAGACGTAATACCAGCGCCCTTCTTGAAATCAAAGCGCCGCAGACCGAATGGTCTTGCGGACACCATCCCGAGAACAGAGAAAAAACAGTATAGCAACAGAATAATGATAGGAAGCGAAAGAACCCAATGGCTTGTTGTGTTTCGTCCGCGAGTGGAAGGTATTATTCAACAAAAATCAAGGCCAGGGTTGACATTATTTGGCCTTGCTAGGCACCGGTGGGGCCGAGGATGGAGGTTCAAGAATATGCGTATGACCTGGGGCCTTAATGACCTCTCCGGATACCTCTTGCTGGCATGCTTTGATGTTGCGCACCCATTCATCGGTCAGGACATCATCAAGAGTTGCGCGCTCCTTCACGCTCACTTTGAGCATGCGACCAATGATATATCGACTTTCGCGAGGTAGCAGCCTAAGAAGTCTCCAAGGGCCTTTGATAACCTCGGGACGCGGGTTTGCTGTCTGGGCTGATGCAGGAAGCGGTGGAGCTTCTTTGCTGGTTGTGCGAGAGGGCTTCGCGGTGCCGTTCTTTTGATCACTATGCTTCTTATCCACTGGGGTTGTCGGAGAACCGTCCTCGTTGCCCGGTGGATCGGACTTTGGAGGCGGGCCCTGAGCAGAGCTAGGCGGTCCACTTGACTGCTCTGCTTGACTGGGTACTCCGTTTTTGTTCTCCGAGGAGTGCGCAGCAGAAGGCAAGTCGGGGGATGACTTAATCACCCTGTGACGCCTAGGATCTGCATCTGGTACAGGTGTTCCTGGGGTGGGCGTGGACACAAAGAGCCTGTACGAGTTGTCGCTAACGCGGGGCTGTTTCCATGGGAATCGACGTAACGTCATGCAGCAGAAGATGATGGCGAGAGACCAGATATCCGTAGGTCGAGGATCGTATTTCTTTTCATCGTAGACCTCTGGGGCCAAGTAGGGATCAGAACCGACAATTCCTAGCCATTGTGAGTTGCGGTGCACGAGAATGAACACTGGGATTACTTACCAGATGCTGGAACGATATCGTTTTCGAAAGGATATCGGAAAACCACCGCACTTCCAAAATCGATCAGCTTCATTATGCCGTGTTCATTTACGACGACATTGTCAAGCTTTAGATCACGATGCGCTAGACCCATGCCGTGAAGGTAAGCCACACCACTCAGGATCTGTTTGAAACAACATGCGACTTCATCTTTGGACATCTTGCCAGTCATGACAATCGCAAAAAGATCGTACGGAGCATATTCCATCACCTCATACCAGTGAGGGCCTTCTTGGATGATATCAAGGGTCTCAATGATGTTGCCGTGGTGAAGGGTCGATCCGATACAGAACTCGGCCGTTACCTTTTTCGAATATTCCTTCAACGATTCCCAAGAATGGCGATCTCGGAACTGTTTCACGGCGAAGGTTACACCGTCGCTGTTACGTTTGAGTAGCCGAACGGAGCCGCCGGCGCCAGATCCCAGCACCCTCCCTAGCTTTCCGTATTTAGAATTGAGGCCATGATCGTCAGCAAATGGCACGTTATCGGGTGCCATTTGGTACGGGGTATTCTTTCCGGAAGACCGACTGGTTTTCTTGGGAAAGGATGTAGGTGATTCATTCCGCTTGTGTTTGTGGCCCATTTTAAAAAACCGCTTGAGCTCCGACATATGGCCATGATGCTTGCTGTCGCTGTCTTGATCCCTTTTGTTGCCAAAGAATCCACTGCGCTTGTCGCTTGATTTGAGGTCGGTTGCGCTAGCTGAGCGAGGCGTGCCGGGTCTCGGAAACGAGGATGAGCCGGTCGCACGACGTTTCATATCACGACCACCGAAGATAAATCGCTGATCCAGCTGTGCGAGATTCTTTGGCTGAGGTGGTCGCTTACTTCGGGCGTACGGATCGTTGGGCTCCCCGACGGGGGTGATCGCACCAGGAGGCGTGTACTCCGTCCTGGGAGTGGCTGGGGGGCTTTCCTCCTGGGAACCTGCGTCAGGGCCGAGGAAGAATTGCGCCCGATGGTGTTTGTGGGTATCTTGCGGGTGAGAGGAAGAGTGGGAAACATCGGTCTGCTTCGACAATTGATCGGTAGAACCAGGCCGCGAGGTGGGCGCGCTCTGAGGGGCTTTGCTTTTCGTCGATGCACTTGTTGGCGGGGAAGTCTCCGGTGTCATGACAGCTGAATTGGCGGAGGTGCCTCTATCTGTCGCGCGCGACGTCGAGGAAGGGTCGTTAGTTTTGGATTCATGCGAATGGGTGGCCGCAGGTGTGAGTGGTGGTGATTGCATCATGGCCATCGGCGGGGAGGCATGGGGAGACGGCAAACCAGATTCATTAGTTTCTCGACCACTGCGATCGCTCGAGTCTCGAGATGCAACCTGCAAGGGAGCACAAGATGGTTAGCTTTATACTTAATTCGCCGAGTTATGCGGGGTGAAGCGAGGGACTCGGCTCAAGTCGCGCAGTTCGACTTGGGGAGTTCCTAGCACTACGTTCATCAAACCGCGGACCGGGTTACATACCCTTGAGGAAGGTAGGGAAAGGGGATCGAATGAGAACTTCCCCAACCGGGATTCCTGCAGCTGCGATCTCTGAAGGCTAGCTGCCAGCGACCGTAAGTCTTCGTCCTGCTTTTCACTCGGGGCGCCCGACTCAGGAGACAGGGCAGACGCTGACTGTTCCGATGGCTCGATCTCCTCAGTCACCGAGGAAAAACGGACTTGACCCGGCGGCTGTCTGGATTTGGCATCCTCGTCTGCGGCGTCTGCGGCATTCTCACCAGGCTGTTGAAGAATGGGTTTCGCGGGCACTAAGAATAGACACCGGGGTATTAGGACAGGGATTTTCGCATAGCAAGTAGCAGCGTTACACACCAGAATCCATATTGTTTTGGGCGAAGTCGGTCGCTTCAGACGTCATATTCATCAGAACCTTGCAGCGGGACACATGCCCCTCCCCGGGGTGCTTCGGGAGGCCGAGTGGATGAAAGACAGAAAAATAGGCAGCTCCCGGAGGTATCGGAGGTTGATGGTGGTCGTGTTCGAGGTTGGAAGAACGAAGACCGGAAGGACAATCGGGGTCGCGAGCTGAGGCGAAATGGAAAGGCGTGGAGAAAGCGTATGCAAGACGGAGCAAATATTTCGTCAAGACCCGTAACCGTTGTTACTCATACCCCGATTATGGCGGGCGGTCGGTCGGTACGCTGACGGAAGAAACCCGGGTCCATCCAAAAACGGAGCGTCGCGGGGGGGGGGTAGAGCGAGACGAGACGGTCTTCCTGGGATTGAAAGGTGGGTGCCTACAGGGGAAGACGATCGACACAGGAGATGAGCAGGTCACGATAGAGGAGAGGGTCTTAGAGACAGCGAGCGAGTGGAGAGAAGAAGGTAGAGTGAAGAAGTGAGAGAGGCGAGAAGAAGTGGGAGCGCAGGTGGAATTTGGGGTTGCAGCAAGAAGCGGCGGCAATAGCGGCGCCCATGGACGGATTAGCTGGACTCCACCGGACAGACGCCTAGACCAGAATTATCCTCCTCCAAACACGTCAGGCTGGCTTGGGAATATCAATACGATGTCGATAATTCCAGGTAAGTTAGGGATCAATTCTTTCATCATACTGTCTTGGACTCATGAAATATCCTGAATCTATTATTAAGAACTTTTCTGTGTAAATGTAAAACGGCTGAAGCATATACCTTAGTACCCTACTACTAGTCTACCTAAGGTACGAAACAAAAAGTCGGTCTTGGGTCTACTCCGTACTACCTTACGCTTAACCTTCCCATTATGGCAACATGTCCATCGTCGCGCTACAAACGATATTCGTAGAAGACATCTAAACCCATTCTTTTCTCCTTCTCGACAAGAGTGGATTGTCACAGGGTCTCTTATCGGGCTGATCGAAGATAGGCCGGGCAGTTCGGAGCTGTTCGCCGAGAGACGGATAGCCTAGGAGACACCCTGAACTAACTTTTCATCTTTCATCTGTCAGTGTATGTATTCCTAGTACTGTGAATACACCAGTGACTCGGAACCTCGCGGAGAATAAACAATAATGACAGTCATCATAATAGGTATCCAGCCGCTTCCTCCATGATTTATCGTTATTATTAATAATAATCCTTCGACCCCTCATACGCCAAGCTCCTTATTGTCGTCATCATTCTCACCGTCTCCATTGTTCGACTACTAGGAATCCCAGTCTTTGCGCAGCGTCACGGGGGAAGAGAGAGAAAGACTCTTCCTGTGCAGCTTTCCACTGACCCTGTGCCAGGGTGTAAAACACCAGTCATGAAGTGGATGACGATGGAAGAATAATCCCGGTGCCGATTCTGCCGTCCAAGCGGGCGCCATCCGCGAACAGAATTCAAGGATGACCCTCCAGATCATCCGGATCAGCCCTGCGTACCATCCCGGCTAACTAACTGTCTCGTCTACCCCGCTAGATTTTTCTGGATTTCACCTGGCGTAGACTTTATGCATGTGGATAAGACCGGCCCAAGCCCTGACCACTCAGCTGATGCCACCATGGAACGGGATACCTAATGGAGTGTTGATATGATTAGAATGTTGTTATACTCCTGCAGTGTGCTTGGGGCCACGGACTGCGTCACACCGTATTGGCCAGATGATTGGAATTACAGATACTAAACTGGGGACGGTTATTCATCCCAGATAGATAACTAATCTCCTCCATATGACTATCGGAATATGACTCACTGACATATCAACCCATAAAAAGTCTAGAACACCATACAAGTATTCTGGACTTGGCCTCATGCGCAATCACATCCCGCACAATGGACGATTGAATAATACGGAGTAAATCCACGGTGGAACCGACTGCAGGTGGACCGAGCGGATCCTTACCGCTTTCGATCGATCTGGAAACTTGTCCGATCGGGTTAGACTCAGATCACCAGCCGGCGTGATTGGCAGGTGCGTTACCCTTTACAGCCTGCCAAACAGGGAAAACGAAAGCACCGGGGATTCTTCCAAGAATGTGTTCAGAATGATGAGGATGATGGATCTGGACAATGATCGGATGCGGTCCCAGAGAGCGGACATCTCACATCCCAAGAGGCAGATTGGACTTTCAACGGAGAAACGACCACAGGAGGAAACACCAAACTGTTCACACCAGAAGCTCTATTTACTCCGTACAGTTCCCCCCACAGTCTAGTAGATGCCGAGTCACTAAACGTATCTACATAGTTATTGTCTAGTTACTCCGTAGTACTTACCTAAGTGCTAGGTCTGCGGCCTTGTGCTACTACTGACGCAAGATGCCTAGCCCAGTTATTGAAGGATTGCGTGGAGTGCATTGCCTCCATACTCGCCAAGAACCTCCTTGTTGGAGCATGGGGCCCAGGATCAGCAGGGGGATTTGAAGTGGCAATACGGGATGTACATCCATAGCTGCCTAAGACTGTGTGTACGAAGCCCCTATTCCGCACAGCAACAGTCCTTTGAGCTTTATCTTTTGAGGTCTCGTGTTTTGTCGATCAACTCACCATCAGTGGCATGAGACGGGCTATGGATGAGCAGTAGGCAGCTTTGCTTTCTTCGTAACAGCTAACATCCAGACCCCTAATCTTGTCTCCACCATCTTTACACCCTCCTGGGATGTTGCGGGTCCTTTCTCTACAGGGTGTAGAATACCACCGGACCCTTATATAGAACCCTCGGACACTTGCGAAAACGCTTTCTATATCACATGCAATTCCTATCATACAATTGGTATAGAACCCGATCCCAAGAACGCCGGTATCATGATCGAAGCTGGTCAGTGGGCGCCAGTCGCAGAATCGCAACGACGCCGTAAGAAATGTACAGTTGATTTTCCGTGCAGGTCCTTCATGGGACCACCTGGATCCCAATGGACTTGGCCTGCGCAATGACACTCTTGCATAGTCCCTGCAAGCTCAACCCCGATAATCTCGTTTCGGTCTGCTTGATTTTGGCGATTTCGTAGACATGCTTGAGAGACACCTTGCCGACAATCTCGTGTCCGGGGTTCATCGCGCCACGGAGGCGATTCTTACGAGGCTCCACGTTCGCAGCATTCAACAAGAGCCATGTCGTTGTCGGGGTGCGGAGGTCGAAGTGGAACGAACGATCAGGGCGGACGGTGACGCGAGCGGGAACTGGGACGCCAGTGTTGATATGCGCGGTGCGGGCGTTGAACTCCTATAGAATGACTAAGTTAGCGAGGGTCGTTGTTCTCGAAAACATTAATGGTTCCAACATAAAGAGCTTCAAGATAATAATTCAACACTACCCAGCTATCTGGAAACGTACCTTGCAGAAGTCCATACTCTTGACACCCTTACTACCCAGGGCTGGACCGACTGGAGGACTGGGACTGGCTTGACCAGCGCCCACGATGAGCTTCACGATCTGATCCTTGGCCAACGCCTTTTTCGCCATTTTGAAGGGAGGAGAGGATGAGAGTAAGAACAACGAGCTGCAAAAACCGCAAACACAGGATGGAGTCGGCGAGACCGGTGTTGAACTCGGAAGGTCTTTTTGCGGCCAAGAATTTTCGGCTTCGGAGTTACTTACCGTTTCTTGTTGGCAAGCGAACCCAAAGGGAAATACTGGACGTCATTCTTCCCACCCCCAGATCTCTCACTACAGTCTCAATTCTACTGCATAAACCTCCCTTTACATTCGAGATTCTCATCGGCTTTGAGATTTGCACATCTTCTTGGCTTTTGGTGATCTTCCTAGTCCGCAGCTTTCCCGGATCTTTCTTCCCCTTTTGCCCGTGAAGAAAGAAGCCGTGAGCGAGACCGCTTTTGGGCCCCGCGCGCTATTGATTTATTATCCCCCCCCTTCACCTTTCCATTACTTACACCTCACTCTTCGATCTACACATCCTCCACCCCCTTTCCCTCCCATCATGAACTGGCTCAAGTCTACGTATGCTTTCTCCTTTCACTGCACCTTTATCCCTTCTTATAATTTCCGTGGAAGTGAGATGTTCTGCGTGCTGATCAGTTCAATTAACCGCATGTAGTCTCGCAAGCGTTGCTGGAACGCAGGAACCCATCTATGGCCCCGAAGCCATCCGGTCCGTTGCACAGCAAGCACAGGAGTCGCCCTACACTGTCCTGACCAAAGACGACCTGCGGTGGCGCGCCCACCAGTATACCAATGTCGAAACCAAGACATTCTATATCATGGCCGACAATGGCGCGCTCGTGATGGTACAAATTATCTACAGCAACATTGTGTACGTTTCTCTGTTTCCCATTGCTGCTTGAAAACAGTTTACTAACGTAATTAATTCTCCGTAGTGGAATCCATACCACCGCACAGGTCACGTCTAAGATCTTCAACCTCACCGGAGATGGACCGCACAAGTGGAACTCTGATCCCCTGTCCAACTTCATGTTCGACGAGAGCATGCTTTCGTTCGGAGCCGACAACCTTTCTCTGACCCTTAATGAGGAGGGTGATACCTACACCTTCAAGTCCGCCGTGAACGAAGACAACCTAGTGAACCTGTCCTTCAAACGCACATCTCCGGGATTCGTCGTCGGTAAGGATGGTACCAGCTATTTCGGTACTGACCCTCAGAACCCGTGGGGGTCGATGAGCCACGCGTTCTGGCCTCGTTGCGCCGTAGAGGGAACCATTACGACCAAGGAGAAGACCTATGATCTCGGTGGCCGAGGCATGTTCATTCATGCCCTTCAGGGCATGAAGCCTCATCATGCTGGTGAGTCGTCTGCTGCGGGAAGACTGTTATCATTTTCAGGGACTGATGAAATATAGCCGCGCGCTGGAACTTTGTTAACTTCCAGACCCCCACCTACACGGCTGTCATGATGGAATACACCACCCCACCATCCTACGGGTCGACCGTGGTGAACGTCGGTGGTATCGTCAAAGATGGAGAGATTGTTTATGCCGGTAGCACCAATACTGCCACCCACACAGAGTCCGCTCAAGATCCCGAGAGTGACTGGCCTGAGCCCAAGTCCATCAAGTGGGCGTGGGAAGGTAAAACACAGGATGGCAAAGACGTCCAGGCTGAATTACATGGTCCCCTTGGTAACAGACTGGATCGTATTGACGTTATGGCCGAAGTTCCTGGCTTCATCAAGACCATCGCCGGTAGTGTTGCCGGGACCCGTCCATATATCTTCCAGGTCAGTCATATGCACACCTGGCTGTTCACCAATCCGAATTCCGTTGCTAACAATCTTATAGTTTGCGCCTCAAGAGAAGCTTTCCCTGAAGGTAAAGATTGGGGATGAAGAAATTTCAGAGGAAGGATCCATGTTCTCTGAGGCGACTTTCATCTCCTGAATGATTCCACATACATAGAGCACTTCTGTCGAGGTCTCGTCTCAAGGCGTTATGATTGTTATTGCTCGACATGTTTTCATTGATCAGATCCACACCCGTTACAGAATACTTCCTTGTTTAATTATCCAGACATACATTATAAAGAGCACTTAATATTAGTTATACATATTTCCTTTTCACCGATATGTGTTGTTCTTGAAGGAGTGACCGGGGGAGTGTTTCGTCTTTTTATCTTGGACACAATCACCTGGACCTTGATATGGCCATCTGTTTCTACCATTGTGTTTCTCCCATCAATACCTAGTCTACAAAACCGCGTTTTTCTCACAACCTCTCCTCCTCAAACCCTCTTCTACTCAAAATCTCTCCCACCCACAACCTCCCCTACTCCCCGTTACCTTCCCCCCAAATGGATCCCACCAGACTTCCCAGAACCTGGCGTCCCAAGGCCAAACGGCATAAGTACGTCCCGGCTCTACTTGAGCGAGAACCAGGCTCGCTGCGAAGGACCCGAACAAGTCCACGATTCTAACGAGATTAAAAACCACAGGAAGCTTCGCGACAACCTGATGGGCATAAGTAAGTCCTTCCTTCGCGCCCAACTGCAAAGGCTATGCATAGCTAACCAAACATGCACGGCCAGCTCGCCCAGCAATCCGGTAATTGACGACCATCGAAGGAACCTTTCTCAAAGGAGTCGTACTGATATCCACGACTGCAATATAGCCGCCTTGCGCGCCGAGGCGGAGTCATTCGGATCAAGGCAGACATATACGATGAAATTCGTCGTGTTGTGAAGAATCGCATCGAGGACGTACGTATGACATGGCCGCGCTGTTTAGCAGTCCCACAGCCCCCTCAATGACCATACATTTCAGTTTCCAGGCATGGTTAACATAGTCTACAGGTGCTCCGACAGGTTGTTGATATCATGGATAGCGCGTCGACTAATCGAACGGACCGAAAGGTATGTTCACTGTCGAGCGTGTGCAGTTCGTGATACGATACTGATCACCTTGTACCCAGGTAGTCACTACGCGCGATGTAAGTCGCCTGACTAGATTACCATATGATTACTGGGAGGTACTAACAGGACGTCTTGGAAGATCGTCTACGCTTTGAATAGGGTTAGATCCTACCCACTCCCACTCCCGTGGTGTACCATACCAGGCCCACAAAATATCATGGGACGGATTGCTAATGGAGATGGTACAGATGGGAAACACCTTGTATGGTTTCGATTAAACACGGCTGCCAACGGAAATTTGTACAGTCCTGTGATTGATGTCTGTTGGGCGGCGGGTTCGGAAGATTTGGTTGTATCCACAATAGTCGTGCTTGGATTGAAGGGAGTTGCAGTCTAGCAAACAGAGTTGATGAATCGAATCTATGGCCAATACAGGAGGGCTATGAAAACATATTATGTAGGAAACATCACACAGAATGTGAATCAACAGCTATAACACATAATCGCAAAAGGATCCGCCGGCGGGGTCAAATGTACATCTTATCGCATATAATAACAAGCATGGAAAAGACATAATAAAATAGAAAGATTGGATAGCGCCCGAGTCATGAGAAACCGCTCAGGCACCGATCATCAACTGTTCGCCCTCATCAAGCAGAGTCGTCAACTTGGCCAAGTCAGAGATCATCTTGTTACCATGGCCAACAAGCAGTAGCTTTTCTGCATTGGCTGGGAGACCGAGGTACGTCGGAGGTTCTCTCTCAGGAAGGCGATTAACCCACTCCACGAAGTCCCGAATGCTTGTCTCTCCCGGAAGGACCAGACATTCATCATTCTCCACCCCCGAAACGAGCTTGTACTCATCTTCAAAGGCCGCTGGGGTGAGGAAGCTGGTGACCAGTTCCTGCAGTTGCTGGAAGTCACCTGAATCATCCACCTTGCCTCCATACATCTCTGTAACCAAAGTCCGAATCATGTCCCACGGGAGCTTCTGAGGTGCAACATTGGATCGACCCTGAGCTACCGTATCAACCCAGTGATCAATGATGTATGCAGAGCACTCGTACTATAGGAAATAGGTTAGTTACCGTCAAGCCTCGTAAGGTCGGATATAACTTACATCACTGTCGTTAAACTCCCAGAAGCCCTTCCATCCGAGACTTGGTGCATACCGCAGCCTTTCTTGAACGACAGCATGGAGGAAGGAGAGCAAGAGATAAACGCGAGCCTTCTCGACTGGAGGCTTGCTGGCCCTCAAGGACAGGGAGGTCAAGGAATCCTTCATGTTGGCACGCACACCGGCCGGCTGTTCGTACATGAGAACACGCGATGCTCGGATCAGATTGACAGGGATCTTGGGGCTAGATTCCATAGAGAGGAACAATCTAAAGTCCTTATGAGGTTTGAGGGATTCCAGCCTCTTTTCGAGGCTCTGCAGCCAAGAGGGTGCGAGGTGGACATTCTTGACCAAGACCCAGGTGCCAGCAGAAGCGGCATTAGTGATAGCCTTGTCAGCACTCTCGAGACCTTCGTTGGAGCCCATTGCAATATTCGCGCAGATAGCGTGCATGCGCTCCACAAGTGCATCGACCTTGTAACTAGCATCGAAACCAGGGCTCGAACTGAGGGAAATCGGTCTTGTCGCTGTGACTTGGTCGACGATGTCCTTGAGGTCGCCACTGCCTTCAAACAATTCGCGACCGAAGACTGCCTCAATAAAGCGTTCGGCAGTTGGAACGAATCTGTCCAATCTACACAGCTTCACGAGTAACAACGTCCGCAGCGATTTGTTTAGAGGCTCTGCGTCTTCTGGCCAAAGGGTGGGCACTGCGTTCTCTGCAAGTTCTTCGCTAAAGAACCGTTCCCACTGTTCTGACGGCACGTCTTGGAATTTCGATTTGAAGAGAGGCATGTTGGCGACCCGGTTCATCACCTGTTCCTTCAGTTCAGATGTTGTTGATAGATCCACTCCTTCCGTTGACTGGTCAAGGATGGTGTCAATAATATCCTTGTCCACAACAAAGGGCGAGGCCTGCGCAAGCAGCATAGCCAGCGTAATGCGGTCCTTTTGAATCATGCCCAGAGAGGTTCGCTGGTATGTCGTAACAAAGAGGTCGTGCAGAATAATCTGCACACGGGCGGCATGATCCTTTTCTTGGGCCAGGCGCTTGTTCTGGTAAAGGACAGAATGGAAGATATCCACGAAAAATTGAAGAGAGAACTGGTAGAAGTGGTTGATATGATGGAGCTGTTCCAACACGGCGAAGACAGCACTGCAAGCACGAGCAATGATGTTATAGTTGAGGGTGATGTTCTCTACCTCAGTCATCACTCCCTCAGTCTCCACCATCTTCTTTGAGATTTCTGCTGCTTCCTTCTTGAGGGTCTCGAGGGTCTCAATAACGTGGTCATCATCCAGGATGTTGCCACGCGACTCATTTAAAGCCTGAAGAAGTCTCTTTTCGAGCTGGCGTAGATGAATCTTGAACTCGCCTTGCAATTTGACCAGATCAGTGCGTCGCGCATCGACATCAGGTCTCTCAAATTTCAGAACCTCGTTGAGAGACTGTGTTTGAAGACTGCTTTGGGTTACAGTAAAGTTCACAAAGGTAGTCCGGCTGCAGACATCCGGAGGGAAGCATGCAGACGGGTCTCGCGTTGACAGGAAGAGTTTGAATGAAGGAGAAAAGTCGATCTCCTGCTTGCCGAGCTGGATGAGGACACGGCCTCCGGTCTTCTGGTACTCCTTGTTGAGGACATGGTTCAGGATGGGATCCAAGTACTCAGCGTCCTGAATGAGAATAGGATTTCCAAAACGCAGGGCACTTTCCAACTGTTTGACAAAGGAATCGTCCAAAAAGCTGGTAACAGTCAACTTTCTGTCCGTGCTTTCCTTTTGCAGGAATTCGGTGGTACGTCCAGAGGGATCGATGATCAGAGGATATCTGTTGTACCGCTTCAAGATGATTGCGTTCTCGGTACAGAGGTCATCAACCGGGAGCGAGTGATCTTGCCAAGTAAGACGCTCATCGGCGTTTGATAGATACTCAGTGACGGGGTTATGAGGCTTGAAGCTGATGCCGGACTGTGTCAACTGGTTAACCCAATCATCGATCATTGCCTTTCGGAACTGTTGATCATAAAGACCAGCATATGCAAGGAAAGCGGCCGCAATGAGGACATCGCCGACGAGGGTGCTGATCTGTGTTTCGAACGATTTGCTTCCTTCCTCCCATCTCGTACGTTCAGACGCCAAGCTATCGAGCAGGCGAACACTTCGGTCGACCTTGAACTGCACTCGGGACATCTCGGCCTTGATAGCCTGGGTTTCGCTAATAAGAGCAGCATACTCAGCTTTGTAGGTGGAGATACTGCTTTCAAGGTCCTGGATGGTATTTTCGATGGCCTGGGCCTCAGCCTTCGTCTGCAAAGCTTGCTCCTCAAGCTGATCCACTTCTTCACGCAGGGGTCCGACACGAGCCAAAATCTCCGAGTAATTGACCTGCGCTTCAACCCACTGGACTAGAGGTCCACAAGCCTTACTAGCTCTGTACACTCGCTCGTAAGTGAAATCCTCCTTCGAAAGATACTCGTTCTGCATCTTGACCCGGTGGTTTCTCGTCATCTGCCGCTCATTGTCGTAGTTGACAATACTAGCGATAAAGTCGTCTTTTCGGACGATACCCTGGATTGTCTTCCAGTTATCCACCTTGTGACCAAGCAGTGTGCACACGGCCTCGAGCGCAAGACGAACGCCAGCTGGAGGGTTACCCATGGAACGGACTTCAGTGAGATGTTGGCGTTTGATGTTGCTAACACTCTTCTGGGCCTCTAAGACAGCTGGTTCGGCTTTAGCAAGGTCATTAAGCACAACTTCCTTTCGACGGGCGACTTCTTGCTCCTGCTTCTCAAGGGCGGCTTGGACCTCCAGTGAGACGGCTTTGCGCTGTTCGGCTTCTTGTTGGTCAGCCACCATGCGTTGGAGCTTCTCGTTGGCTTCGGTATCCTTCTTCTCCAGTTGGGTCTTCTTTTCTGCAAGGCTAGCACGCAGGTCGCTGACTTTATCCACCGTATCCCGCAACTTTTCAAGACCCACGTTCAAGTGACGTTGTTGCTCTTCAAGGTCCTCGCGCTTCTCATTGAAAAGTTTGACGTAATGCGCAACGAAATCGAGGTAGTGGCGCGGTGTGAGGAACGTGGCTTTTCCTTGTTGTTTCTGAAGGCGCTGGTTAAACTTTTGAAGGGAGTAGTGAATGTAGACCATCGAATTGACGACAGCATCTCTGTGTGATGCAGGAAGACTCAGATCCCGGTATGCTACGGGAATGCTGTCAGGTGCAACAAAGTTCGTCTTGTCCAGATCAATTGCTTGCGTCAGCTCAGAACCGACCTGGAAGAGTGCTTGATCCGACCAATCACCCATCCAGTTCAGAACACATCTGTTGAAAAGCGCAGGACTTGTCGCGGCCTTGGAGGACAACCCTTCCTCAGGTGGGTTCATGGTGAAAACAACATGCAAGTTCTTGACAATTTGTTGTGTGAACCACTTGTATAGCTCTTCTTGTGTGTCGAGAAGAAGGCCTTGACGTTGCGCACCTTCTTTGCACGCGGTCATTAGGGAGGAGAATTCATCACCCTCGAACAACCCTGGCACTTCAGCGTTGGCCAGAAGAGTGTTCATACGTTCAAGGAAGCCAGAATCCAAGACGTTTGACTCATCCATGATAAAGCAAATCTTCTCACCCCGGCAGCCTGCACGTCGGAGGACACTCCTTAAGTCGTCATCAAAGTCTTCAGATGAGTACTTTCCGTGTACCTTGATCTGGAACACCTTCAAGCCATTCATCCAGGCGACGAAGCGCGAAAGCGTGGTTTTACCACTTCCGCTGACACCAATAAGGATAAGGTGACCTTGAGGTTGGCGGAAGACACGGTCAATACGCAGAGCATGTTCCAGGACATCATTAAACAGCACGAGAGGAACGTCAACCTCCTCTTCACAGAACGTCCTCAACCGTGCGTTCACAAAGTCGCGCAGCTGTTCTTGCTCCACAGGAACGTAGTTCTTGGACAGCCAGTTCGAGAAAAGAATGGGCCCTTTCAGGGCTTGCTCCTGATCAATGGTAGGGAAATTGTCGAGGGCAATGCGCCGGACGGTATCTGCTGTCCATTTTCGCTCTTCTTCATCAACAAGTCGGTCCTGGAAGAGGCGCAAGGCTTCGTGTGCCCAGATCCGAACCAGACCTTCGATGGAAAGTGAATCAAGCGGTTTGATAGCCTCGTACACACCACGCACCCATCTGGTAAGCTCACGAGGGGAGTAGACATAATGGGGTTGAATCTTTGGCGTAAAGCGGGTTTGAGATTCCAAGTATAGCTGCACCATGGCTTTGGTCAGATTTTCGGAGTAGCCCCGCAAAAGAGGGAGGATCTTCAGAACAGCGGAATTGAAGGTGCCATAGATCTGCATGAGCGAGATTTCCCCGGGGTAGTCAACCATGATCAGAGGGGCATGACGCAAGAATCTTTCAGCCAGCGGTGTACGTCCAGCGTCAGTTGGAGGGTTACAGGCTCCAACAAATTGAATGCGGTCCAAAGTAACCCATGTCTTGTCGGACGTCCTCCAGAAACCATTCTGCTCAACAAGTTGCCGCAGGAAGGAGATCGCGCGCTGGGTTCCATATCGGTCAGGTGCTGGAAGGTTGATCTCATCACAGAAAATAACCAGCCAACGACCAATTTGGCTAGGTGACATGACCACGCCATTCAGCGTTTTCTTGTATTCACAATACTGCTCGAATGTCTTGATCAGGAGATCCGGAGTAGTGGCACTAGAGAAGTTGAGGCCGACAACCTCCATATTCGGGAGTTTCCGAAGAGCAGCAAACAGTGTCATGGTTTTACCAGATCCAGGAGGGCCACACAGGAGCAAAGGCTTATGCTCTGCAAGCCAAGAATAGAGCACATCTTCATGACGAACAGTGTCCACAGTGGGAATAACCACATCTGTTTGGGTAATTGAGTGCGTGTTGATCTCGACAGTTGGAACTTGCGAGTGCCAGGTAGTCCAGTCTGCTTTGGGAAGAGTGATGTCGTAGTCAATGAGAGACGACATTCCATCTGCAGGAAGATCGATGGTCGACATGCCCGATACAAACTGTCCAAATGCCTGTCGATCAGCCAGGGGACAGTCACCAGTGAACGACCAAACGAGGCCTAGAAGTAGCTTTTTTGAAACATAGGACTCTATCTGGTCGGAATCCAGCGGAAAATCGACATGCTGAATATTATACTCGAGGATATTGCGGCAAGCCTTGTTTAGAAGACTAAACAAGGTATTGAGAGCACGTATGTCCGTGAACTCCATGATGTGGTTGTACTTCTTCGCCTCCTCCAACGATTTCAGGACAAGATCATCAGTCTGCAGAAGCTGCTTCAGAATTGTGGAAACCATGTCTTGTGCATCCTGCGTTTTGATCGCAGCCTGGCCTGACGGCGCGCTATCATCATCCAGGTCTTCAAATGTTTTCGTTCGGAGCGACTCAACGTAGTTGGAGATGATCATTGAAGGAGTGACAGTGTCGTCATTGAACCAGACCATACCACAACGACTGACTGTTGCCAAGGTAGCATATTTGAGAGTTTCAACCTCAAACATGATGCGTACATTGGGCGGCAAATTAAGACGTTCACCATTGGGTAGAGTCAAAAGCTTGTTGTCGTCAAGAACACTGTTCAAGTTCTCAACCCATTCAGGATCAACGTCTCCGTCGAAGACAATCCAGTGTCGCTTAGAATCTTCACCTCGAAGATTATCAACGATCTTTCTCAATATACCCGTAAACAGACCGTCTGTCCACTCTCTAGTAGTGCTGTCCAGGTTTCCGTACAGGGCTTCTTTAGACATGACCTTGGAGTCAATGATGTGGGATACGCCTTCGACGCCCTCAATCTGCTGAAGCGCCTGGAGGAGTATTTTCCACGCGGAAGATTTTCCGGCTCCCGATTTACCGACCATCATGACACCATGGTGGATTGTCTGGATTTGATAAAGCTGCAAGGCTTTGGTGACCCACATCTCACTATCGACATGGTGCTGTTCCCGAGCAATTTCGCGGATGGTTGCTTCAAGCTTCTCATAGTTGGCGGGAACGTATTCCACTCCTGCAAAATCTTGTGATTGGATTTCCAGCATCTTGTCAACATCCTCCCGGACGAGCTTAGGTGCAATCGTTTCACGAAGGCTCTGCACAATGATTTGAGGTTCGATGAGCTCATCCGGACCTAGGTCGCCATCTGTGCTGGCAATCCGAGCTCGTTTAAGACCACCTGAGCTGACGAGAACACTCTTCAGAGCACGCAGACCAAAATCGTAATGGGCTTGTTTAGACAGCTGGGAAGCGCAGTGGTCGAAGAAGGGGACTGTCTTTGTCGAGAGCCGCTTCGCCTGCTTGAAACCCTGAGAAAACAGCATAACCTCCGCAATGAGCTCCTTGTCGGGCTTGGACATTGCCACGCTCCGGAAGAGCTTCTTCAAGTTGTCGGGGAGATTGGAACGACCAGCATAGCCAGGATTCATTGTAATGAAGATTCCAGTGCTCGGGTTGACACTGAGACGTCTGCCGACGAGCTCAATCTGGGCCTTGTCATCAGTCTCCCCGTTCTTAAGACCAATTTGGATGTTTTGGATCTGCTGAGAGACAGCGGAAAGAATTCTCTCCTCGAGACGGTTGAACTCATCAAAACAACCCCATGCACCAACTTGGCAAATACCAAGGAAGATTCGGCCCATGGCTTGAAAATCAAAAGTGTCGTCACAGCAGAACACCAAAGTGAAGCGTCCAAGTTGAAGACCCAATGCTTTAACGGATTCTGTTTTACCGGTACCAGCGGGTCCATAGGGGGATCCTCCGAGTCTTTGACACAATGCTTGGGTAAGTGTCAAGAAACAACGATCAGTAAGCGGAGTGCGAACAAGACGCTCTGGGACGCCGAGATACTCAAATCCGTAGTTCAGCTTGGCGTTGGCCATATGAACATACAATCGTTGGAGATATTCGCCTTCGGGTCGGTAAACATAACGCATCTGTAGAAGCCAAAGATAGTGGATCGGCGTTGTAGCGTTAAATGCTATGAGCTTCGAAATGACGTCCCGCTGGTGAACGAACTCCGTGATCATATGCTCACACTTCTTCCTGGTAATTGCGTCCAGCTCGCCAAGAACAGTAACAGCAAGCATCTCGAGCACTCGAACCTGGGCATCATACAGAGACGAGAGGTCGGTGCCGCCGTTCTCCAATGACTTCTGCACAGCATTAGTCCAGACCACCTGGCTGGCAAGAACGACAATTTGGGCAGGGTAGTTAGCAATGTAGTCATTGAAGGCCGTGCGATCAACTTCCGAAGAGTTATAAAGCGGCTCAAACTGCTCGACAGCCTCGGCAAGCAGCTCTGCGAGTGTCAATTTCATGTTATTTTCGAGGGCTCCCAGCCATTCATTGATCTTAGGCGTCTTGACTAGATTGATTTCCTTCTTCAGACGGACCTCCTCGCCTTCCTTAGAAGTAAAACCGACGATATTGTTGTCATCATCCATGAGAACACCGGAGAGACCCGCAAACATCTTCTTGAAATGCTTCGCAACACGGAAGATATCGTTGCTGTTACCAATGATCTCGAGCAGGTCTTCGTCACCAACGAAATAGAAGCGAGGGAATGACACACGCTCCCGTTCCAGGTATTCACCCAGTGCCTTCTGAATCTTGTTGAGCAACTCCGCTAGTCTCTCCAGCGACTTTTGAACCCCGTTGATAGCAAGGACGTCAAGCACGAAGGGAGATTTGTAGACTTTCTTCATGACCGCGAAGAACTCCGAGTTGATATTCTGAAAGCGGCCAGATTCTAAGGGAAGAAGATGCTTGATATCCGCGTTGCCAGTGAAGACTCCTTCCAGATACACCCACTGCCTTTGCACGTCAATCCAGACGTCAAAGAGGACATGGACTCTGTTAAGTTTATCTTCCCAGGAAGAAGCTTCTTCTTCAAACTCCTTAAAGTAAGGCGAGTGTCGCATTGCTTGCAAAGAGTTCAGGTTCTCACTGCACTTCGCAAAGAGATCGTCAAAGCCACGAATTAATCGGCACTTGTTCTGGTAATTGACGAGATCGAGAGAATAGTTCTGCCATGTTTCACGGACAGACCTCAAGAACTCTTCCAAAGCCATTTCGCCCTGCGCTTGAGCAATAATATTCCGGATTACCGTCTCACTCAGAGTGAGGTTTAGATCCCAGACATCACCAAGAGTGAGGGAGACGAGCGAAAACCTCTTGCCCGGCTTGATTGCCTTGTAGATCTTCTGCCAGTGCCGTTCACGGACAGCTTCGGATTTCATGTCAGAGATCAGGACGTTCACCTTGAGGAGCTGGCGAAGGACGTTTTGAATATGTTCGAAGGCAGCATACTGGCGCATCCGGCTGGGCATCTCCTTTGTCATTTTTATCAGGCCGTCGATAGACTGACGAAGTTTCCTGGGCTGCACGCTCGTCCACAAAGTGTCCCTAAGATCATTGAGGCTCTTCCAGATTGTCGACAGAGCTGCCCAGACTGACATGAAGTCCTGAACCTCCTCAAGGATAGCCGGAAGAGAAGACTCTGCGCTTGCAGGCAGGTCAAGAGCTTCTTTCGCCTTCGAGACCATTTCAAACTCCGACTGAAGTGATTCAAGACGCGATTGGAACGAGCTGAGTGTACGAGAAGCCTCGTCGGGAGGAATAGTACCAGACACCGGTTTCTCTTCATTCCACTGGGCGATGATTGCCGCAATCTTATCGCCAATGACTTTGTCCTCGGCGGCAATCTTCGCGCGCAACCCTTCAGTTTGATCGTGCACGATTTTGCTCTTGCGGGCAAGTAACTCGTTCAAAGCGGCCCATTCACCATCGACGTTCTCCACATGGAGCCAGTCGCTAGGGAACTGATACCGTTGGCGTGCAAGAGTTGTCTGGCCTTGGCGGAAGAGGTCGACTTCCGGCTCCCAGACTTTCGCCTTCCGTTTGCACTGCTGAACGATAGTAATGAAAGAAACGGCGTGTGCGGTTGAGGAAGCTTCCAGGGTCTGGCCTTCCAGATCCCGTCGCGCGGATGCAATTTCAGAGTGGACCTCTCTCATCCGACCTCCAAGCTTGGATCCAAACCTCTGGAGGATCTCGTGTTGCCATTGATCGTACTTGGCGTTGACTTTAGTCTGGACCTGCTCGTAGTCAATCTGAATATTACCGAATGATCGGCTGACTTCAGAGGTATCGAAGGTTGCTCGGCTTTTCCGGATCTCCTGGAGTAGCTGAAGCCATTGAGACAAGTCATCGCCTAGAATATCGTACACATGCTCCGACTGTAAATCCCAGAGAGACTGGAACTGCAGCCACTTGTCAACATACTCTGAGACTTCCTTCAGCCTAGACTCCACGGCATTGTAAACTTGATTGAGCTCGTCGACGCAGTTTTGGGGAAGATCCACGAAACGGGAGTCGGATGGTTGCACTTTCTCGACACCGATCGAGATTTGATATCGCGAGGCTTTGATCTTTTCCAGGTTGCAAACAACGCCTAGCCAATCCCCAAATTGGGAGAACCAACTCGCTCGCGCATATTGCAATGGCGGGTCAAGATGGAGTACTTGGTTTCGCATGGATATCTCATGCACCAGCTTGGGGAATTCGATGCTGTAGGTGATTCCCTCTGCTTGCCCTTCAGTCGTGGTATGTGAGCTTTGCTGTCCATTCTTAGTCTCGTGGAAGGAATGGATCCATTCTCGGATCGCACGGTGGAGGCGTTCACGAAGGATGGACTCAATCTTCTGGTTCAGATTGGAGACCCAGTATCCCAAGTTCACATAGTTCTCCAAATTCAACTTATCGACCGAGACCTGGATTGTGTCCAGGCGCTGCTTGAATGCAGATGCCTCGTATGGGCACGTTTTGAGCTCATGGATTGCCTTCTGGATATTCTCGTTGATAGAAGCAAGAACAGCCGTCTTAGACTGGAGGACCGAGGCCGAGCCAGCGAATTCGCGTACAAATTGGACATGTTTGCTCTCCGTTCGGGTAGTTGGGATGGCCGAGTCAATTGCACCATTGGCCAATGCTGATTGCTTGACATGCAGTTCATACGAATGCACGAACGATTCCCACCGGAGAGGAACACCTTTTGTGATCATACTCTGGGTGTCATTGACATAACCGTTCAGGAGGATCGCAACTTCAGTCATTGACAGGATGGAACGGTGTGTTTGTAAGAGGGTTCGGACGCTCTCCATTAAACTGATTGCGTACGGATAGACACGCTTAGCCTCCTTCGAAATGTTGCTCACGGCGTGGGGAACTTGAAAGTTCAACCAGATAAGGTTGCGGACTTCCTTGAAGAGCGCAATGACTTGAGGGTCAAAGTTCACGGCAAGTTCGAGGGTATTGCCAGCGGCGCGGTTGCGTATGATATTGAATAACCGGCCAGATATCGTGATGTGCCGTCTTTGCACGTCATGCAGCCACGACTCGAAAACTGGGCGGGTATCCAGCTTCTTCCGGAAAAGGCTGCTCTCAGCCTGCAGTTTCTGGCCCTCAGTATGCATATGCCAATCCTCTCCTAGCACATCCTCAACTTTGCGCATGTATCCATCAAGCTGTCGCTCAATTTGGCGTGCCCAAACTATGGCTCCTGAAACTGGTGGTAGATCACGCAATTGAGACATTGCATGAGCCTCGGAGTGGCCATATTGTTGCTTGAAACGTTCGTGTAGGGAGTTAATGTCTTGCTTGACATTCTCAATGAGCTGTGTCTGGTATTCGCCAATGGCACCCCGGATCTTGGGACGCACAAGCAGTGCATTGAATTTTGAAAAGACACGGAACATTTCGTTCGCATTCTTCGCTGTCGCCAGGCGGTCTCGCAGACGAGCTATGATGGAGTTCTCAACGCGGGATGTGCGTTCATTATATGCAATTTCCTCTTGCACCCACAATTGCGTGCCTTCGGGGCTCACGTCCAGCACGTCAACGTTCTTCAAAGCAGCATACGCCTGAGCAACTTCTTCGACAGCATCCACGTCTCCGATCTCCTCCACAATGACAGCATCGTCAGATCCAGCTCCGGCAGCAGTGGAGCCTTTGGGCCCGAGGACATTGACGATAGTCCTTTGAAGTTGCTCGTGGTTGACCCGAAACGTGTTGATGTATTTCAAGCGCTCCTGGGTGGCTGTGTGGCGGGGGACGATCTTGATTGGAATGAACTTCTCGTTGCGACGCCTTGTGGAGTCACGCGCAACGTTGGTAAACTCCTTCAAGTTCTCTTCCCAAGTCCTCCAAATTGCACCAGCGGTCTTCATCAGATTACGGAAATCACGATAATCCAAGTGCAAGATCGTGCGTCCATGCAACAGACTATGAATTTGCGTGTCCAGATCTCCAGAAATAGCTTCCACAAGAGCTAGAGCGCGCTTGATCGGGTAAGGGCAAATCTTGAGCTTCTTGTTCAGATGATTGAAGATCATGTTGAGCGACTCCTGCACCTTAGACAAGGAGGTTGCCGACAGAAGTTCATCCAGTGGGAAGTCACGCATGAGTTGATTGTACTTCTGAACCAGATCAGTGGCCTCCCGGAGACCAGTGTCAGCAACAAAGCTCAGAGTAGCTTGGTATCGCTTAGCATGGCGGAGGATGTCCATCGTGAGCTGCACACCATCTCCACGCAACTGGTTTTCGATGCCTTCGAGAGCAGTTTCCATGGACAGCCAAAAGTTGATCTCTTGGGCTGCAGATCCGCTGTCCGCATCTCGAGACATTTTCGTAATAGTCTGGATAGACCGAATCCATGCATTGACATTGTTCTGAATGCTATTAATGAAAGCACTGCTTTCAAGAGTTGTCGCATCAATCAACTCCACCGACGGTTTCACACCTCGCTTCTCGGCCTCCAGTAGGGCCGCCTGGACAACTTCGTGGAGCGGCAAATTAAGCGCAGGGATTTCAACATTCTGCTGCAAATGGAGAAGATTGAGCTCCAACTCCGCAAACTTCTTCTTTGTTCCTGGCACGCCAGTCTTCGCTTCAGTATCCGTCCGGGGCTTGGGACCACTAATCGCCTCCTGGTTGCGGGTGTAGGCTTCGAAGTAAGGGCTCAGTCCATGGTGTACGAGGAGGTGTAGGATCTCGTATGGCGACAAAGATGTCCCTTGTTGCGCTTGCGTATTGTTCAGAGAGGCCAAGCCAGGCAGGTTCATCACCTGGATCTGCGAGGATAAGGGGAGGGTAGGATCGATAGCAGCGGGGCGTTTGATGAATGCGACGGACGCAACAGTAGTGGAAGAAGACGAAATTTCGGTGGACAGGTTATAAACATACTGAGTTAGTGAAGCTGCGACGTATTAGCCATTTCTCACTTCTCGAAACGAGTTAAAAAAAAAAAAAAAAAAAAAAAAAAAAAGTAGATATACCTTCAGCGTCGTCATCCTGAGTCCCTTCTTCAGTGCCCACGATATCCTTCTGGACATACAGAGCGACCTGCGACTCAGACGCAAATCGCGTGCATCGTTGCACCGTCTCGCTATACTTGGCCTTAGATAGTAAACTGCCAGGGCCCTCTAGCTCGGTTTTCAGAGCTCCCAGGGTCACTTGCAGCACATCCACTAAGTATTGGACCACGGTACTCGAGTCCACAAAAGGCGTAGGGGTTGCTGGTGCGACACCATTCGAGCCCCCAGAAGAGGCGACCTCCATGGTCATAGTTGCTTCTGGTCACCAAATCGCGAAATCATCGATGATCACGGTCAAAACGGGTGTATGGTGACACCAAAGCGGCCGCAATCCCAGGCGAGAAGGTCCAGATCAACTGGGATGAATCTCGGAACCTGTGGGAACGGCGAACGTTGGGGTCGTCTTGCGATGAGAGAAGAGCGAGGAGGGAGAGACGACGGATGAGTCTGTTGGGTTGAATAGATAGTCATTATCACCTGCCAGCGGGACGCGGCAGGCGTGTTTTCTTCCTATTTGGGCTTCAGGGGGTCAAATAGCACTATTCCTAATATGGACTAGGGTAAACGAACCCCGGGTCTTCTTCCGTCCGCCTTCCACGGCTCGCCGAACGGTTCCCGACCCGACATCTGATCCCACGGCACGGATGAAAGGTGCACATGTCAATACGGAGTACAATTATGTTCTCAAGTCATAAATAGGAGTTTAATTTCGAGCACCGTTTCCCTCCTTGTTAATGAAGAATATGATATCATCTTTCTTTTTTCTTTTTTTTTTTTTTTTTTTTTTTTTTTTTTACTATACTCGTACATCCGAGGTGACTATCTAGGTATTGCTGCAGGAGCTCAAATTGGAGTCCCAACATCCCTCTCCCCATGCTCACCATTTTCCTGGACGCAGTCGCATTGATATCTCTTCCGAAATTCATTCCGATCAATGTGTAGTAGCTCGGTCAATGCGTTCTCGCTTGCTTTGACTTTGGCATAGCGACCCGATGATGCTACTCCTGTTGTAAGGATCGTATCGTGCACAATCACAGCCGCAAGCACGGTGGATGCGTCCCCATCCGCTCCAGGGATCTCTCCGGCTTTCAAGCAGTAATTGAGACAGCCATATTCGTTCGTCAATTTGTTATGCAGGAAGGTCTAGTCCATGTTAACTTCAGGTACGAATGGAAAGGAATAGATCTCTCACAGTTGGGTGCCTGTTCGCAAAGGTATCGTAGATCGCCATATCATGGAAGTATGGTTTTATGTGCTGTTGGAAGAAAACTTCCACCTCCTCAAACCTGAAGTTTGAATCTACAAAAACCGCTCCCAAATAAGCTTCAACCATGTCTGGCAAACACTACTCGGCATGTCAGCTGCTGCATACACAAGTGATGCACGTCTCACTCTACCTTGGGTGGATCCTGGGTAAGCGTCCAATAATCCACGGCTACATCGCTCTGACTAGCTGCAGCCTGAGCCTCCTCTGCATAATGAGTTATCTGAGACTGCAATGCGCTGCTGAAGTAACTCAAGTGTGTGTGCAGGCCGAGTTTCACAGCCAACGCACCGAGGAATTTGTTAGACACCATTGCCATCTGTACAGATACCGTTAGCAAAGCCCTAAACCATGGACGTCGTAACAAACTTTATGCTCCGTCAGCCATTGGGGATCACGATCAGGGAATCGGCGGAACAGATCCTCCACGCAAACCATGTCAAGAAGGGCATCGCCGAGGAACTCGAGACTTTGATAACATGGCACTCTGGCCCATGCCGAAGGATATGATGGGTGGGTGAAAGCCGAGTGCAGCAGCCGCGGGTACCTGAAATGGTAGCCCAGTTTCTCTTCAACGCGTCGGCAAAGGTCAATCTCAGAGCCGTCCGGGGCCTGTTCTTGATATTTGGGGATTGAGTAGAGAGATATGTAGTCTCTCCAGGACGCAGCATTATGCTCATTGCTGTCAACGACAGCACTTACAGCTCTGACTCCCATGTCAAATCGATGCTGGGGACCTGGTGTAAGCAGGGCTGCTCCGATCAGGGCTTCGCACACATCGGCAATTGTCTTTTCAGCAAGGGCGTGCTTGCTTTCCGAACCAATCTTTTTGCTATGATCTCTGCCTTGTAATAGGGTCAGCCCCTCGGGATACCATGTGTCTCTGTCGTTCATTAGCAACATGTATCTCACGTCAACTGCGCTAATCACCTTGAAAATCCTCGGCTACGAATGAACTGATAAAGCTCCTTCTTCACAGCCGAGTTGAACAGGTTCCTGTTGCAGATGAGACACATTCTGTTCACATGGTAATCGAACTCGTTGTCGTCAGGGTGTTGATTGAAGAGCGATATAGATGTCGCCATCTTGAGGAAGCAGTCACCCAAGAATTCTAGACGCTCGTAGTTTTTTCCCATGCCTCGCTGCATATGGACCTGTTGAGATCGATGCTCATGTGTATTATCCGAGTCTTTTGTGAGAGCTTCCAAAGCATATTCTAGGCTAATTTCGAGTCCCAGTTTCTTACAGGCCTCGAGGCCAATTAGATACGCGTCCAGCCTGCTTATTATAGCGGGGAAAGCAAGACATGTAGCAGCAATTGCTGCGGGGATCTAGTGGACTGATTAAAAATATCCAGAAAATAAGGACGCAATCGACTCACTGCAGAGATCTTCAACGGCTCTATGCAAATAACAGATCTTGTTTCGAGCTTTCTTTCTTTGTCCGTCATTCTATCGAGTAAGTTTCTTCGCAGGCGAACAAGCTCTGCATGGAGTACCGGTTGATTCCAGTTGCATCTTGAAAGGAACTTCGCTCGAGAATTTTTGGAAAGACTTATGCTGTAATTCATGATGGTGTCCATGTGCCTGCGACGCGCAACATGAGAGGGTGGAGGGCTTGATGGCTGCAGGTTCTCATCAACGGCCAGCGTAAAATACCGATACCTCCCATCCCAGTGATCATAGACGAATCGATCGACCAGCATCTCCGGTGGCATATCTGCTTGATATTCTATATCATCGCGTTCATGGACTGAAGATAGGATTTCCCAATTGACCACATCCCTTGGATCTGCTTCCTGGTTGCAAGGAAAGGAAATAGCTGGTAAAAGCCAGTACGGAAGCTTCTCTGGCTCCTTATCGTACGTTTTGCGGAACACATCACGAAAGATACGGAGGGTAAAAGTTGTCATATAGTCCAACTCATCTGCCGATGGCTGGAGCTCCATATTTACTGGCACAGTCAGGACTATCGTCTCGACATCCTCACCGAGGAAAATAGGGAATGTTGGAAACTGCGGTAACCTGTCGCGAGTGAACAAGATCATACTGCCATGCTCTCTTGCCAGGGGTGTTAGAGGCTTCAAAGAGATGACAGTTCCATAAAGCTTTCCTGGAATAACCCCAATTTGCTTGTTCCAGAGTGATGACTTGGGGAGTATTTTGTACTCATTTGTCCGGTGAGACGTAATGGCCAATCTTGCATTTCTCATAGCAGGAAGTCGGCGGTGGTAGACTGAATTGAGGTACTCATCGAGTAATCTGTGCTTCCGCAGCAAGCGACAGGCCTCGAATGCGGCATATCTTTTCGCTGTAGATTTCTTCATTGCAGGCATTCCAGTGGCTCCTCGGATAGGTGACTTTTCGGGTAAGATGACCTCGCATACGTACGCATCATTCACAGGAAGCACAACATATGTGACTTGAGCTGAGGTGTCATTCTCATATTGCTAGGCATATATGTTAGGCTCGGTTTGAACATAAGCATCATGTCACTCACCAAAGAGCTGGCATAACGAGCAAGGACTGTGATAGCAGAGTGGTGAGTTAACCTTGCTGCAGTGGATGGCAGCGTGTATGGCTCCTCCCATTCCTCTCGATCCAGAACAGCATCGGTGTCATCGTCATTTCCATGCAGTATCCGATCCTCTGGGAGAAGTTGACAGAAGCTTTGCATGATTTTCTGGCGATGTCAGGTCGTCCGTCATGTAACTCAAGATTATCTGCACTCACCTCCGCATCATTGACCTGAACGAGTATGCTCTCATGGTCTGCGTTATCCTTCTCGATCATACTAGCATACTGCATTGACGAGTCAGAATCACGTCTACTTCATTATGACAGACAGTGAATTACCGTCGAATCTGCATGTCTAGCTCGGCCTCGACTTTGCACATATTGTATCAAAGTCTTGTACAAATCGAACCTGGAATGTTCAGCAGCTTTCACACGCATAAGGAGGGTATGTCACTAACCTTACAACCAGATTGCAGTCCGGGATGTCAAGACCTTCTTCTGCTACGGCAGTAGCAAACTGTTCATTGTCAGAACCTACAGGAGGAGTAAGGACCGAGCTTTGCTCACCAGACAGTTGATTTCTCCTGTCCTAAATCTGACCATCGTAAGGATCTGTTGGCGGAATGTCACATTCATCCCTATCCTGTCACTCGAGCGTACCCCTATCAAGACACCCGGCCGAAGCCCAGGTACGTTCAGCACTGTGAACAAGTCGAACAATACCTTAGCTGTGTAGCGTTTCTCCGTAAAAACTATGCATTTTGTATTAGTCTCCTGACCAAAGCATTGGGAAATCTCTTTCCAGAGGACTCGGACTTTCGAGCTCAATGCCTCCGGTGCGCCTGGGTCGTTCGGTGGATGAGACTCGACAAGCTCACTGGCCTCTTTAATACGCGTGATATCCCGATGTACATCCTTAGGTAGTTGACCCAGGCCGGTAGATTGGCGTTTTCCACCGATGCTTCCTTCCACTTTTGGTAGCACATCATCGGCCAAGGCGCTCACCCACACTCTGTCCGCGCACCATGTGCCAAGCTCAGAGGTAGCATGTCGGGCAAATCTGAACATGGGCTCTAGGTGGCTTATATCACCGAAGCGGCTTTCCATTAATTTATAGAGATCACTTGTGAAAGTCGGCTGCAGTTTATCATAGATCCAAACTTCCTCGTTCGGACGATTGACAACTTGCCTTAGGATGGTGAGTTTCGAGGTCGTGGCGATCTTACTATCGAGAAGGGCCTCTAAGTTCCTGTAAATGTCAGCATTATGGCTCCTGATTTTCCTTACGTGAACATACCGAGCAGCCTCAAGGACATCCCCTTTAGTATCAACTGGGGAAGCAGTCATTCCAAAGATTCTCGGGCGGCTCGAAGGCGGCACCCTGAGATAAGAGTCTCTGATGATTCTATACACAGTCAGAAACTTGGTTGTTATCGCTGACAAAGTACACACCTCGCGTATGGATGGTCTTTCTTCGTGTGATGGGCTTCGTCGAAAACCAACAGGTTGATCTGCTGCATGGTAATGTAGGCATTGAGCAGGCACTGGTTCAGAATCTCCGCTGTACAGACGATCACCATGTTCTTCTCAAAATGCTCTGCCCAGGTTTGTTTGTTCCACAAATCAACCCCCATTGCACCAAAGAAATGTGCGACATTCTGGTCGAGGTTGTTACGTAGAACTGAAGCTTGCTGGTATACGAGGGTCACACTGTCCACAAGGAAGAATGATATCCGTGGGGGGTTTCCATTAGCCCTGTCAATCAGCTCTGTCTGAATGACGTGTTTGAGTAATAGAACTGCTATGAGGGTTTTTCCCGAGCCCGTATCGAGGACAGCAATGGTGTTTTGTACTTTGGCGCGTTCAAACAGTTCTATCTGGTATTCTCTTGGGTTCAGGATACCTGTTCCACTAGCGTTCCTTCCTATGAGTGAGGATATTGAAAGCTCAGACTGGGCTTGATTGGGTTTAACGGGGGAGTTCACTATTGTCTCAGCGTGGTGAGACAGACTAGGTAGATTAGTTGTACAGGAACGTATGGGATGGGACGAACTCTCACTCACAAGGCCTGGAAAGTGGCGTTCTGTTGTCTTTGCCTCTGGGAAGGATCTTTATGTAGACCTGTTTCCTCTTCACTACCTTCTGACTCATCAGAAGAGATTTCATGCCCTGCGCCTGTTGACAAGCCTGCTGTCTTATCAGGAGGAAGAGGCTCCAAGGCACCCTTCGTCGTAGCCAAACTGGCAGTTTCGGTATTCTGATGGGTCATCCTTCGGTGCTGAAACGAACTCCTGAGGTATGGGCAGAGGATGCTGAGAAAGAGAGAGAGGGAGAGAGAGAGGGAGAGGGAGGGAGGGAGAAAGGGGGAGGGAGAGAAAGGGAAAGAGGATGAAATAGAGAGTATGTAGGTGATGAAAGGAAGAGCTTCAGATGATAGAGAGCCGAAGGTGACTACTAAGTAGGCAGGTAGGCTCAGGCTAGTTAAGTGAAGCGAAGTCCCAATTGAGCAGTGACATGAGGAAGTAGGTACCCGGCTTTCCTTCTTTGCCCAGCAGATGGCAGCACACAACAGGCAAGGTACCTAAGGTAGTATACTGCGGACAAACAAACAGACATCCTATGGTCGCACAAGTCCCAGCCATCTATATTAAGTTCAATCTCTCTTAATTGAGTAGTGAATAGTACTATTGTAAACTCATATTCGATGGAAATCTTCAATACTCCAGGTATTTCACCGCTTAAGCTGGGATATCTCTGAGATACTCCGTATAGTACACCAAAGATGGTTGTGGCGGTTACTAAGGACGGATGGCGGGGCATATCTGGGCTGGTGCCGCGGCCTGCGGACCGGATGAATTATTTCTGCCAGCTCAATCGACCTTCTTTTCACAGAGCTTCACCACCCCCCAAAGCCAAGCGAATCTCGCTATGGAACAGCCACAGAATTTGCGGACGTTATTTACCACGGCCAAGGCAGAGAAAACCGAATTGGAGGCCCGTCCGGACACCAACACTGATCGTTTTCGCAATGATGTCAGCGCAACAATAACGAAGCTCGAGGAATGCCAGCGACTCGTGGATGTTCTGTCGCTCTTCAGCTCCAATGAACCATTAGAAGACATCGCTACCGGTGATTTACAGTAAGCTTACCTCTCAGCGCGGCAGTGCGCAGACTTGAGCTGATGTTTGTGTCAATCAGATATCTCACTGTCGCATATCATCTCGCCGACCTCCTCCAACGATCGTATAGCTCCGACCGCGAATCGAGTCTCCGTCGCGCACTCGCGCAGTACGAGCGATTTCTCGCACGCTTGGATGACTATGAATTACTCAACGATAAGGATAAAAAGCTCTACGAGCGATACACCGCGAACCCTTCCTCATTCTCCCTGACCCTGGGTAACGACGCTGCTGCACGAAGAGAGATAAAGATCACAAGGTTCAAAGAGGAGAAAGAGCTCAAGCAAAGACTTGAGGTCAGATAGTCCCTACCCCAGAGGCCCTCAAGCTTTGCTAACATCGTTGAAGTACCTTTCCAATAACCAAAGTCGACTCCAGAGCGATGATGACGATGTTCGCCAGCTGTATATTGCAGAGATTCATCTATATATCCACCAAACATTCCAGTCATTAGATCTTCTCTCGCAGGAACTAGCCATGCTTTCAGCCATGCGGCGTGCACCACCGCCAGAACATAATGCGCAACCGGAAGACCCCAGAAGACGACAAAACGCGGAACAGACGGCTTATTCAGAGAGACTCGATCCCCCCATTTCTCAGCTTCTGCAAGGGGGCAAATTTGGCCCTTTGTTGAGCAAGGAAGGAAAACCGATGCAGCCTTTCACACTACTCGACCGTCGAACGCAACTCCAGCAGGGTGTGTTCCGGTCTGGACATAATTTGCCAACGATGACTATAGATGAATATCTTGAAGAGGAAAAACGACGAGGCAACTTCCTTCAAGGAGGGGAGCAATCCGGCATGAAAGAAGAGGTCGATGAGGATGACATGGAGAAGGCAGATGAGGAGACTATGAAGGCTCGTGCTTGGGATGAATATAAAGAAGCCAACCCAAGAGGCTCAGGAAATACATTGAACAGGGGATAGTGCCACGATTATGCTGCCTGATTCGTTACATTCAGTAATGTCGGCGCATCGACAGAGTCCGAACATCTCGTCTAATTATGACTTTGTATAGTCTTGAATTCACATTTAGACACATAATGATAAGCACATGAATGGCATAACATGGCATAGCAGATAATTTTAGTTCTTTTGTTCCGTGAGGGTATCCGTCTAGTCCGTCATCGTAGTATGTAGATCAAAGAGAACAACGTGTCCGTCAATGTACATGATACACTGATATCCAACCCCAGTAACAAAACAGCCTACGAAGACTGTTTGTTCCGTTGGATCTCTTCGAGGATTTTCCCGGCGCCTTTCTCAACCAAAGCGTTGGCCACCTTGATGCCAAATGCTTCGGCGGAGTCCACAGAATCCACATCACCATCCACCTCGACTTCGGCGCTTTCCTTTCCGTCAACACTGACAACAATAGACCTCATTCTCAGTTTCCGCGACGACCCAGACGACGGGATCCATTCCGATTCGACACCCAGCGGGGCACTACAGCCGCCTTCGAGGGTTCGCAGCAAGCTCCGTTCAGCCAGAGAGGCGAACGTCGTTTCGTCGTCACCAATGTTCTTCAACATCTCATGCATAAGAGGGTCATCCTTGCGGATCTCAATTCCCAGAGCACCCTGGCCAACTGCATACAACATGCCCCCATTCTTGGAGTCCAGGTACTGAGTGATTCGGTCTTGGAGACCCAATCTCAGGAGACCTGCAGCTGCCAAGATGATGCAAGTGAAGGGCCCATCTTCAGCATCCAATTTTGCCAGTCGGGTGCCAATATTTCCGCGAACATCGATAATTTTCAAGTGAGGGTATCTGCGCGCAAGCTGTGCGGTCCGACGGATCGAGGAGGTTCCCACAACGGAACCCGCGGGCAAATCATCGAGGCTTTTGTACGAAAGCCCTTTCTTCACAACCAGCACATCTCGCGTATCTTCTCTTTTCAACATAGGGCCCAGCGTGCATGAAGGAGGGAGGAGGGTCGGAACATCTGTAAAAAGTTTTGCCACGTGAGTTGGAGGGTAAGAAATACGGGATCGCAAGGAGTTGAACCTTTCAGAGAATGAACAATTAAATCCACGTCGCCCGCAATCAGCAAATCTTCCAATTCCTGAGTCCAGAGATTCTTGGTTGTGAAGTCTCGGAGCGCGATTGTCGTGTTCTGGTCACCTGCGGTTTCGCGCGAGTGAATCCGGAACGAATATTGAGGCCATGCCTTCTGCAGAGCCGCCTGGACGAGATCCGTCTGCAAAAGAGCGAGTTTCGACTTGCGAGTGCCAATGGTGAATGTCGTCTTTGGCGAGGGGTTGGCGGCGCCAGAAGTGGGATGCGGGGCAGACGCCATCCCGAAGAGTGTAGAAAGTATAGAACGGTATAAATTGAATTCAGATGGAAAGGAAAAGACAAGAAGGTTATGGCGAGTAGTGAGGGCCAGGGCCGAGCTATTCGGAGGAAGTAAAAAATGGTTTAGAGGGTGAAGTCTCACGGCTTCCAAAGTTGGATGGACGGAGATGAAGCTTCAACGATCTTCTCCCATTGGAAAGGACGGATTCCGCCGACAGTCTCGTAACATTACGGTAATATTACCACCGAACAGCCTGGAAGAATCACGGGATGATAACGGAATCAACCGAGTTGATACCGTACTTTACTGTAGGTATTTCTCTCGAGGGGGAAGGGGAATAACGTACGTAGAAAAGCATGTTTTCTCTAAGTAGCTGCCTACCTTAACAATGATGGCAGCAATGTCATAAGAGTACTACACTGCTTCCCGGGCCAAAAGAATGGAGCGGAGGATGTTGCCTTCCCCGGATACTGACGTACCAACCTCGGCTTCGGAAGAGCGGTCGCTTATCTTACGATCGCCTCCCCAGAGTCACGCTCAGCAGTGAGGTATCTATGGGGTTCTGGAACCCTGTCTCCTCCATCTTATAACCTCCATCTCTTCTCCACCTCCCTCATTCCCCCAACCGATCTATCCCAGTGCATATCCAATCTCACATCATTACTATCTATCATCTCTGACACATTTGGTGTCTGCCGACTCACATGGGCGTCAACAATGGGAGAACCACCAAGCTCGCCTTGGTGCCGCTCCCTAAAGGCTCCGTTTTGCTTCCTGGAGTCACTCTCCGCATTCCAGTGAACAACCGGCCCGACCTCTCCAACCTTCTGTCGTCCCTTCTCGATCGAACCTCCGCCGCTAGACGGGATGGAACTTCCATCACCTTCGGGTGTGTCCCACTCAGCTCGCCATTCCTCAGTACCGATGGTCAACGTTTGATCGACAACGGCAGTCTAGATGATGAGAAGAAGGAGGAATATGAGGTTCTCGATGCAGGCCAGGCCAGAAAGGAGGATCTTTTCCGTTATGGCACCGTGGGCAAGGTGATTGGCATCCAACGTCGATCCTACTCCGAGGCGTCCCTTGTCGTCCAGGGTGTCCAGCGCTTCACCATCAAGCGTGTCCTGAAAGAAAGACCCTTTTTCGAGGCCGAAGCTATCCTCCATGACGATAAAGGTATGTATTCACATGGCTGCTGTTCTTGGCCATAGCTTGTGGCTAATGTGATTTAATACCAATAGATCTCGCCACAGTTGATTCGGAAACCGTTGAGCTGTTTCAACAACTGAGACGCCTTTCCAAGGAGCTCCTCACTCTTTTACGGCTATCTTCGTTACTCCCCTCTCCCTCTAATCGACTATCACCTCTTCTGGCCCGGAAATTCGAATTGTTCATCTCAAAGACTGACCTCGCGCAAGCTGGAAGACTGGCTGATTTCATGGCGGATGTGACCGATGCAAGCTTCGAGGAGAAGCTGCGGGTTCTTGCATCACTTGACTCGAAGACGAGGCTCGAGAAAGTGGTCGAATTGCTCAGCCGACAAGTCCAAAACATCAAGAATAGCGTGAAGGTCACCACGATTTCCACGAATAGCTTCAACCCCTCCGGGTTCGATATCAGCCAGATCGATCCACGTGACCGTGAGCTTCTGGCCCGACGGGCCATGGCTGGTCTTTCGGGCTTAACACCCCCGGGGGCCGCTGGAAGGAGCAACGACGGAGATGAGAAGGAAGTCAATGAAGTCGACGAGCTGCAGCAGAAGTTACAGGAGGCGCAACTCAGCCCTGAAGCACGGAAGGTAGCTGACAAGGAGTTGCGTCGCCTTCGCAAGATGAACCCTGCGAATGCAGAGTATGGTGTCTGCCGTACCTACCTGGAGAACCTGGCCGATATCCCATGGACCAAAGTCACTGAAGATCAACTTGGGCCAGAGACTTTGAAGAGAGCCAGGAAACAATTGGATGACGATCACTACGGTCTGGAGAAAATCAAGAAGAGACTTCTGGAATATTTGGCGGTTTTAAGGCTCAAGCAATCCACTAACCAGGACGTTGAGCGCCAAATCGCTAGCTTGTCGAAAGACCTAGAAGAGGCAGATTCGGGTGATCTCGAAAAGGAAGTCCCTCACTTGTCTGAGGCAGACCGTGTCGCAGTCGAGACAAAGCTTCATCGTCTCAAATCTAGGAAGATGACTGACAAATCTCCCATTCTGCTCCTTGTTGGGCCACCTGGAACAGGTAAGACGAGTTTGGCAAGGTCGGTTGCTGCCTCTCTTGGGCGCAAGTTCCACCGCATCTCTCTTGGCGGTGTTAGAGATGAGGCGGAAATCAGAGGCCACCGGAGGACCTATGTGGCCGCCATGCCAGGACTGGTCGTCAACGGTCTCAAGAAGGTTGGCGTTGCCAATCCAGTCTTCTTGTTGGACGAAATCGACAAGGTCGGTGGTGCCAACTTCCAGGGCGACCCATCTGCAGCAATGCTGGAAGTCTTGGACCCAGAACAGAACCATACGTTTTCCGACCACTATATCAACATTCCTATCGATTTGAGCAAGGTGCTCTTCATTGCGACAGCCAATTCGCTTGACACGATCCCCGCCCCCTTGCTCGACCGCATGGAGACCATCACCTTGTCGGGTTATACAACCGTGGAGAAGCGGCACATCGCTAAGAGACACTTGATCCCGAAGCAAATTAGGTCCAATGGACTGTCCGATGGCCAAGTCATTCTCTCAGATGAAGTTATCGACAAGACCATCACCGCTTATACTCGTGAATCTGGTGTCCGTAACCTCGAACGCGAAATTGGCTCGATCTGTCGCTACAAGGCTGTCCAATATGCTGATGCAGCTGATACCGGCCGACTGGAAGCTTACAATCCCGTGGTTACCCTTGATGATCTGGAGGAGATCCTCGGGATCGAACGGTTTGATGAAGAAATCGCCGAGAAGCATGGGCGTCCAGGTGTTGTTACTGGCCTCGTTGCTTATTCAACTGGAGGCCAAGGCAGCATTCTGTTCATCGAGGTTGCGGACATGCCTGGAAACGGCCGCGTCCAGCTTACCGGAAAGCTTGGCGATGTTTTGAAGGAGAGTGTGGAAGTAGCGCTAACATGGGTTAAAGCTCATTCGTACGAGTTAGGATTGACTCCTGACCCGAACGAGGATATCATGAAGAACCGCAGTCTGCACGTCCACTGTCCATCCGGCGCCATCCCCAAGGATGGTCCGTCGGCTGGTCTCGCTCATACGATTGGACTGATTTCCTTGTTTACTGGCAAAGCTGTGCCACCTAAGTTGGCGATGACTGGCGAAGTGTCTCTTCGGGGACGAGTAATGCCTGTCGGTGGCATTAAGGAGAAGCTCATCGGTGCTCACCGTGCTGGAGTCAAGACAGTTTTGATCCCTTACCAGAACCGCAAGGACGTGAAGGATGTGCCAAAGGAGGTCAGCGACGAACTTGATATCATCTACGTCCAGTAAGCAATTCCCGCCCCATTTCCACTCTAGTTGAGATACTAATATGATTGCAGACATATCTGGGAAGGTATTCGCCATGTGTGGCCCGACGCGCATTGGCCTGGCCAGCACCACATGAACTTTGTCGAGAGCCGTCTGTAGTGGTCTGTTCACATTAAGCGGGGTTTTGGTTATTATGTGTTTTATTTGTTTTGGCCATCGCTTCTGTCTCATATGTCTACTATCACCACCGTGCAGACTTTGGTATTTGCATAGCGTATCTGCCTCAATCAACGTGCTGTTCCATATAAGCCGACTACACGTAATAGGACGAATAGAGATACGACAGCCTTGGCGTAACGGACTCAACATTAAAATAATGCGCCGAAAAGATATTTATATGGAACAATATAATACATAACACAAGTGGGCAGCATTTATCACATACAGGGGTGTTAAAATAAACCAAGAATTCAACCCACACATACCCCAAACGAAATGAAGAACCCGCTTTTCTATTCCCAACCATCAGTAAGACAAAAGTCAGAACCCAGAAGGGCCGCCATACACCTATGACCTAGGCGAAGGCGCCCCCTTAGGACCCCCGACCACCGGTCTATCATAGCTGAGGCCGAGGGCCTGCCAGGTCGGACGCCAGGGTTTCGAGCCAGACAAAATCTCCTTGGCGGCCTCCTCGAAGACCTCTCGCTCTTCCTTAGGTGCTTGCATGGCTGCATCCGGTCGTTGTGTCTTTTGCATATCTGATTGGTATTTGGCGGCTTTGTGGAACTGGTCGTGCTCCCATCTGTTTGGATTGTTAGCGCACACTGCAGGAAAACTCCCGGGGACGTAGGATGTATCCAGTATGCCAGGGGCAGGGATAAGACGTACGGGGCCATATCCTTGGGAGCCTCGGGCCACACAAATGGCTGCTTCATTTCTACCGTCATTTTCTTCTTCGAGATCGGCCGTCTCCATTTGCCATAGCCGAATTTGTTCATGGGCCGCAGCCGGGTAATCTTCTGTTGCTCGACAAAACTCCGCACGCCCAGCACGTCCACGCCGTACAGGTTCTTAAGGTAATCGCGCATGTCGAGTTTGTTGAAGTTCAGTGGCACATAGAAGGAGGCGTATCGGGGAGGGAGGAAGGGCGTGCGGATGAGGGCGATGGTGAAGTCGGGGCTGGATGTTGTTAGTATGCGAACTCATGTTCTTCCCTGAATGTATTCTATGTTCGTTCGGGCTCGAGATACTGGTACTCACAGAAAGACTTGCTTCCGCATGGACAGCGGCGCCGAAGGAGGCAGCCAGTCCGCGGGCCTCTTCGGAAACTTGGAGAATTGCCGGACCATTTTGAACTCTGTGCTCCGATTCAAACAGACCTTGGACGGAGCAAGACCAATGGGAGGCCGGGGAGGTTGTGGGTGTCTGAAGAATTGATAGAGGGAGATACTGTTTCAGCGTTGATTGGGCTCGGCGGAACTTTCGCAGATCAAAATTGCGCAGGTGGCCGCGCCACGTGCCGTAGCAGATCAGTCCTCTTCTTACTCGACCACCATGCAAAGTTCTTTGGAGACATCGTCCAAGGTCTATGATTTATTCGTCACACAATGGTCATTAAGCTATTTAACATGTTGCATCCAAAGCGCACTACCATCATAACCCCTAGGAGACCTGCAATTCCCCTAATTTTCGAGAGCTCTCGCTAATCTCGTCACCCCCATGGGTATCGTCCTCAGCATTCTCCTCGCGCTCAGAGCCTGAACCCTCCTCTTCCTCGTCTTCTTCATCATCGCTGCCTTTAGTACCCTCTTCGCCGTCACCCTTCACACCCACTTCCTTCATGTAGTTTTCCAGCTCGCGCGCCATCTTCCTAGAGAATCCAGACGCTTCGACTTCGACATCCAAGCGCTTGGCCGGGTTGGTGAGGAGTTGTTTCTTCGCGTCCGCAAAGAAAGGACCGGGCGCATCGCTCACGAAATGGAACTTGCGCTGGAAGTAGCGCTTGATACAGTTCACATCACGGTCGAAGTACATCTCCGCGTTGGCATGGTCAACCGACACCATCTGCGGGAAATCGATCAGAACTGGAATCAACTGAATGTTCTCATCATCCTCGTCGTCTTCCCGGCCTTTCCCTTTCGCGTTGGGGTCCTCCACTTCTTTGATCAGAATATTGAACTCGTTAAAGTCGCCGTGGATCAACCCGAACCGGGCGAGCCGCATAATCATATCCATAAGTTCTTCGTATAACTGCGCCGGTCGGGGCACTTTCGATATCTGGCGTAGCGGGAAGGCGTCGATTAAGCTCATAACGATGGTGTGTCTGTTCTGTGCAATGGGCTCTGGCACCGAGAACCCGTTCTCCCGAAGGGCCTTCATAAATGCGAACTCCTTCATGGCGGCCAAACGCGACATGTACATCCACGAGCCGGTGCTTCGATGCCGAAGATAGTCTCGGTTCGTCTTCACGGTCCGGAAGGAGATACGTCCCAGACGGTGGATCTTCAAAATGCGCTGCGTTCCCTGGTTGTTCGCGACCACGATGATATCCGATTCCTTCCCAACACCAATCTGGTTTCCGACGGAGTAGATACATTTTTGCTTCTGGTGAGCGTTGAGCGCAAGGTAGTCCAGGCCTCCGTAGGTGAGTCGGTAACCGTCATCTGTACAGGGAGGATCGAATCAGCATGCGCTCGAGGAGATAGTGCGGTAATATGTCCTGGTACGTACATTTCGCGTTCTTCACCTTCGCGATAAGGTTGGTCTTTGCCAGGTTCGAGATTGCACGGTGGACTCCGCTGCCACCGCGAAGACCAGAGATCTGCGCAATCAAAGGCGTCGGAACAACCTCATGATTCCGACTTCCAGTCTCAACCTATAGAAAGAGACTTGTTAGTCGTCAGACAACAAGTTGCGAAACAATCCGGCAAGCGCCGGGGGGCAGGGGCATACAGCAGAGAGAACACGGAAATCCTCGTTCGTGAGGTAGCGGATCGCCTTGGGATCAAGCTTCATGGTGCTGATTAATCTAAGGGATCCAGACCGTAAGAAATATTGGCGTTTTCAACGAATATCGTCTGTTATCGAGATGGTCTTCGTTGCCGTCATTTCTTTGAGGCGGAAAAGTTGCAGTCCTCTTGCCCTATGCCCTAGTTTCCTATCTTGGAAGTTCCGTCATGAGGAATGAATTCAAGTTACTCCGCTCCAAGATATTACAGCATTTGACCTGGACAAATAAGTAGAGTATGCAAGTATTTCGATATGGCTATTTTCATTGATCCTTGTGATCAGGAACTTGTCTTAATGTCAACATCACCCTGCGATTTACCTTTACCACATTATATATATATATATCTACCACACGAACCTGCGGGTAAATAGGAAAGACGTGGATTTATCATAGATGACTAGAGCTGTTCACCGAATCGTCTGAATACATTAAACCTAACACTATCCAGCGCATAGATTATCGCCCTGCGCCCGATCCAATGCCGCCTGATTTTGGATCCCCATGAGGTTGAGATTCAACACCAACGGCATTATAGCCTGTCAAGTGAGTGGGACCAGTATCTCAATGCGAAAAAAATTCTAAGGGAGATTGCTTCCCTTAAGCAGGGGCTTCCCAGTCCGGATTCTAGGAACTGATGTTAGTATTGAAGACTCCCATACAATGACTATCTGAAGTACTCACTTTGCGCAGAATAACTAGTCCCTCGAGGGTGCTGCTGAGAGGAATGTACTGTTCATCTTCGAGCTCTGCTCTCTCGCCATAAGCCAAAAGGACAGGGGTGCTCTGTGTCTGCCAGCCAGTGATCGTCTTCGGACGGCCAGCCTGTCCAACAACATCCACAGCCTGTCCTACACGCACGTTCACAGTAAGGGGCTGCAGATCCTCATCAAGAGTCACAAGGAATCTCGGGTACATAGCGGTGATAAGGAAGTAAAGGAGATAGTGGTGCTCCCCAAGAATGAACTGCTTGGCATCGATCAAGGACACCAGCACTGTAAGCAGACCGGCAGCGGATACCCGGGACAGCACCTGACGATCTGTGTGGAAGGGGTTCAACGTCATGGTAGCCTTGCCCATATGGAGGAGACCTTGCGCGATGCGCACCATGAACAGTGCGTTTTGATCACGGTGGTAATAGCTAGCCAACTGCCGGAGCAATTGTGCCAGACGGGCGTTCTTGGTACCAGCACCGCAAAGACCCATAGCAAAGATCGCGTTAATAGCGACATCGTTATCGTTGTCGTGACTGTATCTCGACAGGGTATCGTAGACCTTCATCTGAGGGTTGCTCGGGTTGATCAGACCCATAGCAAGGGGAACCGCCTTACGGATATTGCTGGCACCGTAGTGCATGAGGTGACCAAATTGCCGAAGGATCATGTCTTGGCCGACCTCCTCACCCATCGCGATGAGGGACAGACCGAGGACGGCGTATGACTGGACAAGCTCATCACCCTTCTTTTCCTCGCCCTCTTCAATGATGTCGTTGCAGATGTGGAGGAGCTCCTGGAGTTTCAGCACCGTGCCGGTTCCCGCCCAAGCGCAGACCGAAGCAAGCACAGATGTAGGCTTGGCCATGGGGTGGTCCACAGCCTTAAGAATGTCGAGGATGACATCGACTTCCTCCTGACGTCCGAAGTACAGCAGAGCCAGACCCAGGGCCATAAACCGGGTCCATTTATCCTTGAGCTGCTTCTGTCGCTCTTCATCCATCAGGGTGGTAGCAATGGCTTCGCTGACCTGATGGTTCGAGGAACCGACGAAAATGAGACCCAAAGAGACGGCAGCCATTGCCGAGAGTTGCATGTCAAGAGAAACATCCTCAACAATCGGAAGTAGAACATCAAGAAGTTCCTCCTTGTTCGAACCGGCATAGGCCAAACCAAGACCCATGATGGAGGCGATTCGCATCGGCACACTCTTGGCCTCCAAGTTGTCGGGATCGCTCAGAAGGGCCAAAGCAGGATCAGAGTCCACCCGGACGCCGGAGTTTAGAATACCGATGGCTAGTAGCGCACCCGCTTTGATCTGATCTTCCGAAGCGTACGTGAATCTGTCGATCTTGTCCAGACCAGCCTCAACATCCCGGTGCAAGAGCATACCCATCGATGCAGTGGTCGAAAGCATGCCGTCATCCTTAGTCTTCCAAACCCAAGGACCCTTATCACCCTCGACGAGCATCATCTTGTCATTACCGTATCCCGCGTTTGCGAAAGAGTTGACGAAGGCACTGGCAAGGTTGTGTCGAGCCGAATCGACGTTGGTGAGTCCTGCGCCGCGGCTGCTTTCCAGGTGAGTCTTGTAGATATCCTCCGGCATCGTTGGGTCGAGAATGTTGAGCTCCTTTCCGAGAGACTTGAAGTGCTTGGGGATGGAGGTGTTGTTCAGACAATCAACGAAAGCCTCGTCCTCCTCATCCTCATCGGTCAGGTCAAGCCATATCTGCTGCCGGGCAATCAGGAAGGCCATTTGTCTCTTGAGAGACTTGTCAGTTGTGGCATTCAAATCGCTCCTGATAAGATCAGTGTCGTTCAAACGGATGGCAAGTACGATGGCCTTGGTGAGTTCTTTGTATCGGACGTAAATCTCGTGGGCGGTGCGGAGGAACTGTTGGTCTTCGGGGTATGTGAGGAGGTTAACCATGGAAACCATGTAAAGACACACCCGGGAATAGGTGTTCTCGTCCAAGAACCGCGGGATTTCCTCGATAATCTCCAGCTCGCTCAGCAGGTCGACGGCATCGGCCTCCGCGTTATGGCTCAAGAAGTAAGGGACAAGAGACAGCGAAAGATCGATCAGATCTTGGACGTCCTTCTCCGCATTCAACCTGTTCTGATATTCCTGACCGATTTCCAAAGCAAGGTGTCTAATATATTCGTGACCCCAGGAACCCAGGTCATCAGACTTCGTGAGTAGGCGGTACTTCAGCGTCTCTAGTTTCTCTTCGTCTCCGTAGGTCATTCCGAGGACCGAAAGCATATCGGCTAATGAGTCCTGTATGACATAGTGGTGTTATTATCGCCTCACTGCACAGACGAGGGGCCTTTGAAACCAACCTTGACGGAGCCCGCGGCCCACTTATCGTAGAGTCCCGCCAGCTCGTCATAATGTGGCCGGAGGAACTTGAGGGGCTTTGGGACAGCTGTCATCGAAGAAGTGGAGGTCTTGATAAAATTCTTGATCGCGTCTAAGGCAGGCCCATACAGAGAGGTATCCGGTTCCTATACGCAAAGTCGGACACGTTAACGTCATCGTTCAGTGGGCGGGAAGTCGCCATCTCCAATACATCCCATACCTTTAGCCGCTCCACAAGCATCTCCAGTTCATTCTTCAGCTGTTGGTCTTCTTCGCTGAGCTCCTCTAAATGGGTTATTGTATTAGTAACAGACCAGACGACTGGACTGGGCGGATAGTGAAGGAGCCATCGGCTTACCTTCTTCCTTCTGCTCCTCATCCTTCTTCTTTCCATCTGCTTGTGTTGGCTTCTCATCGTTCTGAGCGTTCTTTCCTCCAGTCAACTCCTTCACATCATCGACCTTGCCTTTGCCCTTGTCGGCGGGAGCTGACCGCTCGCCGTCTTTCGCCATTTCTGACGGGTATCTGGGGAGACGGTAATCGAAAGTGGAGGAACGGGGGAAAGGGAAAATGGAAAGGCGGAGGAAGTAAAGGAAATGAGGGATTGGAACAAACGGGGTCTCTGAACACCACAGGATGCAGCAGAGAGCGGATTATGAGCTTGTTGATGGAAGCAGAGAGAGCTCTCTCGTTCCGTCGCCGCTCGGGCGTTGCGCTCCTGGTGGAGCTCCGACTGATTATGTAAGACATTCCCGCCAAGAATCACTCGGTCGTCATGCATCAGTTTATGCTTTGCATACAATACTCTACAACATTAGGAGAGCGGAGGTCTGAGTAACCAATTCCAAGACTAGAACAACAGAAATACTAAACCAAGGCGCCATTTGTATACAGGGTATATATGCGTCAATTTTTAATATATCCACAGACAAATCCTTTGAACTTCAACCTGATAAACAGAAGAGATCGTCTGGCCTGACATTAACCACGCGATCATCGTTACAGCCCCCATAGCGAGATCTAAATTGTTGCGCGTACTCTTCAGTTTGTCGAGAAAAGGCAAGTCCGCTCAGTTCATTCCCTTGATAGGACAATACTGGCAGATGATCTATGTCGACAAGCTCGGATGAGAACTCATCCAGAAGGGGCATGACGGTCGAGGCTTGACTGAGTGGTTTTTCAACAGCTCCAAGTTGGCCAAAATCTGCCGTCAAGGGTTTGAACGGGTCATCAATCGGAGTAGGAGGTTCGTCTGCCGACTTTGCCTTGCCGTCAGAGTACTCTTCCGGAAACCGGTATAGTTCGTTGTGGACTGTCGCCAGAGAGGAGGCTCCGCTGGCGGGAAATGCCGGGTACAACAGGTAGTAACCTTTCGCGCGAATCAATTCCAAGAGGTATTCCATGACAGCCGGGTACTTTTTCGAAACAATTCTCTCTTGAACTGAGCTGTCTGGTGTAGTAGCCAGGATTGGAAGGCGTTTGGACAAGAAAGAATGAAGCTCGACCCACTTGTCGCCAAAATACAATGCCGCGTTAGTATTTGGAGCCTGCCAAAGGAAGCTGGGCGACGGGCGCCCTGGGGCGTTGTTTGATAGGCCGTCACTCTCCGAGATTGGGGGTGTAAAAGGTTCGTCGTCCGTGATATGAGTCGATGGAAGTTCCAAAGATACCCCAAACAACCCGGAACCCAGCTGCTTGTAGCGAGCGGAGTATTTATATTTCAACATCGTATACATCAAGTAATGATAGAACGAGGGAGCCAATTCAGTTTGAGGTGAGAGCATCAGCACGTGGGTAACGTTTGGATCCTTGGGATAGAACGCCTCCACGGTCTTCAAAGACGCCTCGGCTGGATCAAGGTGATGTAGCTGTATACGTCTTCTAATTGTCAACTTACCAGCTGCAGCAGGGGGCCAATCTAAGGTTTTCAGAAAGTGGAGGAGCTGGGGGTCAACATCCGCGGGAAGCTCAATAGTTAGACCGGGCGTCGATCCAAGGTAGTCGGCCTCTTGCAGCGACCGAACCAGTCTAATGAGGGAACCGGAAGACTCTGGCTGTGCATTGACGAGGAATTCAACACGAATATCATTCCACACTACAGGACTTGTCAGTATGTCACATCTCGTAGGCGGTTTCCACGGATCTATACCTCGAAGAGCATGAGTGTCCAATGTGGATATCCACATGAGATTCCTTGCGACGCTCGGAAGGGTGATATGAGGAATGCCGAATTCTCGAGACATCGACCGAGAGCCTCTGAGGAAGAAGGCTTGTTCCAGCGATTCGCCATGTGTAATGATCACTTGAGGACGGATATATGCATAGACATATTTAAGGCCGACGGCAACCGCCCTCTCCATTCGGCCGTCCGTCGAGAACTGCGCATAGTCTGGTCGGGCATCTGAACCAAGGATGTCAGCCAGGATTGTTCAGCACGTCGCATTAGTCAAACATAATACATACCATGCCAGTTGATTAGGCAATCCTCATTGCTGATACCGTTCACACGTTGTAACCCTTCAATTGAAATATCATCCCTCCCCATCAGCACAAAATGGACTTCATTCGTTTTCTGACTGGCCATTCGACATGCAAGTTGCAATAGATCCGATATGCTTTCCAAGCTGGCGCCAGCAATGACTACATCGTGACTAGGTGTTCCGCGATGGCTCCCTAGTTTCTGGAAGAGCTTCAAGCTCGCAGCCAAACCATAGAATTTCACTTCCCCTTCATAATAGAAGTCCTGTTTGTTGTCTGCCGCAGGTACCCCTCGAGACGGAGGATTCTGGTCTGGAATCGCAGGCGATGGCGCTGGACGTGACCATTGCGCTGGAGGTATCTGCTGAGATTGCGCGAATACCGGTCGTTCTCTAACAGGTGTAAGGTCGGTCGGCATGTTCTTAAAAAATAGGTATAAAAGATATAGAGCGACGAGGACTAGGAGCGACCGGCGGCGCGGTAGTCTCCATTGTGATTTCGAGTGCCAGAGATGTTCTCGATCAGATCGGCGCTTATGGTCGTCATCCTTCTTGCCGAGCTCCTCATCGGCCATTATATGCCTCCTGGAAGACAACATGATGGGCGCATGGGAAAGGGAGCTCCAAGGGAGCGTCGAAGGCTCGAAGTATCATTTGACGATGAGAGGATGGAAGTGAACAAGTAGTTAGATCAAGACTTCAAGGAATGGCATGGGGATTGACGGTTGCGGAGTTGGGGATTAATCTTATCGAGGTCACGGGAGTTTGTTTCGCTTATCAGTTATCGCCTTTTGTTTGTTCCCCAGATGTTTCGACCAGAACATCTGCCTTCCTGGCAGCCTTTTTCTGACATTACAAAAGCCAGAGCATCAGCCTGGACCATTCATCGAAGTTGAAACGTCAGCGGTATCTTATGTACGTTGTTCGGTGGCTTGGATTGGGCTCCCGTTACGTTCAACCGTGTTCCGCTCGCTCCTTGATGGTGGATTGTATAGGGAATTCGAGGAACAGGACAACTATAAAAGCAAGTTGTTTCTCCAGGAATAATGGACGCTGAAATGGAACTGGACCCCAGCGAACTCCGCGGCACAAAACGGCCAGCTGAAGAGGATGTCGCCCCCCAGAAGCCCAAAAGGATTAGGGTCAGTTTCTATGCATCAAAGAGTGATTCCAAGCAGACCAGACTGATTGCTGGAACCAGGCACTTGACCCGGATGTTGTGAATAAGATTGCCGCAGGGGAGATCATTGTCGCTCCCATGCATGCTCTGAAAGAACTGATTGAGAATGCTGTGGACGCTGGTTCCACATCCCTCGAGATCTTGGTCAAGGATGGAGGACTTAAGTTGCTCCAGATTACCGACAATGGCCATGGCATAGATGTAAGTACATGCAAACATGATCAAAATCTCGGAAAGATGTCGGTCATCTAACCAAAGAGAGTACAGCGAGATGACCTCCCTATCCTTTGTGAGAGGTTTACTACGTCCAAGCTGAAGCATTTTGAAGACCTTTCATCTATTGGAACGTATGGTTTTCGAGGCGAAGCGTTGGCTAGCATTAGCCACATCGCCCATCTTACTGTGACCACTAAGACGGCGGGCTCCAGCTGTGCATGGCGAGCCCACTACAGTGACGGCAAGCTTGTGCCTGCTAAACCGGGGCAGAGTGCCGCGCCCAAAGCCACAGCTGGACGCGGTGGGACGCAGATAACAGTATGAGATATGACGATCCCTGATACGCAGGCAAAGCTAATTGAAATAGGTGGAAGATCTATTCTATAATGTCCCAACTAGACGGCGTGCTTTCCGTTCGGCCAGCGAAGAGTACGCGAAGATCCTGGATGTCGTCGGACGGTATGCAGTCCATTGCTCCGGAGTGGCTTTCTCCTGTCGAAAACACGGCGACTCAGGCGTCAGCATCTCAACCCCGGCTGCAGCCAACACCACCGATCGAATTCGCCAAATTCACGGCAGTGCCGTCGCAAACGAGCTCGTGGAATTTAAGATCGAAGACGAGAAACTAGGCTTTCGCTCATCCGGTCTCGTCACAAACGCCAACTACCACGTGAAGAAAACCGTGATTCTGCTCTTTATCAACCATCGCTCTGTCGAATCAACGGCTGTTAAGCGCGCCATTGAGCAGACATACGCCAGCTTCTTGCCGAAAGGCGGCCATCCGTTTGTCTACATCGACCTGGAAATTGAACCGCAGCGAGTCGATGTGAACGTGCACCCGACGAAGCGCGAAGTGAACTTTCTCAACGAAGACGAAATCATCGAATGCATCTGCAACGAAATCAGGTCAAAGCTCGCTCAGGTGGACTCGAGCCGAACGTTCTTGACCCAGACCCTCCTCCCGGGAGTGACAACAATGGAATTGCCCTCCCGCGACAACACCGCCGACGCAGGAAGCACTACCCCTAAGACGCCCGCAGCAGCAAAGAAGCCATACGAGCATAACCTCGTGCGCACGGACTCCAGAGTCCGCAAGATCACATCGATGTTGACCCCAACTGCACCCCACGAAGCGGTAGAGGAAGCCGGCTCGTCCGTTCTCGACGAGGGTCTACAATACGAGACTACAGACAGAGAGCCGCTGAAGATCGCACTTACGTCCGTCAAAAACCTCCGCGCAAGCGTTCGCAACGTAATGCACAACGCCCTGACGGAGACCATCGCATCCCACACTTACGTCGGCCTCGTGGACGAACGACGGCGGATCGCAGCCATCCAGTCCGGCGTGAAGCTCTACCTGGTCGATTACGGACTCTTCTGCAGCGAGTTCTTCTACCAAGTCGGGCTCACAGACTTTGGAAATTTTGGCGTTATCAGACTCGACCCAGCACCAAAGCTCATAGACCTCCTACAAATCGCGGCCGACGCCGAACGAGAGAGTCGTGAGGCCCGACGTGTCTCTCAACCCGACTCACAACAGACGGCCGAAGAAACCGAGATCTTCGCCAACGCCCCGGCCATGGTTGCGAGGACCCTCATCGACAGGCGCGAGATGTTAGAGGAATACTTCTCCATCCGAATCTCCGCCGAGGGCGAACTCCTCTCCATCCCACTCCTGCTCAAGGGCTACGTTCCCTGTCTCGGCAAGCTGCCCAAGTTCCTTCTTCGATTGGGCCCGTATGTTGATTGGACGAGCGAGGAGGAATGCTTCCGCACGTTCCTTCGCGAACTAGCAGCTTTCTATACACCCGAACAACTTCCACTTCCTCCAACAGACGGTGCATGCGGCGAGGTGGACTCTGCTACTGAGAACGCTGGCCGTCAGACTGGAGTAGAGGAAGACGATATGGTCAAGCAACGTCGACTCCAGTTGGCGCGAATGTTGGAGCACGTCATTTTCCCCGCTATTCGGAGTCGGCTAGTTGCTACAACGCGACTACTCCACGGGGTGGTGGAAGTGGCTGATCTGAAAGGGTTATATCGTGTTTTCGAGCGCTGCTAATCCCTGTTCCTCTAGCTTTTTATTATATAGAAACTGTCTAAATATGAAATCGTGTATTTACCCCGGCATGTACGAAGTATCCGATATGATCCTGGTGCTCAATAGATAGGACTGCCTAATGCAAGAGGTGTTGTCTTCCTGTTGTCTGTAGCTACGAATTGAACACGGGAGTCACCGTCGAACCCCCTTCATCTGGACCGAAGGATACCTTTTCAGCAGTTCACTCTAGATGGAGGGCGCAGCTTTGTATGAGCCCTTTTGATGCTTGCCATATCAACGTATCAAACCATGCGTATGTGCAAACCCCGAAGGGAAAAGGGTGTCAAAGAAGCTCAGAGACATTGCCGCTTGAAGTGGATATTGGATCATTCCCAAGTCAAATTAGGTAGACGAAAAGAAAACCGGCATGAGATGTACAGTGTATCCCATACAGGATCATAGCAGGACGCCGACCTGAATCATCAAAAAAGATCATTTGCCAGAAAGCCCACGAAACCATATACTCATATAGAACCGTCCGAACTCCAATAGAGAAACAATTCACATAAGATCGTCCGTTACACATCCAATCATGTTCGTCGTCATCGCGTCATCCGTGTCGTTCATGTACAGCGTCCCTTCGAAATGCGCAAGTCAAGTGGGTATGGTGTATCCGTCCTTGAGACCACTATCTTGAGTAGGGTTTGTTCATGAGCGCAATTTCGCGGGCCACAGTAGGCCATTCGAGTTCCCGCTTCAAAAGCTTCTTGCGCTTCTGTAATTGCAGCTCTTCCCACTTTAGCAGTTCATAGCTGTGCGCGCTTGTTAGCTGCTAAACCAAGAAGCATGCTAAGCTTCGGGTAAACTTACACAAACCGCAGATGGGGCTGAATAATTACGTTCAATCGCCTAGCCCGGACGAAGCAACTGGAATGATGCGTTAGTTCTCGCTAGTTATTCGGGATGCATTTGGACATACTAAGCTCTGGGGAACGAAAGCCCATAGGACGCCATGACTTCGGCGATGCAGATTGTTGCTGATCGTGATACGCCAACGCGGCAGTGCACCAACGTAGCCGTCCCATCATGTTTACCTTGGCCTGCAAATTTGGTAAGCAAGAAGCAAGACATACTACCAACAGCCAACGGGGAGGAGTGAACATACGGATGAAGTCAAGACATCGATCGAACTCTTGAGTCAAGGGATCGATTCCGTTGTCCTGGACCTGAGTAATATGCAAAATATTTTCTGGGCCCATCTTGGAAATCTCGGAGCTGTTCCACGAGACGGATTCGCCAATGCTCAGAATACGTCTGATACCCAGTTCCCAAAGCATCTCTGGGTTGTTTGCGTGAGACAGGTTGCCGAGGTACATGTATGGCAGAATTCGACTTGGAAGAGAGCCGTCGCAGTACTTGAACCAAGGAGGATCGGGGAAGCTGGTAATCCCATGGGCGTGGGCTGCGGGACTTTCTTGAAGGAGCCTTCCTTGCACGGTGGTTAAGAATGTGACGTCCGACGGATAGGCGAAGAAATTGCGTTTCTTCTCGCGGTGAAGTTTCAGCCAGGCATCATGGGCCGGAATCCCCTCAGAAAACATCACATATGCAAGCATAAGGAGCGAACTCTCCGTATAACCATCCGGACAATGGATAAGTATCTTGCGGCTCTTCTTAGATAGCGGAAGCATGGGAATATCGCCATCGGCATCTGGATGATGGTCTGGCCCATCTGGGTTCGCTAGATAGTAGATCCACCGGACTGTGTTCACTAGATCATCCACTTCTCGGTTCTCACTCGATGGAATTAAGATCGAACCAGACGATGGAAATTCCATCCGCTGAGGGCCGTCATCAAGTTGTTTGTTCAGCTTGGCGAGGAGCCGAGGACCTGGGATACTAGCAAGGTCGCTCGCCTCGATGAACAGGTCGAAGTCTTCTAATATGGGCTCACATGATCCAGGTCTTAAGATATGATCTGGCGTAGGACCTTGCCAAACATTGGTTGAAAATTCCGACGCTCGGGACATGTCGCACATCTCCAGGCGCTCCCATTGAACTTGACGCATATTAGCGGCAGACACATCACAAGCGGACATGAGACTTACAGAAATCTACCACTTGGCCGGTCAGTTGACCTTGTGTATTGATGGCAACCAGTTCCGGCGTCTTGTTTTCTAGTTCAGAGAATGAGGCTGTTCATTGGTCAGTGTCCAATTGAGACGAATGAGAACGGTCTACATGGAACTCACAGGAAAGAATAAATGTGTTATAGACGGGCAGCGTATTGTCGGGGTCATTTGTGTCTTTCCAAAGCTGCTGGGCAAACGCGACACCCTTGGCTGCATCAAGCAGTTGCTTTTCGCTGATGCCATCGGCGCCGTAAAGCACAATATCAGATAGGGGAGCCAACTTGGCTGTTTGAATTTGGAAGTTGCGCACGGAGAAACCTTCGCGGGGGTCTACGGCAAGAAATTCATGGCCTGATGGCGCTAGGATCTCTTCCGGGGACACTGCGCCTTTGATCCTCGAGGTAGTTAGGTCACCCCCAACTTTGACGATAACGATTCCGCGCCAGCACTTAGGGGTGCGCCGAAGAGAGCGTTTCCGGTTCGTGAAGAAGCCTATCTGCAGATGATTCTCGGGATGCAGACCATGTAACCACGGAAAGACGAGACTGGGGTCTGGCAGTGGTTGGGTGGCATAATGCTCTACTGCAGCAGACAGTGCCATAGCATCCAATGTATATACCTTCGGGCAATCGCAAACTTGCCGGAATCCATTCGGTGGATAAAGCAGGGAAGCGGGTTGGTTGGTGACATCATCTTTGCCGGGAGGGGAGGCTGTTTGGGAGGTAATCGGCGAGGTGCCTGCCGGGCAAATGGGCAAATGTTTGTTTGGTATCGGAGATGAACTTCGGTTGAGATTCAAGGAAGGAGAGATTCCCGCGGGAGGAGGGGTGGAATGGCGGAGGGTGTGTTGTTGGCGCACCACGACGGTCGCCATCTTGGAACAATCAACGTGTCGCAGCGGCTGGGAGCTTCAGCGCAAGAAGAATTGACAGGTATATAGACCAGTCTGAGAGACCTATGTTGATACAATTGGAAATGAATGCGATCGAACAATGATGTGGTCGTCCAGAAACAGGTCCCAAGGAATTGTATCGACATGCGCCCGCGGATTTCTGGGAGGAATATTGCCTTGTTAGTCTGCGAGCAGTGACCATACCGCGGACGGAGTGAAGGAATGGGTCGCGTACATCTGTAGTCTTCGAGGCAACAAAAGATCTTCAAATCTCTCAGGTGTTCGCAGATGCTTTGAGAGGGACGAACTCCCGAGGCTCTATTACGTCGGTCGAAGAGGGGGGCGTTCCAGACTAGGAGCGGGAAGATACCCACAGCAGTAGATGATAGATTGCCCACCCCCACAGTGATAAGGACGGTCACGTTCCGGAGAGTGGGAAGGAAACGAGGGAAGAACAGATCAATGAAGGATAGACTAGGAGGATACGGAGGAAACGGGTAGAAGCAAGGGGATAGTTGAGCGGTAAGGATAGTCAATGCAGGCAAAGGGGGGAGGAGAGTGAATGATGAGAGGAGAGAAGTGGAGGGAGTGGACGAAGGGACGAAGGGAGGAGAGGAAGAGAAGAAAAAGAGGAAAAGGAGGAGGGGAAGAAAGTCAGCGAGGTGAGGCAAGGTACATGGAGAAGGAGGTGTACTCCGAAGTACCTCCTGTATGTACAATCTCTTCGATTATCTTTGCGACCGAGACCATCGCATGTACCAAGATGTACCCGTGGCTGCCCCTCTCATAGTATGTGCTTCTTACCTACCTCTCCTCGTATCTGCCTACATAATCTATGTATGATCTTTAATCGCGAAATTTACTGTTCGACATTCACACAATGTTCATTGTTTGTGTTTCCTGGGGGAGAAAGGGAGAGGAGCGGATATCCGCTATGCTATGTTGCCATCAATTTCATCATGATCATTCTTTGCGGGTGGATTTTCCCCACACCTCATCCCCCTCCCCCCCATAATCGTCCATCTTATTCCAACTTACTGTTTGCAGCGAATGACTTCGTCTATCCCACTTGAACGTTGCTCGGATCGACAACACGTACGCGATTAAATCCTCACTTCCTCTTTTGGAGAGACACCTTGATCATTACTTTCAACAACCCCCCTCTTGGGACAAAGGACATCCCACACACCCACCCAGAGTCTTGACGCCAACACCACCCGTGTCACGTCCAATAGGGCCGAAAGGAAAGCAACCTTCCCGGGCTCTGGACCACCGACGTCCACGGTGACACAGGGATAGGGAACGAACTAAGGCAGCCGAGCAAATTAGAGGGCCCCTCGTCAGCAATACGGCTGGGGAGTCAAACTCACTTGACGTAGCCGGGCGTTGCCATTGGCACCAGGAATTCCCCGGGTACCACCCCCTCCTTTATCTCTACGAGCCACCATTGGGCTGCGGCACCCATGGTTCTTAGGCGTCATGCGTCCTCCCAGACTCAGAGCATGCATGGTGAATCCGTGATATGGAGCCACAGCGTCTCGTCGGGTTGTTGGCCGCTTTTGGGCTTCAAAACATGCAATTGACTACCTAGGCAGTTTGCTTACGCTCCCCTGCGCGATGAGCTGTTGTATGATATAATACTCTTTCTTATCAGATACTTCGTCAGGTGGGAACCCAACCGGGAACGTGTCTGCTTACCCGTTCTATTCCTTGGCCAGGTCCAATGTCATAGCTCCTTACCACCTACTGATTGGCCACATCTCCGAACTCCCATTAACTGAAAGGGAAAGGATAAGTTCCCGTTGGACGGAAAACCGCAATCAGGTTGCCGTGGCGTTGCATTCGGTTCTTTTGTGACTGTTGAACTCCTGAAGCATGATTCATCATCTCCTGGAAGTAGGAGCCTCTTCGCTGATATGGGGCAAATTTTCAATTTCAAAGGTGGTCTCACAATCTGGGCTTGAAGCATGCTCGTTTGGCCTAGATACGATACAGTCAGTCGGGCCTCGGCCACAAAGGCTAACGCAAGAGTGGATCCAGACCTCCCGGGATGACCGTGTTACCAAAGCCATGCATGTCAGGGGATCTGACATCGAAGCATGATCAGAGGAATAACGCAAAAGCCAGTCAACTCATTGCATCAACCGCTCGCCAGTTTAAACCAGGATCTTTTCCTTGAACTCTTGTGCGAGTCTGAGCAGGTAGAATTGCGCCATGTCCTGCGGGATGCCGTCAAATGATCTCACAATCTTTTGCAAGTCGTTCCGTGCTTTCTCATACGCATGCAGGTCGCGATTCCCATAGACGTCCCGACCCGCCGCGTATCCCTTATCCAAATTACGGAAGAAAACATTGACCGCAACGCTGACTTGTCCGGTTGGAGCAGCCGTATGTAACCAGAGAGGCGGCAAGAACAGAATATCACCAGGTGTTAAAACTGCCTCGTGCGGTGAAGTGTTCGGCACTGGGATAATCGATCCGTCCTGCCTGTCTTGGAAGATATTCAAAGTAGAGCTCGATGCGCCTGCAGGGACCTGGAGGTGCTCCACATCTCTGGGTGGGAAGAGAATGAGTCTCTTGTCGCCACGAATCTGACACAAGACATTCGCCATCACCTGCGGGAAATTGGTCAGCGGCGAATCGCAATTGTTCTCCGAATATGAAACTTACGTCGTAATGAAGCCACAGCGTAACCGGGCCTGATATCCTAAGCGGGGAGCTATGGGCCCGCTCGGTCACCAGTGAAAATGGCTCCGGTAGCCGAAAGTCATTCTCCAGACCCGGAAAGTCTAACGCGAGATTCGCGGGAAGTTTACTCGGTTCTTCGGCAGATATACTGCGGAGATACTGGCGACCCCCGGCGTGGACCTCGTCCAGAAATGTGCCAAATGCTTTGGTCACGTAGGAGAAATTCTTAGACTGGAAGCTCATGTTTTCCGATTGAGCTTCATGCACGACAACCTGATTTGTATCGGTTAGAAAGCATATTAGATGGAGCACTAGGTACCTATCAACCTACTTTGCGGTCACGGCCAACAGCATTGGCTAGATATTCCTGCGTCCAGAGCTCCGTGCAGGGTCCAATATCGGATCCTGTAATGATTACGGGCTTGCCGTCAGCCAAGACACTCTGGAACTGCGAGGCTGTTTCAACGCGTACACGAGGCACCGTGGTGATCTCACTGCCGCTTTTCTCCTTCGTCGTGTCGGCTTCCAACCCTGACACTCCTGAGATGGCCTGGGTCTGCGATAGCGTTTGCTGGACAGATTCTGGGACGAGAGCCCAGTTGTTATCCGTATTCGAAGTGGCCTTCTGCAACAGCCATGTCCCCTCAGTCCAAAATGTACCAAAGGAAAAACAAACAGCCCCGCCTCCCAAGATCAGGATCTGGTCAGAGTCGACAGCGCGGGAGACATGGCCGACGAGGAGTGGTCTCGGGCTTTCGAAGTTGGCACCTAATCCGATCGCAGATATTATCTGGCCCTCGGAGGATGCATTTTCAGAACCCCTCGTCAACCCTGCTGTATCCAACAACATGATTTCTTTATGAAATGGAACAACTTGCCGCGGAATGATCCCACCGACAATAATCAATCCTTGCGAAGACTGACTGACAGTCGCTCCGAACCGGTTCAAGTACTTGAACAAAGGAGAGGCCCGTAACCTTTCTGTCTGCTCTTCCAGCTCCAAAAAGCAAGACCCGTCATTTCGCTGGTGCAGTTTCCATACCCAAAAATCTTCCAATATGGTGCCATCTTGTCCCATACCGCCGAACATGACGCCCGATGTGTCGTCAACAGCAGCAAGACAAGCTCCGAAACGAGCTTTGAGATTGGGTTCTTTAGTTTCGACGGACTGCCATTGATTGCTGTTGCTATCCCACAACAACCATGTGTCAAGCGTCTTACCCCCCGATGCCTTTCCACCGTATATAAGAACGTATTCGGTGTTGAGTGTCACCTTGATGGCGCTATGTCTGAACCGAGGATCCGGCATGTCTTTGACGGCGCGCCACTGGTCGTTTGCCCGGTACCAGCAATACTGGAACACAGTAGCGGGCGAAGCGCGACCGCCAACGAGCAAGCAGGTGTTGTCCTTCAAGTCAGTCAAAGTATGGCACATTCGTGCCTCCACATCCCCCGAAGGAAAGGCATGCTGAGGAAAAGTAATCCGGTCAGAGTTGGCGTAGAGATCTGTTGACGCTAGTCGTGTCTGACGGCCCAAACCCCCATAGTGGCCAACCGAGTGTGCACCATCCGAGATGAGAGCTCCGAAACGTCTCTGTCCACCCCCAGCAGATGGTTTCGGGAGTAAAGTGAACTGGCGGGACACGTCCATTGCCTCGTTTTCCGCCGCGTCGTGGATATCCAGTGTAGAATCCGGCCTCGTAGAAGCACGTAAAAGGAAATAATGCGAAGCGAAGAGCGCAAATTCCTCCCACTCGTCAAAGGGTTCGATGGCGTCCAGGGACATCCTCAGGGAACTGGGAACAAAGTGATCGTCGGACCATAGCTCCCAGAGACTGCGTGCCTTTGCTTGGGCCCAGCCCGCAGACGTGAACCGCTTTTCCTGTTCCTTCAAAGATGGATACTTATGGATCGAATACAGAGGGGCGCCGAGCTTCTTGAAGTGTTTCATCATCGTCGACGCGAAAGGGTGGTCAGGGCCATCTGGAAAGAACTGTTCCAGAATGCAGAATTGGGCGTCTTCGTGCAACGAGTTAGTAGTCGATCGACGAGTGTAAGGTGTTATAGGGAAGGTTCTGACCATCACTCAGCTTCGAAGCCCAATTGACAACAGCGTTGGCGGACTTCACGTCCATGTACGTCAGAGATACTTCGGCGAGAAACAGCACCGAGCACCGTTCGGGGAGGATTTTGGTCCTCAGCACTTTGTCCAACTTTTCCAAGTTCTTCAAGTCGCAGCCAACGGCCAGGTATCTCTTGCTGCGGATTTGGATGGGGTCGGTGTCCAGGAAGAATTCTACATCCTCGAGGTGTCGAATGATGTCGTCCGAGCTTTGGATGGCGGTTTTCTTATTGACCATAAGCTTCTCATAGTCGATGTCCACGAATGTTGTGTTTCTACATAAGGAACTTTCACCACTGAGAAGCATGTATGGCAGGGGGTCACTACGACGGTCTATCTTAGCATACGGTCCAGCGAGCCTCGATGTCCGCTACGACTCACAATCCACAGCCAAGATTTAAGACAAACTTGGGTCTATCCGATGGTTCTTTCATGAACTGACGCACTGTCTCTGCCATCGCATGCATACGGAGCCAATATCCACGGTTGATCAAAGGCGACCGCCTCTGGGGCCTTTTCACGAAGTAGCGGAAGAAATGGGGTTTCGGGTAGTAGAGCATTTCGACGCTGCGCTTGGACACGATACTACTGTTATTGGTCTAACGGAGTCAGTGACGCACGGAGGTTTCAGAGGGGCAGCAATTCATCTGTAGTTTCAGGTAATACTTACCCCCATGACCAGGTCGGCCTCTTTCGCAGCCTTGGAGCTGACTCCAGCCTTGGCTGGTAGTTTTTTAGAAACCATATCTGCATAAAAAATCCCAGTTAATCCTGAGCAGTGGATGACGAGAAATGCGGCTGTAGCGGGGAAATTTTGCAGAGGGCGGAGAGGAGGGACAATATTCAGCGATCAAGGTGTGGCCCGAGCGTTCGATGTCTCGCTTGCCGCGTCAGGCGCTGACCGCGGCAACCTGGACAAGGAACTGCTGTTCACCTGCAGCGATCCCCCGGATGCTCCGCAACCACTCGCCGTCTGCCGAGTTCTCGTTGACTCTTGTGCTTCGCTGCTGACGCCCGGTTCAATACAGCTTTTCCTGCACGAAAGACTCGCGTTAGACGCTCGGCGCGACATTATTTTGACCTTCAGGACATGCGCGGCGACGATCGTCGGTGACGGAAACGGTCCTGTGATGGGATCTGCCTTGTGAACCCCTCTGTCTTCTCTAGCCACACACGCTCTCTTCTGGATTACGCCTGCATATCCTCACAGCTTCATGAGTCTTTACTTTTCGTTTTAAAGCTCGTCGGCATTATATTATCTCCATATCATTATTGACCTCTCACGGCTGCGGGGCGCATCGAACCAGAAGTTGGGACGTCATCGGCGGATCTACAACCGGCAACATGGCAATGAACTTCGTCACGTTCAACCAGGACTACAGCTATCTGGCTGTAGGTAAGAATTTTCCTTCTGCTGTGCGATGATTCTGGGATATCTCTTAACTTGGACCAGCCACCTCGAAAGGGTTTCGCATCTTCACAACTGACCCTTTCGCCAAAAGCTACGAGACGAAAGAAGGCAATATTGCGATCATAGAGATGCTCTTCTCGACATCCCTCGTCGCCCTGATCTTGTCTCCTCGTCGCCTTCAAATCACTAATACTAAGGTTCGTAGAAGCGTCCTCCCAAAGACAAATTTTAGCAGTTTTCGTACGACTTCAATAAGACAAAGAGTGCATTCTGATATGTTTGTTTCCTCTCTATATAGCGCCAGTCCACGATATGCGAGTTGACGTTCCCTACGACCGTACTCGCGGTCAAGTTGAACCGGAAACGACTTGTTATTGTGCTAGAGGACCAGATCTATCTTTATGACATCCAAACAATGAAGCTCCTGTATACCATTGAAACGTCACCGAATCCGAATGGTAAGCCCGCGCACTCCATCTTTATCAAGATCTGGTTTCATATTGACACTTCTAGCCATTTGCGCACTATCGCCTTCGTCGGACAATTGCTACCTTGCGTACCCTCTTCCACAGAAGGCACCGCCCTCGTCTTTCAATCCTCCCTCTCACGCACCTCCTGGATCGACTCACGTCAGTCCGACTACTGGGGAAGTGCTGATCTTCGATGCTTTGAAACTGGAAGCGATCAATGTCATCGAGGCGCATCGGTCTCCGCTGGCGTGTATCACGCTGAACAGTGACGGGACACTGATAGCGACCGCCTCCGACAAAGGAACTATCATCCGGGTCTTTTCTGTTCCCGATGGCCATAAGCTCTATCAGTTCCGACGAGGTTCAATACCATCGAGGATATATAGCATGTCGTTTAACACGACTTCCACTCTTCTTTGCGTCTCGTCCTCCACGGAAACCATCCACCTTTTCAAACTCAGTCACCAAACCTCATCTCGAGAAGGCTCTCCCTCCTCAGCCCTCTCTCGCGAGAGAGCTGCGAGTCAGAGTTCGCTCGGTACCTCGCCCGACCCAGACGACCCGACTGATGACATGGAGTCTTCTGAAATTGCATCTCGGAAGCATAACGGCACTCTCATGGGGATGATCCGGCGGACGTCGCAGAATGTTGGCAGCTCGTTTGCTGCCAAGGTTGGGGGCTACCTCCCGAAGGGCGTAAGTGAAATGTGGGAACCTGCGCGGGATTTTGCATGGATCAAGCTCCCGAAAACGAACCAGACAGCAGGGGCGAATGGCAATGCTGGGTCGTTGAGGAGCGTGGTTGCAATGAGCAACAACACGCCACAGGTCATGGTGGTGACGAGCGATGGGAACTTCTATGTTTTCAACATAGACCTTTCGAAGGGAGGAGAAGGGACCTTGACGAAACAATACTCGTGAGTATCGCTGTCTGGTGTATTATGTGGCATTTACTGACGAAATGAATCAGCGTGCTCGACACAAACGATAGGTTGGGATACTCGGTGACGGATTACTAGATATGACTTGATACCACTCTTTCACCGCTTACGTTCGTTCTGATTTCTTTGGGCGGTATTGTCATGATGAGCTTGAGTTTGTTGTCACTTCCAAGCGCCCAGTCTCTTCTCCATGGCGTTGAATATTTGGTGATTCTCTGTGTTGGACCATTCCATCCTGTGGCCACCCTCTGCATTTAGCAATGGCTGTGCGTTTGTCGTCTTCACCTCGATGCTGCTATCACTTCTATAAGAATCCACTTTGATAGTATAAATACTCCCACTGTCGGATGCTATCTTGTTATGACGTCAAACAGATCTCCATAGATCTGAGATTATATAGCACCCCGTAGTGTAAATGCGCAAGCGCCACTATGGTGGCTTGCTATCCCAGTAGCGAGGCTTAGAGTGAGAGTGACAATATGTTTGAATCTCTTCTCTATCCACGGACTTTGCCAGAGCAGATTGTTGAATTTATAGTCACATGACCGAGGAGCCGGGGAAATGTGGGTATCAATTTGGAACAATGTCACCTTGAGTGACGAACTTGCGTACTCAGCAAAATAAGGGAGATATATCAAGCAATATGATCTGATATAATCTACCCCCAAGAAGAAGGTCGGCATAATACCTCCTGGAACTGAAACGTCTATCGAAAACGACATGCGGACGCAATAGCATTTGAAAAAGGACGAGAAATTTGGGTTCTGCATCTACGCCGGAAATAACACATGGATCCTCAGCACAGCGAGAGTTCAAACCCGCAAGGAGAAGTCAGGAACTCCAATAACCGTCGACATGACGACAAACGACCACCGAAGAAGAAAGGCTTGAACCCACTACAGCGGGCGATTCAGGATTTTGTAACGCATCATCTCCCACCATCTCTACTTTCTGACCACGGCGTATCACCAGATGCACTGTCATCGTCCTTTCCGAAGAGATTTTCCATATATGAGCCCATGCTGCTTCTACCGGTCAATGCGTTTGACACTCCGCCGTGGAGCACGGTCTACAAGGCCCTCAGTGCTGAACAGAAGGAAGCACTCTACGCGACGATAGCGCGAAATTTCAGCCGACAGCGCGTGACGCACGTTGCCATCAATGCACCTATCGTGCTTACCGACATGCAGGGGCAGGAGAACCGCATGCGGAGTCCCGTGGGGTTGATTCCGCTCTACGGGGACTTCGGACCTGTAGCCTCAGGGCAGGCAGAAGACGCGCAGCCAACGGAAGACGACTTCCAACGAGCGTTCTGGGTGCGCACTGTGCAGATTCGTGGCATTGAGCAGGTCTGGGCGCCGCTGCATACGATGTTCTCTCGCGGCAACATCACGGAAAAACTGCGTATCATGGGCCACGAAGGCACGTTTGAAGGACTGGATGAGCCATCTCTGAGCGGAGAAAGAATTGGAGACATTGCCGTTGTGGATATGTATGCGGGCATCGGCTACTTTGTCTTTTCGTATCTGAGACGCGGCGTCCGGCGTGTCTGGGGGTGGGAGATCAATGGCTGGTCGGTTGAAGGCCTCCGGAGAGGCTGTCTAGCCAATGGGTGGGGCTGCAAAGTGGTCAGGATTGAGAGCGATGGCAGCTTGAGCGAACCGCTCCCAGATCTGGTTGACGGCCTGCGCGACACGGACAGAGTGGTTGTGTTCCATGGGGACAACAAGTATGCGGCCGATATCATGCGTGAAATACGTGAACTCATGCGGGACCGGCAGTTGTGGAACAGTATCAGACATGTCAATCTTGGCCTTCTCCCGACATCGCAGGATGCCTGGGATAGTGCGTGTAAGACGACTGACGTTGAAAAAGGCGGTTGGATCCATGTCCATGAGAATGTGGATTTCCAGCATACCGAAGAGAAAAAATATGAAGTGACTATGGAGGTTGCCAGGCTGCGATCCCAAGCGATGGGTCTATCTCAGGTCATTGAATCGACCGCCATTTGTCGACATATCGAACAGGTCAAAACATATGCTCCTGGGGTCATGCATTGCGTCTTTGATATTGAGCTACCACCTCGTGGGATGTTCTCGGATCAGTTGATGTGAGCTTGACCCGAACGACGATAGTACGATGACAATGGAGAACTAGACAAGTTGAAATTTCCATGAAGGGATGGATATATATAGCTCCGGCACAAAGCGGATTTCACTCTTCATTCTACCACTCGTGTGTCTATGTGGATGGTTGATGAATTATTTAAACAGCTACTATTTGAGACATACATAAATGGCTGAAATATATTTTAGTAATAAGTTCGGCTGATGGAGCCCAAGTCAATGGGATTTGTATGTTTGAACTTGAGCATGCTTACACGAGAAGTCACAAGGGCTCAAACGGAGGCCCCGGATGCAGAATGACGTCTGATTCATAGTGTCCAATCTGAATAATGCATTCGGTCTCAGCTCACCGTATCTTGCCAAGTGTAGAAACCAGAAAGGGAATCTGCAGATCGGATGTGTGGATCTGATTCCGCCTGTAGAGAGGATGGGCGGGAGAGCCGGGTGGTCCATCTTGTTATGCGAGAGAGAGAGCCTTCGGGTTGGTGACTGGGGCCACTAACTACTAGCAGATCGATATCGAGATCGTGGGTTCCTCAGATCGACATGGGAGCGAACGAGCTTTCTCCTTGTTCATCAGCCTCGATTTGATCCAACCCGGATATCAAATAGTCACTCCCTGCATATATATACACTGCACGTACGTATGTACAGGTATTTCCTCAACAGATTGTGCCATCTTCAAGATAGAAGGATTTTCTTATGGACATACACACTGATGAACTCAGGTCCCTGTGGATCCCTCCTCTCGGCAATCGCATGTCGATCTCGGTTACACATATGCCTAGTACTCAGGTACATACCTAGCTTCCATCAACTCTGCGTGTTATTGGGGTTGCGACCCATCGAGGATCCAGAATGGACAGGACAGGAACTGAACAAGGAAGTGAAGCCCCATCTCTCTTGTCGGTCCCCCAGGCGAGCTCCTATCCCCGGTCCACCAGGCGGAAGACGCATACATCGGAGTACATGGCTTTTGAAGCTGTCCGCGATTGCGTAAACAAAGCTCTCCTGAAGGTATAAATGTGACTCGTCCAGCTTGAGCTATCTGTCTTTCTCTTTCTACAAAGCTCTACCTCCCTCTACCTGCGGCTTTCTTCCATAACGCATACTTCAGAGTACCTTGCTTTCCTCAACCGTCAAGTATGTCTGCGTTCTCTCCCCTGCTCCTCTTGATCATGATTCTAACTATCACCACAGAATGCAGTTCAAGTCCCTCTTCGTTCTGGCCGTCTCCCTTGTCATGGCCAACGCCGACTACATTGTCGGAAACTGCGGTGACGCCAGCGGTACCGCCCTCGCCGCTACTGAGAAGGCCTGCTCTGTTGTCAACGGCCAGTACTGTGGCGCTGCTACCGGTGTCGGCCGCTGTGTTGTTGATAAGGCCGAATGGGCCAGCTTCCAGCAGGGCTGCCCCGACAAGACCTTCCAGAGACCCGGTTCCTACGACAAGAGCACCGCTGAGAAGATCGCTCTCTGCTAAATTGGTGGAGGAGTTTTGTGATGATATGATGTTGTGGTATTAGAACATAATAGATAAGAAACGAAATTATGTTGGTATTGGTCTTATCTTTGTGCATTTACCGTATGGACTGTATGCCTTCATGCCTGCCAGGTTGACATGTCCTATCCGTTATGAACTGGGGTTTTGATGCGAATCCCGAAGTGATTGCATAAACCGCAACGGACTTTCGACCGGGCAGACCATACGTTTTCTCGTTCATCCTAGGGTGATAGGGGCAGTTTTGTACACCGATATGGTTTTGGAACAGAGGGTACCTTAGTATGTGGCTTCTGGGTTACCTTATTTAGTTGCCTACTCCGTAAGCAAGCCTCTATCTCATTGAGTGATACTCTACGCTGTGGAAGTACCTACATTCATTAAGCAGGCCCTGTGAGACTGAAAAGCAGCTATATACATACAGCAAGAGAACATTATATGTACACTGTTCTAAGCCCCTTTCCAAAACTTCCGGGGAATATTGGCCTCAACGATCTGCATCCGCTCCAACGCCTCCAGTCTATCCGCCGCCGCATCCTCCTCGTCGTGTCTCCTGAAGTGTTCGATATCCTCGGGATGGTTGAGCTCCTCCTCCGTAGAATCTTCACTATGATACTTCTCAAAGTGATGGATCTCATATTCGTATTCAATATCGCCATGGTGGCCTGGCCCAAAGCCAAAGTCCGGTAGACGAGTACCGCCCGAAACAAGACGCATCCAGTTGTCGCGCGAGATGACACCAGTATTCGTAGGGTCAAACAGACTGAACACCTCCCGCACCGCTTGTTGTTTGCGCTCTTCACTCACACCCGCGTTTGATTCATCGTCAAGACCGTAGGTTTTCCGGACCTCGTCTGCTGTCCAGGCACCGGAGGAGTCGTAGTCGTGAAGGGTGAAGAAGGATGCAGCATCGAAACCATCAACGTGGTGTTCCTCTGGAAAAGATGTCATTCATAAGCGGTTGGTCGCTTTCCAAATCAAGCTCAGATTCTTACCCTGCATGTGCCGTACCGCCCAGTCTGAAGAGGGGTTCTCATTGGAATGTGACCCATGGGCATTCGCGATACCGCTCAGGGCGAGTAGAGCCGCCGTCAGGGCGATGGAGCGGGCAAACATTGTAGAGGATAGAAGGTCCCAAACTCGATCAACACCAGAAAAGAACACACCAAAATAAATTAGACCAGAACAATAGAGGGATTAACACACGCGATTGACGTTCAAACTCGACGAAAGATACCGATGTTGTTCATTATCCTCGATCGACTCCCCGTCCGCTAGCTTTCTGTTTGCAGCGTTTGCACTTGGCCCGTCAACGAACGTACGACTTTTGCCGACGGGACCAGAATTGTTACCTACCATCACCACACGCAACCCTGCCGCTTCAGCTCCCCCACCTTTCTCCTTGGTCGGTGTAGGGCATTGGGACCCGGACACTGTCCATCGAACCCATTATTTACTTCCACCCGTTATAACAACTCCATTCGATGGAAATGTCGCGGTAATGCAGCGCCTTTGGTCCCGCGCCGCTCCGGCGCAATCATCCTGCCGATGCGTCTCTTGCCTGAGCACTGGCGCAAGCGGCATCACATCTCGCGCAGCGTCAGCAGCGAGCAAGAGACGCCTCAGGATTGGAAACTCAGTTACAGCGCTGTACACCAGCATCTTCGCCGCGGCAGCTTTAGCGGATGCCCAAGCGAAAGACAGACGTCGCTTGGAATGGAAGGAGAAGATTGAGGCTGTGAAGGAGGAGGTCAGTGAGTTAGTCGACGAGGAACAGCGTATTCTGGCGGCGATCATGTCGCGGCGGAAGAAGAAGGTTTTCAATGGCACACTACAGATCCGGCAGTACAGCTCTCTCGCACCGTCAATACCCGATCGATTCAAACGGCCTCTGTCAACCGCCGCTCCCTCGCCTCGCCTCGAATATACGAATGCCGGAATCAATGACGGTACGGATGATCTTATGGACGAGCTCGACGTGGGCCGGAATAACAACGAGGGGGAGAATTTCGCCAACGGAAAGGAAATCCCGGACATCAAAGAGTTCATTCCAGAGACGGAAGACCCATTAGTGGAAGGTACCAGCAAAGATGCTGGATTGGGTCTAGAGGATGACACCATACCAGACTGGCTATCGTTCGACTTGGTGCGACAGAAATGCATACGGAAACTTGCAGTCAAGCAGCTAGCCATTCGGTTTCTGCTCCGTCCCGCAATCGCACACAGTTACATGGGTCTTCGGATGTCGTACCACTTCGACTATACGGTGCCCCAGATGAACGTGAATGACCTGATTGAAGAGCTGAACTCGCTCCGGAAACGGATACGGCAATTGAAGACAACGAAGGATGCGTATATTGACGATCTCGCACAAGATCTGCATGCGAGTAACATGAAAGAGCTCTCCAAGCAGCGCTCAAGACTCGACCAGGAGCTCCGCCATGATACAGAAGAGTACTTGGACGGGAAGATGAGTCTCCCCGAGCTTCTTTTGAGACTGGCGAACAATCTCCTACAAGCCTCTGACCCTGATCGCCCATATGCCATGAGGACGATGCTTACCACGTTCGCCAAGGCTCGTCAAAATGACTTGGGTGACTTGGTTCTGAAAGCCATGTTGCCCAACAAGTTCCCTCTGAACTCTTCTCTCATCCTGTCCATTATGCACTTCTACCGCAAGTCTAAAAACCTGAAAGGCTTTGACTTGTTCCTGGAAATGATTCGCGGTGATCGGTACCCGGTCGATATGCAACAACTCGGGTACTACAGGCGCGCAGTGATCAACGGTGTTGAGATCTCTGTTCCCCCAGTGCAGTCAGCCAATGCTGTGACCTGGTCCACACTGATTATTTGTTGTCTGCGCTTTGATCAGCCGGATCGCGCTGACGCCTACCTCCAAGCAGCGAGACAGCATGGATACATGGACGATTTCACAACACTCAACACCTACTTGAGATACTATGCTATCCGGTCTGACTGGGACAAGGGACTGCAAGCCATGAAGCGGGCTTTGGCTTACATGGCGTCATCAACAGAACATCGGGAAATCCGAATTGAACGGCTGATCGCACGCATGGTGCATCTCTGCGATGAATGTGAGCGATACGATGTTTCGGATGCCATTATTTCCGCCGCAATGGACAGCGGTTTCGACCCAACAATCGCCCAAAAGCAGAGGGACATTGAGTTTTCGGCAGACCCCGAGCTGCGTCGATGGCACGTTGCGGGTGATGCTGCTCTAGACGACAACCGGAGCAAGCCCCTCTGGGAGAGAATCTATGCCTTCGTCAATGAAATGAGCCAACAGATAAACAGCCTATCAGAGAAACGGCCCGCCAACCAATGGCAAAAGTTGATGGATACATACTCGCAGGAGGTACTATCAGCCGTGCACTCTGGCATTCCTGATAAGTACAAAGTTTCGGGCAGGACACACGGAGACAGCTCAAAAGAATTGCTCAACGCAACTGAGCAGGAGAAGGGCCAACCAGACGAGTCTATCGCGGATGTTCAGCAGCAAGAGATCAACTCGTTGAAGGACGAGGTGGCGCAGCTGAAGCGGATGGTCTTCGAGTTAACAACCAAAACCGCGAGTAACGGCCTGGATCTGCCCGAAAGCTCATCTGTCGATCTGGGACACCTGAAGACGCAGCTTTCTACTGCTAGGCCGGTTCCCGAGATGACACCCCGAAAAAAGAGTGTCCGGGTCTACCGATGATAACTCGAATGCACGGGGGACAATTGCCCACCCGCGTCGATGGGTGGGAATGTATACAGAATACCCCTTAGAGGGCTCTTTCTTCGATCCATTTTGTTCTTGATATTGTTGATACCTGACTGGACTGTATATTATTACGACTGAATTAGACTTGTTTACCGAATCAAAATTGGTAGTATGAACGAGGTTGGACTGGAGTCCCTCTATCTTTCTCAACTTATGTGTTGAAGATTATTCACAGACTAGGTGCATAGAGAAGCACTAGGAGTGTAGGTGACATTCTACTACTTAGTCGTACCTCGTTTTGGTACGGAAATCCTTAGAGAGAAGCGCTGTTCTCCATATAGTCAACAGCCCAATCACCTGCAGTCTAAGGCAACAACTCGGCAAGCAACTAAAGGTATTATTGAACCAGATGAAACACATGACGTTGTCTAGATCGTCTCTATAGATAGGCATAAGTGGTATGGCGAATAACAGGAACAATAACGTCTATTTGCAACAAAGAAGAGATCTATCGTCTTTTTCCCGAGTCGGCACGCATCTTTTCCTTCCGCGACAGCCTTTCGGCGGCACGGAGAAGAGCAGATCGAATTTCACCCTTGGGGAACGTGGAGATATCATAATAAGTAGGGGCAATATCCTGAACAGTTGATTAGCCAAACAACTTCTCTATGTCGCGGGGGTCGACTTACAATGAGCCACTCAGGCTTGACTGCAGTAACAGTTCTGATATAGTTCTTTGTGGTCAGGACAAACTCATTGTACAGAACCCACTCGGCATCCCAGCCCAGAACAGTCGACGGGTGCAAGAGAACGTTTTGATTGTCCTTGATGGTGGTGTACATGCTCTTGCCTTGAGACTCCTTCTTGGCAACCTGCATGAAGAATCCGGCGCACAGCGCACGGCGAATGTTTTCATAGTATTTCTTGTCCTCAAAAGGCGTCGAAACCATTTCCAGTTCCTCACGCTCCATAATCCGCAGGAGTTGCATGCGCACATTATCGGCTGATTGGAGGGATCTCAGCGAAAGGAAATGATCATGACACCATTGTTTGGGGTTCTCTTGCGCCTCGGGACTCTTGAACGCATGATAAACGTTGAGAAGAGACAGGTGGTCACCATCAGGGTGGGCAAAGAGGTTCTTCATCTCATCTGCGCGCTTACGCTGGGAAGCCGGTCGCACGAAAACGTTTGGCACCGAAAGTAAGGCCGTGATGGAGAGGATCTCGTTCGAGCAGTAGAACTCGGGAGAGCTGATCAGCATGACCGCGAGCGCAGGGTCGAGAGGGAATTCGGACGCCAGACGACCCAGCTGTGTGAGGTTGCCCTCATCGTCGAGACAGGCCAGATAATTCAGCTCTTCCAGAGCTCTCATGAGAGTCTCCGGCGCAGGAGGGTCCATTAAATCGAAGTGGACCAGGTCATCAATTCCAAGCTTCTTCAATTCCAAGACCGTGGACGACAGGTTGGAACGCAGAATTTCGGGATAAGTCTGGTCAATCAACTCTTTCTTGAAGGCACCTTCGGTATAGAGACGGAAACACTTTCCGGGGCGGGTACGACCAGCACGACCAGCACGTTGCTGTGCAGACGCCTTGGAGATAGGAGACACGAGGAGGGATTCCACACGAATGCGAGGGTTGTAGATCTTCTGCTTAGAGAAGCCAGGATCCACAACATACACGATACCATCAATGGTAAGAGAAGTTTCAGCGATGTTGGTGGACACAATGACCTTTCTGCCAGGGCGACCACCCGGGCGACGGGGACCGGGTGCGGGCTCAAAGATGCGCTGTTGCATGTGGGGTGGAAGACTACCGTACAAGGGATATACCTTCAGCGGCCCGGCATCAACCTCCCTCACCATTTCATCTGCCTCCAATGAAATCTTTCGGGACGCATCTTCGATCTCTTCTTCACCGGTCAAGAACAGAAGGATATCGCCGTCGGCTTCCGTGGCATGAATTTGCAAAACAGTGCGAATAGCAGCTTCCACGTAGTCCTGCTCGGGCTCGGGAGTATAGAAGATCTCAACCGGGTGGGTACGACCAGGGACTGCAAGCAGGGGGGCGTCGTTGAAATAGCGTTGGAACTTCTGCGCATCCAGGGTGGCGGACATGATAATGATCTTCAGGTCAGGCCGGCGCAGCACAACCTCCTTCAGAAGACCCATCAGAACATCCGTAGCCATGGTTCTCTCGTGAGCTTCGTCCAGAATAATCGTGCTGTACCGGTTGAGGTTGTGATCGTTCATGGCTTCTCTCAAAAGCATACCGTCGGTCATGTACTTGAGGACCGTCTTGGGACTGGTCATGTCTTCAAAACGGATACTGTAACCGACTTCCTCTCCAAGTTTGACATCCATTTCAGCAGCGACACGCTGGGCGACGGACATGGCGGCCACACGACGGGGTTGGGTACATGCGACCATCTTGCGTTGGGTCTGGGGCAGGTCGTCGAAAAGGACAAACTGGGGGATCTGAGTCGTTTTACCGGAACCAGTCTCACCGACGAAGACGAGGATCTGGGATTTCTGGTATAACTCTAGGAACTCATCTCTTTAGGATAGCAGTTAGACAAAACTCTAATCTTGTGGCTTTTAAAAGCATGGGGTGAGAACGAACCTCTGCGCATGGACGGGGAGATCGCGACGAGTCTGCAAGATTGAAAAGTACTTGCTAGAGAACGGTTGGTTGTTGAAAGGATTGAGATCTCCATCCTCGATCTTCTTCGCCTGAGCGGCAGTCGTTTGGTGTCTCTTGACTTTGGCGAAAGGCGAGTCCTTATCCAGCGTGCCGTCAGAGCGCGACTCGTCCGCATACATGTGAGCAAGATACGGATTGTCCCTGGGGTCCGTTTCGGTCTTGTCCATCTTCTGACGTTTAGCACGGGAGCCGTCTTCGGAATCCGAGCGCCGATCGACCATTGCGATTGACGGAGAAAGAGGAGAGGAAAGATGTAAAAAAAGTTGGGAGGGCGAGGAGTCAATGTGCCTTCTCCGCAGTGATTTTTCGATAGCGACAGGAAAAAAAATATGCGCCGCGATCGATAAGACCCCGCTGACCGCCTTTATCGCCACCGCCCAAGGATTCTGCCGCGGAAAACCCCACTGTTGGAAAAGGAAAAAGAGAATCAGAACAACATCGGCGGCGGTTATTATTAAACCTTCTCGCTCAGGCAAGGGACTTGCTTCCTAGGGATCTCGTGTCTCAATTTCCGACAGAGGGGTGCATACGGTCCTTCGCCAGTCCTGCTGTGCTCTCGTCTTGATTTCTGCTCCTCTGTGCTGCCCTGGATTGAAGAGTAACCACACAGAAGCACTGACTGGGTTGATCGACGCTCGGTTCATCTGATATGCACAGCTAGTCTTCCTTCGATCCAAAGAGCTCTTCGTCGCTTCAACCATCTCGTCTGGAACTTTTTTCTCTTTTCACGTCTACTTAGAACATTCCAGTTCGTACAAGAACTTATCCCCCACTATCTTGACAGCTTTCGGTATTGGTCTGGGCCAACCTTGATCGTGAACAACCCCTCTTGTGCCTTGACGCGATGGATTCCTTCAATCCCGAGGATGCGCCCCCGGCCTTTTGCATTGGCCAACATGAGAGAAAGAGATTAGGGCCGGTCACTGCGCAGGTCGTCCAGGCGGCTCATGAGAGTAATGTATGCAGTTGTGCTGAAGACGAGAGCGAGCGATGTCTCCTGATCCTTTCGCTAATATTCCCACTGTGCAGTACGATATGGTCACGTCGCCTATAACGACTCCGCATTTTCAATCCCGGGTTCTTGGGCTTCTTTCATCCCATCTGTCAAACGCACAGGATGTATCTTTCGATTCCACCGGAACTTTGGCCACAAGCGATAACACACAACCGCTGATTATCCCCCCTCTGGCTCCAGAAGATACTCACTTAACTCCCAATGACGCTATGACCCAGTTGGTCGGAGTGACCAGTTCCTGGATTGACATGTGCTCTCCTGATCCCTTGATCGCGGATATTTCACGCCAAGTGCTCATGCTGGAGGTTGCCTACGCTGCATTCTGCGGTATCGGATACGTTGTGATCCCTGGACCCAAACTCCACCATCGAAGCATGCACTCTGAAGGATTAGTATACTATGCTAGGGCAATCCAGGATGCTATCAATGTTGCTCCTTATCTCCAATTCCACATCTGGTTACGGACTGTTGATGACCCCGAGCTTGAGAATGACGAAATGGGCGATCTTGCGCCACTGGCTCGACTCGAGTTTCTGGAAGATTGGGACGACGGTAACACCGCTAAAGTAGACCCGTTTGGCACCTGGGATGCGTGGGACACGATCAGGAGAACCTGTAAATATCACTCCAGGCTTTTCGTAGGTAAGAATGGACTTCCTGCCCTTGACACGATGTCATATGGCGGACTTTTTGCTAAAGCTATACCTTTTCCCAGCCCTCTCGCTGCCCAAGCACCTTCCTCCCATGTCTGTCCAATCACGCTGGCATTCTGAGCCCGTCCACCTACTTACTCTCGATGCCAATTGCTTTATCAAAAACCAAAAGGGATACCCTGTGCTGTCTAAGGCTCATCAAGCGCTGATTGCGCGGTTTATGCGTCTCCGGACTGCTCCATGGATCCTCCTTTGTGACGTTGGGCCCATTCCTGGTGTCGAGGCAAATGACCCCTCTGGGACCACTGTGTCTAATGCTCCAGGCTCCGAATATCCCAGCTTGACACAGTCCGCGGCTGGAAACAAAAAGTACTACGACCCAACACCCCACTTATCGTATATGAGAAATCTGCAACAACGCCAACCCTCCCGAAGTGCCATCGAAAGATTTGGTGTAGGATACCAAGATTACCTTCAAGCACCGTTGCAGCCGTTGACAGTCAACTTGGAGAGCATTACCTACGAAGTCTTTGAGAAAGATCCTATCAAATACGAGTGGTATGAGCGAGCTATTGCGAAAGCTCTATCTGATTGGTCCGAGCAAAAGAAACCCACCTCGAACCCTGATGGACGGGTCGTCGTTGCGGTAGTAGGTGCGGGTCGTGGTCCCCTGGTCACCCGGGCGCTCAAGGCAAGCGCTGAAACGGGGGTCGACATTGACCTCTGGGCGGTAGAGAAGAACCCCAATGCCTTTGTGCTCTTGCAACGCCACAACGAACAGCTCTGGGGTGGAAAGGTCACACTCGTGCAGTCGGACATGAGAAGCTGGAAGGGACCTAAAATCGCAAAAGCCACATTTGATTCGCCACCACAGGGGCCTATTGGACAGTCCCTCGGCATTGACGACTCGCTGCTTTCTAGTGAGGCCGATCAAAGAGACTCTTGCCAGCTGACTGATGCCGATGTTCGTCCGCGCTCCACCGAGCTCGAGCCTACCACGATTGATATCGTAGTGTCTGAGCTGTTGGGCTCGTTCGGCGACAATGAATTGTCTCCAGAATGTTTGGACGGCATCACTCATCTTGTCAATCCTGTCCATGGTATCTCCATACCTGCGTCGTACACCGCTCACATTACGCCCATCGCGGCACCAAAGCTTCATGCTTCTGTCATGAACCAGGCAGTTTCTAACCCAGCGGCCCCGGAGATACCGTATGTTGTTATGCTACATGCTATTGATTATCTTTCCACGAACCAGCCCCCGGCATCCACGTTCATGAAACCCGACGGAGGTATCAATTACAGCAACACCATTCGGTCATCTATCTCAACTCTTCCCGGAGCGGAAACACAGATTCCTTTTGTTCAGACTGCGTGGTCATTTTCTCACCCCAACAAGCACATACCCGAGCAATCGTCCTCTGCATCAACTATCCCCAATTCCCACAACGTGCGTCGCACGCGGTTGACTTTCCCTATCCAGAACCGCGGCGTTTGTCATGGTTTGGCGGGCTACTTTGAAACCGTTCTCTACCGGGACGTGGAGCTCTCTACTAATCCTGTGACAATGGAGGCAAAGAGTGCCAACATGATCAGCTGGTTCCCGATATATTTCCCTCTCAAGGTAACCGCCCTGGAGCACCGACGGGTCGCTCGATAGCAATAGCTAACCGTTGAGATGCAGACCCCCCTGAATATTCCTGACAATGGAGAAGTTGTTGTGACGATGTATCGACAGACAGATGACCGCAAGGTCTGGTATGAGTGGATGGTGGAAGTTTACGCGCTGGAGAGGCCCATGGAGCCGGCGGCACCGGAGTTCATTGCCCCTGTCATGAGCGGCGCCAGAGCTGTCTCACCGGATGCTGATAGTGGTAAGAGCAAGGATAACAGCCGTTCATCACCGCAGAAGGTGAGAAGCAGCTTCGGTGCGGTACGACGCGTCCGGGTAGGGATGAGTGAGTTGCACTCGAGTATCAAGGAGGGCTGTCTCATGTGAGAGGGGTCCTGGTTTAGTGGTTTCTACCATGCACTGTCTACAGAGCATCACATTGTTTGCAGGATGGTGCTGTAAGCTGACTGCACTCAGCAATAGTCGAAACATTACTGATGCATGATTCGTCTTTTAATTTGGTTTTATTTTTTATTAGGCTATGAGTCTTGGGGGTCCCCAACGACCTATATTGTAGTCTATGACCGAAGCCATCGTATTCTGTAGAACATTCCCGATCGTCCGTATCTGCCGGAGAGTATTTTGGGTAAGCGAGCTTGTTGGGGTGTCAGTGTACGGAGTACAGGCCTATGCATTATCTGGTGAACAGGAATTCCTATCGGAAGATAACCCGTGAAGCCGTGGAAGGATTACGGCATGCTACTTCGGAGTACTGAATCCAGGTCACGCCGAAGAAAAAGCAAAGAGGAAAGGCTGCAGATCAATAATAGCGTGACTAAATATGGGCAGTGGAGGTCTTGGACATTCTCCTAAGCAAGGTCTAGGGTGGATGATGCCGGTGGGCAACGTGATGCCGTGGAGCGTGGTGGTTGGTAGGAGATCTACTGGTACAGTATGGGGTGGTTTACCTCACGGAGTAGATGGAAGGGCGGTTCCTGTGTTGGTTGTCGCTCTCTTTTATCTTCATATTGATAGTCTTTCTGCCGTGCATACCTTGCGCATGTATACACTATATGTAGATGGTAACTTCCAGACACCCATCGCCAGGATATAGTAGATATTTCCCATAGAAACCCTTATCAAGCATCCATAGTTGGTGATCCAAAGGAGCTCCGGAAGGAGGATGACGGCGCCGAGTCTCGGTCTTACCGGGGTCTTACCGTACAGAGGTTACTTCGGGGGGACCTCTCGCAGCGCTGGAACACAGGGCGCAACTGGTGTAACCACCCCGTACTCCCCAGCAAGAAATCCATGATGCAGTCATTTGTTCATGTCAGCCATTCATTCATTCATTCACTCCCGTCCTTTTGTTCCCCTCCGATCATCGTCAGCATCGGAGGAACAAAAGTAGAAAAAAGAATTAGCACGGGCCGGACTAACTAACTATGTACAGTACCTCATCCTGAGGGGAAAAGCTGCAGATCTCTATCGATCAATCATGAATATCAATTAATTTATCAATCAATAATCAAAATCGCAATCATCGCCACTACTACTAAAGTTACCGGCTTTCTTTTTCTTCTCTCTTTCTCCTCTCTACCTCTTCTCTCTTTAAATTCATTCTGCGACACGGGGTACCTCCGTCCTCTTCCACTGTGTCCCGCCTTCTGATCTCCATGACTATATGTCGATTCGGTCGCGGTCCTATCCCTAGCGGTCGTGGGATGACAACTACTGCGCAGTCCTGAAACCTCTTTTTTAGGAGACCCCTTCGATCGACTTTCTACGATATACAAAGACACCTCTCTCTACTGTTGTCGACAGTCGGCGATCGTTACCTGGCGTCATCGAAAGAAAAAGAATCTCGGCGGAAGGTCGCTTCCGAATCTTTACTTTTTTTCCGCTTGGAATTTCTCCCGCTTATCTCGCTTCGCCTCCTATACATCCGACCCCGTTTCTCGTACTTATCCCTTCCCCTCCACAGCCCGCCTTCTCGTACAAGGCTTGAAATGGTTCACTCAACGGGCGAGGAACGCGCTGTACATTTGACTCGGGAGGCTGTTGAGTTAGTCGATGCCGGTCATCGGGAGGTACGTGTCACACCGTTATTTGACTTGAATCACACGCGCGCGCGCGCCTTTGACATTAGCCTGTTTTTTCAATCCCCAGCAGCGCTTTGATACCCTGAAACTCTACTCACCTTTCTCTGATGTAACCACAGGCCGCCTCTCGCAATCTCCGAGAAGCTTTGTCCTTAGCGCCAGAAAATCCGACAGTCAAAGCCGCCTTTCTGAAAATCCAACAAGACGAGGAAAATGGACACCATTTGTTAGATCTCTGTCGCCGCTACACGTCCCGCAAGGACGAAACCGCCGGCAAGGATGCCGCCCTATACCTTCGCACAGACGGTCTGAAGCCGCCGGAAGAAGTCGCCCTAGAATGTGTCAAGCTATTGCTGGCTCAACACCCCCACGGCCTGTCCTCGATGCAGGATGACATTATCTCGGGCTTGGTACGACAGAATAAGAGCGTGCGACAGTTCTTTGCCAGTCGACTTCAGGTGTCGGTGACCACTTTTTTCGATGAGATCTACGATCGCGGAGATGGCGCGGCCGTGTGTCTGGACACCGTCGTCTTGGACCATTCTGTCTGGCCGACAGAAAATACCCGCCTCCACTGTGAGCGCGAACTTTTCCAGCTGTTCATTGCCAAGCTCATGGAATCGGGTCACGATTTGGACGGTCGCTCCCTGAAAGGCATTGCGCGACTGCTTGCAGTTGATGCGCCGAAATTGCAGGACCTGGTGGATGATGAGGGATTGGACGTGGTCCTGTCTTCGCTCGATCACCGGCTTCCGCTTGATCTGAGGAGCCAAGCGACTCTGGCCACGGTCAAGTACCTCGAGGCGTCCAAGGATACGGGGGAGAGGCGATTCTCGCAGCTGGTGACTGCAAAGCTGAGCAAGGCTCGTCCAGACGACTTGATCGTTGCTTTCTCGGCTACGGCTGCGGTCTTCCCCGTCGTACCGGAAGTTGCAGCCACTCTTTTCCTGTCCGATAAGTTCATGGCGTCGTTGGCGCCTATGACTGCTAGAGACCCGAAACGTCGGCGGGTGGAGGTCTCGGTGCTGGAATTATTCAATGCGGCATGCATCAACAAGGCATGTCGGGAGGCCATCTCCAAGAACTTTTCGGACTGGCTCTCTCATGTACTATCGAATGGCACTGACCAGGCATCCGAATTGGCGGCAGTGGTTCTGGCGAAAATCCGGGCATCCGAGAAGGATACCTCGGAAACAAATGGTAAGGCTCTGGGAGATGAGACCAGAGTCCCTGAGTTGGTTGATCGGTTTAAGGAACTGATGTCAAAACGAAAGGGTGAAAATCTTCAGGCCGTAGTTGAAGGTCTGGCGTACTCTTCTGTCAAACCTGCTGTGAAAGAGCAGATTGCAAAAGACCCTGTCTTTCTACGAGACCTGATCCGCGTTTTACACGAAAACCTGGTTGATTCGTCGGTGCTCTACGGGGGCCTCATGATTTTCGTGAATATCACCCAGTTCCTCCCGAACTTAACCGAAGAGCAAAAGAAGATGTCCCAACTCAAATCCTACGCCGAAGCTTCTCCGGACGCGCGATCCGGGCCTGACCCTCTCGCGAGTGATGAGAAAGTTATTGCTCGCTGCACCGCGCTCGTCAACGCTGGTATCATGCCTCTGTTGGTGGAATGTGGCAAAACCGGCATGCCCTCGATTCAAGGTCTTATCAGTAAGATCATGTTGTCTCTGTCTCGAGACCGTAAGTCACGAGGCGTCCTCGCTCAGAAGGGCGCGGTCAAGCTGCTGCTCAGCATCGGGACCCCGAGACAGGGGAGCTCTGGTTCATTTTCGAATGACGCAGTCCAGAACGCCTCGCATGCCCTGGCTCGTATCCTCATCTCGGTCAATCCTGTTCACGTCTTTCCGCCGTCCGGCTTTCCCCCGATCACGTCCGCGATCCGGCCTTTGACCGCGCTGCTGGCGGAGCCGGAAGCTACTAGTGTATCGGCGGAGCAGCCACGCGATCTCTTGCCGGTCTTCGAGACCCTTCTTGCACTTACCAATCTGGCCTCATATCCGGACGAGAGCGCCGCAGAAGCGATTGTCCGTCAGGCTTGGTCGACGGTGGAGGATCTTCTGCTGTCTAATAGCCCTCTTATTCAACGAGCTGCCTGCGAGCTGGTTTGCAATCTGATGACGTGCGAGTCGGGAGTTGCGAAGTATGCCGACGGCTCTAAGCGGGCAGCTCAACGTTTGCACGTCCTCCTGGCTCTGACGGATTCCGACGATGTGCCCACCAGACTAGCGGCTGGAGGTGGTCTGGCCATGTTGACGGAATTTGATGCAGCTGTGGCCGCCATTCTCGAGCGCCCTCGCGGAGTTCAGTTGCTACTGGGGCTCTGTCAAGAAGACGACGAAGGGCTGGTCCATCGTGGGGTTGCATGCGTGCGGAATTTGGCCTCGGTTGCGTCCGGCGATATCGGTCGACGTGCTAGAGAAGCTGTCAAGGCTCAGGGGGGCGTTGACATCCTGACTAAAGTGTTGAAGCAGTCGAAGAACACGGCTATACTTCAGACGGGGGTGGAAGCTTTGAAGCCCTTGGTGGAGTGATTCTGAAGCATCCTCATTTTATGATTTTGTCCAACTTCAGCGATGTTTATTGTTCTTGTCTGGCGCAGGGTGGGTGTTGTTGATGGCGTTCTTTTCTCATCTGGCCCTTTCCCGGCGTTAACTACACTGCTTCCTGTCCTGGCCCGGTTACGTTGTTCGTGGTTTACTTGCTTGATATGACTTTGTTTATGATGGGGGTGGATGGCGGAGTCTTTGTGTTAGCCGTAGACGGCTTTATTCAACATAGATCAGAATGGTGTAGTTTATGGATTAATTTGTCTACTCGTATATACAACACCTATAGGCGGTATTAGCCCGCCCTAGGATATGATCTCACCGGGTCATGCTCCACAGAATCTCGTCGCACTGACGAAGGACGCACTGCCCTCGGACTTGTACTGCAAGAGGAATGCAACGAAGTGGGGGATTTGCATGCTGATTAGCCAGGATAGGGAGAGGGGGCTGCTCGCCAATCAAAGTAACAAGCCATTACTGGGTTCTGTAGATGTATTGACTGGCACGGGATGTGTACTCGTGATTTCGGTGAGAAGAAAGTGAAATGTGGTCCCAACAGAGGATATCAGACTGTATGCATGGCGAAGGACGAGGACAGGTCTTGCACCAGAATATACTCCGCACAGTTGATGTCATACACATTGACAGGGGGATGCCGGGAATCTCGGATTTTTTCACAGGCCGGTCTTTGCCAATCCTCCTGGTCGAGACGGTGTCCATGAGAGGAGAATGTCCGCAGAGGCCAAATCAGCGATGGCGGAGTGGAACTCGGTTGGAGCATCTCGCAGTGCCTGGCTTGAGACCAGTCGGTGTCGCCTCTGATTTGCGTTTCACTTGCCCCGATTCCCGTCAGCCCCTCTTGGTGTCTTTGTTGGGTAAAAGTTTTTTTTTTTTTTTTTTTTTTTTTTTTTTTTTTTTTTTTTTTGACGCGTCAATGGTGATTTATGGGGATTGCAGATGTCGATAAGGGAGGCGTAGATATATTTAGTGGGAGCCACCCCAGACTAGCGGTCTCTCTACCCACTATTGAAGATTGGCATGGAATAACTAATATTATCTTCTTCTGACTCTTGTGAATCAACAGCCAAGCACACCGACTTTGGTTCTATTGACATTCTATACATTCTATTGAAATTTCGTGTACCTTACCTAAGGTAAGTATCGCAAGCGGAGAGTGTGCGGACAAATCAGAGAGCGTCCGCTCGTCACGCCGAGCGAGTCTTGTGCTTTGTTCGTTCCGTTCCGCCCATCGCCTTTTCCACTTTGCCTCCTTCTTCTCCTCCTCCTCCTGTTGCTCTCCCCCAGAGGAAAACGTGCGTGCAACTCACTCCTTTTGTTGCTCAATCGTGTCTCTCCCTATCTGTTACCAATCCTTTTTCTCATTGCCCTCTCCGTGGGTGTGACTGTCCATCCGCTCTCATACCTCATCGTCATACTCCCAAGCCACCAACCTTGGGCCTGTACAGATCCACCCTTGCTTCTCCTGGTTTGACACCCCCCAGAAATCACCCGAAACATTCGAACCCCCTTTGAAAAGCGCACGTTCCATTCCGTTGGAGCCTCACCGCATCTGATATTCGCTAGCTGTGTGGCGATCGACCCCCCACGTGCTGCCAGTACCACACATTTTTGTCCCCCGACACTATCCGTCGTCTTTCCCTCCCTCGGATTCACCATGGCCTCCTTCTCAATGTCCTCGCTATAGACTGACACATGGCGCTCCTCTTTTCGCCGTTCCTTCCAGTGTCCTTCCCCGTCTACCTGCGCATCTCGTTGTGAACAACCTGTCGTCAACTATCCATGGAGTCCTCTTCTTAAACCCCCCGATTGTGAAGGATTCTCTCAAGCCTGTCAAACCCTGCTTACAGGATCCAAAACTTTTCTGTCAGGACAGAAAGTGAGGCGACTCCTCTATCGCCATCATGAAGTTTGGCCGCAACCTGTCCCGAAATGTCGTCCCGGAGTGGAGCGCCTCCTACATCAAATACAAGGCCCTGAAGAAACTCATCAAGTCCGCCGCCGAGAATGTCAAAGCGGGCCACGACGCAGACCTGGCTGGTGAGCCATCTCTCTGATTCCGTCTTGGACCGCCGAGTGGTCTTCCTGACTCCGTCCCCTAGGATTCTTCTACTCCCTCGATCGAAATCTCGAGGATGTCGACTACTTCTATAACAAGAAGTATGCTGATTTCGCCCGTCGTCTCAAGCTGTTGGACGACCGCTATGGTCAAGGGATAAGCGGCGCCCACCGTCTTGATTCAGAGGAGGTCGAGGACCTCTTGGCCGCCTTGCTGGAACTACGCGGGCAGCTCCGGAAACTCCAGTGGTACGGTGAGGTGAACCGCCGCGGGTTTATCAAGATCACCAAGAAACTCGACAAGAAGGTGGGCGTCAATGCGCAGCAAACCTACATCGAGACCAAGGTGGATCCGTCGCCTTTCGCGTCGAACACGCGCGTCACCGAGTCGCTGAAGAAGATCAATGACTGGCTCTCGGTGCTTGGTGAGCAAAAAGCTTCGGATGATACCAGTTCTAGACGTTCCTCTATCTCGCTGAAGAGAGGCCCGTCCCGGCCCAACCTGAACCTGCCGCCGAGTTTGCTTTTGGATGTGGATGAAGCGCTGCGCAAAGATGACACCCACGTTCTGTTGGAACTCCTCGAGACGCTCAAGGCGGCTGTTGCGGAAGCTGGGGATGATGTCTTCCCCAAGGTTCTCAAAAGCCTTCTCCAGCGGTCGATCTATTACCGTGCGAAATCCTGCATTTCCATCCTAATCAGCAGGATTGAGAGTCTCGAGGAAGACGATGACATCAACAAGCGCAATTGCATTCACCGACTGGTCATCTCCATCGGCCGGGCTCAGTCTACCACAGACTCCGAGCAGTCGGCCTCCATGATTCTGGATTTCCCCTTGGAGACATCAAATTACATCACGCCTGCCGCCTTGCCCACCCTGCAGCCTCCTCGAGCTGTCGTGAAGGAGGCCGATCATCCCCAGCACTTGTATAGGTCTGACCCACCCGTGGCAACATTGCAACATCTGCTGGATCATTTGCAGCCATCCCAGCGCAAGGCTCTTCTTGCAAAGGACCTTGCTGGTCGTACTCCATTGCACTACGCTGCGCAGTATGGCTTCAAAGCCGTCTGTGAAGTAATTATCGAACATCTGCAAGAGTGGGGCATGTTTGATGTCAGCGAAGGCATTGATGGCCCGCGCTGGCAGGACAACGATGGCTGGGCTCCTCTGCATCTGAGTGTTGTCGGAGGCCATCCGCTAACCACTCGAGCCCTTCTGGACGCGGAGAATTGGCAAGGTCCGAGCCAAGATAAGTCAAGAATCCGCAAGCAAGTGTCCAAGTCCAGTGCCGTTCTCGCCTTAGCCACCAAGGCCAACTTTGTCGATATTGTTCGCCTTCTGGTCGACGCCGGAGTCGACATCAACTACCAAGACGAACAGGGCGAAACCGCTTTGCATGTAGCAGCCCGCTTCGGTCACGACATGTGCGCCAAGATCTTGCTGGAGGGTAATGAGGAGCAGAAAGCCGACACGGAACTCGCCGAGCACACGTACGCCTGGACGCCACTATTCATTGCCTGCGTCGACGGCTCTCTCAGCGTCGTGGAACTGTTACTCGAGGCGGGAGCGGATGCAGAGAGGCTTGACTCGTCTGGGTGGACCGCAAAAGAACACGCATCGCTGAGAGGCCATCTTGATATCGCTCGTCGCATTGGCGAGGTCGTTCCGGAACCTGAAGTGCCCGAGCCAGAGCCCGTGGCATCAGTTTCCACAATCTCATCCACCCAATCCTCACCCCCTTCCCAGCCTTCTTTCATGGAAAGAAAGTCCAACGGCACAGCAACCTCTGGGAGTTCTAGCCTTCGGAGTTCTGAGCCTATTAAGTCATTTGGACACCGGTATCTCACCGACGAGGCCATGATCCTTGTGAGCCTGGGCACTATGGACCCTAGAAAGCCAATGCAAGCGGTGGATCTTGATAGGATCCCACTGGAGAATGCGCATTCTACTCAGCTAGATACCGCTCTATCGATTGTTGTGACAGCATCCGGAGCTCACGGTGAGCCTGAGATCATTGATCTTCCAGTTCAAGACAATATCTCGACCGAGCCGATCGTCTTCCACGCTGCGGACCCCACCAAGGTGCGACTTCTATTCGATCTTGTGCCGACGTACTCTGGTTCGAAGGACCAAGTTGTTGGGAGAGGCGTTGCATTGCTTTCAAGCGTCAAGCCAACAATTGGCTCTCACCGGATCAATTTGAAGGGCGATTCTACAATTCCCATCATGGCCGCGAACACCCTGGAGGTCATCGGTACCTTGACTTTCAACTTTTTGATCATCACCCCGTTCAAACACCCCAATATGTCTATCACCGGTGACCAGACGTATTACAAGAGTATGAGTTCCACAATGGTGATTGGGCATAGAGGTCTGGGCAAGAATATGGCGAGCCGAAAGTCATTGCAGCTCGGCGAGAATACCGTGCAGTCCTTCATTGCAGCAGCTAATCTCGGTGCTTCGTATGTGGAGTTCGACGTCCAGCTCACGAAAGATCATGTCCCGGTGATTTATCATGACTTTCTTGTCAGTGAGACGGGTATCGACGCCCCCGTACACACCCTGACGTTGGAGCAATTTCTCCAGCTGAGCGATAACGGGCCGGGTCGTCCGCCTCCATCTCCGTCGATGAAAGCGCAACGTAGCGGTGAAAATGGCAATGTTGCTCCTCGTCCGCGGTCAATGTCTGTGGGCGGCTCTGAGTACGACCCTGCGGAGTTGAACGAAAGGATTAAGCACACCCGCGACTTCAAGAAGAAGGGCTTCAAGGGCAACAGCCGAGGAAATCACATCCAGGCACCTTTTGCCACACTGGAGGAACTGTTCAAGAAGCTACCCAAATCCGTTGGATTCAACATTGAGCTGAGTGAGTATTCGCAACACCCCAAAGGACAGTTACATGACGATCTGACCGGGATCGCCAGAATACCCCATGCTCTACGAGAGCGAAGAAGAGGAGATGGACTCGTTCGCCGTGGAGCTGAATTCTTTTGTGGATACCGTGCTTGCCAAGGTGTACGACCTGGGTCACGGGCGCAACATGATCTTTTCCAGCTTCAATCCGGATATCTGTCTTCTGCTCTCTTTCAAGCAGCCCTCCATCCCTGTTCTTTTCTTAACTGACGCTGGCGCGTCTCCCGTGGGCGATATCCGCGCCAGCAGTCTGCAGGAAGCGATTCGATTTGCGTCCCGGTGGAATCTGCTTGGAATCGTCTCGCAAGCCGAGGCACTAGTTCTGTGTCCCCGTCTGGTGCGAGTGGTCAAGGAATCTGGGTTGGTGTGTGTCTCGTACGGAACTTTGAACAACGACCCGGTAAATGTCAAGGTAAGGAGCAGCCTCGTCCGTACTCCGAGGTTTAGCATCTAACGTGTCTTAATAGCGCCAAGTCGTGGAGGGGATCGATGCCGTCATCGTGGACTCGGTCCTTGCCATTCGGAAAGGTCTCACGGAACACCAGCAGGGTGACACGCCTGGCGATACGCCAGAACCCAGCCCTCTTGCGCAGCCTACCTCTGGACCGCTGAAGGAGTCCATCCAGATCCCCGTGCTCAACCAGGCGGAGCAGAAAGACAATGAGCTTCATTTGAACCCGGAGAGTGCACTTTGACGTGACGTTGCATGTTCAACACAGTGCTGCTCTGGCTGCATGGGGTTATGATGGTTGGTAGGATTGTATATGGGTAGGACATACCTAAGGAGCTAGTTTTAACAACTAGTGATATGTACTTGAATGAACAGATTAGACCGAATAATACCAAAAGCTATGTCCATATGTCTTCGGACTCATTTTGAAAGTCGAAGGTTGTAAGTTGGTTGTACAGGGAATGCAGCGTCCGTCACGTGCGCCGGGATAGTCCACGGGCGATCAAATCCAGGTTGGGAAGTATATTCGGAGCTCAGCTACATCACCATTTCTCTCTACTTCGTCCACTCATCGCCCCTCCGGTAGAGCCACAATCTTCACTGCAACGCCCAGTATTTGCAATCTCGACAATACCAGGGCGGAGAGGGGTGTCCACCGTCACCAGAAAGGATCTGTCGCATCCACCACCCCAGCTTCATGATGTTATGACCTGGTCCGACCTCTCTTTGAGCTTCTCTCTCGTGTCACAACAACAACTACCTATCCTTCGGGCCTCCTACCTCCGGATCTCACGAGGCACAGAATGAACGCCGTCGACGCAACCGAGCACTACGAAACCAGTGCCCACGGTGAGCTCATCCACGAACACTTCCACCCACCCACCCATCTATCGAATCCCTCTAACAAAACCAAACTGCAGACCGCGCCCCCTCCCTCCTAACCGTCATCCTCGACACAAACCCGCATGCCTGGGCGGTCCTCGAACCCTCCCTCCCGCTCTCCACCGCAATCGCCAACATCCTCGTCTTCCTCAACGCCCACCTCGCCTGTAACTACGCCAACGAAGTCGCCGTCGTCGCCTCGCACAGCCAAACCGCCACCTGGCTGTACCCGCGCGAGACCCGCCATGATACTACTATCGCTTCGGGCACAGACCGCGACGGCGACATCGCCATGAACGGCAGCGCGCCGGCCAGCCAGGTGAACAAGTACCGGCCGTTCCGGATCGTGGAGGAGCAGGTGACGCAGCATCTGCGCGAGCTGATGGAGGCGACGAGCGGGGCGGACGTGCAGGCCACGACGTCGACGATGATGGCGGGCGCGCTGACGCTCGCGCTGAGCCATATCAACCGGCGGAGTCTGGCGTGGTCGGAGGCGCACGGCGCGGACACGGCCGGGGATGGCGCGGGCGCGTCTGCTGGCGGTGGTGGCGGCGGGGGAAGCGGCGCAGGGGGCGCGGGGAGGGCCGGCGGAGCGGAAGGCCTGCAGTCGCGGATTCTGATCGTGTCGGTGAGCGGATCGAGCGACTCGGCGCACCAGTATATTCCCATGATGAATGGGATCTTTGCGTGTCAACGGCTGCATATCCCGATTGATGTGTGCAAGCTGAGCGGGGACGCGGTGTTCCTGCAGCAGGCGTCGGATGCGACGAAGGGGGTGTTTATGTCGTTGGCGGAACCGCGGGGGTTGCTACAGTATCTGATGATGGCGTTTTTGCCGGACCAGCGGTCGCGGAAACACCTTGTCTTGCCGACGCGGGTGGATGTGGACTTTCGCGCGGCGTGTTTCTGTCATCGGCGGGTCGTGGATGTCGGCTTTGTCTGCTCGATTTGTCTGAGCATCTTCTGCGAACCGCCGGAGAACGGGGACTGTCTAACCTGCGGGACGCATCTAGAAATGGGCGACTACGGTGCGAAGCCGGCGGTCGTGGCTCGGAAGAAGAAGAAAAAGAAGGCTCGTGCCAATGGGCCTTCGGGCACCGCTACGCCTACGCCGACGCCAACTCCGGGACCGTGAAGAGTGGTCACTATGAGGTCTACGATAGTCATGTCGCTGGAGTGTTCTTGTCCTCCGCGGCTACTATGCTGTGCACTTGCTCGCCTTTTGGATAGGCTCATTTCAAGGGTATCCGTCTATTGGCTGGTATCCTAGGTAGAAGAACAGCAAGAGTCTCACCGAGGCCCGTTGGATATTACAGTTGCCCAGTCCTCAATTGGGTAGGTAGTACACCAGAAACCGTCACCCTCCGCGATGCAGTATTTGTCGGCCAGAATCGACTCCCAACGCATTGAATTTGCAAAGGAGGTCCCTCTTGGAGCCCAAGGAAAATTGGATCACTATGCGGGTTGGACAAGGTTAGCATCAGGCGTTCACAGATTGGGGCTTGTGATATAGAGCTATAAATGCACGGAATGAAACAAAAGAACATGGTAACTCACTGTGATAAGTGGTCTACGAAGCAGTGCCACGCAGGTTGAATCTGTTGATATCAGACTGAGTACCTTGACAGTTGGTCATGTATGACCTCCATACCTTCTGTAGCGGTAGGCACGGCCGCCTTGCGCAATGCTACCGTTCCCATTACTGCGAGACATCACAGAAACTGGCTTTTTGTCCTTGATACCCATGGAAGCAAGCGCCTGACTTACAGTTAGTAATTGAGGTTTGGTGATAGAGATAGTACTTACGAAGGAATCCGTATTGTGCCCAAAGAAAAGGAACACCCCATCGATGGTCTTTTTGACGGACATAATTCCAATAGCACCATGGCAATGACTGTCTTTCACACCGGGGTGGCCTAGATGGAGTTAGCCCATTGCAGCATATGCATCGAGCGGAAACTGGCCTACCCATGAATTCGGACTCAATCATTGTCCTCATCGCGTCATCCTCGGTGGCCTCCTCGAATGTACCGTCTTCGCACTTTTTCTGACAGTAGTAAACGCGCGTGGAGCATACACTGGCCGCCATAGTGGTCGCAATGTGCTCACCGGTTCCTGAAGTGACTGTAGCGACGCAGGTCTTTTCAGGATCGTTGGGATCCACGGGGATCACTGTTGTGCCCACTCCCACCAGGGCAGCAGGTCCGATCCGTCCGCGATGTTTCATGCCGATACCGCCTGATGACGAGCCAGCGGCGATATTTCCTACGGAATCGATCGCAATTGCGCCGACAGTATCGCTGATTTGGTCCATTTCGAACTCAGACAAGAGGTCTTCAGGGTCGACATTTCTGTGGGTGTCCGAAGAGATATGGGCTCTTGACTCAGAATCCATACTGACAGTTGCGTGGGCTTCAGTGTCGTTAGCATTAGCAGACACATGCTGTGGGACAGGGATACCATCACTGCATTCCCCGTCTCTAGCCGTGACAAAACTAGGCATTGCATTGTATGGAAGAGGCGACGTGAGGATAGGATTCGGATTGCCAGCGCATACCACATCCGAGAAAGAATCTAGATTTTCAGTAGGAAGAGCAAGGGGCGAGCCAATAGGAAATTCATTCTGAGCACTCAAAGGCGATGCCAGAAGTTGAGCAGGATGGGCCCCTATTGGATGACGGAAATACGTCATGTACTGAGCGTTTTGATACTTACTCGGATCCTGTTGACGCTCTTTGAACTCGGCTTCTTCCAACTCAAGTCGCCAGCGGTGCCATCTTTCTTTCGCTGCAGGTGCAATCAGACCGTCATGTGGGAGCACCACTAGCCCATGTTCATAAGCAAAGTCTGTTGCCCCCTGGCCCACGAGGAAGTTTGGGGGAACTCTTTGCAACGACAATGGTTTAGATGAAGCATCAAGAGTGAGCCGAGCTAGTGAGATTGGATTTTTGACCTCTGCAGTAAAGTATTAGCTTCCGGGGTAGAACTACCTGAAAGACAGACTTACGGGCAACGGCACCCACAGCACCGCTCCGTCCAAGATGATTGACAATGGTAGCGTCACACTCCACCGCACCATCCAAAGTCATGTTGCTCCCATAACCGGCGTTAGTTATTTCGGCATCTTCGAGGACTATGATGGCCATTTCAACTGCTTCAACTGCAGACGCACCGGCCTTGAGTAGCGCCATGGCGGCTCGGGCGGCGCTGGAAGAGTCAGAAGTGAAAAAGAAAAGGTATGCAGCAGGAAGCTGCTTCAAGGAGGGGCTAACTTACTTTTCGCATGTTTCCAGATGAGCTTTCTCGTTGTTATGGCTGTGAAATCCGGCGCCCGCATGGACGAAAATCGCGGCGATGTCGTTGCCCTTCTGACGACTCATAGTGGCTATTGACTTGGAGATCTCACGGATTGCGAGAGGGAGGAACTGAAACAGTGGGATTCGCGAGCCCGAGAGGGATTGAGTTGAGCTTAGGTCCCACGAGGGTAGAGAAGACTAAATCTTCGACATAGGATTTGGTAGCCTGGGGCCCGTGGGGATGTCGTGCTCTTCTACTCTCACCCGAAAAGCAAGGGAGAGAAAAAGATGTAATAAAAAGAATGAATATTGAGAGGAAATACCCCTCCACGCTAATGAAGGAGGGTAGAGAGTGAGTGGTAGGATAGAGGGCGGCGCATGGTCTTGTTAGGGCGAAGGCGAGAAAGATGGAGAAGAAGCGAGGAGAAGAAGGGGAGAGGGTCTTTAGGAAAAGGATATTGTAAGAAAAAAAAAAAAAAAAAAATAAGAGGTAGAGGTTAGGGCATGTGGGAGAAGAACAAAGAATTGTGGTTCATGTACAGAGGAAACGCGTGTTTGACTGCAGTTCTTTCCATCAATTGGAGGTTTCGGAGGAAGAGGAGCGGTTGCCTCCTGGGTACTCGATGGAGAGTGAGGAGTCCCGGGGTTGGGAGAAGAGGGAGAGAATCACCGCGAGCAGGGTGAGAGAGAGGAGGGCATAATAACAGAAACGAGGAGCATAACAGGAGAGGAAGAGAAAGAAGATCAGGTATACATTGAGCAGAAGCTTGATTGATATCGATATAGATCTGGCTGAGTCAGGATCCCCACGTGATGGACATCATGTATCGTTATATTGGTCACATCGCCGTATTGCCCATAGAAACATGGCTGGAAGGGTCTGGTAATAATACCAAAGTTACCCCCCAATCCCTCTGCATACGTAACGGGGGGAGAGGTACCTAATCCACCCGCCATTCCTCCTACTGCTGCGAGGTACCTCATCTCCATCGCTATCAACTTGTCCGCCTTCCCTCCTCCCCTCCTCTTCCACCAACTCCCACGTTCTCCCGCAAAACCTCACCCTCCTACCTCTTCCTCTCTCCTTATTTCACTCAATTAACCCACTCCGCCGGTCGCTGGTTTTATCGCCGCGTGGGAGTAAAGGGGAAGTTATTAGTGTCTTGTGTCTGCGTGTCGTCCCCCGTCATCCTTCACCATGGCGGCCTCTCAAACCCCCGCCGTTGTCATGGACAAGTACGTCAGCCCACCCCTTAAAATTGTCGCATTCGTCGTGCATATAGCTTATCTGAATCTGTCTCTAGCGGAACGGGTTACTCCAAGCTTGGTGAGTTCAATCCCCAATCGCCCGTTTTGCACCTACTACCCCCTCCCCTCATTTGACGCCTTAGGCTGACAGGCGGCAAGGTTTCGCTGGTAACGACTCGCCCTCGTTCGTCTTCCCTACCGCAATTGCAACCAAGTCTGGCGCCGGAAGCACGGGAAGCTCTGGAAGACCCCCTGTTGCCAACAAGCCGTCGTTCCTGGGGGGAGGTGGTGGGGCGAGCTCGCACCTGTCAGCGAAGCGTGGTACGGAGGACCTGGATTTCTTCATCGGAGATGAGGCTCTCGCTGCTGCCAGCGGACCTGGTTATGGCATCAACTACCCCATTCGCCATGGTCAGATCGAGAACTGGGATTCCATGGAACGCTTCTGGTCGAACTCGATCTTCAAGTACCTCCGCGTCGAGCCTGAAGACCATTACTTCCTTCTCACCGAGCCGGTAAGATGAGACGTCCTCGCATTCTCACCAGTCGTTTCTCGACGAATTATCCAGTATGTGCTAATCTGTATGTGGGCAAACAGCCGTTGAACCCTCCCGAGAACCGTGAGAACACCGCCGAGATCATGTTTGAGTCCTTCAACTGCGCCGGTCTCTACATTGCGGTCCAAGCCGTGCTTGCCCTCGCTGCCTCCTGGACTTCCTCCAAAGTGACCGACCGCTCCCTGACCGGAACGGTCATCGATTCCGGTGACGGTGTCACCCATGTCATCCCCGTCGCCGAAGGCTACGTCATCGGCTCCTCCATCAAGAGCATACCCATTGCCGGTCGAGACATCACATATTTCGTACAGAGCCTGCTCCGTGACCGTGGTGAGCCCGATAGCAGCCTGAAGACCGCGGAGAAGGTAAAGGAGGAATATTGCTACGTGTGTCCCGACATTGTGAAGGAGTTCGCCCGTTATGACCGTGAGCCGGATCGTTTCCTCAAGCACACCGTGACCTCGCCCAACGGCCGCACCGTGAACATCGACGTTGGATACGAACGGTTCCTTGCCCCCGAGATTTTCTTCAACCCCGAGATCTACTCCTCCGACTTCCTGACTCCCCTGCCCAACGTTGTCGACGGCGTCATCCAGTCCTCTCCCATCGACGTGCGTCGGGGTCTCTACAAGAACATCGTCCTGTCCGGAGGATCTACACTATACAAAGACTTTGGCCGGCGCTTACAGCGTGATATCCGACACCTGGTGGACGCCCGAATTCGCGCCTCCGAGGCACGCAGCGGTGGAGCTCGGAGCGGTGGCCTGGACGTGGCGGTTGTGACACACAAGAGACAACGGCACGGTCCCTGGTTCGGAGGAAGCTTGTTGGGTCAGACGCCCGAGTTCCGCAGCTACTGCCACACCAAGGCCGAGTACGATGAGATTGGTCCTAGCATTGTGCGGAGATTTGCTCTCCTTGGTGGACCCGGCAGTTCGTAGGGAAGAAAGTGATCGAGCCATCTGTTTGTTAGTAGCTGGTTATCTGTCTATAGTGTTCTACTCATTTCCTTTTTCCGTTTCTCATGACTGTTCAGAATCTCGACCGATAGTGCCGCCACGGGTCTCTTCTCTATTCGGGTAGACTAGAAGGAGTAGGGGTATTTGATTATGACGAGTTTGTTTGTTCTGCTACTTGGTCACAGAAAAGAAACCTGGCGTGTTTAACTTGGTCCTTGAATGTATATATTCGCATGGGAATCAACGTCTACCCAAGTTCCTCACACTTCTATTTTATGTCCCGAACGCCAACGCCCGCCGGGGAACCGAAACTAGGATATAATGATGATAGATGGAACGAGTGTCACTGCTCAATGGCGAAAATCATGCTTGAGGGAACGTCGTCTTGTTGAGGATAGCAACGCCCTCCACATGACCAGTCTGGGGGAAGAAATCGAACCCGCGGATACTCTCGATCTCATACCGGATGTTCTTCTGGGCGTCGCCCTGCACCATGACGGCCACATCGCGCGCCTGCGTATGCACGTTACAACTCACGTAGACGACGCGACGCGGACCAAAGGACAGCAGCTGGCGGAGGAAGTCGTCGCTGCAGCCCTTGCGGGGCGGATCAATGACCAGCAGCGTCTGCTCCGCGGGATAGGGGACGTCCTTGAACAGGGTGGCAGCATCGGCAGCGGCGAAACCGGTGTTGGGCAGGGAGTTGGCGCGGGCGTTATCGCGGGCTGATACGATGGATTGTTCGGCGACGTCGACGCCCAGACTGGAGCGGAAGAGCGGCGAGAGGGTGATGGTGAACAGGCCGGAGCCGGAGTAAGCGTCGAGGAGGTATTTGATGGGTTTGGGGTCGTCTTGGTTATCCTTTGGCAGGGCGTGTTGGCGGATGTATTCGGTGAAGCCGGAGAGGATGGAGTTGTTATTCTGGAAGAAGGCGCCGGCCTTGTTGGTGAAGACGTAGTTGTCGATGTACTCGACGGAGGTGGCGTTGGAGTCGGTGACGCAGCGCTTCTCCTCGGTGTACTTGTCGTGCTCGGTGCGGATGACATCGCCGGACTCCTTGCCTGGTCCGTTCTCGGGGAGAGTTGGTTGGGGGATTGTGATGTCGACGCCGTCCTTGGGGGTGCGAAGGGTGGATTCGCGCATTAGCAACGTGGCGCCCTTTTTGTACGAGTTGATGTTCTCGGCGACTCTCTTCCGTTCACTCTTCAGGCCGCGGCGCACGATGTCCGTGCCCAATGGACAGTCCTCGATGTCCAGATCCGTACGTCGGTTCTTGTATGTGAAGCCGATGGCCGGCACCTCGGTGACCGGGCCGGAGGGAGCCTTCTTCTTCCCTCTGCCGCTGCCGCCGGGGGCAGCAAAGTGCGGCGTCAACTTCGTGCGGTATCCGTATTGCATCGGGGAGGGGAAGGTGTCGCCAATGGCGGGGACGAGCTCTGGAATGAGGCCGGAGAAGTTGGCGTAGGCTTTCTCGACGATGCGCTTCTTGTGCGCCAGCTGGTCCTCGTAGGACATCATCTGCAGCTGGCAGCCAGAACACTTTCCAAAGTACTGGCATCCAATGCCGGCGTCGTTGCGCTGCGGGCCCGGTTCGATGACTTTGAGAAAGTCCGTCAGACTGTACGATAGTTGAGGGAAATGCCGCACGACTTTGACCAGCACTTTGTCTCCGGGGACGGTGAAGGGAACGACGTAGATGTGGTCGCCCGCTTCAGACAGCGCGAGTCCATCTCCAGTGGAGGACAGCTCCGCGACCTTGACTTCAATCTCGGTGAAGGTCTCCGGTAAGGTTGGCGTATCAGTTTCATCGGGCGAGTCTGCGCGAACCTCGCTCTCCGGTTGATTCTTCCGGAGAAGCTTGTCGATATCGGCTTGGAGGACCTCGTCAAATCCACTGTTCTTCGCGCGGTCGGCCTTGGACTTCTTGCGCCGCTTCACCGTGTGGTCGGGTTTCTTGGGAGCGTTCTGCATGCTTGTGGAGTGAAAATGCGCGCTGCGCTGCAGCGGCGGAGAGAGCAAATTGAGGCGGAGGCGCGCAGTCTGCTGTGGAATAGAGAACCAGATCTTGGAGGAGACAGGACGGAGAGACCTAAAAGCGAACATATATGTGAATCGACCCGGCACCAGAGGGAGAAGAGAGCAGGAGTGATTGAATGAAGGGAAAAAAAGTGGACGAGCATGGATTACTATGGGCAAAAAGACGGGCGGGGATTGGTCGACCCGGGGCGCTGAGAAATTTCGCCGGGCTTTTCCCTTCTGGGAACGTTTGCAACTTCTGCCATCCAAACTCTCCCCGTTCACCTTCTCCGCCGTCGACTTCCCACTACCCCCAATTCCCCTCCTCTCCCTCTCCCACCCTCTACGAACAGCTCTCGCGTGGCCTCTGCTGGCCAGAGAGCTTCTCCCGTTCTCTTCACCATGAGTCTCGCCCGGCCGGCCAGATGCCTGTTCTGCAGCTTTACTCGGGCTGCAGCCCCGACAGGCGCTCGCGTGCCTCGACGCCAATTCCACGCCTCACCCGCGCAATTGTCGAACCGGAAACCGAAATTCCCCAATGTCAAGGCCGAGAACATGCGGACGCTCGATCAGATCGCGCGTGAGATGAAACCCGACGACTTCAAGCCGTACACGGAGGAAGAGAAGGCCGCCCTGAAGGAGGAGTACACACCGGAGCAGCTGGCAGCCATTGAGGCCGGCGAGGCCGCCATCGACCCCAAGGACCTGGCAGAGCAGTTTTCCATCCGTCGGGATCCGATGAAGCTGCACTACCTGGACGATCTGTCGACGATCGAGCCGGGCGTGGACAAGCACGTCAAGGCGCCCAAGTCCAATTCCGACTACCATGCCACCCTGAAGACCGAGGAGGACTTTGTTGACGACTTCGCCCGATTCTTTGCCGAGATGCCGGAAAACGCGAATGCCGGTGACTGGGTGCGCTTCCTCGAGAAGACCCGTGTCACTGTGGGCAAGGAAGAGAACGAACTCAACCCGCACAGCGCCCTGGTGCCCGATCTGTTCGCCCCCGGTGAGACGCTTACCTCGAACGGACCGCCGCCCAAGGTGTTCGCGGAGGAGGACCCCAAGGCCCGCGAGTCGGAGGAGATGACCGATGCGCTCAAGCGGCTGCTTCAGTCGACGGGGTACACGACGGACGAGATCCGGTCGCTGAAGACGAAGACGCTCGTCTCTCACTCGGTCGTCAACCAGACCCGTCTTGGTAAGGTCCGTCGGATGTACTGTTTGTCGATCGCCGGCAACGGAAACGGTCTCTTGGGTATCGGCGAAGCCAAGTCTGAGGAATCCACGGATGCCGTGACACAGTCCAAGTACCGTGCCATCCGCAGCATGCAGCCCATCCCGCGGTACGAGAACCGCACTATCTTCGGCGATGTCCAGGGCAAGGTTGGCGCCGTCGAGCTGCAGTTGATGACCCGTCCCCCAGGTATGTGTGCATTGAATTGAGATGTCCTGAAAATGTACTGACCGCTTAGGCTTCGGACTGCGTTGCCAGCATCTGATCTTCGAGATGTGCCGCGCAGCGGGCATCCACGATCTCGCCGCGCGGGTCAACCGCTCCCGGAACCCCATGAACACAGTGAAAGCGGCTTACGAGGCGCTGATGAGCCAGCGGAACCCGGAGGACATTGCCCGTGCCCGTGGCAAGAAGTTGGTCGACGTGCGCAAGGTGTACTACTCTGGCCGCGCTTAGATACCCACGAATCGTATGCCAGGCTTTGTTGGCTGGAATGCTATCTGGTGATCTTTTCGGTTTGTCGCATGGAGCGAAGCATGATCCAGACCCTGGACAGTGCTCTCACGCATAGAAAAGACTGTACGAGTATGGCCTGCGGCATGGGATGGGTCTCATGTCTGGATTTCTTTGCGTTATGGCGGTGTATATAATTCTGGCTTTGGTTGTTTAGTGTACTCTGACATGTATTTGTATTGCAGGTTGATCTATTTCCTCACATGAAACAATGACAAAAAAAAACAAGGGTATATCCATCCAGACCGACGTAGGCGACATAAAAAGCACCAGAAAACCATACAAACAAAACACTCAAGCAAACCGCCCCGTAAAACTGACATCCCCCTCATCCATCACCCCCTGATCCGGATAATCCATCCCCTCCTGCTGTTCCTGGTCCTGCTGCTGCTGGTGTTGTTGTTGCTGCTGCTCCTCGCTCTCATTAAAGATCTGCTGCTGCAACACAATACTGTACACACTCGCTTTCAGCAGCGTACACACGGTCGCCGTCTTGCGCTCGAGCACCCGCAGTCCATCCAGGGTCAGCGACGAGGGATCGCCCGAGAGATCCGCCAATTTCTGCGACAACTAATGGGGACGGAACGGACGTTAGCCTGTCTGCGTCTTGATCTCGGAGGGGGTTCGACACCGGTTGTTGGCTGGGACAGTTGGAGCTGGAAGATAATAGACGGTGGGGCAATCGCTCGCTGGAGAGGTACCTTGTTCACGTTGCCGAGCAGGCGGGAGTATTCGTCGAGGACTTCTTGCTCGAGGTCGGAGACGAGCGGGTTGGACGCGCGGAGGAGAGGGTTCTCGGAGGAGGATTCCCGGGCGGGAGGCGGGGTCGTGGGGTCGTGGTCCATGAGTGTATGTGTCGATGCGGTTCGAGATGGAGGGTTGGCGAAGGTTGTGAGTGTGGTAGGTGTATGGAGAGTGGAGGACAGGAGTGGGCGAGGTGTTTGGTGGTTGTTGTGGTTGGGTTGAAAGGTGTTCGCGTTGTTTGGGTCGGTGTATCCATCCGCTCATATTCAACGGTAGGTAGTTTTGAGACTCGACTAATTACACAACTGAGAATCAGACACTACATACACTGCGTCGCTACAATTACACACATGTTTACGAGTCAAAATGTGATCTCGCCATTGCTCTAAGGCTCCGGGCCCATATCCAGAAACAAAACGCAAAACCTCCAGGTCAACGCAAGCTTCGAATCATTTTGTTGAACGCGAATCGGACACGAAATATCAAGGACTGTCTGCTGTAGAACCGAAATCGTAACGCCGTACTCTGCAATGATGGTGACACGAACGTGCGTGGATGAGACGAGAAAAACACAATTTATACCGCTCCCAAGAGTCAATGAAAAAAGCACAGAACCGAAAAGTATCCCATATACGGCAGAAAACATGCGCATAAATCAACAGCCGCCCGCTGAGGATGAAAAAAGAGGAGTCGTCAAAGCTCTAGGCACCGTACGCCGTGAAAAAGTTGCAAGATACAAAGCTCTCATGCATCGTCAGAAAATCGCATAACGGAGCGATGTTATGTCATGGAAGAAGCGTTGAACGTCCTAAGGGGGGATCACATATCCCCATCGTGATGGAGAGTGACGCTGTTGAATTCCTCGAATGGATCATTGATCTCGCCATTCGGCGTCGTGAGGCCCGAATTCAATGGAACACCCTTCAACTTGGCGGTATTGGTGCCTCCAATGTCGACGCTTGCGCTCTCTTTCACGTTGCGGAAATTGAGGGTATCAGTGCCGCGGCTTTGATGGGGAATCATAGGTGGCTTCATATGGCGGATAAGAGCCCATTGAGTCTGGCGGAAGAAAGGATGGGTTTTCACGTCCGAGGCGCCAGCTCGGGCCCCAAGACGCTTCAATTCGTCTTTGATCAGCAACTTGCGGATTAATGACTTGCAAATGCTACACCCCCATCGTTAGCGATCATAGTGCAGAAGCCCAGAATCGGAAAACTTACTTGGAAATTTGCTGCGCCCCTGCGTGCTCAGGGAATTGGACCTCATCGCGAAGAATATTTCCGAAAGTTGCATTGCGGTTCTTGCCCTTGAATGGCGTGGTTCCGTAAAGCATCTCGTAGATCAAGATACCCAGCGTCCACCAGTCGACCGCGCTAGTATGACCACAGCCTTTGATCACCTCCGGAGCGATGTACTCTTCCGTGCCCACGAACGAGTTGGTCCGAAAATCGGCGATGCAGGATTTGGTATCGATGGTGGGGAGAGAGGTGGTAGAGTTCCCGCTTCGTGCAGGGATCATTGTAGGGGCACCGCCCGGCCCCGACTGCTTGGAAAGGTCAAAGTCCGACAGCATGATATGGCCCGACTGGTGCAGAAGGATGTTCTCCGGCTTCAGATCACGGTAAATAAAGCCCATTAGGTGCAGATACTCCAGAGCCGCCGTGACTTCAGCAGCATAAAAGCGAGCCGCGTCTTCAGAGATGCACTTCCCTGGGCGCGTCTGGAGGGCACGGAAGAATTCTCCTCCACTGCAGTATTCCATGCAGAGGTAGAGATAATCTTCGGATTGGAAAGAATGGTAGAGGGTGACGATGAACGGGTGGTTGCTGGTGGCAAGGATCTCCTGTTCGGCCAAGGCTCTCTTGATCTTGTTTCGCTTGATCATCTCCTTCTTACTCAGGACTGCGACAATTAGCATGGATTCTTGACAATCTGTCATCCGACTGCAACGTACCCTTCATAGCATACAAGCGACTGGACTTCTTCTCCCGGACGAGGTAGACCTTTCCCACATCACCCTTGCCAATCAGTTTGATCTTATCAAAACTGCTGGGGCCGACTTCGACATTGCGGATCTTAATCGAGTTGGAGCTGTACGTTCTCCGGAACGCGACCGAATTCCGAATTTGACCGGGACTGGGCAGTTTGCCATCCGGGCCAGGCTTGGGAACAGCGAGGCCGGGGGCATCATTCTCGCTGACGAGACTGACCTGAGATTCCACGGCACTGGACTGTTCGATCAAGGGCTCTTTGCCCAGGTCGGCGGTCTGCGGTCGCTCATCAGACTGGCCACGGGCGAACAGCCCTTGGGCATTGGGCGCAGACGCGACTCGACGCAGTTTCCGGGCGAGCTCCTCCTTGTTGGCGGTGGTGGCCTGCTCGGTTGCCGAGACGCCGTCGACCTGGAGTTCGGGAGTGTCCGGGGGCGAGGAAGGGACGGAGCCATCGTTGCGATGTTGTAAGGCCGGCTGACCTTGATGGACGAAATAGGGGTTTGCAGTGGCAGTGGGGGAGACGCCTTCATCGAGAGGGTTCCCCTCGCTGGCGACGGTGGTAGATCGATTACGACCGATGGTAGGGAGAAATCGGGATTGTCTGAAGGTGGACTTGGATTCGACGGAGGGGGTGTGTTGCGAGGAGCTATGAGAGGAGTTGCTGCCGGAACTGTTGATGCGAAAGAAGTTCTTGATCTTCGTGGGGAAATGGCTGGACTCGTTGGGATGCTTCTTGGAGAGACCGGGGAAGTTCCCCCGTTTCTCATTCGTCACGGAGGACGGGCTGGAGGCGAAGAGCTGGGTCATCCCGGCGAGGGGAGCAGGCGGATAATTTACCCACGAGCAAGACGGCGAGTTGAGGTCGGGGGATGTAGGAACGAGTGGGTTATCGGAGGAGGAATTGTAGGCTGCAAGGAAGGGGCCCAGAAGGGTGGGGAGGGAAGAGGCCACTTCAGTAAGGCCAGGGGAGGGGGGAAGAGAGAGGGGAGGAAACGAAAGGCGATGGGACGGTTGAAAAAGAGAGAAAAGGGTCAAATGGGAGGCCCCATAGAGGTCAGAGGGAGGATGGGGGACGGGGGGAGAGACGGAGATGAGATAAGTGTTGGAGATGAGGTGAGTCTGGAGAAGCGAGAAGGGCGTCTCGGAGAGCGAGAGAGGAAGAGAGAGGAAGACGGCGCGGTGGAGAAAGACGTGGAGGGAATTCCAATCAATCCAGCGATCAGTCAATTGTCTGTCAATCCTCAATGGGGCTTAGTCACTCTGCCAAAAGCGGTCCTGTCACCACTACCACCACCACCACAGAAAAGAATGTTCTCCCGTTTCGCCGCAAGGGGTTCTTTGATTATGTTCTTACGAGTCCTCCGTAGGATGAAGACAAACTTCTCAGTAGTCAACAGGGGCCGCCACGTTCTCCAAGTGGACCCTTATCCAAGTCGGTCTCGAAGTCTCTGTTTCTGGGGTGGCGAGTCACCTCCATGGTTTACAGTAGTTACAGAGTACTCCGTAGGTTGACGGTGGGGGAGACTAGTGATCATCCATGGATAGTGGCAGGGTGCCATTACTAATGGGGCAAATAGCCTTTTTCTTCCAGAACAGGAACTAAATCTTATCGAACGGCCGATATAGACATGGACAAGGTCACAAGACACACATAGGAGTACTTACATAGGGTTCCATAGAACCTGGGATAGGATTATGAATGGTAGATAGGCAACCCATGGCATGCCGAGATATTTACGCGCGTCATTGAGTCAGGCCTTCTTGGCACTATATATATCCTCTCATCCTGCTCATAGCGGGACACTCCCTCGATAGCTGGCAAAACCATGATGCAAACAAGAAATACTATTGAGAAACTAAAGGCCTCGATACATGAATAACAACTCCATGATCCCAACCACCTAACTATATCCCTCTGTGGATCGCCCACCCATAGTGATAAACTCCCGACCAGAAGAATGGCGTCAACGAAGGTACAAAATAAGGCCTGACAAACGGGGCCAACCACTCGTATCCGATCACACAGGGGAATATCACGAAACAAAGACACTCAACATCAACTCCCAGCTCTGATCTCCCAATCTCCATACTTCCAACAGTAACATTGAACAAAGACTCTGTCATAATCCTCACCCACAAGCAGCGACCCCCACCCTCAAGGCCGATACCACAGTCGTTTGCCCTGCGGTTTCTTCGAAGATTGGAACGCGCCATGTGTGGCTGTTTTGGAGTCGAGGCATGCGTGTGCATTGACTCTTTGCGACACGGCTAGCGCCGGCGTCTTTTGAGACACATGGGAATGGCCTTTCTGAAAAGGCTGCGGTAAGAATAACGAGTATACTGGTTTCGAGCCGTCTCCATCAGAGCCCTTGCTAACGTCATAAACGGGATGATGGACACTTGGTCTACTGGGGGAATTGTCCGCCAACGGCCCTTGCCAACTGGCTGTAGAAGGAAGCTGCACTCTCGGGGACTTGATCGATGCGATAGATGCAAAGCTCGATTCGCGCGGTCTGGGCGACGAACAATTAATCCAGTACTTGAAGCCTTGCTCAGGGTTGGTTATACCTCTCCCATGACCCAGAATCATCGACGCCTTTGCTTCCACTCCGCAAGGCTTCACTTCCAGGCTGGCGGATACTGTTGCCATTGTTGCGGTTAGCAATATATGTGAGTTACAGACACAAGACTTACTCGGTCTCATGAAGTGTGGCCCATGAATCGGTTGTGGACACACACGAGGAAGACATATTGCCATCGGCTTCTGCGTCTTTGCGGGGCATACACTTATGCGTGCTACTATGTTCTCGTGGGTAGAATTCTGATGCCCAGGGTCTCCTTCCGTGTCTCATCAGGTGTAGATTCGACTCAATGTTATCGCTTGCTCCTCTAGTGGCGCCTGCAGCCACCATCGATGGGTAAACCATGGTGCCTTGACCTGATATCGGTTGACATGGTCTCCTGGATTCCTCCTGCCTTCGCCTCAAAAGTTCACTAGTGGCGCTAGACAGCTCTCTAAGCAGTCCATCAAGCTTTTCGCCCCGCTTGTTGGCTTCCTCAATTCGATGATATATCTGTTGAAGCTCCAATGGAGAGGACCTGGCCGGCGTCGCCCATCGGTTGTCATCAGGGGCTGCGCTCTCGGTCGCATCTTCACCCGTCGATGCTTGTAGGCCAGTCTCGACTGGACCGTGTGGAATGTTCACTGAGAGACTTTGCTGCGGCCGGGGTCTCTGATTGTGCCGGTTTGCCGCAGCTGTCTCCTCTTGAGCATCACTCGAGTAGTATGCCGAGTTGTCAGCATTCTGCACTGGAAATGTGCCTCCCGTTGAGTCAATTGATGGAAAGAATTCTGGAAAAGTGTTAGGGAAAGGAGGCGCAGGTATGGACTGCATTCCGTAAATGAGATTTGGCACTAGTGTCCGGGGTCCCACAAGATGCGTATAGGGATTGCCCATGGGCGTAGGGGTGCCCACTGCTGCTGACGCTGTCGAGTCACAAATGCCCCATTTTGTCATATCAAGGCTTTGCTCTAGCTGCTCAATATAGAGCCGCAATACATCCAACTCCCTCACTAAGCTTTTCCGCTGCTCAACCAGCAACGTTTTTGATTGCCCGTCTATATCCCAGGCGTTGAGCGCCATGTGTCTATCAATGCGGCTTAACTGAGCAGACAAAATATCATATTGTCCTCGGACTTCTTTTAGACGGCTCTGGTAAGGGTTCTCTCGGTAAGCAGCTGGGTGAACGTGGGGCTGACTGAATGCTGGCAGTGGACCGCCGGCTTGCCATTGCCACTGAGGTCCGAGACAAGCACGCGTATCGAAACCAGATGAGAATTGACCACAGCTCGATGCTGAGCCCGCAGATATGCTACCGGAAGCCGCGCCTTCGGAAAATCGGGGAACAGAGGTCGGTTGTTGAATGCGCGTTTGGCCGGCAGTTATAAATTCCTGAGCCGGCATAGGCGGATAACAGGCTGGGAAGCAAGACCCTGCGTCTATCCCCGCACCATATGCTGAGTAGTATGGTGGTAGCGGTCCGTCGGCGTTGAATGGAAGCTGGCTGGTGTTGTAGGAGAAAGGAACCGCATCCTGTTGCAGAAACGCTCCAGTGTTGGTTGCGGCTGGTGGAAACAAGCCAGGCATACCAAATGCGTTGGTATAAGTTTCCGATCCCTGCACCAAGGATGACCTCGCAAGATTCGGAAGCAGACGGACTGATCGAGAGGGCGTCGAACCAGCTGGCCCAGGGCCGACTTCCACTGTCTGCGTATCTTCGCTCTCAAGCTTACTGCCACGGTCATCATCACGAGTTACAATCGTTAGATCATCACCCTCGTCACAATCACCGTCGGTGCGCTTCCGGAGTGTTAATCTGAATTTTGGCACCGGAGTCTGTGGCTCCATCGGGACGATCCGGCCACCAGCCGTGACACGCTGGTGTTTAGGAGACGTGTGCTCTTTCAGGAACCGAGCAAACCCAGAGTTCGTTTGCGCGAGGGTCGAATGAGGAGGGTCATTTGGCGGACGCAGAGGCTGTAAGCCACCAGCGAGTATATCCTCACTCTGGTGAGAGAAACTGGACGGTTTTCTTCTATTGACGGGCTCTTCGACCAAGGTGCGCATTGGAGGCCTGTGTTGACGGAGCAGATTGCCTGAAGAATGGAAATGTTAGTCTTGTACTGAAGTCTAGGTCAACAACCTTGAAGGGTATACAAAACACGTACTGTTCAGCGCTTGTACAGCCAACCTGCCGACATCAAAGTGGGCTTGATGGCGCAAGGCCAGAAGGGTCGAGATATCATACTTGGGCATCTTGAGAAAGCCGAAACCGGCGCCGGAACCGGGAGTGAATTGAGTGTTTACGGAGGAGAAGATGAGGGATGTGTTAATAGGAGCAGACGCGAGATGTTGGAGAGTGAGCATGTGTGGTCACCGTGATTCGGGAAAGAAGACAACTGGAAGGCCCCCGACCTCGATCACATGGAAAGAGCTCTCGAAAGCGAGATCACAGTGAAGGCAAGTACCTGTACCTGCTTTCATCACTTCGGGCTTACTATACTGGCTCTCAAGCAACTCAAATGGGGCTTTCCCCCGTTCGTGCAAGTCTCACTGACGTACATGTTTATGTAGTAGGCCAACTACTTCCAATTACTTCCAATGGCCCAAGCCAACTCGGACATCAAGCAACACAATCAGACATGCTCACGGGCCTGCACCGGCTGCTGAAGGGTATGTATCCGCCAGTCGTCCATCTCATCATCAAAAGGAGATCGCGCATTTTCGTCCGGACCGCGCGAGGCGAGGGTAGCACCGCCTCGCATTTCCCAGCTTCCATGGCGCTCATGGGTGCGCGCTCCAGCTTCTCCTTCGTTGGTGCCGGCTTCCTTTGCATCACTCCAGGTGGTATTTCGGAAGGCGACGTCGGTATCGCTGGCCATCTTGCTGTTTCCTTTGAATCCCCCGAGACTCCGCTTGCGAATCCGTCCCAGCCGCACACCACACAACAGGAAGCCAACCACAGCAACCACGCCCACCGTGACCAGGGTGACCACTGCCCCAATGACACCAGCAACGCCTGGAGCCATTCCTTTGTGCCCTGAGCCCTGGTGATCCTTATGGGTCTTGTCCGAGAATGGCGAACAGAATGCGATATCAGTGTTGCACAGATGACACCACTCCTCGGTCGAGTTCAAGGCAATCTGCTTCATCTCCGACTCAAATTCCGAGTACGGTATTCCGATGTTGCTAGGACCCAGCCCGAAGAGGGGATAGGTCTGGAACTCCGGGGATTCGGGGGACCCGGTTCCATTCCGGAGAGCGAAGCGAACATACAACTGAGACGGGTCGGGATATGTCGGATAGGTATCGTTCTCGAGACTGTAGAGTTCCAGCACGATGGACGCGCCGTGGGCGGGACGGGAGTAGAAGCTCGCATGCTCAGGTGACGCCAGGCCCATGAGGGAGGTAAGGGCTACGACGGGCTCATGACTGCCGAACATGAATGTCATTTTTCCGCTGGTGCCACGAGCGTCGATATTAGTCCCGAAGACGTTCACGATGCTGGCGGCGAGGGTTTTGCCGGCCACGGTGCGAACATCCGGAGTTCCGACTCCAGACGTAGAGGTATTACCGTTCGTGGCAAAGATGTAGTGGTCTGCAAAGTATCGTGCCGATTCAATATCCCCCTGATTGAGCTGGTGGAGCAACGAATCGTTGTGGACGGACTGATATTCCAGAAACTCAGAGATATAGTAAGCATTTGCGTAGGTCGCTTCCGAGCGGTTCATTATGCCAGACAGGACTTGGTCGTATATACTCTGGTAGAATGCCTCTGTCTCCTCTTTCATTTGCTCAAACTCTTGGGTGAACTTGTATTCGTCATCCGCAACCCGGTGCATTAGGCATGAGCTGTGACCCTCGACCACGATCGATTGATAGTCTGATGATCCGTAGGTAAGAATGGGTGGATACTGATATCCATTGAGGGGAGCTTCAGCCAGAGACCCGTTGGCGAGCTCGAAGGACGGATCGTAATAAGTCGCTCCGTATGAATCATTGAGTGGCGGATAGAGTCCCTGCATGAATGCTTGGGCGGATGCAACAACCGAGGCGTCTGTCGTGGAGAAGATCTCAATGTCCTCAGGGTCCAGCATGTTCCGCGAGAGGCTCTCAATTCTCGTGCTGGGGGCGCTGTCGTCTTCGTGTATAGCCACATATCGATTCCGAAAGGCAGAGCCGGCCTGGTACAACTGATTGGATCCATATGGGGTCAGCGTCTGAGGCCGAGAGACCGAGGATGGAACCGTGTCTCCATGGAGAGTGTAGGCAAATACACCCCAAACTTGTTCTTTCATCTCTTGACCTGAGACGATAGAGGTATGCAATGTCGCTGCGAGAGCAGCCAAGTACGGGCGTGGGACCAGCATGGCAGTCTGAAGAGAACGAAATGATGTTGACGTTTTATTATTGTCTTCGATACCCTATGGCTATGGAGAAGAAGAAGAATGACAGGAAGCGCATGCGGAGTGAGCGAGGGGCATGAGATAAGTAAATGCAAAATGGACGGCAGACCCAGCCAGTAGGGTTGCAGGCAAGGGAAACCTACCTAGCCTTCAGGAAACAGGGGTATCATCGTGAAAACGTCAGCATCAAGTGTAGAGTCTGGTACCATAGGTATAGCTGGGCTCATAATTGAGGTGACGACATGCATATCACATTGTGTCCGCTAGAGCATTCGGGGCCCCGGGAGCATAAAGCTTGATGGGACTATCGATCCGAGGTGGTACTCGAAGTAGCAGCCAAGTAGATTGGAAGGCCTCAACACCTCCCACTGACATACAATATGGCCATATAGCGGCAGCAAGAGCGTCTCAGCTCAACGAGACTCGTGTGCTTAGCTCTGTGCCTTGAGTTTCTTGAAGCGGCTCCTGATGTCTGGAATTGGATGGAACACCGCTGAGTAGCATTTGACTAGGAACGTCTATAAAGTTAATTGTCAGCTTGAGGGGGTTAGTATATCGGTCTGTTGCAAGAACCATATGGTGGTGAGTGATGTGATATAGAGGCTGTGGTCTATGACGTCTAGACTGGGTAACATCCCAGCCAAGGTAACAGGAAGTAGGGTACGATGAGAAAAATCTCTGTCATTGAGAGAGGAGGGAAAGCCCAAAGCCGTTCGTACATGTATAGTGACGCAGACCGAGACGGGAGAGAGAGTGTTGGAGGATATCTACAGGGAGCAGAAAGTGTACTCCGCAGGCAGATGGAGATGGACTCAGGTACCTTTCCCGATTGGGAATAGATGATGGGCGGGATTGCTTATGTAAGGGAGCGGAAAAAATCAGACATTTCCACACCACCAAGAATTAACCGCACGTCTATTGCGTGGTACTGTTGGGATATGATTGGACAAGGTCCCCAAATGGAGTGGCAATAGGCTGCTGGTGCGGCGCAATTGGATTTGGCAACAACTCGCATTCAGTCCACCCGGCTCATCTCATCGCAAGCCCTACACCTGCGCCCTACCCCTAAGCCCTCATTTCTACTCTAGGAAGTTATCATCTACATCCCTGATGGTAAACCCGCAAGATACTGGCCCGGCCGCTGACGGTCAGGAGCCTTTACAACTGCCTACGTCTCCCAAACCCAAGGTAGAAGGCAATGGTGAGTTTTCCCCATGGAGTCGCCCCCGTGTCAAGATCTTTTTCCTCGCTGTCCCGGGCTACAGTGTCGTCGCTGCATGGAATTGTCTTGCGTTCTCACCCCAGTCCCTGATTGTTCCAAGTATCAATCTTGCATTGGCTAATCGGACTTCATGCTAGCTTCCCCGAAAATGTCTCATCCTCTTGAGGAGGATAATGATGGTTCCGTCTCGCCTCCCTCGAAGAAGCGTCGGCTCGACTCGGAGCCCCAAGATCTCCCAGCTCCTCCCCAGCAAGCCGGTCTTGGAGAATCGGCCCCTGGAGATCAGATCGAGGAAGAGCTGGCATCAGCGCTAGGATCGGGTGTGATGGACACGGTTGAACACCAGAGTGACCTCAAAAATCCGATCGAGACCCCAGCCGAGACCGCCATGACAACCGAAGGAGCTCAAGACATCGATCCAGAAATGGCATCCGTCATCTCAAGCATCATGAACCATGCTGAGAGGGTTGAGGAACAATGTGCAATTGGCCAGCAACAGGCCGCGGATACGACGACGAGTCAGCCTGCTCCCAAGGGCATGATCTTCGTCAAAGCCAATTCGCATTTGAAAATCCAGAGTCTCCCGATTCTTGATAACCTTGTGAGCCGATCACAATTCTTTTCAGTGGCTTGTATTCTAACATGCGTCCTAGTCGACACAAATTTTGTCGCTCCTCGCCAAGTCAACATACCAGGATATTACGTCCTTCGTGTCGGAGCCGGATTCGGAGAACGGCCAGGCGTATGCGACGATGCGCTCCTTGTTTGACCATACGAGGCGGGTCTATTCGACAAAAAAGTCGTTCCTTTCTGCAACTGAGCTTGAGCTCACAGAACCCGCGCAAATTGACATAATCCGCAAGGCCAATCTCGCCTCGTTCGTGTCGAGCATCTTCGGCACCCAAGAAATCGGCTTTTCCGAACTGAACGATAACTTTCTCGACGTTTTTGTTCCCGAAGGCGGACGGCTACTCAAGGTTCAAGGGGCTCTTTTCCTTGAGCTCAAGACCCAAGCGTTCATTGCCTCCATGAACAACACCGAACGATCGAGGACGGAGCTGCTGTATGATTTGTTCCCCGATGATCTCGAACAACAACTACTGGACCGGCGTCCGGGAACCCGTCAGCTTGCTCCGAGCGAGAGCGATTTCGTGAAGCGTGCTGGCTCACGTCGTGATATTCTCCTGAGCGACATTAATAACGAGGAGGCGATGAAGGCCTTGCCGGACAAGTACCACTGGGAGGACTTTCTCCGGGATCTTAGCTCCTATATCACTAAAAACTTTGACATGATCAATAATCAACAGGTGGGATGCCTTCTATGATACCGTGACGACCGGAGAGTGCTAATCCTGCAGCAGACCAAGAAAATCGTGACAAAAGGTCGCCAACCGTCTTCGTCCAGTGGAGATGCACAGGAGACCCCTAGTGCGCCGCTCCAAGGACAGTTCCCGGTTACGTCGCAGACGCCGGAAGTTCCTGTTGACAGAAACATGCACGGAGACCTTGTTGCACGTGCAGCTCGTGCAGCACAGATTGCGTTGCAGGGTCACGGTCTGAGACGTTCGCAACAACAACAACAGCAGCAACAATCTCAGCAGCAACAGCAACAACCACAGCAGCCACAACAAGCACAGCATACACAACCGCCCCCGCAACACCACCAACCAATGCAACAGCATCAACAACATCAACCGCAACCGCAACAAATGCCACAGCATGGACTTCAGCAAGGCCAAGTGCTTCATGGATATTCTCCCGCTCAACCACCTAGCCAGCTTCCGCCCCAGCAGAACCACGCGCAACCACCGTACCAGCCCAGTCCTACCCCACCGGCAGGATACCAACCCCAGCCTACTCCACTCACCTTCCAGCAGAGTCCCATGCAAGCGAATTTCCAGCAATACAGCCATTCCCCGCCGGTATCTATCCCCGGAAGGCCTAACTCTGCTGCGGCGAACCACGGGTACATGCCGGGGATACCACATTACTCCCAGTCACAGCCCACTCAGGTGCTCTACGAACGGGCTCGCATGGCTGCGTCAGCAAAGTCCTCCCCCAGCAGTCGCAAGTCGGGTCTGCCCAGTCAGCGTCGGCCCTGGACCACGGAAGAGGAGAATGCCCTGATGGCAGGATTGGACCGGGTCAAAGGCCCTCACTGGAGTCAGATTCTTGCTATGTTCGGCCCTGGCGGCACCATCAGCGAGGCGCTGAAGGACCGGAACCAAGTACAACTGAAGGACAAGGCTCGCAACCTCAAGCTCTTCTTCCTTAAAAGTGGAATCGAAGTTCCCTACTATCTCAAGTTTGTCACCGGCGAGCTGAAGACCCGAGCACCCGCCCAGGCGGCGAAGCGCGAAGCACGGGAACGCCAGAAGAAGCAGGGTGAAGAGGACAAAGCTCACGTGGAAGGCATCAAGGGGATGATGGCCCTAGCGGGAGCGCACCCTCAACCTGTGGCGATGGGACATGATGCGATGTCTGCATCGCCGAGCCTGCCCCCTGATCCAGCGAGCCATGCGGCGTTTGACCAGACTGCGGAGCAAAACCTAATGCAGACGCTGGGGCAGGAGGTGCATGGTGACCAATTCGGGCAACATCAGCATCAGCACCAGCACCAGCACCAGCACCCACACCAGCATCATCCTGACCAAGGCATGCACATGGGACAGTAGTGTATTATACCGACAGCCATGCCGTGCGTTTTTAGTTCAGGCAGGACTTGTGGAGTTGCGTTGAAATGCGGTAGAGGGATGTTGCGAACGGACCAAAATGTTTGTATCAGTAAATATAATTTATAGCTGTCTAGCGGAATTGATTGTACATTGTTCTTGAGTGTCAGTAGTAGGGAGAGTATTAGTTGTGTTGTAGAACTGATTGCTGAATCATCGGGCCGAAGCTGCATCGGGGAAGAAAGTCCGGCTTCATCGCTCGTGATTAGGTACAATACGTGCAGCGCCCAAGACCACTGAAAAAGGCATCAGATCCCCTCGCCATTCTCTCCGTGGTGTCCAATAGGCGGATTAATCGCCCTGTGTTTGTTTGGTGTCACTGTCTCAGTCCAATCGACCTATATTGTTTAATTAATCCTTTGTTTGTCCGTTTCCCTCACACCATGGCCGATTCGTCGTCATCACAACCTCCTGTGCCACCCCCCTCGTCGCAACCTCCAGCGGCCGCGCAGCAATCATCAGATCCCTCAGCGCCGACAACAAGCGACCAGGCCCCTGCATCCGATGCGCCTGTCGCCCTGAAACAAGAGCCCGACACAACCGACCCCACGACCCTGGATGCATCCATCGACCAAGACATCGAGATGAACGGCGATAGCGACCCCAACCTGGCCAAAGCCAACAACCCCGAATCCGAAGACGCCGCTCCAGTCGCGACCTCTGTCGACGCTATCGCGGCGGCCGCCGCGCCGTCCAAGAAAGAAACCAGTCTGCGCGAGTTTCTGGGGAAGATGGATGAATATGCGCCGATTGTACGTCCCCATCACCGTTACCTCAGCTTGCCCTCTCCTCACCCTCAGTTCCACACCATACACATCTCTGTCGGCACCGATACTAACCAACGAATAGATCCCCGACGCCGTAACAGCGCACTACCTGACGCTCGCCGGCCTCCCACCGCCAGGCAACGGTCCCAACCAGACGCCTCCGCACCTGGCGCGGCTCCTCGCGCTGGCCACGCAAAAGTTCATCGCCGACATCGCCGCCGACTCGTACCAGTACGCGCGCATCCGCGCGTCCAACAGCACTTCTGCCAGCAACCCCATGGGCAGTCTCAACGCCGCGTCCGGCCTGGGCGTGCCGGGCGGGGCGGCGGGCGGAGGGGCGACCGGTGCAGCTGGCGGTGCTGGTGATGCCAGCAAGGGCAAGGCCGGCACGCACCTGGGCATCCAGCGGCCGGGTTTTGGTGGTGGTGGATCTGGCGGTACCGGACAGGGCCGCACGGTGCTCACGATGGAGGATCTCGGCATGGCGGTGTCCGAGTATGGGGTCAGCGTGAAGAGGGGGGAGTTCTACCGGTGACAGGCTGTGGATGTTGGTTCATTGGGATGCTTCTGGCGTAAATACTGGGTTGACCACGACGATATCCTGCATTGGGGTTTAAAATTACTACGTATAGGGATGCACTGGCGTTTGGGGGGATCAATCAGACGAGTTTCTACCTGTTTGTTAATATGATTTGGCCCGCATACGCGGAATAGATCGTATGAATGATGGAATGATTTTGACATCCAGACTCCAGATAGCTAATTTTACACATGCGTAGATAGATATACAAGAGAAAACAACGCCAACAAGAAACATAACCCTGCAACTGCCACAAGCCGGGCCGACTCACTGCTTACGGCCCCCGATTCCGGACAGAAACCTCCCCATGTCAGGTATAGACAGAACAGCACACCACCCCGACCGATACATCGACGCCTTGATCATTTGTTCTTCGACTGCTTGTACGTGAATCTCTTGCGGGTCCTGACAAATGCAACCGTTAGCGAATGCCACCACAACCACCACCATGCTCAACGACATAGACCAGGCGCTGGCAACATACGGAACGTATTCCCCGAGCTTCCGCCCGACCATCTCCTCCGTGATCAGCACATCCTGATAATTCTTCCCGTTGTGGACGGAGAACCGCAGACCGACGAAGTTGGGGAGAATGGTTGCGCTGCGCTTCTGCGTCTTGATCGGCGGGGTGTTCGGCGCAGGGGGGAGCTTGCGGGGGAGAGGGAGGCTGCAGTCGAATGAGACAGGTTAGTTATATGTCGTTGTCATCGGGTGAGGCTGTATATCGTCTTCCGAAGGACTGGGGGGTGATTGCAATGGGAAGATCGGGTTGGCACGTACGGGACAATGTTCGGGCCTGCGGAGCGGATGAGGTTAGTTTTCCATCTGTACGGGGGGTTGGATTTTCCTGGGTCCTGGATCTCACCTTTCCAAACGGATCGCCCCAGCAGGGCGCGGGTGGGAAACATTGTGGGCGTTGTTCGTTGCTGTTGCGATGCGCTGCGGATCTCGATATAAAATGTTCGGAGAAGTTGCGCTTAGTCAGCGGTATGACCACCACCATGGCGTCGGCTCTACTATCATTCATCATTCCCTAGGTGTTCTCACAAACTAGATATCCTCTCTGATTATTGATTACTTGCATGGGTTTGAGAATTGCTACTGATAGGATGGCTTGCATTCATGTAACGTACAAGCGACCACGCTCGCTATATCCAGAGCCGCCTGCGGCCAGATGCAAATGCTAGTGCAAGATAACAAGATAATAATACAATCACTCTGCCAGTTCCTCGAACAGCTTTGCCAGGCTCCGGACGCCCATGATCACATTTTCATCCGGACCTTGTCCAGGGGTCCAGCTCGCGTGCGCAAAGTCAATCAGCCGCAGATCGTGCACCTTCGGAGATTCCTCCTCATCCTCGTCCTCCAAATCTGCCAGCTGCGGCGCCGTCTCGGGGTCGATACTGATATTGATAGCCTGCTGCGGTGCACCACCCTGGCCAGCCGGGAGGTCAACAACCTGGAAAGATCCATCCGGTTGGAGCTGCAAGTCAAAGTCTTCCTCCTCGTCGTCTTCTTCCTCTGGCGGATTTTCCTTGGCCTTGTTTTCTTCCTCGAGCGCAAGCTCCATGGCCTCGGGGTCACCCTCATACACGATCAAGACACTTGACGAGTACATGCGACTTTCCTCCGACTCCAGGACCTGCTGCACATTGCGCAAGGCGTCGGCGAACCGGCGCGCCACCATCTTCGAGCGGTCCACAGGGCCAGCCTTCGCGCCCGCAAGGAAGGTCTCAAAGCCCTCCCTGACGTTCTCCGCATGGAACGACCGCCCGTACCACTTATCATAGCGTCTGTAGCCGTCTTTCTCGACGACCTCGCCGCGCGCGCCCTCACCGCCCTCGTGCTTTGTCGCGTACGGGTCCGTCTTGCCCCCCTCATCCGCTTCGCCGTTCACGCCGGTCCAGACCTTCATGCCGGCGATGCGGAAGCCCAGCGTCGAGCTGGTCGTCTCTTTGGAAACGGCGTCGAGCTTGGCGCGCTTCGTCAGCGGCGCATCGTCTGCCCACAGCCGCGCGCCGAGCTTTACATCCAGTACGTTCGGCCGTTTGAATCCGCACGCCACGTTCTCCAGCACAATCGACAGGCCGGTATCGAGTTTCTTCCCATTCGACGGAACCCAGGCAGTCTCCGCGTCTGCCGGGGTGGAGGCCGCTTCGGCGGCGGCGGGTTGTGGCGTCGCGGTTGGGACGGGGGTGTCGGAGTTGGACGAGTCCTCGGAGGCGGGGAGAACGATGGCGCCGGTTTGTTCGGCGACAGCAGCGAGGGATTCCTGCTGGTCACCGGAGGTCAGGGTGCCGATGTAGGTGGGCATGAATTCGCGGAAGGCCGGGTGGAGGGCGCTGGATTCGTAGAAGGCAACCTCTTCGGGGGTGCATGGCTTTGCGATATAGGAGCCGGACAGAGTGCAGCGCACGCCGTCGCTAGAGAGGTTAGCATATGTTGGATTGTAGGCACCAGGGGTGGGGACATACTGTCCGGCGGCGACATGGTCGAACGCCACGAAGCTGTCGCTGTCGAGCCTGGGGGTCCTGGCACTTTCAGATCGCGAGGATGGCATCTTGTATCTAGTAGTAAAATTGAACGATCACAGAAGAGACTGGGGGCTGCTAGAGCTGCATTCCGGGAGTCACAGGGCGTGAGAATCCCTTGAGAAAGGATGGAGGAACAGGAACGCTGACAGAACGGGGAGGAAACGAAAAGAAAAGACAGAGAATGAAGAACTCCAAGCAGAAAGACAATGAGACGGGAAAAGGAGAGACAGGTGGGTTGTCGGGGGAATTCAGGGGGTTCAGTTGTGGTTGCGCGAAGAGAAGAATAAATTGCGGGCTGATCGATTATTATTATTGATTGTTAGGAAGCAGCCCGCCGACCCGAATTATTCAGATGCTCCCGCCGGCACCAACGCCCTTCGGAATCTCAGAGATATTTCATGATTTCTATGAGCATACTGGAATGATATTAAGAAATTTACGAACATAGGATTGCGTCGCACTGACAAACTCCCTTCTCAAGCCTTTGCCTCGTCAAGTTCAAAACCATCGTCTTTCACGGCATGCCCACCGACTTCCTTCGGCATCTGCCATCCCAGCAGGAGATCGTTCGACAAGACCGTGTAAAGGGAGCTGTAGGCAGTTTGGATATCCTCGAAGAAGTGGAACGCCGAGTTCAGCGCCCACACCGGAGTAATCACCTTCATCCCAGGGTAACAGTGTTCCAGAAGGTGGCCTTCGACGAAGAACTCAAAGTCCAAGTTCAATCCATCTCCACGCTCCACCTGCAGATGCTCTTCCGGCGACAAGTCATAGGCGGGCTTTCCCGGATCGTAGAACGCCCTTGCAAATAGTTTCCCGACGGGGTTTAGGTCAGGGGCATACTCATGGTAGAATGCACACACTGCGTCATCCGGAGGACAAACGGCAGTGACCTCAAAGCCATGGATGTCCTCAATCCTGGTGGCACAGAAGTTGTCTTCGTTTGCCAGCTGCTGAAAACGCAGCGCCTGTTCGTGCGTTCCCGCGCCGGCCAAGGCGAACTTGACAACCTTGCGCGCCACATCGTTGCTCATCCACTCATGGGCCTCTCGCTTGTTCTTCCACGATCCGTTATCGACGTACATGTCGTACAGGAAGCCCCCAAACAAGGTGGAGCACGCCGTGTTGAACTCGCCGGGGCCTTGGGCTGTGAACTGCTGGTTCTTCCATAGCTCGCGGCCGGCGACGTCGCAGGACCTCCTTGCCTCGTCGATGTTTTCCTTGTATTCAGGACACACGTTGTGGTAGAGGAGGTAGGATAGGAAATTGCGAATGGTGACGGTGGCCAGCTCCACCATGGCCTTACTTTCGGGGCTGAAATAGTACGGAAAGTGAGAGGTCAGGTAGCCTCGCACGACTGCGTCAAAGTCGATGGCGAGCTTGGAGTAGTGGTATTTGATGCTCGCTTGGGATCTCGCGAATAGGATCTGCTCGCTGTCCATGCTCTTGAGGTCATGTTGGTCAACACCACCAAACATTCTGGGGCCGATGTCTACGCCACCGTAGGACAGATATCTGTGAAATATGGCCAGCCGGTTGGATTCGATGCGACGCTTTTGCTGGTAGCGTAAGATGGCATCTTCGAGGCGACTGTTTGAGTCAGTGAGACTGAGTCTAGGTGACCGTGAGGCAACGAATGGGATCAGGCAGGCTTACTGGATGATGGGTCGCTCAGAATCGTACAGAGCCAGCTCTTCATGATACTCATCTGGGGTCATCGGCGCGTCGACATAATATTCTTCGAACCCGGTGGGCTTCCCCTATTGATAGTGAGATAGTGTGCTGCGAGGGCATCTGATGGAACGTACGATGCCCCGTTGGCTCTTGGGCTTTTTCTTTTTCTTAGGCTTCTTCTTGGGGATGTCGACATTGTCAAGGGGGACAGAGGAAGGCTCTTGGTCATTCTCCATCTGGGGAGAATCGTGAGATGGTTGAGAGGACATGGGGAGGGGAGATGACTGGAGGGAGAGGATAGAGAAGAGAGAGGTGAGGTGAAAGAGAAGACGGTATTTTGAGACTCTGGGGATTGTGTTTGCGTACAAACGCAGCCTGGGGGGTGGTGAAGCTCCTGTCTATCCCCCCCATATTTGAATGAGGCATCGATCAAATGATGATATTACACAGGTCTCCAATGAATTTGATCTGGAAGGATTGTGACTTCAATAAGCCATCTGGTAATCAGTCGTTGAGGGATCCGGCAGGAGTGATTCAGTACTAGACATTTGCCTCATGATTCACTATGAAAACTGGATCTTGAGAGAATTGACACTATTCGGTGGAATCCTCTCGTACATATATTCAGTGGTAGACATACCCAATCCATCGTTCAAAAGGGAATTGGTGAATGACCAGCATGGGATGTGATATACATCTGAACGGTCACTACGAGCTTAAGCAACTAAAGTCGGCATTAACTACTACATCGGACCGTCGGGGATAAGAGCTGATATCCGACAGACGCGGAAGACATCCGATGGCGTCATCCCCACGGACATCAAAGGAGCGATGCCGACATTCAACAATTATTCAATACAATTGACGGGAATAGTGTCAGACACAGTCAACAGCCTCCGGAAGACATCCGGTGGTCATTGAGGCTGTGGTTGGGGGAACGACGGCAGTTGTTGTACACTTTGTATACAGTTCGGCCGGAAGTGCGGGGAGAAGTAGATGGATAAGTTCAACTTGTCGTCAACACGATGACAAATCCAGACACGACCAGAAGAGCTGCCATCCCGATCCAGACCCGAACGGAGCATTTCTCTACCCTCCATCCCATCATTGACCCGAACCTACCGTGTGGTGCTCTATATAAACCTGCCTCTCCGCCACATTGTCGCATGTCTCCCTCCCGCTTTTTCGCATCCCGCCTACCCCTCCCCCGCTCCCTTTCTTCCGTCCAGACTATTACGACGCCTATTACTCGTCTCTCCGCTATTCGCGCGCAAATCCGTCCCATCGTTCCCACTGCCACTCTCTCCCATCAATCGCGCACCATGTCCGTCCCCGCGTCCATGAAGGCCATCGTCGTCGAGGCACTCGGCGGCCCCGAGGTCCTCGAGTTCAAGACCGACTACCCCGTGCCCACCCCGAAGGAGGGCCAACTTCTGGTCAAGAACAACATTTGTGGCATTAACTACATCGACACCTACTTCCGCACCGGTCTCTACCCCTCCCAGAAGCCCGAGGTGCTGGGCCGCGAAGCCGCTGGCACTGTTGTCGCCCTGGGTCCTGGTCCCAACCCGTACAATTTCCAGGTCGGCGACCGCGTCGCCTGGCTCGGCACCGGCGGGTACGCCGAGTACACAGCCGTTCCCGCAGCCAAGACGGTCAAGATCCCCGCAGGCGTCTCTGATGAGGACGTCATGGCCTCGTTCCTCAGCGGCTTGACCGTCCTGTCCTTCGCCAAGGAAACATACGCCGTACAGAAGGGCGATTGGGTTCTGCTGCACGCGGCGGCGGGCGGCGCCGGCTTTTTGATGACCCAGATCCTCAAATCTATGGGTGCGAAGGTGATCGGGACGGCTGGTGGCCCCGAGAAAGTCGCGCTGGTCAAGGGCCTGGGGGCCGACCACGTCATTGACTACCGCAGTGAGGAGGGCAAGGACTGGGTCTCGAAGGTGAAGGAGATCACGGGTGGTCGTGGCGTGGATGTTGTCTACGACTCTGTGGGCAAGGATACTTGGGAGGGCAGCTTGGAAGCGGTCAAGAGAAAGGGAACGATTGTCTGGTTTGGAAACGCCAGTGGCCCTGTTCCCCCGCTTCCTCTCAAGTAAGTGGACCTCGTTGGGTTTGATATGGCACGGTGACTAACTGAAATAGCAAACTCTCGCCCAAGTGCGTCAAGGTCGCCCGGCCGACCCTGTTTGGATACATCGAGACCCGGGAAGAGTTCGAGTACTACGTCAACGAGTTGTTCACCCTTCTCAAGTCTGGCCAACTCAAAGTCAAGATTCACAAGGTCTATCCTTTGGAGCAGGTTGCTCAGGCGCATATCGATCTGGAGGGCAGAAAGAGTACCGGCAAGTTGTTGCTGAAGGCGTAATGGATACGGTGATGAATGTATATAATGACAACTATTACGGATGAGAATGATGTCGCCATGTATATTGGCCTATAAGTACGATGGTTTGATGTAGTAGGCTAATGAACACCAGGAACGCCTGTATACCAACTAGTCCGGAATACATCGGCCGCGCCTCGCACAATCTATCTCAACGGTAGTGACATTGCCAGTCCCAGGATGTCTAATTATAACTCCCGAGAAGCCTGAGTCTGGGGCGTCTTGTCGGTGAGTGATCTCTCTCTGAGTCGCCAATCCAAGGAAGCCAGCCTAATTTCCAATTGCTTCTCTGCCTGGGCCGGAGCGATACCTCATTAACTATTAGGTACCAGGTAGTAGGTAGGCAGGTATACCTGACGTGTCCTGGGATTCGTTACAGAAATTTAGCTTTACCTGCAAGGGGGCGCTCGTATTCCGTGGATACCGCGTAGTATGGACTGGGATGGATAGGTACATAATGCCGGTCTTTCCCTAAGAAATTGCAGCATGTCGAGACCCCCACGACTACCCAGACAGTATTGCACGTCCCCATCTCCATGGCTCCTCTGAAGATAATCGGCGCGGGGTACCCGCGAACAGGCACGCTCAGTCTATGTGAAGCGTTGGAGATTCTCGGGTATTTACCTCACTCTACATCCCAGGTCCTGCAGACTCTCCCGCAGCGCATCACACACTAACATCCGCAGATACAACTGTCACCACATGGACAAGATCCTCCTAGACGAGACTCAAGACCCGAGCATATTCACTCGGGCGTACACAACCAAATCCGCCCCGGACTGGGACGAAGTCTACCGCAACTACGACGCAGCGGTCGACTGCCCCAGCATGGCGTTCTGGGAGGATCTGTTCCGGAAATACCCAGACGCAAAAGTCATCCTAACCACCCGCGACTCCGACGCTTGGTACGACTCCGTGGGTAGGACGATCTACCAGCATTCACTCAAAGAGGATGTTAGCTGGCCGCTTCGCCTGCTCAAGGCGCGGGAGATGTCGCGCGCGATCGTCAAGCATGGCGTGCTGAAGGATTATGCAGATAAGGAGGCCACGTTGCGACAGTTCAGGGAGCATATCGAGCGCGTTCAGGAGACCGTACCGCCGGGTCAACTGTTGGTTTTTGACTCGCGTCAGGGATGGGAGCCTTTATGCCGATTTCTGAGTGTTGCTGTTCCGAAAGGACGGCCATACCCGCATACCAACCGCGCGGGAGAGTTTGTAGATCGGATTTGGTGGTATAAATCTGTTATTGAAAGTAGAGAGGGGGCCAGAGGGCTGAAATCCTGATGTAGTCTATTTTCATAGTCCGGCGTCAACGAGATAAGCTCCGGACCGCCCCGCGGCGGGTCTAGATTAGCACGCTCGCTTCTGCTCCCATCACCTCCAACTCCCAAGCACGTCTGCAACTATCGCCCGCGATCTGTTGACCAGATCTCGATACATCCGACAGTGGACTTCCCTCGGATACTCGTCCTTGAGTTCCGTCCACCACAACCCTGGAATACCACGAGCACGTGGCATCTGCGGCAGCTCCATGTCAGACCATAACAATCCAGCAGATTTCGCGCCGAGGCGGATCTTCTATGCTTTTGACCCCGCCAAAATCACTGTAAGCAGACCTCAGTCAGGCTACTTTCCCTTCCTACTGCCAAACAGTGTGCCCACAATATCCGGATTCCAAGACGTCCACGCCATCTCACCAGACGCCTTGGGCGTGCCATGGCCGACCTTCTTTCCCAGTGTACTGGAATCTAAATACTGGGTGGAGGCCGAGGACGCTGCCAGAGATTTTCTGCAGGTCATCCTTGCAAGCCAGCCTAATCGATCGACGGACACTCGGTTCATCGATCAGATTGTTGACACGGCCATTTCGTTTGCCGTGCGTGTCGCGCCGATGGGGAGTGTGACGCGGATGAAGATACTCGCGAAAGCTTATGTTCTTATTTTTATCCACGATGGTACGCTGAGTGTCTTCTCCTCTAAGCCTTCTCACTAACTCGAGGCGAACAGATGCAGTCGATACGGGAAATGTATGCTGCGCACAGATAACGGCTGTTTTCTTAATGCGATCTCTAACAGCTCTATAGCTCGACGCTGCGATCCCCGGAGCGGAAGATGCATCGCCGACATCATATCGAGGCTACCGCATGCTCGCTGACGAAATCCTGTCGGAGGATCCTGTTCTCGGGCAACGCGTGCTGGACGGCATGATATCATGGGGCGGTTTGGACGTGAAGACCTACCCCGATACGTTCTCGTCACTCACAGACTACATGGTCTACCGAGTTGAGGACGTTGGAGCCGAGTACGTGCTTTATTTTCATCATTTCCTCGCCAGGGCTAACTCACAATCGCAGTCTTATCTTCCGCACAGCGGAGTTTGCGTGCGGGCTTCAACTGCCGCAGAGGGAGATGGACGCCCTCAACGGCTTGCGTTCTCTGTGCGCAAGACACATCCTCCTCACCAATGACCTGTACTCGTATGAGAAAGAAGCAGCCGCAGAGAAAAAGGGGGTGAAGCTCTTCAATGCTGTGAGGGTTGTCCAGGATCTGATGGGGGTGTCGGCTTTGTCTGCGAAAGGCATACTACGGAGCATTATCTGGGACGTTGAGCGACGCATGAACGAGGAGTACGAGCATCTGGTTGCGGAGAAGAGTTCTGAGTCACAACTGGTGCGTGCTCGGGCGCTGGTTGCGTGTGTGGCAGGCAACATGTACTTTTCTGCAACCTGTGCCCGATATGCGCGTGTGGTTGATGGGGCGAGATTGGCAGCATGATCGTCTTGACAGATGCACGTGACATCGGCTGGGCTGGCCCGCTAGCTCGATCCGGTTAGCCCCCACAGTGATCCCGCCCTTTAAATTCGCAACTTTTCCTTGCGTTTTTCTCCTTTCCTTCTCTTCACACCGTCTGGCTATGGCTACATCTGCTTTGATGCAAGCAGAAGCCATACTCCGTGGACAAGATGCTGTCCTATTCCAGACACAACTGACCTTAAAAATGATTTAGATAGTTTTCTTTTCTCCTTCGTTTAGCCACTGGACTAAGAAGGTCCAGGGTACTTCACCCCAGCGACGACAAGTCCGTTCATGCCAATCATCATGTTCGAGTGTCGTAAAAGCTGTATGCCTCTAAGTACCCAAAGCAAAGGAATGTCAATAAGCATGTTGAGACAATACCCACAGGCCCTGATACGCCTGTGTGTGTCTATAAGCGCCATGTGTCAGCATGAAAGTCGGCATCCTACATTACTTCGTAAACCTTGGATAGTGTTAGGATATCAATTGCAAATCTGTTGTCATTCATCATCGCTGCTTCTATTTATACGCCTCTTCATTGTTCCAGTACAAGGTATCATGTTGCACCTCTGGCCCTGTCGCTCCCAACTCCCAGCCCAGCTTGATCTTCACCCACTGCAAGAGATGGCTGGCGATCTTCAAGTGTCCCACGTCCGTGGGATGGTCCCGCGGGGCGATATCGTTGTGTTGCAAGATGCCCTTGGTGTCGAAGTAGTGCACAAACCCGTGGCCCTCGAAGTGCTGATATACGCGTTGGATATCCGAAACATAAAGCGGTTTCTGGACATAGGTGTTCCCGGTCGCCTCAAATTCACCCCAGAGCCCCTAGCTTCGTCATTATTTGGTCAGCTGTGTCGAGCATCTATGGACATACCATGAGGATGATCTGTGTCGCAGGCCAAACCCGGTGTATTTCGTCCACGAGTCCCACGTATGCGTTGTAGAACTCCCCGCCGGGGATATTGTTGGGGTCGCGACTGTCGTTCGTCCCCAGATTGATGACAACTAAGTCGGCTGCCCGTCGCGCAGTTGGATCCCATGGCACCGAGCGATTGCCGTAGGTTGCATTCGCGCGGGCTCCCACGTCTGGAATCTGGAGCCATTGGTGTGTCATGCCACGCGCGGTGCCTCCATAGCATTTCTGATCCACCAGACAGATACCCGGATAGGCCTGATGGTCAGTATGTTACTTCTCAAGGGCAGATTGCACACTGACTGTGATCGAGTATTCAACATTGCCAAGTCCAGCGGCGAAATTGAACGCCCAGGAAGCGAGCCCTTCGTATGTGGCATATTGGCCGGCTGCCAACCTGTTGCTAGTGAGCTAAGACGCAGTGAAAGCAGGTCGGAGACGTACGAATCGCCAATAATTTCGACTGTCTTGTTGAACTCGGGGGGCTTCACTAATTGCGCATCTTTGTGGACAAAAATTCCGCCAATCTGCACTGTGTGACTGTGAGTCGGGTCTCGTTGCAAGAAAAGGGATACTTATCCATAGAGCCAATTGGTGACTGAAAGATATCAGCATAATGTTGGTGGATTGTACATGGGGATTCTCATACCGCGCATCTCAAATGCTTTAGTGTCCGAGTTCTGCGTAGTATTGAGGGCAGTCGTCCATGGGCCGACAAACTGGTATGTCGCGTTGGCCGTGACATTAGAGAACTCCCAGTCGAGGCCGCCGATTCTGCCTGGTCAGTGCTATTGTCCACACGATGACTCCAATGGCCGTACCGGTAGGCAACGAGCACGTTTTCTGATGTATGTGGCCCGAAGTTGACGGCGAGCTGAACGTGTTAGAAACAATCTGGCCAGGTTGATATTCAGTTTATCACCTACATTATTTCCGGTAAAACCTAACTTGATCCCGGGAATACTGGACACAGTTCAGTAAAGCATCTATTCAGAGACGAGAGTCAACATACGACCACCCTGGGACTGGTATTAGTATGTAAGTGGTGATGGAATGTCAGCGACGACCTACACGACACATGGTTACTGTCCCATCGTCCTTTGTACGAAACCTCCGGTGCATCAGGGCTATACTGTCGCCACGACTGATCATCGATGGTGGTTTTTGGTGCTTGTCCCGGGTAGGGGTTCAGTCTGGTTTGCCCATTTTCCAGGATTGTGGCCGAAGCTAGGAAGGAATAAACTAGTAAACAGAAGCTGTAAAAAGATGGACCATGCATGATGGTATGTATATACGTAGATGGAAGATACTGTCGCGATTATGGAGGATTTGCTCGTGCAATGAGTTAACCTGCACATCAAGGGTAGGGACGGTGTTAGTAAGCTCGTAGCTTCCTTCCTCAATAGCCGAACATGGAATCGATTATTCTCAGCTTTGACCAAATGGGGCAGTGGGGTCCAGTATAGGTAGTGCGCAATAGTTTGTGACTTGTGGTACATCTATGGGCGTGGTTGGTCTAAATATGCCGATCACATATGCAGCGTGCGAGTCAGTTCGTCGCCTGAATATGGTCCTTGGTTCAAGGCAACGGACACAGAAATGACAATAACTAACAACCATGAATATGAGAGCAAACTGCAAATATCATCATTCCAAATTCATCCACGGACCCCAGCCACCGTTCGATACGTCTTCGGCGATCTGGCGATCCGGTCTCGTCCGACCTCCACAACTCTGAGATTTGCAACATCCCATCGTCCCATTCTATCAACTGCCGATCGTACTCTTTCTCCCACGTTTCGCGATCACGCGCTTCCCACAGGACCTTGTGTCCCGGCACAAATAGCTCCCTGAGCTCATCTGCAATGAAGTTTGGGAGATTTCTATCGGCATTGTACACGCCCGAGAAGATATACATGGCAAAGACGGCGCGCCGTTTCGCAGCGGCCACGATCCAAGATTCCCAAGTCGGGCGCGCGTTGGCTGCCTCCGCTCTGCAGAAGAGGCCATTCTTTGCGGTGCGGAAGGCGAGGTCCATCAGCGTGATCATTGTCTTGTCGTTGACTGACGAAGTGCCATGTATGGGTGAAAAGTACAGCATGACGGAGTATATCAGATATGCCTGGAACGCGGCAAGAAGATCACAATCATCCTGGGGAGGGTCCTATGACATCCTGAAAGTCAGCAGGTTCGATTTGAAAATACTGGCGGGAGACATACCTCCTCGGCCAGTCGCTCCATCTCCTTTTCGACCATGGTCACAGCCATGGCCTCGCTTCCAGGCACCGCTTGCTCGTACATGCGAACGAGGGTGTAACAATTCGCGAGGCTGCGGGGGATGTGCCCTCCATGGATTTGCGCATGATGGATAATGGGCGGGACATCCCCGTCTCTAAGCATGCGGCGAGGATACGCTCTCAAGACCAGCGATATATATTGCAGCGTAAAGGGATGGTACACTTTCGGGACTTCAGCCCACCCCATCGGCGGCAAAATATACGGCCGTAGCCAACGATCGCGGATGTCTTCTGCATTAGACCCCGCAACGAGCTGGATATTCCGCAAGTCCAATTGGGGATTTTGTTCCTGCACACGAGCGCGACTGCCAGTGATTTGTAAAGGCCGTGGAGACCAGCCAACAACCGGACTACCGTATGACAAGGGGAGTCCTGGCATGGCGATACCCGCATCTACGCCAGGTGTAGACAATAAGTGTATACTCTGCTCCGAGGCTCCCACTTCACTTGACGCTGCATGGCTTCTTTCCCGCGAGCGCCGCGACGGTGGGCTCTCTTCGTGGGTTGGGTGCAAGTATTCGCACGTCCGGCCGGATGCTCTGCAGCGAGAACAGGTAGGCTTCTCTAGATCACAACGCACCTTTGCTTTGGTGCAATTGTTGCAAGCCTTCTTGCGTGGTGGCGGCTGAAATCTGCGTTGACGGGGTTTCATGGTTGGGGGATATTGGTGATGTTCGGAATTCCGAGACCCGTTGGTGGTTTTGTTGCGAGACCAAGGATGACGTAATATATCGCATAATGAGGAGCTAAGTTCCACACTCATATGCTTTACTTAAATTGATATTCGGGACGTAATTAGAGCTGCTTGTAGAGAGATATCTCGATGCGTTGTTGAGCTATCCAAGGGTGATGAGGATGGAGAAACGCTGTCTACTCCGTAGGTGGCGGAGATATGTGGTCGGAATTCCGAGCAGCGGCATCCCCACGGCCCATCACGGGAGGTATATATAGACTTCCATCATTCCATCAACCCAGCAATCCAACAACGCATTTCTACCAAAGTGTTTACGGCAAATTAGCTACACAAGCTCCAATTACCCCAAGTAGCATTACCACAATTAAAAATGGGCACCTACACAACCGACCACTCCAGCTCCGTCATCCAAACGCACAGCTGGCGCACACTATCCAACTCCGCCGCCTACATCCTCCCGCACATCAAACCCGACATGAAAATCCTCGATATCGGCTGCGGCCCAGGGAGCATCACCGTCGACTTCGCGACGCGGGTACCGCAAGGTCACGTCACAGGGGTGGAGTACACCCCGGAGCCACTGGAGCAAGCGCGCGCGCTGGCAGCCTCGCAGCACCTCTCTAACATTGACTTCCAAGTCGCCGACATCCACTCGCTCCCATTCGCCAAAGACACCTTCGACATGGTGCACGTGCACCAAGTCCTGCAGCACATCGCCGACCCCGTGCAGGCGCTCCGGGAGATGAAGCGCGTGGCGAAGCCGAACGGGATCGTCGCTGCGCGGGAGTCCGCCAGCTGCACCTGGTACCCGGAGAACGCGGGCATCGCGACATGGCTGGAGGTAACGAGCCGCGTTGCCCGCGCAAAGGGCGGGAATCCCCACCCCGGCCGGTATATCCATGTCTGGGCGGAGGAGGCGGGGTTTGACCGCGCGCGGATCCGGAAGAGCGCGGGCTCGTGGTGCTTCAGTTCACCGCAGGAGCGGGAGTACTGGGGCGGGTCTATGGCCGGGAGGTTCCGGTCGTCGGGGTTTACGAAGATGGCTACGGAGGAGGGGCTTGCCACAGCGGACGAGTTGGAGACGATCGTGGAGGGATGGAGGGAGTTTGTGGAGGAGGAAACGGGGTGGTTTGGGTTGCTTCATGGGGAGATCCTGTGTTTTAAATAGATTTAGGTCGGTGCATGCTAGATACACGGGGTTGTAGGTGGTGATTATGGAATTTATGCTTCTTCATGGATGTCAAAATGCACGCCCTCCGGATACTGGACCTGCTTCAGATCATCAATAGTCACCGTATCCGGTGCGACGAACCTATCGCTGTCAGTGTCTCTCATTTGTGGATGGTACGTCAGGGGACATACGAGGTGGTATGTATCGGAGGGAGACTCCGGGTGGATATGAACAAGGTCTGCTCTGTGGCTCCCTTCTCGGCAAACCTGTCTTTGGTACTATGGAGCTGTCAGATTGATGGAAGACACATGGGACGTGCACGTACATTTGTTCGATTTGAGCCCCATGTTGCTGGTATGCCTCGAGGCTATCGTAACGGATGACAATCGTCTGCGCAGGGTGAGATAAGTTCATCCAATATCAAGGGAGACGCACGTATCGCGGCATTTTGAGACTGTTACTTGCAGGCTATAGATGGGTTCTAGTAGGAAGAGAAAGCCAAAGGTGTGAGGTCAAGTCAGAGTGAAATCACACGAAGCTAAATGCGCCGTGGACCAATGAGGGACAATCTGTAGCTCCGTGGGTCCACATACAAAGATATAAAAAGGTATACAAAAAGGTGTTCTATTTAGCAATAAGTGAAGATAAAATATGTTTTTATTTATAGTATTTCGCTACCCGGATGAAGATAGAGCCCGCTAAGTCTAGCCGAGCTGCTAGTCAGAGCTAGAGGCTTGAGCATCCTTTAGCCCCCATGGCGCCCGCATCAACTACGCCCACAGCAAAACCCACCAGACGAAAAGGATGTTTCGCTTCCTCGATCTACCCAGAGAGCTAAGAGACCTCATTCTCGAATATGCTGTTTGTATCTCGCAGAGGTTTCCCTTGGACCCTTCGAGCGGCCCGGGGGACCGTGCAGCGGCTCAAGATGTAGACTACGAAGCTCCAGATAATGTACCGAGAGAGGTGCTCTACCGGCCGATTCTCATCGGAGCAACAACATCGCAGCAGTTATTGAGGGTCAATAGGCAAATTCGAGAGGGGACGATGGCCGTCATCCGGAAAATTACCTGGCCATCCTATTGCGTGGATGTACTTTTGGAGATGGAAGAGAAAGGCGCTGAGGAAGAGATTGGATGCTGATCTGCCCGTGATAGCAGCAGAAGATCCTGAACTTGCCTATTTTCCTGATTCTGAAGACGAGGGACAAATATGGGAAGGAGTGATTATGAGTCAGAATTGATATGTCCTACGTAGAGTTAGTATCTTATAATCTCATTGCAGAATACCCGCATAACCATAGTCTGAAATTGTAGATTATTCAGTGATTGATAAACTAGTACAATTCATGCAACCCTGAGGCATTTTCGGCTCTATTTCTCCCTATCAGTTCCGGGATATTCGGACCAGGGCGGCCCGTTGTGATATGGGAATCTCAAGGTATCTCGCGCTGTCGCCAAATCTCCTCTTTCTATCATATTCCATACTCGTATGAGCTATCCTTCTTGACCATTTCTTCCACCGCCTCAGATCACAGCTGGCATGATGGTTGGATACAGGTAGGGTTCACCAGTTCGTTATATCCAATGGCGAAGGTTCCGTTAATACCCGCGCTTAATGCAGTCCATCACTCACCGGTCGCATCATGAAGACCGAATAGGACAGATTTGTGCCCCCTTCTCCCAAGGTCAGCAAGACAAGGCGGTCTCTAGGAGGGGTGATCACGGGGGTGACCATTGTGGCCATCCAGGTTGTTAAAGCCGTTTTCTTTCCCCAGGTGGATGGTAGCTCGGTTCTCCATCACGCCACCTACCTGTCGTTTTACATGCTACTATGTTTCCTGTATGAGAAGTACCTCTGTGCTTAGTACGACGCTTAGTTGGGCGCGGATGACCGATACCCCCTCTTCTTGAAACCGATTACCCCGGATCTTGGAGTATGCAAATTCGGCATTGTTACCCAAAGAAGACCATGTCCCCGGCCCCTGGCAGCCACAATGCGGGGGCGGGGGTGCATTAGTTCCAGCAATCAATAGTTCAACATGGTCACATTCCGCTATTTAATCTCACCATACATAGCATATTTACGGCTTCACCTCGTATATACAAAACCAGATCAACGTGTTCGACCCCGCTTCCCCTCCTAAGCTGAAACCTTGGAAGCAAGGAACTCCGCCGCCTCCCCCGCGTAGAGCGCATACGTCAAATGCGCAGGGGTAATAATCAGCGTTCCGTCGCAGACCAGGTCTCCCGGCGCACAGATGACCTTGGTCTGGTCCTTGGGGTAGTTGGGGATCTGGCCGTTGTCCTGCAAGTTGCGGGTAAACCCGAAGAGAACCACGCCCTTGACCGTACTCTTGATATCATCCGGAAGAGCCTGGATGGATCCGTCCATAACCGCCGTGCCTTGGCTAACTCGCACCCCCAAGTCAGTGTACGCTCAAATGACCATTCAATAGGAAAGGAGAGACGGAGAGCGTCGTACCTGTACCCACCCGCCACGATCTGCGCATCCGGGCATTGGGTATGGGCCAAATCAAACATCTTCGTCGCTTCGTCGATCGACGCTTGGTCCGTATTGTTGGGGAGGAAATTGGGAATGAGGCCCGCGGTGTATGCGCCTCCCACGCCCTGGCATGCAACCTGATCCGACCCCAGTTTGGTCTTCAACGCATTGCAGGTGGGCATTCCGGCAATATAGCCCTTTCCAGAGCATTAGCTACCAGGAAGTGGAGGACAAGAGACCAGGGCTTTTTACCATGTTTCCGGACTCGGTGGACCCGCGCGCAAAGATCAGGACGACAGGTTTGCAAATCCCATTCTCGAGGTCACTCGCGCTCTCGGACTGTCGAGCCTCAAGCGCAGATGGGGGAACTGGGCCTGCCGCTGCCAAAGCGGAGAGGGACGCAACCAACAAAGAGGGGAGAATCATCATGAACGACTGGAATGGGAAGAGCTGGATAGTTGGGAAGGCCTATAGAATACTTTTTTTCTTGAGTAGAAAGGGTGCGCTATGATTTCAACTGCAGGTACAGTCCTATAGGGTCTATTTATATGTAGCCTGCGTTGCACTTCTCTATTCTCGACCGTCGGCTGAGCATGATGAACAATCGAAGAACAAGGACCGAGAGCTGCCATGTGAGAGACAGGGGCATCGGCCTTAGAAAGGATTCAATACTTCCTGTTAGGGCTGCCTCACATATCGTCAAGCATTTCAAAGGCGGAGTGAGGGGCCCCGCAAAGCTTAACCTGGGGTAAGACCCATAGTGTTTCAGACAAGAAGTCTGTTGGTTGACAGAATGCAACGTTGAATGCCGAATAAAACAACTGCCGGCCCCCCTGAGGAACCGAGGCAAGTCCTACCTAACAATACGATCTCTCACATGTGCATCGCTGACGGGAGATGAGCCCAATGAGTGACTGGTGCCCTGAATTTAGACTAACATCTATATTTGCTTATCATTCCAATGTATCATGCCATCCACACATCAATCGTCTACGCATGTATAATGTAGTAATGCTGTGTATCAATCTTCGTGACTTCTTTCTGCCATCAACCGCGTCGATTCTGCATAGCCCTCGGTATGTCGGACATGGAAGTCAAAAGCGAGCTCTCCAACAAGGCTCTTCACGTTACTGCTGCAGGTTAGCACCGAAGATGAAGAAACGTTAAGAGAGCTATACCTCAGCAGATCCTTCAAGCTAAAACTCAGCACCGACCGCAATACCTCCAACGACACGAACGCTGAAAAGGCTGGGTCTTCCACATGGCGAAGACTTAGCAGCTCCCCGTCAATTCGCTGCAGCTGGCGCGCAAGAGGGAAGGAATCCCCGGTCGAAAGATACGGCGGCAGCGGCTGTGCATTCAGAATAGACGCAGACAAGTGACACAGCAGCGAGGTGGTGGCATGAGACTTGAAGTCTGCCGATTTCAAAGCAATCTCCGCGAGTCGCGAGACCCACCTATTCTCCGGGTCTTTTGAGTCGCAATGATCAAAGGCAAACGCATTGAGGTTTTGCGTCGTCTGCGCCATCAGCGCCATACTCGTTAGCATACGCTGGATTTCAGCAATGATGGCGTCGTAGACGTGTTTGGGGAATTTTCCGCCAATGGGAGGCTCAAAGGTGCTGAAATGGCTGTGCATTCGTAGCTGGTTCAGGAGCATCATCTCCTCCTTGAAGACCTTGTGGCGGGCTGTTTCGAGCTTGTAAGATGCAGACGTAACGTCTTGGACGTTTCCGAGCGTTCCACTCAGCCACAGCTCTACGGTGGTGTGCATACAGCTGTAAAATTTGGCGAGGACAAAGAGTCCCCTTCCCAATGCTTTGCGTAATGTAGATTTTGCGGTGATCGGGTACGGGAAGATGACCCAGACGAAGGAGATGGCGCAGCCTGCGGCTACGGCGGCCAGCTTGTAAGGTCCAAAGAGGTAGATGGGGTAGTAAGGTTGGCCGTTAGAGGTAGCGGTTTCAATGCCGAGTTTGCGGACCTGTGTTGTTAGGGGGACTGGCCTGCGCTTGGAATCGGATTGCTTACTTGGAGCTCATAGCCGATGATGACGTTCAAGGTGACGATAGCTATGACAGAGGCGCCGAAATACTGGGGTACTTTGATCCAAAAGTAGTACTGTAGAGATCGTGAGACACTGGTTAATGAAAGCTGTGTGGGCTTGAGAGGCTTACCCCGAATACGTTCGCAATGTAGAGGAAGATAATCACGCCGGGCGTCTTCCCATCCACAATATACCAGACAACCAAGCTCAAGGCTAGCGCGAAGACCGTGGCAACAATACGTGCCACGAAACCAAACATCGTCTGGCCACTCGTCGGGTTCATTCCGATCACAATGACAATCATTGCCCAGATGCATCGTTGACGGATGAAGAAATCTTGTGTCTGATGTAGGAATGCGAGAATGCCCACGGAAATGGACGCTGCGGCGACGCGGAACCCGAAAATGCTCTGCTCCGATTTGATTACATGGGAGATAGTACGGAGGACATTGCTGCTCTTTTCCCAGATGTTTTCTGGCGCCATATGCTCAGGATCGGGATATGTCCCCGGCTCGATATCGTCGGCTGCGCCAACAGCAGCTGACTGTCTTCGGTCGGGAACGCTTGTTGATTCCTTATTCTCTGAGGTTGGAGATAGCCACTCACGAATGGACTTTTGCTTGGGGAAAATGAGCCTGCCTCGTCTCATTGTGCCGTCGGTCACTTTGCCTTCAGCGAACTTTACCAGGTCGAGTATGGCCTTGAGGAGATTCTCCTGCAAATGCCCCATGTAGAGAATGATGAAGAATTCTTGCCGTACATCAGAGTCGACTACTATAGCGTTGTCTTCAGAGACAGCATCACCCCCGGCCTTCTCAGTCGTCGAGAAGGCTTGAATGGATGCCAGTGCCCGAGGGAGTTGACTGCGACGCGCATAGTATTCTCTGATGGCATCCTCGAACCGGAGGACAAAATCTGGCTGAAGCGGGTTGATTTCCTCACCACGCACCTCCTCATCCTTTGCCTTCCATTGCTTTCCCAATTGTTTTGATTTCATCAGCTCCAGCGTCAGAAGGACATACTGCAAGCCAACCGCAACCAATGCACTTGATCCTTCGAGCCGGTGCTGAAGGATTTCGACAACCTTTTGGATTTCACCATTTTTGCACATCTCGTCACCAGAATCTTCATCATCGCCCTTGGCGCTCTGTCTTGGCCCTTCGTTCTGCACTATCATATCTAGGATCTCTGGCAGCATGGCTATCCCAGACAGCGGGAGCAGTATACTCCGTAGAAGCCCACCGATCCGGCTGAGGTCATCGGCAGAAAGCTTTCCCCACGCTATTTCATCTTTGGAATAGAACAAATCGGATTGTAACTTGCCATGCAAGGCATTCAGTTTTGTGATGGACTCAGCTAGACGCTTCTTCTTCGACTCGATGCTCGATTTGGCAGCATGCTCCGCATCTCGCATGCTGAGGGCTGTTCGCGTCCGACTGAGCAATCCACGCCGGCCGGTGAGCACTTCGGACCCATCCTCAACAAAGGCGATCTGTGACTTCAGTACGGCGTCGACCTGCGCTACGTAGGCCTTGACGTCGTGGAAGACATTACTTCGGCTGGTGACGGGCAGGACAAATAGCGATATTCCGGTCGCAATGGCGAACCCAATCATAAACCCTTTGAGCAGGCGCGTGATAAAGGCTAAACCCTCGTCGATAGTGACGAAGGTCCCGGCCCGAGTAATCGTAACCGACGAGAAGATCGAAAAGGCGACCATGGGGTCCTGCAATTCCATCGGTCGCCATGCACGCAACGTGTTTGATCCCCTGTATCACAATGTCAGAATGATTCTGAGGGTAGATGAGGCAAAGGACGCACCAGATCATGACGATCAGCCATATGGCGGAGACGGCGCATGCATCGCTGCTGTACCCGTTCCTCACACTGTCCGGAGCACCGGGTGGGGTGTTATGCTGCCGTGCTTTGACGGCGCAGTAGACTGTCAAACAACAGAGTGATGCAGAGACGCATGTGGATAGCAGAATGAACAGCATGATCTTCATGAATTTGGCGCGGGGCATGAGCCCCTGCGCGACGATCGACATCAGGGCCGCCAAGTAGCCTATCGTGAGGGTGATATCCGCGATGGCATCGCTTTGATGTCTTTGACGGGTCAGTGTTAGCCATAAGGGGGGAGGATGAGACTATGGACGTACATTGCAATTACTACGGTGGGTGGCAACGCACCTTTCAACATCATGAGAAAGGTGCGCGAGTCCAGCTCCAGTCGGGATTTCCATGTCAATGGATTCAATACACTAGAGGAATCGGTGAGAAGGGAGATCTGACTGGATCGTTGGACAGTGATGCCTACCTCAGGAGCCTGGATTGCTTTAACTCCCCCGAGCTCCTTGGAGGAGCCATAGTACAAGTTGGATCAATTATCGGCGGCTACGAGCCCGTCGAACGAAGTATCATAGTAGAAGGTATTCAAGGCATCTTGGAGATTTTATTCCTCTGCACCGCACTAGGTCAAAGTTTTTTAGCACGACTATTGGGTCGTAGTGCCTGGACGATCCGAATGTTCGGCATGGAGACGGTTGCGTCCGGATCGGGTTCCCGTACCAGAACACACATGACGCCAGCCGAGCCAAATGCCGACACTGTCGAACCCACTCTGGCGATCATCGGTCGCTTTTACGAAGCATCATGGAAGATCGTTCTCTCGTATAATTTGGTGGTGACAATGGTAGTATGAGTGTGAGCCACATTGTTTAGTCACGTGATTCGGTCAGGTTCATTTGATGGGCTGGACAACTGTCAAGGTCCAGTAAACAGAAATCCATGCACTATGATGGATAAGACTTCTTTCAGAGTTTATCCTCAATGGGTCCAGGGAACCTCATCGCCGGGCGTCCTGATTCCAGTGGTCTTTGTGTTCAAGTAGCTCCGGGGGATGCCCGGATGAAGTCTTTCCCGCCAAGCTCGAAACCCAGGACACAATTGGCTTCACGATTGACGGATTCGGAAGCCTTTTATGCTTGGTTGTCTCTTTCCTTGCCCATCAATCGGGCTACTGATGTACCCATGTAGAGTGTGTTCCCTGTTGACAGGGCCGTTTCTAACGCATTGGGCCCTCTAAAGGTTCTAGAGGGATAATGCGCAGGATACCTTGTAGGGGATGATTTGCTACTTCAACAGACACATCAAGAACAAGCCCTATGATGCATCATGCACCCTATCATTAGGTTGACGGCATAGAGTGACTGCATGACTATCTGCAACAATGATAGGTGACCTCATCGTTAACAAGACGGATGTGGCTGTGTGGCTGAGAAGGTCCGAATGTGGCGCTGTCGGTTGAGCCATGGCCCATGACTTAAGAAACATGAATGACTCCTGACCGATAAAGATAGTAGCATCAGCCACTCTTGGCCCTGTGGAGGTGGAGTTGATGGGGCGAGTTCCACCATGGTCCAGATTTCATGATTCCCAGAAGATCCTACCGGACTTCACTCTAGGGAGAATGCAGGTAGAGCCTTTGTGAAGACAAGCTTTGTTCAAGGCGTCCAAGGGGTAGGGCAACTATGAAGGGGATTACGCACACCCAACAGCAACAATGATGCTACGATGCGTGTACCTTGCTTGTTGGTCTATCCAGACATGCCCATACCAAGGCTAATGACGACTGCGTAATCAGGCGGCTGAATTTTGGACTCCGGGCCGAACTGGGCCAATGATGAGGATGATCGACGGTGCAGGATGCCTGTCATTTCCAGACCAGAAAAAGAGTTGTAGAGCAGAAAGAAAAAGATTCGGAACCTCCTTACTGATTCATGAGGGATAAGGGACATTGGTGACGAGGTTCCTTTGGGATTTCTGTAAGATTCCATCCAAAGGGGAGTAAACAAAGCTGATCGCCATCGTGAGGCGTCCTTTCTGGTCTCTTTCCACTTGGTCGACCGAAATCCGAAAGAAACTATGTCAGAAACATTGTCTCCGAATGGAAGAGGCAGAGATCACCGAAAGGATTCCTCGTCCCATTTCGTAGTCCGTCCGACTCCTGTGACATCTCGGGTAATTTCCGGGTTTCCTCTATTGGACACAGGTGGCCGTAGGGCTACACCACAGGTCGATAGACACGAATCAGAGGATGTCATGGAACCGGAAGGCGAATCCGTCGTTATCTCCGAGCCGGTCAAAGTGAAGCGTGATTGATAACAGGGCGATTGACCAACGGATGATGGTGTGGCGTTGGTGGTGATGACGATCGAATCCAGAAGGAGGAGGGAAAATAGTGGGCTTGGCAAACATCATCCTGATCGCCAAGGGTCCGTCCTATAAACCAGCCAAGCCCTTCTCCTGAGCTTGTCTTTCTCTTCTCTCTTTCTATTTCTTCCTTCTTTGACCTTTCTCTCTTCCCACCCCGTCTCGTATAACCTCCGGTTATCGATTCACTCCCCCTGTTGATCTCCTTCTTGGGTCCTGAAATACATGCGTAAGTTCCCTCTCTTCTCCTCCCATCTGGTCCATTCTAGCTTCTACCAATCAGCCGGAATAAGACCTAAACAAGGATTCAACTGACTCGCTTCTCAGACCGGATTCATTCGTGGGCGAAAGCTCACGCGTCGGCTCCCAGTTCATCTACTCCAAACACCCCCACTGAATCCAAGTCCTCCGCCTCCAACACCGCTGATAACCCTCTCCCTGCCCATCATGATGGCAAAGTGAACCCAGAATCGGGGGCCCCGGCAGGCCCGGGGCCATGTGTCGAAACCAATGAGAAAACCTCCCCGGTAGGACCTTTGGTCCGTGCCAGAAATGGCACTGTCCGTTTCTTCAGCCATACCAAGGATGCCCTTTGCCACAGCTGGGTGAACGTCCTGCTGGTGTTTGTCCCCGTCGGGATTGCTGTCGAGGCAGCCGGTCTAAGCCCTGCGATCATCTTTGCCATGAACGCAGTCGCTATTATCCCCTTGGCGGGGTTGTTGAGCCATGCAACAGAATGTGTTGCCAGCCGTCTGGGCGACAACCTGGGCGCGCTCATCAACGTCACATTCGGGAATGCCGTAGAGTTGATTATTTTGTAAGTTGATTCACGTTCGTGTGCTCTCTGTTAGCCTGTACTGACGGCTGAGCAGCATGTAAGTGGACCGCACGTCTAGATTCTCGAACAACAACGTTAACGTAGGTAAACCAGTATCGCTCTGGTCAAGGTGAGTTTTATCCTCTTCAAGAACGTGAACCTTCATCTAACCCATAGTAGAACGAAATCCGGATCGTTCAGGCTTCCCTCTTGGGCTCCATCCTCGCCAACTTGCTACTCATCCTAGGAATGGCCTTCCTGTTGGGAGGTCTCCGCTTCCAGGAACAGATCTACAACAGCACGGTCACGCAGATGAGCGCTTGTCTGCTGAGTCTCAGTGTCATGAGCTTGCTCCTTCCTGTCCGTACTACCCACCATTGTCCATACCGCCACTAACTTTTATAGACCGCTTTCCATGCCTCATGGTCCAATTCCGACGTCGCTGACCGATACACCCTCAAAGTCAGCCGTGGAACTAGTGTGGTACGAGCTAAATACACTCCTGAAATTTACCAAGCTCACCATTCCATAGGTCCTACTGCTGGTGTATATTCTCTACATCGTGTTCCAGCTCAAATCCCACTCCTACCTTTATGCCAGTATCCCTCAGCAGATTATCGACGAGGAGTCTCATCCAGGTGTGCTGGCCGACTTGATGAACCACTCCTCCGACTCCAGTTCCTCGTCCGATGAGTCTGATGATACTACGACGTCGTGGACTACGGCCAAGCGCATCAAAAGGGCCATGAAGAACCGTCGCCACCGCAAATCAAGCGGCAGCTCCAGGGGCACGCCCCCAGAACTCTTCCGCAAACGCACACTACCTGAAATGACCTCCACCGACCCTGCCAATAGATCTGGCTCGGTCGGCGGCTCACTGTCCAGTAACATTGACGATCACGGCTCATGCGCGATTGATTTTGGAGATGACAGTCGCTACGATGCAGACACGAACGACGGCAACCCCCATGAGCCTCAATCGCGGGATTTTGGCAACGAACCCCAGCGCAAGGTCTCTAAGAAGGAACGCAAAGCAAAAAAGCGTGAGGCCAAGCGTCAGAAGAAGCAGTCGGAGCAAGACAAGTCTGGTGTAACTGCCGCTGGGACATCCCTTGATCACCAGACGGCTTACTTGACGCAATCTGGACAGTCAGAAGGGGCTCAGGCTCTGGGGGACACCTCCGACCTGCCAAAGCGACGTTCGCCATTCCGGCCTACGATCCCCTCTTTGCTGTCCAACACAGTCTTCTCCAGCAATCAAGTGCCTAGCCACATCTCCCCGGTTCATACTTCTGGGAATCTCGGAGGGTTGCGGCGCACGAACTCTCTGCCCAGCCGGATAAACCGCCCTCCCCCAGTGGGCAATGCGGTTCAGTTTGCCCGAGGAGCAGCTCGCATGCCAGCAGCGGCCAATGTGAAGGCGGTCGAGGTGGCGCCTGAGCATCAAGAGCATTTGATGTCTCGCACCTCTGCGGTGGTCATGCTACTCTTGTCCACGGGACTTGTTGCGGTTTGTGCGGAATTCCTGGTGGATGCTATCCCCGCAATGATTCAGAGCTCCTCTGTGAGCGAAGCGTTTATCGGGTTGATTATCTTACCCATTGTCGGCAACGCTGCCGAACACGTAACAGCCGTGAGCGTCGCGACCAAGAACAAGATGGACTTGTCGATTGGTGTGTCGGTCGGCAGTAGCATTCAAATCGGTCAGTATTCTTTTGCCTTTAGTCTATATAAGACTTGACTGACCCCAATAGCTATCTTTGTGACCCCTTTAGTGGTGATTCTGGGTTGGTGCATGGACAAAGACATGTCATTGTACTTTACCCTATTTGAGACCATTTGTCTATTCGTGACTGCGTTTGTCGTCAACTTTTTGGTGTTGGATGGACGCAGCAACTATCTCGAGGGTGCCCTCCTGATTGCGGCCTATGTGATCATCGCGTAAGTACTCCGACTTCCGACGGTGGGACTCCACAGATACTAATTCCTGCAGGGTTGCGGCTTTCTTCTACCCCAGCACCGATGAATCGAGTGGCTTCGCTGGCTCTGCCTAGTGGCTTGGATACGACTAGCAGCGGACCGACGGGAGCCACGGATTCCGGACTCTCCATTTCATATCGCTTCTACCTAATAGATCATCCCCAGGCAGAACATTTACACGTTCCGGAAGACAATTCAATACTATTGACGTGATCTGAGACACTTCGTAGGCGCTCTCTGCGGCAACCCCTGAGAATTCTTCTCCGCACCTGCCTAGGCCTTCTTGGGCATTCCAGCTCCTGTGGCTAGGGGCTCCACCGGACACAGCCACTCAGTTAGACACACGTGGCGCGTAACGACGAAAATGCCTCATCAATCGTGACTCCTCGCGATTCTAGCGAGATTCCCTTCGTTTCGGAACGGCGTCTCCTTTAGTGGGATCGTGGCTAGTGTCGGATGAGACCCCCGTGTGGCTGAAATGCAGTCCTCCAATGGATGATTGGCCCTGCAGCCCTGTCGGCTGTGGCGCCAAGCAGGCAACAGCATAACAAGACATCCATGGTGGCTTGGCTACAGCCCTAATTCCTTCTCGTCGGAAGACTCATCCCAGGCATCCTACGGAATGCACGAACCGGTCCGCAGTGGGGTGTCCCGACAAGTCATATTAAGGAGTACCGTTATGATGACTGCCTACTGTCCGGCTGTTTGGTGGGCGTTTCCTCGCCAACTCGTCCAGGCTCCCCCACCCACAGTGCGACGCGGGAGCAATAATATCGAACCTGATATCAGGACAGGAGGGATCACTGTGGTGTTTTCCTCACTTGAGCAGCGTTCAGGGGTTTGCAATCTGATCTGCAGGACCAGACTATCGAGCAAATTCCCCATTCCTCCTAATAACGCGGTGGATCCGGCGAGACCACCAGTCTGTTAGCGCCATGTCATGCTATCTAGTCCGGACAAGTGACCTCGCGGTGGAGGCTATCCAGCACGCTGCATGCAAGAGGGACATTCAGGCCCCGTCAGGCGCGTAGCATGCTGTCCTTCCCAGATTAGATATGGTAGACAATATATAAAGGTGGGAGGACGCCAGCGTCCTCCTCTCCATCCTACTCATTTCTTTCTTCCCGTTCTCTTCTCCCTCCCATATTCCCACATCTATCACAACCATGGCCTACTACGGTGAACCCTCAGGCTACAGCCGTCCTCCCTACGAGGACCGCCCTCCATACGACCGCCCTGCGTATGACCGTCCCTACGAGCGTCCACCATATGAGAGACCTCCGTACGACCGTCCTCAGTACGAGCGTCCTCCGTATGAACGCCCTCCCTACGAAAGACCCCCCTACGAATCCGAACGTTCCTACGACTCCCGAACCCCCTACGAAAGACCCCCTTACGAATCCGAACGCTCCTACGACTCCCGGCCCCCATACAGCGCGCCCCCGCCGTCCGCCCGGCCTCCCGCTGTCCCGCCGCCGCCGCTCCCCCTCGGCTGGGTGCAGGAGTGGGAGCCCAGCGTGCGCCGCGCCTTCTTTGTTGAGACTGCCACCGGCCACTCGCAGTGGGAGATGCCCCTGGTCGACTCGCAGTATGCCACGCGCGAGATGCCGCCTCCGGCCGCGCCCCCCGTCGGTGGGTACTACCAGGAGGCGCCCCCGCCGCCCCAGGGCTACTACGAGGGAGAGCCGCAGAAGGAGAAGAAGGATGATAGCATGAAGAAGGCGATGATGGGTGGTGCGATTGGTCTTGCGGCTGGTGCTGCGATTGGTGCGTTCGCTATGCATGAACATGGTATGTTTTCCGAGCTTCCTATTGTCTTCCTATGGTGGTTATATGGTGCTAATTGGTGTAGATGAGCATGAAGAGGAGGAGAGAGAAGAAGAGAGAGAGGCGTGGTCTGGTGGGGAGAGTGATTAGAGGGTTTTGGTTGGGTTTGATTTGGTACATAGCGTTTGGGTTTGGTTTAATATATTGGAAATATATTCTGGTTGATTCTTTTCAAGAGTACTGTCTAGTTCTGTTTCTCGCACACTCATAGCCGTAGAGATCCCAGGTATAGGCGCACCGTGCTCTATCCTACTGACTGCTGAATGGGTAACGTGGAAATAGGCTCGTTGGTGTTCTCGTTCTTCTAAAATCCCCGAGCGAGGTGGGAATAGAGATTCCTGAGTTAGATATAGGTGTTAAGACTGGTCATTGTCCTGAGGCATCCCCAGCCATTCGCCCTTTACCGGGGAGACCGTGTTTCAGAGACACAACTGGGTTTGACAAACAGTGCTCGGCCAGACGTCTCGACGAGGTAAGGAGGGGAACGCTGATGGAGATCTTGGATCGATTGGAGGAAGATTTGAATGTCGCTCATGCTGGACGCGCAATTCGCATTCGATGGACAAGACGACCATTCTGGTTTCATAGTGATGCAACAGTGGATACTAGCAGCTTGGGCCGTGAGGTCCCGCGCGACGAATTACTGAAGCGTGTGTATACACACTGTCTGCGCCGTCGGAGTCGGAATCACCCTTAGCTTTGGAGTTGGTTTTGGCCTTGGGTCTTGCCATGGTGTCATCAGTTTGGTTGGAAACGCCTAGAGAATGCGCGTCGAGGGTACGTTCGAATCCATCATCGTCTTCTGCAAATTATAGGCTAACCCACGCCTTGGGGGGAACGGTGTTGGGCATGGTTTATCCTGTTCGTCTTACTGCCAGCTTGTTTTGAGTCGGATAGTGAGCGGGAGAATGCATTAAGAAATTCCACTGTCCGCAGTTAGATTGCCTGACATGCCTTTTTCTCCTTCTCCACGAGTCCGGGAAGAGAAGATGGTGGATGGCCTTGCTATGAGTACGGCAAGGAGCGGCAGCTACACTGTGATCTCTATACCGAGTTAGCAATTGCTCAAGTACTATCGTGCCTTTGACATACCTCTGAATGCGACGGTTATGTAGGCCGCTGGAATCAAAAGAGACAAGGCTTAACTGACAAGCCGCTTGGCGTTGGCTTTCCAGTTATGGGATATCGGTCCTTTTGTCTCTCGGGGAAATCTTTAAGCACCCATGGCAGTAGTACTTGTGGGCAGTGCTCCTTGTGCGGCCAGGCAGCTTACCGCACCACCCGCAGCTCGCGCTCACCCGTGGATCGTCATCAGGAAGACGGGCAAAACGGATGTTTTCGTTGCATGTTCCACATAGGAATTTTCCGTACTTCACTGACTCAATCAGGCCTTTATATGTCTTACCACACTCTTCGCAGTTATCGGGTGTCAAAAGCCGACTCAACGGCCCCAGAGAATTCAGGCCGCACTGAGAGAGGTCCAGCATATGAACGGCATGGATTGTGCTGCTCGTGGTATGCGCCAGTCCTTCTTTCAGATTCGCTCTTGTTGCTGGATATGATGTTTCTTCGGCTCTTCTACTCCACCATATACCGCCGCAGTCCTCGGTCGAAATGGTTTTGCAGGCGTGTCCCTCGTCTGCGATCACCCGCGCAAACATCCCTGCCAGCAGCGGACGGTATTTCTCCCGAGGACGAGGCTTGGATTTCTGACCGCGGTCCCCTGACTGCGCTTCGTCCTGCAGGTCCATCAGCGTCTGGACCGCAGTCGAAAGATCCTCCTCCTCATAATCGCTGATGACCTCCCTTGAATGCGTGGTGGTCGGAGCGGGCGGATCGGTAGTCGTGGTCTGGCGATATATGGACCCCATCAGCCCACCTATCCTATCGCCCTCGCTTTTCTCACCTGTAATCCTAGTCGAATAGAATGGATCAGAGGTAACGAGGCAGTTCGGTAACTCCCCACTCCAGGACGCACTCATGTCGCTAAGGAATCTTAGCATGACCCACAAATGCGCTCGCAAGCGATATACGATACCTCTAAATATGCGTCCACTTTCTGGGCCATATCTTCCCAGGCTTCTCAGATACTGGATATTTCATTTTGCACGAATTCTCGATAAAACCTCCGATCATGGCAAGATCACTTCGCCATATGAACGCGTGGTTGCGTTATCGACCTTCATTCATATCGTCTAAGATAATTAGCAGGATATCGCAATACAAAAGTCGGTGGTGTCACCACAGCCAGCAGTGGAAATGGACGTACGTGTGTGGCAGTAAAAGATAGGACTGGTCCATGGAACGTGTTGGACGACGTCCACAGCCATATAATACACCTTGCATATCACTGGTACGTAGTTGCCGGAGCGCTTTTGGTAGTGTAATGGTCATTTTGGTTGACAGAATGACACAGCACAACGTAAATTTGATCCATTGTTCCATCCTTCTCCAACAGTGTGCGATCGCGCATGGTGAGAGTGTTAACAAGCAAACAATCCGACAGTGACCAATGTCGGATTGACGCTGAAGAACTGGTTCATCGACGATTTATGATATGGGGCAATCTATAGAAGACCGAGTTAGCTTATATGTAGCTCCAAAGTTGGTAATAGTAATACCGAGTCATCGGTTAAGCTCCAACAATTCTCTTCCTGAGCGACACCATCTACATCTGACTGCATTGCCAGAGCGTGGCGTCGGCGGGTCTTTTGTATTCCCAAATACACACGCGTACTCGGCGTCCGCCTGCAACCACAAGTCAGTGGATTAATGCAGCCCAAAAACGATGAATGGACTTACCCCGACATGCGTGGCTGTCCCTGGTGCATCTTTCGTGGACAGCCAACACGATTACAAGACTGCCATCTGGACATTAATTAGGTGCTCTATCGGAGGCGGTAGGAGGCCCTGTGCGAGCTATTTAGTGTTAGCGATATCTGTATGGGCAAAGGCAGTGTTGTTCATGGTGACCTAGGGAAAAATATCGGCATTGGCTGTGATTTGACGCGGACATGCGGCCTTCATTGTCAGGAGCTGAAGCAACCGCTCAAGCCGTAGGAAAAAGTCATGCCCAATTACTTTCTCCGTGGTATGTGCACATCGCAGGCACGTACAGTAAATGAGCGAGGCCTATTCAGGCTGTCAGGCCTGCAAGTGGAGCGAGAATACTATCACAACATTGACGAAGGGTTTGGTCTCTGGATGATGATGATATAATAAACTATAATCAGACCTTGTCCGGGGCAAGAGTAGGTAAGCCTGGGCCGTTTTGACTGCCTTGAGGCCACAAGTGTCTGCAATGATTAGTAAAGGATGGCTGGAAATGATGGATACGCCTACCTGTTGGTTTGATGAAACTGCCCGGGTGCTTCGTATATACTAAGCCGTTCGAAGATCAATAACAGATAGAGACAAAGTGCCAGCCTGTATCTGGTGCAGTCAGTAAATGCCCACTAGTACAGAGATCAGGTATGGTACTCAGCAGTCTGGTGGCCAACTTGCCAACATTGTCGCGAGCCAATATATAAATGATCAAAGATGAATGTTGAATTATATAGAAGAATGATGTTTGAAGAAGGGAGGGGACTCAGCCCCTGAGAATATCCTTCAGTCCCAGGGAGAGATTTATTATACAGACTTCGGTGAAGGCTTCAAAGATTCACCGCTATAAGATGCGGTCATGCCGCAGTCACCCTTGTTTGTCGGGTATTGATTATGGGTAAACCATGGCGCAAACAGCGGACCTGGAGGTAATCCTAGATTGAATGATAGTCCTCTGAGGAGTGAATTGTCCCCATTCAATGTTTCCAAGCTTCTGACAATAATGATAGAACAAATGGTGAAAAACGTATGGATAACATGTGCTATGGATTAAGTCATTCCTAAGCATGACAACTGGTAGCTAGCATACTACCTAGATAAGCGCTCCTAGGGTACAATACAGAATCAAAGAACGCCATATATGCAAATGCATTTTAGTAGAGCAGATGGGATCGTATCAATCGTGGACTATGCATGTTGTACAGACTAAGCGGTCAGTGTGACATGGTCAGGCAGGATGATTTCGGCAAGACACATACAAACAGTGTGAAACGTAGGCAACCCATTATTGTTGGTGCACCGGCTTGCGCAGCCGCGGGTAGTAGAAGAGGAAGAAGACGACGACGGCGAGGAGGACGACCAGCGTTGGGAGGAACATAAAGGTAAAGAGGAACAAGCTCAACCCGAAGGCGGCATGTTGACCGGGGAAGAGACGACGGGCCATGAACTCGAGCTCGAGCGTAGAGAGCATGGGGTTGAATTGGTATTGCTCTCAAAGAGCAGAAGAAGAAATCGTAAGGTCGTACTGGGAAGAATGGAAGCTGGCGTGATGCGGTCGGATCTGCCCGGTGATTGGCGGAAGTGATGATGCGGAGACTCTATAGAGTACGGAGTATAGGTATTATAGAGTGGATGGACAAACGGAGGATGCGCAATGGACCGGGATGGGATGAGAAGGGTTTTGTAGGGGGGGAACAGGGCGGTTAATTGAGACATACAGGGACTGACCTACAGACTGCCTGATATTAATTGCCTAGACCACCGATAGATCGGAGTGAAGCTGCCCTGCGTAATTCTCGTAATGGAGATACCTAAATTTCCAATATTGAATTGCCCCGCCAACAAGATGCCGACAGAGGCTGTTGGGCCCCACCGCAATGACCAGATGATGCAATGGCAGGCAGCAGCATTTACCACTGTTACAGTGTATTACACGAGGTCGGATATCCGGAGTAGGTAGATACCCTCAACAGAACTGTGGCTAAGTCTACGGAGTACTTGTACTGCATGCAATGTCCCATGGTTCTCAACTGTTGGTTGGGGCGGTGCAGGATAAGCTCTTGGATGATGCTAAGCAACGGTTCCGGGAAGTACCGCGACACAGCCACCGTCATGTTGATATGCAAATCTATATCCACATCAGGCACCCAATCCTTCGGCATCAGTTCCGCCAAGTTCTTTTCTTTTCTTTTATTCCGTAGAGTACAGAAAGGGGTCCTATTGATCTGACCGGATTGGGCCAGGGTCTGACGTAAGGAGATCCCCTCAGCCCTACAAGGCGGGAGGGATGCTGATTGGCTGGGAGGAAGTGATAATGGTTGCCTACAGTCAATTCTCATTCATTATTCATGGTTCATATCCATTCATTCGTTTCTATACATTATTGTACAAAGCCTGGATAACCCTCATTGTCCTAATTATATTCACTATTCTATATTCATACCTTGTTACCTCCACCCAGGCATCCCTCATTCAGCTGATCCAGTGAACGGTTCCCACAGATGGGGGCTGATCGACCAACTCCTCTATCCTAGTGCATGGGTCCAGTGGACTAGCATCCCTTCCTTGCAACGTGGATTCCCCGATCTTCCCCTCTGCTGGTCTCTTTCTTTCTTTCTTTCTTTCTTTCTTTCTTCCTCTTCCATCTCTCTCGCGTTCCTCCTCAGTTGACTCTCCTACCACCGACTCCTCCTAAGACCATGTCCACATCCTCCCTCCCCTCCTAACGCAACCATGAGTTTATTCTCCCCATACGCCTACTCCGACCCCTCCGACCTGGACAACCTGGGGGTCGACTGGATCATTCGATATGACTTTGACGATATCGGTATTTCTTCCTTTCTACCCCCACTGATCCCATCAACTAACCCCGGACGCCTGCATAGATATCTCCCAGGCAATCGAGGAATTCCGCACCCTCATCCACGACCTCGAAGAGGCTCATTGCCAAACCCAAGTCCGTCATGGCTACGGCGCTTCCATCTTAGTCTGTGTGCACGTCCCTCGCGAACACCTGGGAAACATGGTCCATAAGTCCCGGTATGCTCCGTCCGCTCCTCGGTCGACTTCCGCCCCACTAACCTCCCCCAGCGTCAAGGACTGGCTATATGGAATCGCACACGAACTCCCCATCGGGGATGAATACACCGTCGTCGAATCGGAGACCCCCGCAGAGGCTCTTCGCTCGGTCTATCATGCCGTGACGTGGGCAAAGTCGCTCGGTGGTGCGGGCATCACCCCGGGACTGGGCAAATGGGAGCGCGTCACCGCTTGCTTTCCCCTGCATGATCAACTCGAGAACGCACAATTGCTGCGGAAAATGAGTAAAAGCATGGCCCTGACGGAGGAGGACCTCGATACCGTCCGAGCTCTGTTTGGAGAGAAGGTGCGGGATGATCCCCACATGTCCAAAGAAAACCCCGTACTAACCACCGAAGGTCGCATTCTACTATGCATTCTTCCATTGCTACAACCGGTTCATGGCCTTTGGAGCTCTCTGGGGTATCGTCTCATGGTACTTCTTCGGCCCCTACTCCATCACCTGTGCTCTGGTCAACTGCTTCTGGCATATCGTCTTTGTCGAGTATTGGAAAATCCGCCAGACCGATCTGAGCGTACGGTGGAACGTCAAAGGTGTTGGCGTCTTGAAGGTCAACCGCCCCGAGTACGTCTGGGACAAGGAGGTGCGCGACCCCATCACCGGCGAAGTCGTGCAGGTGTTTTCCCCATACCGCCAGGTCATGCGCCAGCTGCTTCTTATCCCATTTGCTACGGTGGCCGCACTCGCCCTTGGGACGCTGATTGTCGTGACCTTCGCGCTGGAGGTGTTCATCTCCGAAGTGTATACCGGTCCCTGGAAGAGCTACCTCGAGTTCTTCCCGACCGTCCTGTTCTCCCTCTCATTACCCTCCATCTCCAGCGTACTGACCACCATTGCCACCCGCATGACCAAGTATGAGAACTATCGCACCCAGGACCAGTATGACGTAGCCCAAACCACCAAGACCTTCATCATGCACTTTATCACCACCTTCTTGCCGACCATCCTCACCGCGTTCGTATACGTCCCATTCGGGGCCCGTCTGATGCCCTATCTTCAGACCTTCACGGTCGGTCGTCTTGCCAAGTCCGTGGACATGTCGCGGCTGCACATCGATCCGTCTCGCCTCCAGCAAGAGATCATCTACCTGTCCATCACCGGACAGGTGATGAACTTTGGAGAAGAAGTCGTCCTGCCGTATGTGAAGCGGGTGCTGCGTCAGAAGTGGCGCGACTATCGCGAGAAGAAAACCCGGAATCGCACGCGGCATTACTCCATCCGTACTGACCAGTTGCTCGTGGACACCCCTGAGGAGGCCTCCTTCCTCACCCGCATCCGCAATGAGGCCGAGGGCGACGAGTATAACGTGCACGACGACATCATCGAGATGTGCGAGCAGTATGGGTACATGGCGTTGTTTGGGGTCGCGTGGCCCCTCATGTCGGTGGGATTCCTGATCAACAACTGGTTCGAGGTGCGCGGCGATTTCTTCAAACTGAGCATCGAGTGTCAGCGCCCGCCGCCCATCCGGTCTGACTCCATCGGACCGTCGCTTCAGGGCCTGCAACTTCTCACCTGGATGGGCGTGCTGTCCACCTCGGCGATCGTCTACCTGTACCGGAAGGGAATGGAGGACATCCAACTGTCGTCGTTGCTGATGACCATGCTCGCGGCCGAATGGGCCTATCTCGCCGTCCGCTTCGCCGTCCACCATGGGCTGCAGAAGATTGCCATCCCCATGCTCCGCCGCGAGTCCGCGAAGCGGTACGCCGTCCGGAAGAGCTACCTCGAAACCCTCACGGGCAGTCTGTCCCCGAAGGGTAAGCGACGCGTGCGGTTCCAGGACCGCGTGAACGTGTACAGTTCGTCATCTGACTCGGAATCGGAGGAGTTCCTCCACGAGAGTAAAGACGGGTCGCCGCGGGAACAGGCGTTCTGGTCGCGGCCGCAGTGCGAATCAGTGGACGCGGGCGTCCGGCTGATCAAGGCTCTGAGCACGTCAAAACATGCGAGGGTCGAGAAGAAGGAGAAGGCGTCGTAGGTCAATGACGTATAGAGATAGATTGTATTGTATGAATTCAGCGATGATCTGTCATTTCTTCGGTAGAATTGAGCGTAAGGGCCGTCAACGTAAGGGCGATAGATGCTTGGGAGTGAACGAGGCAACTGGTGCTAGGGGTTTATGTTTCTTCGAGGGTCGACGGTATGTGAGTGCTGATCTGTCGAAGTTTACACCGCCACTCCTTGCATTAGTGGACGCATTAGACTTGGGATGATGTATAGTGAAGGAAAAATACGCTCAAGGCTCCAAGGGATACATTCTTCCTGTCACAAGTACCCCTCGTTCGGGTGATCTATGAAGATCCGCGTCGTTTGGGGATGAGTATCTACGCAATGGACTCTTTCTGGGGATCCTAAAGTTAGGGCGATCCTCAGCATAGTCACACTTTCGTCTATCAGTGATGTATATCACGACTTGCTACAATATATAAAGGACGTGGGATCTCGGCGTAGGAGAAAGCACACGATCAGGAAGACTTACAGATCAATCTACTACAAGTATTCTCTTCTAAAGCACCACGATACGCTCAATATGAAGATCTCCGCTGCTGTCGCTGGTCTCCTCGCCTCAGGCGCTTTGGCCCACGTTGGAATGGTGAGTCCTGATACCACCACGACCGATGAACGATGACACGATGGAGGGGTTGCTAACTTATGTCTAGGGCGGCACCGAGGAAGGCAAGAACATGCTTTCCGCAGCCCAGCCGATGGACACCGTCAAGCGAGATGGCGTAAGTATCGGCCGCATGAGCGCCACGTGTAAGTGGCACACAGCATGTCTCTAACCCGATGCTAGATGAAGACCGACGGTGACAAAATCAACGTCAGTGGCCACGTGGACTCTAACCTTGGCAACTTCCACAAGAGGGACGACGTGAGTTGATTCATGGATGCATTGTAATAAACTAGAACAATGGCTGACATATTGTAGATTGATCCCGTCAAGGTCGATGCAGGCGCTGGGGTTGACGCGGACGCCGATGTAAAGGGACACGTCAAGAGAGATGAGGTGAGTTTGACGCCGAAAGTTCACGAATATATAGTCACTGGCTGACCTCTGATCCTGCAGATCGATCCGGTCAAGGTCGATGCAGACGCGAGTGTGGATGCGGACGCGAGCGTGAATGGACACGCCAAGAGAGACAGGGTGAGTGTCGGTGTAGCATGCTTTTTCGCGCGGCGAAAGTCTGGCTGATGGGATTACAGCTGCGATGGGCCAGACGTGATCGCAAGGCCAAGACGGGTGTTGCTCGTAGAGAGATGCCAGTCCCTGGATCCCAGCAGAACGGCCAGGGCCGCAACCGTGAGAATGAGCCCGAGACTGAGTCGGACTGCAGTGGCAGTGACACTGATTGCGAACGCCGGGGAAAGGGACACAGGGGACGGAGAAGCCTCCGCCGGCGGGCAAAGATGGCGAAGAAGGCCGTTGAGGATGGCAATGAGAGCAGTGATAGTGGCAGCAGCGAGGGGGAGCTTGAGATTATTTGATGGATTAGTCAGGGGCCTAGTTAGTGCTATTCTTGGGGCCGCCCGGGTGGGACTAGTTCAGCCCTACAGGGCGCCCTCCATTTACGTACCTTAAATCCATCCGTCTCCGCTCGTTTCCTTCTCCTTCTTCTCTTCCTACTCCCTAGACTGCCTCTCTCTCCCCTTCAACTGGGCATGGGTTACTTTCCCCCATCTTCTTTTCCTCGGTTTCTTGCTACTTAGAACCCATGTCCAGGCAGGCCTCCTCCAAAGACCTCTCCCATGAGGAGAAAACCCTCGACGGGAACTGCCAGGCAGTCGCTCCCTTGGTCACTTTGGTCCGACACCGTCGAAAGAAGCTTCATCTGGTGCACCCTCCGTGGTATCGGAACAGTCTGCTGGCCAGCACGGGCTTCCTGGAGTTTGCCAATGCCGGAGATTTCGCCGCCAACGTATGGAATCAGATCCCCGTACCCAAGTATGCCATGATTCTTATGGCCATTGGGGGTCCCCTAGCCCTCATGATGAGTGTGGTTGCTCTTCGAGATGGTCTTCTCAGCTGGCAGAACGTGCGGCTTCTCCGTACGGAACGACACTACCTCACATTGCTGAAAGACGACCACCTCCGAACCCCCAATCCTGACCAAGATTTGATCCGGCTGATCGACTGCCGACTTGGCGTGGGCTTCCGCGAACTTGGCACCGAGCTGGTGGACCGTATCGCGATGGACATTCTGCTCGGTATCGGCGCCCTCCTCGTCGGCACGGGCACCCTCATGGCCATCTGGGGAGCGTATCCCAAAGTTTTTCACGCGAGTAACCTACTTTCCGGATTTGTGGGGAACGGTTTCGCTGCTGCCTTCGGGGTGGTCAACGCCGTCTGGTCCGCGTATCTGGCCTGGCGGTTCCACCACCACGAGGCGGTCTGCACAGGGGTTCCTACGCTTGTGGCCTTCCATGAGAAAATCCACCGGCGGTTTCATGCTCTCAAATGGCATGCCGTCGTCTCCGGAACGACCGGGCTGGTGGCTGGCGCAGCGTCCATGGTCACGGCCAAGCGGTGGTGGGGATACGTGATTTTGATTCCGTGTATGGTGCTACAGGTTGCCTGCAACTGGCTTTGGCGCGTTCATCTGGGATACGACCGACCGGTGATATCGAGTTCGTCTACCTATGGTCTTGCCCCGGACGCTTCGTCAACCCAGGATGAGGAGAAAGCGACCGATGTCATCGTCGACCAGCTCACCGCGACCGTCTCGATATACAATTCCCTTGGAACGATCCCCACCTCGACGACCCACGTCGACTGCTCCTCCCTCGACTCACTCCTCCAGTTTACGATAGCCCATGACCTCTTCGACTCCCTGTGCGCCTGGCTTGCGCGCGATCGCTCTGTGCCGGATGATCTTCGCAGCACGGTTTTTCGATTCCCATTGGACGAAGAGGAAATATCAGTATCCCCTGGCGACCTATTGCGCCTCCCTGACGCCGAACATGCGCGGTTATGTGGCCTGATCTGGGAATTCCTTTCTGGAGATGGACGGTCCGTCCTCCTCTCTCGTCAACGGTACTTGGTGGAAATGGTAGGGTATGCCGCGATTATGGGCTCTCAGTTTTGACCTCACTGCCTGGATGCATGTTGGGTTGTGCTGGCACGTGTGCATGGATTGCATTGCATTATAGAATAGAGTAATGTTAATATAGCGCATACCTGCGACATCAGCATACGCTGAATTGATATTGAATATCAAAAACTTCATCTATGATTCTTTCCGATAGTGCAGTCTCATATCTACGTGTCCATCTTATTCATCTTATGCAACAAATGCCAACAAATCATGCATACGCCATGCTTAGAAACTGAACAGCCCAGTGCGACGCTTGCCAAACGGATACACCACCAGCGCCGCCACAAACAGCCCAACCGTGATGGCAATGGCCACCTGCACCATACCGAACCCCAGCACCTGCGACGACAGGTCCACTGAGTGACCCTGCGTACTTCCACCATTATTTGAACTTCGATTCGCACTACTGCTGGACACGTTCGACCGAATCTCATCCGCGGATTGCACCCCGGCAATCAATGTCCCAGACGCCGCCAGCCCGGACGGCACCAGCACGAATATCCCCGGCAAGATCGCCGTTGCCGCATGGCCATGCCACAGCCGACTATACAAATTGCCAATAACCCCAATCGCGAACGCACCCACCGTGCTCGCGACCTGCGAATTCGACCCCAGCCGCCGCGTCACGAAGAAGTTCGTCACATACCCCGCCAGCGCAATCGTCACCATCATCGGCGTCTGCCGCCATTTCCCCTGGTTCACGACCATCAGACACACGGCGAAAGCCACTACGAACGGGAACCGCTGCACGTAGGGGTTTTTGAAGGCGCCGGGCGCCGGACAAGTCGTGGATGAGATGGCGTTCTTGTCGATGAGCCCGTAGATGGTCGTGCCGACGGTGATGCCGAAGCCGAGGAAGAGGGAGTAGATGATGGCGTAGACCATGCGGATGGAGCCGGCGACTATCTGGTGCGATTGCAGCTCCAGACTGCTGCAGAGGACGGTGTAGCCGGGGAGGATGAGCGCGATGGAGGACTGCGCGATGGCGGAGAAGCAGAAGAGGTACTCGCGCTGGCCGTGGATGTCAGTCATGATGCTGCCGAGGGCGCGGGCGATGAACGACGTCAGCACCGCGGCGGACACTTCGAAGACATTGGAGTAGAGCACGCTGCGCGGGGCGATAACGTGCTGCATGATGCCGAGGAGGCAGCCGTTGAAGAAGATGATGGGCATGTCGATGGGCCGCGCGTTGAACGCGAAGGGACCGACGGTGGCCGTTGCGAGACCGTACACCAGCACGATGATCCATTTGTTGAACCGCGGGCGCTTGCGCATGATCTCCTCCAGCTCGTGGATGGCCTCTTCGATGCCGATGACCTCGTGCACGACGTTCTTGTAGATGTTGTGCGTGTCGGCCAGCCGGCCGAGGTCGATGCCCTGGCCCACGCGGACCAGCTTCACCTCCGCCGTGCGCGTCGACGGGTCGTCAAACGACATGATCATACACCCCGGGACGTACAGGAACTGGCTGTCGACCTCGAGGACGCGGGCGGTCATCTGCATATACTCCTCGAGCCGGTGCGTCGGCGCCCCGAACAACATGAGCGCCTTGCACAGCTGCATGATATAGCGCTGGCGGGCGATGATCTGCGCGATCTGAAGCGTCACCTGGATCTCGTCTTCGAGCCGCATGCCGGACCGCTGCTCCTTGCTGCGTCGCTTGGACGCGGCCGTCAACACCTCGCTGGAGACCGGTGTGCTGGCCCCGCTGTAGCTCCCGCCGCCGCCGACGCCCCCGACCAGCGTCGACGTCGACAGGTTGCCCCCCTTCTTCTTGTACCACTTGAGTTTCCGCGGCGTCGTCGTCCCCGGCGTCGCGGACTCCGACGGTGACTGGCTGCGGCTGGACCGGCGCTGGGCGTCGAGCGCCGCATTCAACCGCAACAGCTGCGAGAGGATCCCGCCGCCGCCGTGACTCTCCGTCCGCTGGAGTCGCGGATCGAGCGCGAGCTCCTCGCCCGCATACTCCGGGCCCTGCGCAGTCAACGCATTCGGCTGCGCCTGCGACATGCGTCGCCGCGTCGAGCGGTCCTCGGTGAGCTGGCGGACCAGCCGATGCGCCTCGGACGTCAGCGAGTCATGCTCCGGCCGCTTCTCGTCGTGAGCATCATGTTCCCCGTCTGCAGCCTGCGACTCATCCAGCTCCGGCTCATGCGTCGGCTGCAGGTCGTTCTCGTCTGACAGCGGGCGGCCCAGTTGCGCCGCGAGCCGGCGCGCCTTGGCCTTCGTCCGGTGCCGCAGGCTGTTCATGCGGTCGAAGAACGACGCCCCGGGCATGGCGGACCGACCCGGAGAGCTCCGTTTCTGGGCCGGCGAGCCCGAGCCCGAGCCCTTGGGGCTGTCGCTGGAGCTAGGACGCTCCGTGCTGGCCCGGCCGCGGGTCACGTCCGTGATGTCCACGGAGCCGTGGGCGCCCGCCGCCGCCTGCTGGGTGCGCTCGTCCGCGGACAGATCCGTCTCGGTGGTGTCGTGCTGGCCGTCATATTCGAAGCGCAGGTCCGAGCCGAAGTGCACGCGGTGCGGAGTGCCGCGGCCGGGCGTTGCCTGCGACTCGCTGTCGTTGGGCGAGTTGTAGGGGACTGGATCGGGGAGGCGTTCGGGGCTATGGCTGCGGCTGCGGCTGGGACTTGGGGTGTGGTCGACGTCGACGCTGTGGTAGCTGATGAGGGAGTGCTGGCTAGTGGAGCTGTTGCGTCTGTCGGACATGGAGGGTGCAGGATTTCAGGACTGGGCTTCCTGGCTGCGTTGTGAGGCTGGATGTGCGCAGCATGTGGTGGGCAGTGAGGTGATAACGGTGGGATGAGGACGAGGTGAGCTGTCGAGCTGGATTAACTTTGCCGCAGTCCATGGAACAGGCGGGATCAGATAATGACTGGGATTCGTTAGAGAGGGATTATATTACTGTGTGGGTATACTCGCTATTCATGTTGTTTGTGCATTCGCTAGGTCGATATGCACAGGGAGACTTCAGATGTAGCCGAATATAGCACCACCTGGGCCACTGGTTCGACGTGACACAGTTGACATCATTAGCCGCTACGCGATTGTATCCAAAAGGAAATTTTTAAACACAAAAAACTGGGCAGGGTGCTGGAGAATGCGGTTGTTGCAGTGAGAATGCAAAGTCCATGACGCATGCGTCGATGCCGGTGGGTCGGGAGATTATATACTCCCGCTAGGTCGTTCGCCACGGAGCAGCCAGAACATCGACCTTGTCTGGTACTGTCAATTGTCCAGCTGTGTGCTAGGTATTTGTTGCGGCCGAAATAGTTGGTCTGCCGTTGTGGCCGCGGTTGAGACTTCCGCGTGGGATGGGCGTGGTTCCAGACTGGGAGCTGGAGCGGGTGGCTATTGTCTGCGCATTCTAGACCGAGTCTGCTTGTCAAGATGAGGTTATGAAGTGGATAGCGTTGGACGATCTGAGACATAAAGATCGAGATCTGGCCTTGCTTTGGTGCTAGAATTCACCAAGATGCGAGACAAGTCTGTCGGAGACTGTAAGCATGCGTATGGTCCGGCACAGCTTGTCCAGCAGAAATGCCACATTCTTTCGAAACCACATGCGCCCGTATATGAATCTGTATATGAGATGTCCCATGCGGGGATAGTAAATATCCAGACTGAATCCAAGAGCCGGGAAGCAGTATTGCATAGGGTCTTACTTTCTGCTCCGCATTTTCCGAACTGTATCGTCCAACACAGACCGATCCGGTATTCCAACCTATTCTATCCATACTTCGAGTGGTAGTAAGTCTTAGACGATGATGTTTCTTTGAGACTTGTATAGAGTGGCTGAATCTTCCATCCTTTGCACCACGGCGGATCCGTGCTTACTCTCACCCAGCTGCAGTACCAGGGTGGTCCATGTGGCTGACAGATGGGGCGATATTGAAAGTATTGATATGGCAGAATTCGATCGCGCATCAAAGCTAGACTCTTCGTAAGGACTTGTGCAGTGGTAGTAGCTGGGGTGAAATGTTTTGCCGGTGGTTCATGGGATCCTCATTTCACTTTCTTAAGCTTCTGGTGTGCTGGGAATATCACGTCCTCCTCTCAGTGTGTCTTGCCGGAGTCCATAATGTCTCTTCCCCTTGTGCACGTGTGTGGTTGATCCCATCCGTGAAGCTGTATACGTAATCTGGTGCTCAGGACCTTTGTGTAAGTATGATGGGCAAACGTTCGAGCCGACACCAGCGATAACGATTGAAATCTAAGAAAAGACGCGTCAAGCACCCCATCTTATTGCAGGCCTGATCCAGTGTATTTCGAACTTCCCTGTCACATATCCAGGTACCATCGTATCCATCTGCTGGTGGGATCCCTCATACCGAGGCGACGAGCACAGGATGCGGGGAGAAAGCGGGTAAGAATCCGCCGAGGCAATCAACAACCACCACCGAGATGGAGCTCCAAACTTCTGCGCAACTCACCACAATGTCTTCATCTACGATCCAACCAGGCCACACGCAGGCCTTTGAAAATGCAATCGAAGTGCACTCACAGTCCCCAGGCACCTACGCCGCCGATCTGAAATGGGAGTGGTCCGTTGGTAGCGGTATGTACGAACCGAGGTATAAACCCATCCACAATGGACGTCCACTGACAAGATACATCCACAGCTCCGAATGGAGGCTACATCGCCGCTATTCTTCATCGCGCAGCCACTACACACTTCCAGCGCACGCATCCAACAGCCCACCATGGCCGCGCCGTGCCGATCCAGATGCAATTGACCTACATCCGGCGCAGCGATATCGGGCCGGCGGTTCTGAGCGTGAAGGACGTGAAGCTCGGCTCGCGCGTCTCTGTCATCCATATAACCATGTCGCAGGGTGGTCGCGACAAGGTGGCCGGGTATATCACCATGTCGGATCCGGTTTCTGAAACGGGTGTTTCGACGACGACGGGGTGGACTGCCCAGCCGTCCGTCCCTCAATGGGTCCCTCCGGATACACTAGCCAAAGGAGCTGATAGCGAATGGCGGAAGGTCGTCCTCCCGAACGCTGAGTTCCGCCGCGCGGCTAGCCAGGTTGAATTCTATGAGCCTAAGAATCCGAGTGTTGGGGTAGGCTTCGTCAGCCACTGGGCTCGTCTACGTCCGTCTGGCCCGGACGGAGGCATCGGACGCTGGACACCCGAGTCTGTTGCGTTCCTGTGCGACATCTTTCCCATCACACTAGGCCGGTTGGAGCATGTCGTGCATCGGGCTCTGTCTGGCGAGTCGGAACCGAAGGCGAAACCACCGCCTGTTTGGTTTCCGACACTAGGCTTGAACCTTGATCTGAAGAAACCGGTGCTGGGGGAGAATGTGGAATGGCTATATAGCCATATCACGATCAAGTCTCTTCGCAACGGACGGATGGATGTCGAGGTCGTCGTTCTGGATCAAGCTGGGGAGGTTGTTGCGATATCCACCCAGGCGTCGCTGGTCATGTCTGCAGAGAGAAATGCAGGCAGCAAGGGGCATTCGTCTGGGAGACTGTAGACTGGTTAATATTGAGCAGAGGACCTACAGAGTGTGGAAGGTCGGTTGTGATTCCAGGTAATAGAGAGATGCAAATAGAGACGAGCTGCTTGTCACGTAGTACATGTGCTACTTCACTGTCCGGGTATCCTCTCCGAGTCGGATAAAAATCCATCGTATCCACTAGACGGTCCCCCGCAAAGTCTCCGCAAAGTCTCACCGGACTTCGCACTCTTATGCGGGGTATGCTATAGGAAGATGGGATATAGAGAGCGGACACATTCTTCTCTTACCCTTAACGTAGAGAATTCCACGCATTCCGAGCATTCACGTTATCCGTGAATCACAGATCCTCCATACCACCCATCATGTCCCGATACCATCAGCTCACAGATACTCAACCCGCCCATGTCACAGCCTTAAACCTCCCTCCAAACACATCATGCGTGCTCGTCGAGAAGAGACGCATCAGTATCGAGCCAATCCCGATGCCTATCCTACAACCGGACGGCGTCCTGGTCAAAGTCATCGCCAACGGCATCTGCGGATCAGACATGCACGTCTACCTCTCCGGCGGGATCGGGGGGAGGGGGGCTTACGGCCGGACGGTGATGGGCCACGAAGCCGCGGGAGAAGTCATCGCCGTGGGCGAGCATGTCACAACACATAAACCCGGGGATAGGGTTGCTGGTAAGTGTGTCTGCCGGCCAATGTGGTCGTGATCGTGATGTCATTAGACTTGGTTGGCATCGCGGGTTTTGCTGATTGTCTGCAGTCGAACCTGGGCTTCCGTGTAGACGGTGTACCAACTGCAAAAATGGACGCAGTAATATCTGTTTTGGTAGGTCTGGATTCGATGTGCGCTGGCAGCATACTGACTCAAATGCAGATGTGCGCTATTGCGGTGCTCCGAGGAACCATGGATCTCTCTCGAGGCATGTTATGAGCCCCTCCATTGCGAATGAAAATAACCGTGGTCAGGTTCTTCGCTCTGCCGGCAGACATGGCTCCTCATATCCCAGAGACAGTGAGCTGGGAAGAAGCGGGCAGTATCCAGCCATTGGCGGTAGGTGTTCATCATATGAGTCTTACTTGGTGCTGACCTATGGTAGATCGGCATTCAAATCGGCAAGCGTGCAGATCTAAGAGCTCATCAAACCGTCGCCATCTTGTATGTGACACCTCACTTCCATGGTCCGTTCGGAGCACAACTGACAACGCGGCAGTGGCTGCGGGCCAATCGGGCTCATTACAGCCGCCGTCGCCCACGCGTACTGCGCCGCCAAGATCATTGCCTTTGAGATCAACCCATCGCGGGTGGCTTTTGCAAAGGAATACCGGTCTCCGATGACCGGGCGACCGATCATCGACCGTGTGTACCAGATTGAGCCGATCCCGACGGGCGATGGCCAGGTACAGGACGCCGAAGAACAGACTCCAGGGGATGCCAAATGGGAGCATGCAAAGAAACGCATGGAGGCCATAATCCAAGAGTGCGGGTTTTCGGCCGAGCAAGGCGTAGACAGAGTGATCGAGGCCAGTGGCGCGGAAGACGCCATGCTGCATGGCGTGGCTCTCTGCAAGCAGGGTGGTGTCTGTATGTTTATGGCTTGGTTGCTACAAGCTTTGTGCTGACGCTGGCTTTGATAGTCCTGCAGGTTGGACTGGGCCATATCCAGACGCATACGTTTCCTATGGTTGCGGTGACGAATAAGGAGCTCGATGTTCGAGGTGAGTTTTGCTGGTTTTGAAGGTGCATTCGTGTGTTCATGTATCACAGGAATCACCCGTTATACCGCTTCATGTTTTCCCTCCGCCATTGACCTTCTCAGCCGCGGCGTGGTGGATCTCAAGCCGCTCATCACGGCGCAGTTTCCTCTGTCCAGGGCGAAGGAGGCTTTCGAGGCTGTGGCTAGTGGGAAGGAGATGAAGGTCATTATCAAGAATCAGGAAATATAGTTTCTTTTGGGTGTGAGAGACTCCGGAGTATTTGACAGCCTGCTCTGTAGAATTGGATCTGACTCGATGCAGTCCACTGCCTCCAGCGGAACTGGCTTTGGCCCACTGGGTCGAGAATCATTTGGATGATACACATGCCAAGAACTATCTGCGAGTGAGATCAAGGGGGATCAGCTATAGGATAAGATGATGATCTTCGACGTGGCTTTCAAACTGTCCAGCTGCACTTCATAGGAGTAAGACGCTTCTGGGCTGCTGAGTGCTCAGACAGATCTCGTAAATCATGTTTGCTTGGTAACGAGTCATGAAGGGGAAGTTCATGTCCGCCAGATGACAAGTAAGATCCTGTCGGATCAGCCGGAATTGATTTACACGGGCTGGACTTCATTTGCTACACAGCATTTCAGTGCTGTAGGGATTACTGAGTTATCCTCTGATGTAGCAATCTTTCGTAGTATCGCATAGTAAGAAGGGAGCAGCCTGTCGATACTGGCCATTGGATATTCTGTGCCATTGTATTGTGCGTAACCATGCATTACTGCCCTCAACACCCACTTACCCAAGCAATACTACCCTAGAACAACATGAAGTCACAGTCTATTCATCCTCATTGTGGTGATAGACGCATGACGAAGATGGAATCCTTTTCCCGGTTTGTCTTGCCAGCCCAGACAGACTAGCCAGGGCATAACAATAATGGCAAACGTCATGTTCGGAATAGACCGTCTGCCTAGACGGAATCAGAACGACGATGATGTATTCAGGCGAGCCACTTCTTGGCCGACAGGATTGAAACGGGGCAAGTCGAAGGATTATGCCCCGTTATGCCCCATTGTGCCGAGATACCCACTGCCACCGAGGGCTTCCATAAATAACAGCGGCCTACAAAGTACAATACGTGTATGTATTATTGCAGAAAGGCTCGCACAGCCACAGCATCTTACCGAGGAAAGCCAGCAGCACGCGAGGCGCAGCACGCCAGAATACGGACGGAGAACCGTCTGCTCTTGCGAATCCAACTGCTTGCCCCCTTGCTGGGTCTGCAGGCAGAAAATAGAACATGGAAACCAACTCCCTGCGTCTGATGCGTCTGATTCACGGAGCCAACAAGCCATGCTGAATGTGTGTGGTACTCTCCACTATCCGGGAACCGTGGGACAGATCGTCCTTTCATTTCGGCCGCCACCATTAATAGGAGACGGCCGGTGGGTCAGGGCAGTGGCTTGGCCTCCGCCTTGTTGGGAGAAGTCATCGAATGTTTTGGTGTATACAGAATGGGTGTATAGAATGAGGATGCCTGGAGTGGTGATACGGACTTCGCCACTGTACAGTCATGGAGCCGTCTACTCCGCCTACTCCGTATAGCACAAGAAGGCAGCGCCTTCACATGGAGCAGGCTGAACGACCTCGAATGGCGCAGTGGAGACACGCAATCCCCGTCTTCTGCCCGTGTGATTCGCGGCTGGTGTATCCATCGCCCCAGGATGATGTGGATGTGCTGCCGATCAGGGTAGGGCAGTGAATCAGTACGGAGTAGAAAGGGGATATAAAGGTCTCCCAATGGATCCAGCTCCATTACCAGCTATCAATCGCTGCATTGCTACTCCCCATATCCAATACGCTCTACTCTACAGACTCCTACCTACCTAATCCAGTCAAAATGCGCTTCACCATCCTGTCCACCTCCCTCCTCCTCACCTCCGCCCTGGCCGCCGCCAGCCCCGAGGACCCCAACATCGGCAACATCGTCTCGGCCGCCGAGGGCGTTGCCCACTCCGTCGCCAGCGGCGGCCAGTCCGTTGCCTCGGACGTCGTCGACTCGGCCACCTCGCTCGCCTCGGAAGCCCGCACCGCCGGCGGCGCCGCCGCCAGCTCCATCACCTCCAAGGCCGGCGACATCGCCTCCAACGCCCAGTCGTGGGCCACCTCCGTCGCGTCCGACGCCCGCAGCGACGCCTCGGACGCCCGCAGCCGCGCCTCCTCCCGCTGGAGCGAGTTCACCCAGCTGACCACCCTGACCGGCACCAACGGCCAGGTCAGCACGTCTACCATGACCACGTCGTCTGCGGCCGCCGCGACCAACACCGGCGCCGCGCAGACGGGCGCGACGGCGTCGAACTCGGCGGGCGCCAGCTCGTCCACCTCCGAGGGTGCCGGCGTCGCCCAGGCGACCCCGGCTTCGCTGGGATACGGTATTGCCGGGGTGGCGGGTATGATTGGAGTGATGGCTGTGCTGTAAGCGGGAAAAGTATGAAGTTTTGGGTGCTTTGATTGGTTGTTCTTGTGTATAATTGTGGATAGTGATACCTAGATTATCGTTTCTATGTACAGACTGCATCTTGCCAGCATACAATCTCATATCGTACCTTCTAGAGAAGCACCACGGGACAACTAGGCCGCCCGCTCCTTCGGCGTGACGCTCGCCTCGCCCGCTGGTCGCTCGCTCGCGTCGATCGTCATCTTCGGCCCTGTGTACCACTTGCGCGCAAAGAGGAAATAGTACGTCATGCAGGCCACCCACACGAAGCCATTGATGACAATCGTGTAGTTCATATCCTTGGCTGCATTTCATTCAAATTAGCACTGATCCAGCCCAAGCGGAAAAAGGAAGGAGACATACGCCCTGGACTCGGCCCCGTAGACGGAAACATCGACAACACCAGCCCAAACGCCAGCCACAGCACCGCGACCACAGCAATGGGCCGGCTAAACCGCCCCGTGTAGAACTCGCCCGGCGTGAAGCGCGTCTTGCCCCAGATCAGCCGGCACAGGATGGGCGTGCCCCAGGCGACGTAGTTGCTGGCGACGAACAGCGAGAACAGCGCGTTCGCCGCGACCGAGTTGATCAGGCACAGCAGCCCGAACACGATGCACACGGCGACCAGCCCGACGATCGCGCGCACCGGCTGGTAGCGGATGCGTTTGCTGACGTGGCGGAAGTAGCCGGAGAAGGGGAGGGCGCCGTCGCGCGAGAAGGCCCATGCCTGGCGGGAGGCTGCTACAATCTAGACATGCTGTTAGTTGTAGGATAGCGGATGGAGGACGGGAGTAGAGTACCAGACTGAGTCCGATGAGGAACTGGATGACGATGAGCACGCCCATGAAGCCGAGGGCACCTTTCTTGCCGAGCGCGTCAAAGTAGATCTGCATCCATTAGTATACGAAGGAGCATAAAGCGGACGGGGCGGAGGGCGTACCTGCGCCATAGGCTGTCCGAACACGCTGCCCGCCGTCGCCGAGACGTCCGGGTTCATAGTCGCGGCGATGATCGACAGCACCAGGAACCCCAGCACGCACGCCGACCCAGCCGAGTAGATAATCCCCAGGGGCACGGCCTTGGCCGCGTGTAGCGCCTCCTCGCTCATATGCACGCACGAGTCGAAGAACCCGATCGACCAGATGGGCGCCAGGAACGCCAGGATGAACGCCCACCCGGTCGGCCAGGTCGTCAGGTTATCGACATGGCCGTAGACGTAGGAGCCCGAGTTGAGGGACTCGCCGCGCGAGACGCGACCGACGGGGAGGGCGACGACGGTGGCGATGATGATGGCGGCGTTGATGTAGATGCAGAAGGTCTGGATCTTGGGCATGATGGGGCCGGTGAAGATGCCGGCCAGCGCGTGGATGATGATGAGCCCGGCGTAGACGCCGTAGATGGTGCCGTTGGAGGCCGAGTATTCGCCGTCGCGGGTGATGGAGACGCAGGCCAGGAGCATGAGCGCGAGGGTATCTGGGACGCCGTATCAGTATGGGCCATGGGCCATGGGCCATGGATGCGACGACGATCGGGAGACATACAATCCACCGAACACATGCCGCCGATCAACCCCAGCGTGTTGCTGTATCCGACCAGGAAACTCAGCGCGTTCTTGTATCGGTCGCCGGCGAAGTAGTGCGTCCACCAGTAGAGGCCGCCCGCGGTGGGCATGCCGGATGCCATATCGGCCTGCGCAGTCAATATCGAATGCGATCGTGCGTTGTCCCGGGGTGCTTACCATGGCCAGACCGACGAAGAAGATGAGGATACTCGCGGTGAACCAGCCCTAGCGACTGTCAGTACGACGCCGCGCAAGTAGAAGTATACCAGTATATCAGGGGCACCTACCCAGACCATTCCTGCAGGGCCGGCCGGTAGCGAAAAGGCGAGGGTCGATGCGATCGACGGCACGAGGCCCATGATACTAAACGCGACGGCGAAGATCTGGACGGTCGAGTACTGGCGCCGGAGTTCCTGCTTGTAGCCCATTTTCGCTACGCGGTGCGTTAGCACGTCCCCTTCCAGCCAGACAGTTCGATATCTCCATGATGCACTCACCCAACAGCTCCATATCGTCCGGATCGGCCAACACGGCTTCCTCGGCGGCCACATTGGCCGCCACTGCCGAAGGGGTGTCTGTCTTCAGCATGCTGTACTCAATCTTGACACAACAACAGCACAGCCAGACAGCAGGACAGCGATTTGTAGAGACAACGAGGAGACTCGGCGACCATCCGGGGCAGGCCGTGGGGTCGGCGGTTCTTAAGGCCAAAGACGCTGGGAGGCCAATGCCAAGGAACGATCGGGCGGATTCATGGAAAGCAGCGGGTTAGCACAAACTCAACACGAAGTTAAACGGGTGCCAGAGGTCCAGTGGGTGTTCTGGAGCCTCGGCCAGCGCCTGCTATTGAGTGGCAGGGCGCTCAGACATGCAGAAGACCGACTAACGCGGCAGGGATGAGCGCATCCATGCCGGTGGACAATAGCATTTCCCCCTGAAATTGAGCGTGCCTGTGAAACAATGCACGCTTCATTTGCGCGTGCAGTAGCTTTGACAAGGGCGATTAGCCCGGCCATTGTGAATGGTTCAGGCGTTCGATGGATTGAAGCCGTCTGTCTCCACATGGAGCCGGCCGTGGGTCGTGTCGATCGCGAAGGAGGGTCTCGATCATGGTGGAAATTGTCAGGAGGACGGAGATGAGGATGAAGAGGATGAAGAGGGGGGCGAGGAGGTTAGTCGAGTGTACTTTAGGCTAGCTGGGATGGTGCTACAGAGTGAGTCTGCTGCAGAATCTCATCTCGAGCGGCGAGCTGGGACGATGGCGTCGCCACTATTGACTGCAATCACTCTAGAGGATCCAGCCCACCGGTCAAAGGAATTGAATTTCCGTAGAATTGGGCTAGCTAAAGGATTGACCGGCTCCGCTAGGGGGTGGCATCTGGCATCCACCCGAAGAACTCATCAGCCCATGGTTACCCAGGCTATGCTTCAACCTCTATCCGCAGATCCAACAAAGAACGCATTGCTGGAGTAGTACAGAAAGGCTTTGTCAACTACTTGAACTACGGATTGGAGGAACCATTCACAACTGTCGCCACTGCGAACCCACGTTATGATATCATCGATTATTCGATTATGTGCTCGAGGCATGATGGATTCTACGGCGCCGATGAGATGAACTCGAGATTTGGTTAGTTGGATCCTCAAGTGTACCTGGATAGGGGTAATGAGCCCAGGGTTGCCTTTATATACGAACAGGGTACATGCAGCCGAGCTCATCTACACAGCGATAGTGAATATTAGACAAACGACATACTGTCCTTACCAAAGGCATGCCACATACAAATTTAAAGTATACTCGTAGATGCATGGCTGGCCTGTTTGGCCTCTATATTTCTAGTTCTTATTGCAGACGGCGTCTTTCCGTGCTGTGGGCTGTGGAGTAGAACTCGCATACGGGGTACTCCGTACATAGCAGCCTATTCCACCTCATTACATGATAATATCAAGTCAGTCCCGCCGCTCTCTCAATTACCACTAGTATGGTCTAGACAAAACCAGCCAGGGCAGAATGGTCCAGACTATCAACAGCTACACGGCAAAGCTACGCGCAAGTCTCATAGAAAATCGCGTCTGCGTTGCACAAATTGCAAATCGCAGAATCAAAGCATGTCTCCCCCGCTGCTCTTGAAGATTCAGCCAAAAAGCTAGTGTGAGGAACGCAAACCCTCCTGCTTGAACGCATTCGCCACTCTGTTTAATGCGACTGCTCGCATCTGCCGGGCGTTCAGGATGAATCCACGAGCTCAGGGGACCCACTGAATGTGAAGCTCACGATGACTTCCCTTCATATCCTCGTCGCAAGACCGTTTCCAGCCGCAGAGTGCAGTTGCAGAAAGCAGGGGCATCCTCAGGCGGTCGCTTACTCCTGCGCCATCCACCCCTGTCGCTCACAGACCATTCCAATCCAGCCCAACAGACATAGTGTTGTTTTACCACTTCATGAGCTGCCCTGACCTCGGGGCTGATCGCATCAAGATTCGTCAGAGCAGAAGTGGAGGGCAATCGTGGGCATGCTAATGTTTAGCGACTTAGAGAATGCTGTCCCTGCATTTCTCACAATTCGCGCACAAGTGGGATGTCTGCAGCTACTGCAAGTTCCCATCCAACCCGTTCCATCACAAGTATCGGTCTCAAAGCAGGGATCTGACACCTTGAGTATATCCATCATACCAGTGCAGTGATGTCAGAAAATGTAAGCTTTCTAGCTATCTGCATATCTACCAATGTTTTCCAAACTTGTATGTTGTTTGGTACCTATGATGCGCTTTGATCATATCAAGTTGCCAAAATAAGTATCCTGCAGGAGCTTTGATGACTAGATCCGGCCCATCGCATCATATTAGATATATGCGTGGTTGTACATTTCCTATTACGAAGTCATGCTCATCAAGATAATCGCCGCTACTGTGGGTTGTAATTTAAGATTTGCTAAAAGGGCACATGTCACTCGTCCTTATCACTGTCTACCGTTATTGCATCCATTCCGCATGATGTATACAAGTCAACTAACATGGTAAGTCGGATCTACATTGCATGATCTCGTTCGGGTAGGCAATGACGTATAGAGGAAGACCTTTGTATCCCCAAATAGCAGTGCACATCAGATGCAAAGTATATATACAATATCAAAGGCTATCCAGGACCAAGTAGTCTAGTGCGTACGCCTTAAGTGACGTGAGATATTCTCAAGTAGCGTCTGGCGAAGCAGATCCTGAGGCCGGGGATGATGTATAAAGGCTACTCGAATGCCACACACAAGCGTCAATGGAATGGACTTGCATACCACTTCTACTAACTTTCGTCGTCTACCACCTATAAATCGAGAAATACATCTACCATGACGCTATCAACCGAAAACCACACCCCTTTCAATCAAGTCCATCCAAATGGGAGTCAACAAGAGGCAACGACTGAGAACACCTCCATTCCAACTCAACAGGAGGCCCGCATCCTGAAATCGGTTAGCGACCTCTGTGCTGGGAAACTCAAGTTCAAGGATCTCGATAAAGAAATCAAGAACCCTTTCGATGCGGTCCTGATTCGACGTGCCTTTCTACTGGTGCAGTGTCAGGGGATGAACGTAAGAGATACATTTTCCAGTGACCTGCCGTTTGAGAATTACGACTATAGCGATGTTATGGAAACATGCTGCGAGAATGCTTTCGGGTATATTCCGGTCCCGGTTGGACTGGCCGGCCAGTTAAATGTGGACGAAACGACAGTCTATCTGCCACTCGCAACAACAGAAGGTGCACTGGTCGCTAGCGTTTCCCGTGGATGCAAAGCCATCAACATGTCGGGAGGTGCAACCACTGCCATTACCTCGGATGCGATGACACGGGCCCCATGCTTAAGACTGCCTTCCCTTTCTCGAGCAGTCGAAGCCAAGAGGTGGATAGAGTCTTCAGAAGGCTTCAAAGCTCTTCAAGACACCTTTCGCCAATCGAGCAATCACTGCAGGCTGATCGGTGTCTCTGTCCACGTCGTCGGCAACCATATATATCCAAGATTCCAGGCCAGCACAGGCGATGCAATGGGGATGAATATGATTACGCATTCCATCAGGAACTCCATCTCCATGATGCAAAACAGATTCAACGATCTCGAAATTATATCTCTATCAGGGAATCTATGCGCGGACAAAAAACCCGCCGCCGTGAATTGGGTTGAAGGACGCGGGAAAGGTGTCATCGCTCAATGCCGACTATCTTCGGCAACGATGTCAAATCTACTCAAGACCGACGCAAAACAGCTGGCTGGTCTAAACACCATGAAGAACCATGTTGGGAGCGCCATGGCCGGTGCTTCGGGTGGCTTCAATGCTCAAGCCAGCAATATTGTGACGGCGATGTATCTTGCCACCGGGCAAGATGTTGCACAGAATGTAGAGAGCAGCCAATGTATTACAACAATGGAAGAGTGAGTTGTATCATTCCTTCCGAGATACTAGCTTTATTTTGCCTAACCGGGGAGTAGGGCTGGAGATGACTTAGTCGTATCGGTGACTATGCCGAGCTTAGAAGTTGGCACGGTGGGTGGAGGCACTCAACTGAAACCCCAGGCGGCCATGTTGGATTTGCTCGGTGTGCGAGGCCCGAACGATGAGGCCCCTGGAGGCAATGCACAGCAGCTGGCAAGAATCATTGCCACGGCTGTTTTGGCTGGGGAGATTAGTCTATGCTCTGCATTGGCATCGGACGACTTGGTAAGAAGTCATCTAGCACTGAATCGGAAAGGGCCTTCGTAGTGAGGAGTGAAGAAACATTGAAACAAGGTATGAACGCAGGAAATTATTTTGCAGTATCATGCTTCTTTTATATGTTATCATGAAGTTTTGCTTAACTGGGTGGTTCATTATCCCGTGTGCTTAGTACTGTTGAATTTGGTATTGAAGGAGTACAATTTCAGTCCACGCAATGACAACTGCCTCCCCTTGAACGATAATCTCACCTTCCGTCTCACGCATGCGTGGCTGATCGGTCTGTGATACCAAACTCTCCTTACAACTCACTAGATCTGTGGGAAGTGTACCGAGATGCCCGTTATGTTGAATCAGAGGAAGATCGAAAGATGGTCGGGCTGGGACCGAATCCCAGGTGGCCTCGCGGAGGTTATCGCGGCAGGGAGAGAGGAAGACCAGTGCCGTAGTCTTAGTATGAATGTAACTAAACCATCCTTTTGTCTAAATTGCCCAGTAGTCCCGTTATACCGTTCGACATACCCAGGCCTTGGCCTGAACCTCACCAACTCATGCGGGGGTCCGGAGCTCAAAATGACAGTGAGACACTTCCTTTTTCTCAATCGGCCGACTGTATTGTTTTCCGGAGGAGTATCAACGCGGCGAGAGCTTTGCTCCGGTAACCGACTCAACTTCGATGACAACTAGGTCTGGGCTGTATAGACGCTGGGTCTAGCGATGTATGATGCGTCGTTATGAAGCCCGGCATCCTATTCGAGTAGGTCGTTCTTTTCCTCTTCGGCATGAACCGTGGATTTGTACGCCACAGGCACAGATCGCAGGAACCTACACCTAATCCGGCCGAAGCACGCGTCATTAAATGTGAACACTCTTTCAAGCCCGGGAATGCCGCTGGGAAAGTACGATCCGTGATCAAAGACATTAGATTACAGTATTCCGGTTTAATAAAGCATCATTAGGCTGATCAATGTATGCCTGAAGACCATCCACTGTTCGCGCATAGTGGCTCATTGGCCGAGAAGCCTATCGCCATAAAATATATTCTGGTATCGTAATGTGGCGGAACGCTGGAAAATCGTGCAACTTTCATATTGCAGAAGGCATGTCCAATGTCCGGTTCGCGATATACCCGTCCTAGCTGCAGGACTGACCTGAAACACCCCCCAAGAGATCCCAATGCCTTCCAAGCCTAGCGTGCCAGATTGAAAGTTACACTTCGTTTTGCGCAGAAGCATTGTACGCCGGATGCTGTTGAGCCGGCGCAGCCGAGGCCTCAGCCTCAGCTTGCGTACCATTTGTGCCGTTGGGGTTGCGCCGCGGCACGCCAGGAGATGGGGGATGGTCGAGGGTGGTGGATTCGGAGAACTGCGCCGAGGGGCGATGCATGGAGTCCCACGAGCCGGATCCCATTTTGACCTCCCACTCGTTAAAGTCCTGGCCCGGGTTGACGGTGTGGTACTCGAAGAGCGACAGCAGGCCGAAGAAGCCGCAGGCCAGCAGCGAGCCCAGCAGCGGGCCCACCCAGTAGATCCAGTGGTAGCCCGGGAAGCTGCGGTTGATCACGTCGGGGCCCAGGGAGCGGGCTGGGTTGAGCGAGCCGCCCGTGTAGTAGTCGCCTGCGAAGGTTAGTGGTGAACGGTGTCTGGGGAGCGATGGGCGTACCAATCATTTCGGTTACGAAGAATACCAGGCCGATGCCGACGGGGGCGAGGAAGGTCGACTTGTGCTTGACGACGGCCAGCATGATAACGACAAAGACTAGCTGGGCCGTGAGGAAGACCTCGATGAAGAGGCCCTGCGAGATGGAGGCGCCGCCGCCCAGACGGGTTGCGACGTTCAGGGGGCCGGGGAACAGGGCGCTGACCACACCGGCTGAGGCGATGCCTGCCACGAGCTGGGCTGCGAAGACGAGGACTCCACGGATGGGGGACAGGCCGCCGACTAGGCAGAGAGCCAATGTGACCTATCAATGAATAGGAGTCAGTATAAGTCATTGGTGTGCTGTATATCGTTCCGGTTCACTTCAACCACGTACCGCAGGATTGAACAGTCCACCAGTCACACGATAAAACGCCCAAACGTTGACCATGAGGGAGAAACCGAACGACAGAGACGAGTACAGCAGGTTCATGGTGTTGGGCGGCGCGCCATCGACCGGCTTGGGGGTGTTGGCGACCTGGGTACCGGCAAACGAGAAGAACAAGAAGAGAAAGGTGCCGACGAACTCGCCAATCACTGCAATCATGTTATTGCGCAAAGTATCCTGCAGATGCAGCATGGGCAGCTGGCGTCGCGTGGAGTTGTACACCGGCGCAGAGCCCGGCTCCTGCTTGCGTTGCAACCAGCTCGGCTTGGACACCATGATTCAGGAATGGGAGATTGTTCAGTTTCAAACGGCCCTGGACGCGGACAAAGAGACAATGCATGAGAATCTCGGGCCATAATTGCCTGGTCGCGGCTCTTATAGCAATGCCGGCGGTGGTACAGGGCGTTCACCATCCACGTCATGACTCTTGCATAATGGTGCTAGAGGCGTCGAAGTTTGGGAAGCCGAACGCTCCGGCGCAATGGTAGAGGATTCCACCGGTCTAGGGATAGTCCCCTCTGGGAGAATCCCGGAGATCCTTTCTCGGGCGTGAGTCCCATGGGTCGGGATGGGCACAGTAGTATGAGGGCGACGCGGTCCCTCTGTTCGAGCGATGTCCATCGATGGGCGAGAGTCGCCCAGATCTGGATCCAGATCTCATCTGTGAGGTGTATCTGACCTTGGTCTTTTGGACTCAATGGTTGCATAGTGCATGTGAAGGATGAGATCGCGGAATGTCCTTGATTTCGGAGTATACAAGTTGTCTTGACCATGATAACTCAGTTGCGATGGGACTTCGGCGACACCGCTACCACAAACCAATGGTATAAGGTCGATTGATGTGAACCAGAGTATTCTCACCTTCAACAAATCCAACTTCGGTCCATATCCGAATCCACCATGACCGTGACAGTCAGTGACAGTCAGTGACAGTCAGTGACAGTGACAAAGGCTGATGGCGGATGACTCAGCAGGTCGTGACCTCATGGACCCTAAAAGCCCTAAAATGCTGACGACGAGACAAGAAGTTGTCATAACTCTGCTCATCCTTCGAGGCACTCCTACGGAGTAAATTCCATTATGCGGGGGATTGACTAACACGGTCAGTCCTGTTTCCAACTGCTCGACTGCTGCCATTCCCATTACTCAATCGCTACTCGATGGGGCCACGGTCTGGCGCTGCCCGTTCCTAAACATCCCGCATCTTCGGGTTTTGGTCGGACTTCGGTGGGCTGATTAAGCCACCGAGACCCGGTCCACTCTGCTGTCGGTGTTCTCTGCTGCTCTGGTTGTCTGGGGTTATCTTGCCTGGAGGTCTACCCCTCCTGTTCCTGGCTGGTGTGGTACAGACGACTCCATATCAAGCACCTCCTACTCGTCGTCGATAAGACATCAGAATAAGGATTGGAGGTTCGCGAGCCGCATGAGAAGATCAACCCCAAGGTCTTGATAGAGTCGAGGCGGCTGGTCTCTCCGACCAATAATGGGGGGCAGATTGGGAATGTCTGGCCAACGCCCGGTTGTGTCCAGACTCCGCGGAGATGCCATACAGAGATAGAAAAAAATATTCACCAACGCCTTCTATCGGATGTTCAATGCCGTTCGCTTGGGGCAGAGAGCGAGAAAAAATTATAACATGCCACGTTCCGTCCCTGAGCCAGGTCGGGCATATAAATACCATGACGTGGGACTTGATGTGAACCCAGTGCATCTATAAACATCCTCCATCAACTCCTTCATACATACAGATAGACAGACTCATAGACTCATCATGTCTCTCTCTCCCGAGCAAGTCCAGATCATCAAGGCCACCGTGCCCGTGCTCGCGGAGCATGGCACCACCATCACCACCGTCTTCTACAAGAACATGCTCGCGGCGCATCCCGAGCTGAACACCGTCTTCAACACGTCCAACCAGGTCAACGGCCACCAGCCACGTTCCCTGGCCGGCGCGCTGTACGCCTACGCCTCCAACATTGACAACCTGGGGGCCCTCGGTCCGGCCGTGGAGCTGATCTGCAACAAGCACGCCTCGCTCTACATCCAGCCCGAGCAGTACAAGATCGTCGGCAAGTTCCTGCTCGAGGCCATGGGCGAGGTGCTGGGCGACGCCCTCACCCCGGAGATCCACGATGCCTGGGCCACCGCCTACTGGATGCTGGCCAACCTGATGATCCAGCGCGAGGCCGACCTGTACAAGCAGGCCGACGGCTGGACCGACTTCCGCGACTTCCGCGTCACCAAGAAGACCGTCGAGTCGTCCGAGATCACGTCCTTCTACCTCGCGCCCGTCGACGGCAAGCCGCTGCCCACCTTCCAGCCGGGCCAGTACATCTCCGTGCAGGTGTTCGTGCCGGGCCTGAACTACCCGCAGACGCGCCAGTACTCGCTCAGCGACGCCCCCCGGCCCGACTACTACCGCATCAGCGTCCGCAAAGAACCCGGCCTGAACCCGGCCGAGCCCGGTGCCAAAGCTCACCCGGGCTACGTCTCCAACATCCTGCATGACACCATCAACGAGGGCGACCAGATCAAGGTGTCGCATCCGTTCGGCGACTTCTACAACAAGGAGCCCGAGAGCCCGCGCCCGGTCGTGCTGCTCGCCGCGGGCGTCGGCCTCACGCCGCTCCTGTCCATCCTCAACACCATCGTGTCCACGCCGTCGGCTGCGGGCGAGCGCAAGATCCACTTTGTGCATGGCGCGCGCACGGCCGGCGCGCGCGCGTTCAAGGACCACGTCCTGTCGCTGAAGGAGAAGATCCCCGGCCTGCAGGCCACCTACTTCACGAGCCACCCCGGCGCCGAAGAGAAGCAGGGCGAGGACTACGATTTCGCCGGTCGCATCGACCTCGCCAAGCTGGCGGACAAGGATCTGTTCCTCGATGAGCCCTCCGCTGAGTATTATGTGTGTGGTCCGGAGGGTTTTATGACGGACATCCGCGCGGCGCTGGTCGCCAGGGGGGTGAGCGCGGACCGCATCAAGATGGAACTGTTTGGCACTGGTGGTGTGCCTGCCTAATGCTTAATGCGTGGTGTTTCGGTTTAGAATGCGTTGATGTTTAATCTCCTCTCATGAATTACGATGACTCATGATATTACTGTGAATAGCTCATGATTATATCATATATATTGTTACATTCTCTATCGGACGCGCGATCGCTATATCCATCAGCGCAATGTGTATACATACATGTATAGATACATCACACATCATACGCCAGAATGTACCTCCCATCCTCATACTCCGTCACCGTATACCACTCCTTGCTAACCTCATTATAGCTCAAATCCTCATTCCCCGCCATAAACCACCCCTCGTGGAACTTGGACCCGCTGCCAGGCTTCCAGGTAAACAAATCTCCGGTCTTGGGCACGTTGCCATTACTCCGCGACACGTAGAACTGGCCGTTGTACGAGAAGCCGCCCTGCACGCGCTCAAAGTCGACGCAGTACGCAAACGTCGCCGCGCACACGCCGTCCGCGTCCGTCTTCAGCCTGCCCGTCGCGCTGTCGACCGGGTACTTGGTGAAGCGGACGGGGTCGGCGGCGGCGTCGCGCACGAACTCGCCGACCAGCAGGGTGTTGTCGCTGCGGTCGAGCGAGATCCACGAGAAGCGGAATTCAGAGTCGGAGCCGGGGATCCATTTGTAGGTTCTGCTCCTTAGCAACACTGCATGTCAACCTAAGCACAGAAGGTGGACTCACCGGATTTGAGGAAGCACGTAGCGATACCCAGCGGCGGAATACGACCCGTCGCTGGCCTTGCCCACGCCGTCGGCAATCGCATCCATCTCCCAGAGATTGCCCATGTCGAAGACGCGGATGCCGCCCGTCGTGTCGACGACATACAAGAAGCTGCCGTACCAGGCGATGCCGCCGGCGTGCACATCCACGGACGTAAAGTCATCATCGGCGCTAGGCTCCACCAGAAACACATGCCGATAGCTCTTCTTCTCGCGGTCGACGAAGCTGACGCGCACGTTCTTGTCGTCCGCATCGTGCCAGCTGACCAGCCACACGTCGCGATCCTCCCATTTCCCCGACGCGTCCGCGTCCCACGACCCCGAGACGCCCTGCGGCACCCACTTGGCCGTCGCGAAGTCGCCGTCGTTCCAGGCCCAGGCTTCCTTGGGGTCGCCGTTGCCGACGGGCGGCGAGCCGGCGGAGAGAGCACGGTTGGCCGAGTCGAGGACCTGCGCGACGGAGACGTTCTTGCCGGCTGAGGTGAAGATCTCGGCCAGGGGGGCGAAGTGCGCGATGTCGGCGGACTCTTGCAGGGTGAAGTCTGAGCCGGATAGGGGGCCGTTTTTGGAGCAGAGACGCGGGTCTGCTGCTTGGGTGAGGCCGAGCAGGGGGAGGAGGAGCAGAAGAGAATGCATTTTCTGGTTGGTGTTGCGTGAGGATTGTAGGTTGGAGTCATCACGGAGGTATGTGCAGGTTTATATAGAGCATCTGATACGGACCCGATCGGCGCGATACGAAGATCGTCGCGAGCGAGATTATACACTGCAGTCGAAGATATCTGTTTCCTGAATAAGAGACAGAATGCGAGCATACGGGATGGTTCATGGTGGATTTGGCCCCTTGGTCGTATTGTACAATCCGAAGCAGTAACGAGTGCCGCCAAGATGTGACGATCGCACTCGTATTCCAAAAATAAGACATCTCGGTGGTTTCTAGCCGGAGAATACGAGGATATGTTAGTCTTGCTAAACGATGATCAGGAGGCTCTAAGCCTGGTATTGTTGATGGAGTTGGCGAGGAGCTAAGATACAGGATCATCCTCAACGAGCTGTCGCGTGTCAGGTTGCTCTGTAGATGAGAAGATGATATGATTCTTTGCTTCGAGTGTAATTTCTGATTTCATGTATAGACTACTTACCGTGCTAGAAGAGACAACATTGTACTCCATCGAGTCGCTGCCTTTTCCCTATTAAAACGTCTTCTTATACAATGGCCAACTCAACGCATCGACGCCGCCCGCACAACGACACCAGCACATTATCTACTCCTCACTCGCATTGCTGTCGCCCTGGCACGGACCATCGCCCATATGATGTAGCCAAGCCTAGTGCGACCGGTAGCTTCAACTGCACCGTCCATGAGGCCTCTTCGAGTCGTATCCGACCCAGCCCTCAGTCCACCTGTAGACGAACCGCGTGCGCTGTTGTCCGGACCGAGGGGGATGGTTCTGGACGTACGGATGCGTGAGATCTTGGAGGATATGTAATGCTGCCTCAGGGGAAGGGCGTTGACATGGGTGACAGCGTAGAGGCTATGAGACGGTGATAGACGTTGGCCGGGATGACAAGTGACTGAGGTGTAGGAGGCATCAATGCAAGTACGTGTCAGTCAACGGGTATAATCTCATCCGCTGTCAGGCACTGTCAGGGACTGGAACGGCGTCTGGCATCGTGCATCCGGCATTAGCCTGCCGAAATCTAGCCACGGCCATCCATCTCGACCTTGGATCTGGGGAAGCAGCGTCCCGCGGTGGTCAGAGCTTGACGTGGGTCTTCTCACGCCTATGTCATCGATAGCGATATCTGCAGCAGGAGTCGAGGGTAGTGGTCGTGCAGCCGGGATGAGGCCGGCATCGATGTTCGATCCTGATGGGCCACAAGTATCAAGCCATCAATCAACGTCGTCGTCACGGCCTGCTTCTACAGATGCAGCCACACGGTCGGGACGGCTGGGCTCATCACGTCGGAGAATTATGCACGTCATCGGCGTAGGCATTGTACGGCGTAGGCATTGTACGATGGATAAGGGATGTAACAGGTCAAGGCAGTTGAGAGTGAGCAGACCCGGCGTGGCCATAGCCGATAGGGCTGATTGATGACCTGTGGCTAGACCTGTTCATTCGGGCGAGTCAGTAGTGGATGGTGAGATGACCCTGACGTCGATTCGATCCGTTTTCGAAGCCGTTATCTTCCGTGCATGGCAAGTGCTGCCACATAGTTACGTGCCGTCATGGGACATACCGCACGATATCGGGTAGTCCCGCGATCTTTGCTGTCTGCTGGGAGCTGCTGAAGAAGCCAGATATCCAGATCCGGGTCACACCACTGGGACAGTTGCAGAAACCCTGGGAATCCGACCTCCGGGCCGGGCAGAGGTTATCCTCAGGGGTGGGCTTGCGGCGGCCAGTCAACGGGGATGTATTACTAGTGAAACGGTCGTCCGGCAGCAAGTTGCTTCCGATTGCCTGTCCTACATGTCTTTTAGTTACTGTCTATAGTTGACATCGGTGAGTTCCGATGGTCGTCTGCAACTTCAAAAAAAATCACCAGTTCGGTCACGAGGCAGCACTTCCTCTATCTCAATGGACTGGATACTGGAAGAAAATTCTGTACACCTAGCTTGCGAAATCTGCTCAGATCCACTACGGCACAACGACCCGCAAGTGGTCTGTGTGTGAATCACTCAGCTTGCGCGAGTTGCATAGTACTGTACTAACTAGTCCAGACTGCGTAGAAGGCGACGCTGGAGGCGAAAAGAATACGACTGATAGTCCTGGCTGGATGGAAGTACGTATATGCAGAGATGTGAAGATGATATTGTATATTCTAAATTGTAAATATTGTAGAGAGCATAGACACCGCATACTACACTCTAGACTCATGACATGTATCTGAAGTATCTGAAAATGCTGAATACCTACCTCAGTGCAAGACGAAAGCAGTAGATTCTGTCTGCCGGATGCGTCCCAAACAGGCAACACCTTCGCCATCCCCCTGGGCCTGGAGGAAAAAGTCATATCCGTCAGACTACTCTCGCCCTCTGCCAGCTTACTCTTACTACTTCCGGCCGGGAGCCTTGTCGGACCCGAGTCTCGGCCGGACCACTTGGCATTTTTCATCGTTGCGTCTAGCTCCTCTTGCCCGCTGTTGCTGCTGCTGCTCCTGCTGCGCTACTGCTGCTCAACGGTTGCGCATGGCACATCGATCCAGCCCGATGCTCCACCGATCCCGTCCGTCCTGTCACTCTCCTAGACGCCTCTGATCTCGTCTTCTGACTGGATCCAGGCGGTTTGACGTCGGACCCGGCCGAGGCTGGATGCGAGCGATCCGGCTGGGGTGATCTCGGTTACCCTGCACCGGCGCAATGTTTGCTTGCCAGGCTATGTCTCGTCTGGTCGCGATGCTGGTCAATGGGCGATGGGCTAGACATGTTCCCAGCTAGTGGCCGCCATAATCTATTTTGATATTGAGCCATTACATCATTTCTCGGCTGGCGGACTCGGCCTCGCT